TGAGTGGAGTGCACGCAGGAAACTTATATATATGTTCTTATACGATTTGCATTTGTTTGATTGTTATTGGATAATTACAAATAAAAAAAATTTCATACATTGATTAGCATTATGATTTTCTCATCAGAAAGTTCCGATAAACGTTTGGTGTGCTATTGTCGGCAGTTATTTTAATTATCTCTTTGATTTTAAACAATCGTCTCAAGGGAGACTGTTACTTAGATTTTTCGTGCTTTGAATTTCAAAGACTATGAGAGGATGTTCCTCTTAACGTCAGAATATAGTTTTAGCATTACGGAGGCCCCATTCATTACTGTTGTCAGGTGTTGCAATTTTTGAATGAAAGTTTTCTAAATCGTTGATTGGTCGCGTTACATAAATATAAGAAACAAGGAATACAAAGACCGTTCTTTTGCACTCTTGACGAGAGTGACACGTACGAAATGGGCAACGAATAGCTTAAGGTGTTAGATGACGAAGGCGTTTTATCCCAGAGGTGACAGATAAAAGTTTGAAAAGCGTCCTACCACCTTCCTTTTGGATTAGGAGGCATTTTTGAACCGGTTGATGAGTAGTTGCCGGGAGACAGCCACTTGATCCGGGTCGCAATTTCTCACGGGCGGTAATGGATGGAAGTGAAAAATTTTACCGTCTCGTCATAGATTAAATACAATGCCTGGATTATTCTCGGCTACATCTCATCCCTTCTTACTCTTTCTCTCCTTCTTTTTTACATTTTGCTTTGTTTAAGGTTCGAATGAATCTTGTCCGAAAAAGTGTATGTACTTACACAACATATCATTATTTTTGTTTATTAATACCCCTAAAATTAGGATTTTAACCTATAGCTTAGAGTTTTATCTCAACAATATAAGTAATTATAATTTATTTTTACTTTCACTTACGTATATATGTAATATATAGTAAGGGTAAGTATTGTGATCCAGAAATTTTTTGAATCTGAGTTTTCAACAGAAATACACGTTTTGGAGTACCTTCAGTCCAAATAACCAAGTCCCGAAAAATGGTCTATGTGTATGTGAACACTCTAGCTCGAAAACGAAAAGTTGTATGAAACTGATATTACGTATTTAAGATAGGTGTATGCCTTAGATGTGACTGCAACTATTTCCTTAAAATCGGCTTACCGGAAGTGCCACTTTATATCAACGCTGAAACACATTTTCACAATTTTCTCAAAAACGGCTCTAACGATTTTAATTAAACTCGGTTTATCATTGTATAATTAAGTGGTCTTTAATATCAATTAGATATTATCCCCATTGATGTCACTTGACAGTTTTTAAATGCCCAATGTTCATATACGTCTTCCTCTAAAGTACCTTTAATATGGTTTATTTTAAAAAGTTAATCATTTCACATTATTCAGAGTTACGAAAAAAAGCTAAATATAACTTTTGAAAGAATTTGATAAGTTAATAAAGGAGAAAAAAAAAGAAAAATGCAGAAAAGCCTGCGTTGCTATTGACTGTAGCTCCTAAACGAATGTACCGATTTCAATGAAACTTCGCTAAAGTCATTTTCTCGCCACCCTTTAAATTTATCTACATAATATACTTCAATAAAAAGAAGCTGGACAAAAAGTTACGAGGGACGGTAAAATTAAATTCCGAATAACTCAAAACGTATACATTTTTTGTAAATATTATGATAAGATGTTTGAAAGGTATTTAAATTTTCTAAAAAATGAAAGAAGTTTCATCGAAATCAAAGCACTATTAGTAGAGATATCGCGATTTTTAAATATTTTTATATTTGTGATGAAAATCACAATGGTTCTTTAAAATATCTGTCAAAAGATGTTTCTCCCCCCCCCCCCCCACCCGAGTCGCGATGTCTCGCCAGTTTCTTGTGAACATAACTTCGTAGGTGTAAAATTATTTATTTTCTTCAAATTCTTTGAGTTCAAGGAATAGTAATGACACTGACGGTGATATTATCGATACATTTACTCAACTACTTAAAATATTCTGGAATTTAGGCTTAATGTCACAGGAGTGAAATTCAATTCAATAAAAATATATTAACCTATTGTATATTTTTATCTTTGCTACCTGTTTCGTTCTTTAATCAGGCTAGATAATTAACATAAAATAATAAAATTAACAACAATAATAAATAAATAAATTACAAAGTAATCGATAATAATAATAAAAATTAACAACAAATATATTATTAAATAAAAATAGATAATCACTTAACTTATGATAGTCCTACTCTCCTTTAAGCCATCATCTGACTAGCAAGAAGATGCCATCAATAATGAATTAATAAAATAAATGCGACTTTAGTTTGTTATGCGAACATAATTAATTTAATTAAATTCTAATGTAAAAGTAATTAACTAAAAGTACTATTGACGTTCTGATTGACCGTGTAAGGTACTGATTGAAGTATTGATGGACGTGTCTGACGGATTTCCGAAAATCAAAGATTCAATCACCAGAAGTGGAAGGGAAACTGAGGTAAAAGTGGTGGGGACTCCCCATTGGGAGACTAACCTTACTACTCACAGGCGGATTTATGGGGGGGAAGGCTTTCGCGCTGAAGACTCCTTCAAAATGGTAAAATGTAACCATGTTTCATGGTAAAAAAAATTAAAAAATTATGTCTTAAAGTATTATTGCTAGTTTAATTACATTTAATAGGACTTCAAGAATCACTTAAACACCATTTCATATAGATAGTTAGTATCTTTCTGTTTTTCTAAAGTAATTATCGTTATATATATGAAAAAAAAAGCTTCCGGGGTGAAGCCCCTCCCCCCCTCCCTCTAAAATTAAATCCTGGATCCCTAGTGTTACTACTAGATAGGTTAGTTTGCCTAACCTTCACCACCATTGAAAATTTCTTATTTTTATCAAAAGTAAATAGTTTTTCACTAGGTCAATTAAACTACTAGGTTCGCTCACTCAGAGGGAAAATAGTGGGGAGGAATTGAGCTCTGACGTAACCACTAGACCGGTAATACCCCTCCGCCCCTTGTTTCTGGATGTTTTAAGATTATTTTGACCTTTCTACATGAAATCAATACTTTAAGGTATAATAGACTAGTAATTTATTAATATTAATAAATTTAAAAAGTGAGAGACAAGTTCATTTGCTATTTTATTTATTTTAAAACAAATAAAATGTAATTTTTGAAGTTGATTTTTTTTTTTTTTTTTTTCAGAAATGCTAAATACCTCAATTTTTTTTTAAATATTTGAAATAAATATAAAACATAATTTGAAATGATAGAATAGATAGTATTTTTTTTTTAATGTATTTAATCCATAATTAAAGAAACACATTTTCTTTCTATGAATGTTTCTAAATTTGACATTTTTATGTCTAAGTAATCCTAATATCAAGCCCTCCTTTAAAAAAATAAAAATAAAGTATAACCCATCTTCCTACAAACATATTGTCATTTATCTTTTAACAAAAATTCGGAGGGGAGGGTTAAACTCTCCTCCCACTCACAAAATAAAATTAAGGTATCACCAACCCAAACATATTACCATTTTATCTTTCAAAAAAAATTGGAGGGAGACTAATCCCCTCCCCCCCCAAAAAAATAAAATCAAACAAAGTATCATCCACCTCCCCAAACATATTGCCTTTTTACCTTTTTTTTCAAAAATTTGGGGAGAGAATTAATCCCCCCCTTAAAAAAAATATATATTAAAACAAAATATTGTCTCCCTATTCAAACATATTGTTAAGAGGGACACCAGAAATTTGGTATCGCCCAGTGATTTTCAAGATCTGTCTGTATATATGGTTCAATATTGCCCTAATGCACAACCTAAGGTCTTGAAACAGTACTTTCATTAAATAATACTAAAACTTTTTTTTTTAGCCCTTACATGGTCAATATATTGACAAACTCAATATTGAGGGTAAGGAGCCCTTTAGGTTTTCTTAATTGGTGTAATATAAAATTATAGGGATGAACAGAAAATATCATGATTTGCAGTAAAAATATGTTTATTTTTTAATTATTTAAATTTTTTATTTAAAGAAGTTTTGACTGCAAATTCTGACAATTATTTTCATTCTTATAATATTGTTTTATCATTAAAAGAAATAATCGCGATTTCTACAAACATAATTAAACAAAAATTGTGCTACAATGTTATTTTGTTTCTCTAAATAAGTATAGATCTTTTTTTTCTGTTTATGTAATATATTTGTAGATTTTTTACAGTATATGACTTTGAAATAAATAATATAAAAATAATCTTAATATAAATTTTGTTCTTTTCATTTCAAGTCTAGCCTGTAATTTTCATAGCATTTTATTATAGATTGCTAGTCGTATTTATTTATTTATCTACTTGAAATTATCTTCAATCAAACATCAAAAATCCAGAGAAGTATTCTTCTCAATAAATTAAACCACAAAACAAAAAAAAAGGACAATCATGTTGAAATAAATCTTCATTGATACGTTTGAAAGAGTAATAGGTAGTTCTGGCGGTATAGTCCTTAGGTCACATTTCATCACCCATTTCTGAGTGAGCGAACTTGGTAGTTTTATTGACCTTGACTTAAATGTATTATTATTAAATACATTATTATATATTTCTATTGGCTCCAATTCTGGATAGTACCTTTGAAACAGGCCTACCAACTGTATCTGTAATTAAATATAATTATCTTTTAGTAAACAATTAAATAAGGAAATTGGAACGAATTTGACAGTTTTTTTGGAATTTGTTATTGAACTTTGTTTAACTAATCCATGATAGGTGAAACTATAGATATAAACCATATCAATAGTTTTCATTTATAAAAAAAAAAGTTTGAATTTGTCACAATTAAAATTCCACCATTGGATGTTAATGCATAATGATTTTTTTTTTCATTATTTATTTTGTATATGATTTATTAATTCTATTCTTATTTCATTTTAGTTTATTTATTTGTACTATTATTTTTTGTCCCATTGCTTATAAGAAACCCCAAAACTATTAAATCTTCTTCTACCACAGCATTGTCTAAGGAGTGCGATCCAGAAAATGAGTTCACCTGTCTGAATGTGTTCGAGTGCATCCCAAAGTCATCTGTATGTGATGGACGACCCAATTGTCAGGACAGCAGTGATGAATTAAATTGCCCTATTGGTGCGATATTTTGCCATTAATTTAATTTGGTGTTTTGCTTCCTCATTTATCTAACTAATCTCCATCTTATTTTTGCATGGGCTGGATAACTAACAATAAACCTTAGAGCAAGATATAAATTTTCTAACCTAACACTTCTTATCAAACTTTAAAAGGTTCTTTTTTTCCTATGAAAGAAGATTCTTTATGTTTACTGTTTCTGGGCATCAGTGACACTCTTTACATTTTTTTTCTGTTATTTTCTCTTTATGTTTCAACTTAATCAACATGTTTTCAGGCTCACTATTATTAATTCATATTTTATTTTGTATGTACTGTATAAAAAAAGTATGAAATTCACAAAAAGTGATTTATAACCATTAATATTACTAAAGGAGATTAACTAATATGGTTTCAAAGATGAAATGTCTCAGGGACCGGAGGTGTAAGTAAAAAAACAAATATTTTGGATAAGATCAAAGAAAGAAGATTAAGATGATATAAATATCTACATGCGATAGATATGAGAATGTTTAGTTCAGTGATAAATGAGAGATGAAAAAGTTAAATAAAGTGGTGAGACCTAGTACATGCTGGAATGGTGTTGAAACTGCTTGTTATTTGTCATGTGTTGATGAATGAGGAAGTGCTAACTAAGGAAGATTGGTGTAAGAGGTATTAGTAGAACTTTGGTCAAGAAAATCTTCATGTATGAAAAAAAAAATTGAAATTGCATAGGTATACAATAAATTTGTATGTAGACAGTGTATTTTCAGACAGTAAAACTGTTGTGGAAAGATGATAGCTGATAATTTCCAGAAAATTGGTGAGATTGAAAAATAATCTGGGGTACTGCTTTGTAACTGTCACTCCACCTACCCATGGCGCTGCCAAGTTATCCAGAATGTGTACCGCAAGCTAACTGCAGATAACTCTGGGCAGCGCTCCTAGATATTTGCATTTTTTGGAGGGGTGTGCTTCAGAATGAAATTATATAATCCTAAAGAGGTGGGTATATATTTGATCGTTGAAATCGTAAAAATGAAACATGGTCAAGATGTGAAAAAGAATTAATTTTGACCCAAACATGTGGGTCATCATGAAGGTCAAAAATTAAAAAATACAAAATAACATCAGAACAATGATTAACATAAAAGTATAAGATATATAAGAGAAGAAAAAGTGGAACATACAAATGAGATAACAGTTATATAAACATAATGATAATAAAAACATTGTTATATGCAACAACATTAAAATACTTTTTGAAGAGAAGGATGATGGGGTGATCAGTCAAAATAAAATAGTAAAAATAGATAATTGTATTTATTTTCACATTCGCCTACGTTTCAGCCTGAAATTTAGGCCTTCGTCAGAGCTAAGAAAAGAACCAGATAACAATAGGTATAAGAAACTATAAACATCGAATAATAAAGAATCAAAATTAAAAAAGGTGAAAAGTATAGACTAAAAACTTTAGGTTGAAAAACTTTAAGTAAAATGAAGCAGATAGAGTGAGCTTTAACGTAAAATAAAGTAGGTAGAATAATAACAGTAATAGAGAACTAATAAATAAATAATAAAAACTTTAATACAGCACGGACCAATGAAATAAACATAATCAAAATAAGTTAACACAAGAAATGAAAAATGGTAAGACTGAAATACTTTCAGCTGTCAAATATATTCACTCCTCGTTAGGATTTTATGATTCATTCTGAAGCTCACCCCTCCAAAAGTATAAACAATACTTTTTGTCTATAAAGATAAAACTAATCCATCAGGAACCCTCTCTACAATGCCGCATTAGTTGGAAGCCATGCCACAATGTGAGAATCCAAAAAACAAATTGACATATAGAATCAACAAAGATGCTGCACTGCTGCATGCAACTGATCGGAAAAAGTGGAAAAGGCTGGTACAAGTAGTCCAAGTTCTACCAAATCTAAAGCCAAAAAGAGATAAATAATTAGATTTTGCTGTATAAATTAGTTAATTATTAATTACTAAATTGTTCTATAAAATAGAAGAGAAGAATGGTTAGGGTGATCAGTCAAATTAAAATGGTAAAAAATAAAAATTTTATTTATTATTATTATAAATAAAATTATTTATTTTTTACCATTTTAATTTGACTCATTACCCCCAACCATTCTTCTCTTCAATTATGCACTACAGTCAACCATAAACCCCCAATTATGGTTCTATATAATAATTTGCAAATGAAGTATTGTGGGGCCTAAATAAGAGATACAAATATGCGAGTTTTAATAGAATTTAACTATGAATTAAAAGCATACCCTGAATTTTATATTTGTTGTGTATAATAATTCCTCTTTTTTTTCTATAGATTGTCCTAGTAACAGCTTTAAATGCTCCAATGGTTTATGTGTTCCTGAAAGTGCACGGTGTAATAGAACAAGTGAATGCTCGGATGGATCAGATGAACGTGGTTGCCCTACAGGTAAGGTCAACAATTTTAGATCTTCATTTACTATGGTTATATCTAGGATGCACCATGGTAGCTCATTATCCGTTATTGAATTTTTAAATTTAAACATTGTTTTTCATTCTGTGGCCTCCTAAATAAGTTTGGATACACTTATGATACTTGAAGAATCATAGATAATAGATTAACAGAGTTTGTGAATTTCTTCTTAATTTTCAACTTTAAAATTCAATATGCTAGACAATATTGAGTTATGGTTTTACAATCAATTTAAGGTGGATGTACAATAAATCAGTGGCAATGTGGTGATGGCGGTTGTATAGATATTTCCATGAGGTGTGATATGCAATCAGATTGTTTAGATGAATCCGATGAAGAGAACTGTCGTAAGTTTATTGTTTTTCTCTCATTGATATTCTATGTGACTTTTCAACTTTTATGTCTGTCTGATTTTCTTAAATGTTACATGTTCTCAATATTCCAATGTGGATGTTTCAAAACTTTTATCTGTTCTTTTTTTTATCTTTCTCTCTTATTAAAAGCTGCTTTGTGATGTCCACTCTGTTGTTTAGATTTTCATGTTGAAAATTCTCTTTTGCTTCAAGCTGCTTCTCTGATTTAAGATTTTTTTTATAAACCCTTTTTCTTATTGACCACTTTGAATTACTCACTACATAGCCATATGGTTAAATCAGGTCAATACAGTTTTGAGAATAAGTGAAAAACAGACAATGAAAACAATTTTGACCATGATAGGGCATAAAAAAAGATTAATTAAAATACACCAGGAAATGAAATATTAAGTATGGTATGCTTTTTGGGGGCGGGGTGGCCGAGGAGGCTAACAGGTATGCACAGCACCACATGTTGTCCGGCAACCAATTAATTTCAAGAAGATTTAAAATTGTTTCAACTCTCCCAGTGGTAATATTTTTCTAGTCAACTAAGTTTATGGAACTAGTTTTATAGTTATTTTAGATTGAAACAATTATTATGAAGTCTTCTTTGTCTTTAATAGATATTAATTTTCTCTTTTTTTTTTTTTTTTTTTTTTTTTTTTTTTTTTTTTTTTTTTTTTTTTAACATCAGGTAAAATTATTCTTACTTTCTAAATAAATAGTTTCCTTCCTGTAAGTCAGAGGTGCTCAATCAAAGGCATGCTTACTACAATGGCTCACTAGCTATTTTATAGTGGCATGCATTCCTCAAATAGATTTTTTAATTTATTTTTTATTTTGTTTTTAAAATAGTTCTCTTCCTGAGATGAATGGATATTTTAAATTTGGCATGTTTGATATAATTAACAAAATTACTAATGAAGTATATACATTTTATCATACAAATAATAATTATCACCTGTTTTGATTTTAAAAGTATATTCTAAAAATTTAAAAAAGGGGAAAATATTTAGCAATTATTTATTAACAATTATACCTAATAAGAAACAATTATTGTGAAGTTGGTAGAGTGTAGGGGATAAAGGAGTATAGCGGTGGGTAGCCTCAATACGAGGAAACCTTTGACACGAGGTTGGGCACCGCTGCTATTAATTGTCTATTTTTCAAATGTTCTATAGATTAATAGAATGATTTCCCAGTTACTTGTTGCATGTGCTTAACCCTACTAATTCTAAATGTATTATATTTCCATTCTCTCTACATCTTTAACTTTTTAATTTTCATCATTTAATTTATTAAATTTTAAAATATGTGTTGTGATGTCTAGTGATTAACATTTTATTGATTTATTCTTTTATTATTTCTCATTTTCTATTTATTCATTAAAGAATTATTCATTAAAGAATTATATTTATTTTTATATTACAATGTTTTAAGAGATTGTGATATTGATGAAATACTTTAAATATTAATTTTATTTAAAATTTGTTATATTACAATTTATTTGAACTTAATTGTTAAAGAATGGAGATATGTTTATATATAGCTTTGCCAAAATTTAGCATTTTTTTTTTTATTAGTGAAGTTAATTTTTTCTAACTGGTTATGGCTTTAATGCTTTTTAATGGAACACCCTCTTCCTTCAACGGTTTGTCTTTATCCTAGCAATTATTATTGAATTATTCAGCTGATTCTTTTATGATAATATAATATGTAATGGGAGGAAAAATTATTTTCATTATGATTCTATTTGTTTTTTAGTTGTTTTTTTTTTCTAGTATCACTTTATTTTAAAAAAGTTATTATTTTATTTTTTTATTGAAATTACTATCTCTAATTTTTCTTTTATTGTAACAAATTGATGAGTGTCATTGTTAATATTCTTTCGAGCAAAAACAACTGAGGCAAAATGGTTTTTAACGTTAAAAGGTAATGAGCTGAACAAATGTAAACTGCTTACAGATAAGAACAACTTGTAAACACTTAATGAAAATCATATAATCTTATTAAAAAGTTTATTGTTATTTCACTCTTTAGAAAGAATTATTTCTTTGAAATGATGGCGTTGTTGTGGCTTTATTTTTTATCTATTAAAAAAGAATAGCTTCAAAATATGAGTTAAGCATCCATTAAGAGAGGACAAACATTTATCTCTCAGTGGCTATTTGCTTGTATAAATTCTTTTATTTCCAGGCTAGGGCATTTAATGGTTGATCTTAGGCAAGTTTCACTTGTCAATTTTTTTTTATATGAAAAAACACATGTATTATTTACTAAGAATAGTTTTATTGAGCTAATATTGCCAAACGTTTAGTTATCCTTTTGAAAAAAGTTATTCAGCTGACAATGTTAATTTTTTCCTATCTGAAATTACCTTATTTGTACGTTGCTGTGAGAGTGTGTTCCGCTTTTGAGCATGTTTATTTGTTTATGCATGATTTAGCGTGCCCTGACGATTGGTTTAAATGCGAGAACAATCATTGCATCCCAATGAAGAAAAGGTGTGATAATCAATCCGACTGCAATGACATGAGTGATGAAAAGGATTGTGATAATGGTAAGACATCTGGCTTAGCCTTTAAGAGTTATAGTTGGCCAAACCAAACATTCAAAAAGTATACTTTCAATTTTACTGCCAAATATTATTCTAGAGTAGTAAAGAATGATAAAAGTAAATAGTTTGCCATTTTACTTATTGTGAAATAGAAGTTTAAGTACTTTAAGATAACTAGAAAAAAACAAATCGAAGAGGAGATTCAAGTTCATGTTGGAGGCGGAATATGCTTGTTATTTTTTTGTAACAAAACTCCTTAGCTCGCACCTCCTGTCCAAACACTTAAAAATTGGAATTTACAATACCATTATCTGACTTATTTTTTTTATGATGTAGAGATAGTTGACCGTGATATAATATGAGAAGGAGTTGGTCGGGGCGGTGCGGTCAAATAAATACTAAATTTTTAAAAAATAGTACTTTTAATTGTTATGCCGACGTTTTAACCCACCTTGTAGGTCTTCATCAGAGCATGCCATGTGGCACTGCAGGACGCACATGCCACATGTCTGCAGTGCCACATGCCATGCTCTGATGAAGACTTGCAAGGTGGGTCGAAACGTCGGCTTAATAATTAAAAATACAATTTTTTAAAAATTTAGTATTTATTTGACCGCATCCCCCGACCAACTCCTTCTCATATTTTCTTTATGGTTGCAAAACATGGTCGCTTAGATTAAGAGATGAGCAAGGTCCTAAATTTTTTAAAAATAAAGTATTAAGCAGAATATTCAGATCGAAGAAGGATGAGCGGAGAATTCATATGTTTACTATATGTATCCGGTTAAGATAATTGAGGTAATTCATTTTGGTAAATAAAATGGATCTATAAAATTGTTGGGTTTAATACCAAGGAGCCCTTTAGGGTTAATTTTCCCTTTACTGATGGTAGACACAAATGAAGGTGAGAAAATTGCATTAAGGTTGATCTGATGGAGTTGGTTGGGTTTGGATGAAAGCCAGTGGAAGGAGGTGTGGGGACAGCTCGGTTTGTAGATAAATATAAGGAATAAAAAATCCTTGTCATCAATATTAAATATAATTGTCATAAACTACAAGAAAAATTAATCATTATTGTTATCCAAATTTCATAATCCTAATTCTAAAAAATCTAAAACGTTTGAGTTCTGGGAATTTATTTAATTGAGATGAAATCCAATTTTATTATTTTTTTTACCTTTACATAATACCTTTGAAACCATGAGACTATATTGTGTTTTTTTTGTATAAAAAGGATGGTTAAATTATTTAATTCAAGTAACTATTTTAAATATACTAAAACCATATCAATTCTAATCAGTCTAATTAAGCATGAAAGCTTTTGTTTTTACAGGGGAGCGGAAGGAGGGAGGCAGGTCTCGAAAAAAAAATTTTTTGCTAATCCAAGTAATTTAGGAACTAAAATTGCAGTTCATGTGTAACTGAAAAAAATTACCTTTTTCATGATCTATTTTTAAAAGATTTTCTGATATATATATATATATATATATATATATATATATATATTTTTTTTTTTTTTTTTTTTTTTTTGAGTTTATATTATAAATGAAACTATTTGCTTAAGTTACTTTTCCTGTTCACGCTATAATGAAAAATATTATCTATGCGTTTTGGTTTGGCCACTGTGCATTAGTTAAGAATCTGACAAGCATGTGGTTATAGTTGTTATATCTCCTGGTTGTGTAAACGAAGAGAGTACTTGTACCTCCTCCAAAGTTCAATGTTTTGACGATCAGAAACGTTGCGATGGACGTGTCGATTGCCCGGATGGATCTGATGAGTTTTGTAAGTTACTTCAATTTTTTTTCTTTTTCTTTTAGCCTAATATAAACAATGTTAGTATTAGATCAGTTGATTAGCGCTGGTGTATGGTTAATACTGATATCACTATATTATAAATTAGCAGTGTGTGTGGAATGTTTAACAATGCCTCATAATTAAATTAACTAATCTTTAACTTAGTATTTTTGTTTATTGTTTTTATTTGCTGGCAAGTTGCAGAATTAACTAAAAATTAACTAGAAAATAAAAATTATCATATGAATAAATAAAGAGTATTTTTGTTTATTGTTTTTATTTGCTGGCAAGTTGCAGAATTAACTAAAAATTAACTAGAAAATAAAAATTATCATATGAATAAATAAAGCAAGCGTTAAATCATTTATTTATTCCCACCAAATGAAATTTAAAGAATCCTTAAATTATATTTTTTTAAAATAATATAATTACTTAGAGAAAATTAATCTATTTGATAATTTTAAAGTATAACTTGCATCATCTTTAAAATATTTACTTTAGCTGAATGTCTTTTATTTTTGTTGTATAAAACTCAATTACAAATTATCAACTCTTATCGGAATAAGAAAATAATCACTCTGACCATTATATATATATATATATATATATATATATATGTGTATATTCTTTTCTTTTTTTTTAATTTAATGAAAGAAAAATTATCCTGTTATCTGGATTGATCGCCAGTAAAGTGGAATTTATTTAGAACTAGAATTTTGTTTTATTAATTTTATGTAACAATTGTGTTATATGGTTTGAAATATTTTAATATATATTAAATGTTAATTTTATCGATGGAAGTAGAGTTAAATAGTTAAATAGTTGTTATGAATTACAATATCCCAATTTATTATAATCCAAAATAAGTCTATTTTTTAGATAGATAGATAGATAGATTTTTTTTTTCAGGATTTAAGCAAATGCTTTTTTATTCAATTTTTATATTTGTTATATACAGTTTTGATAAACTTGGATATTTTCAAAATTTAATATGTTTTGGTTTATATAAACATCCTGGAAATCATAAAGTAACAAAATTTCTCTTTAAGTGTTTTTCTGCTTGAGTTGACTGCCACTTTCACTGCTAGATCTAGTCAGCTGTTGGTTTTCAGTGTGAATCTTCCACATTTGTTTATGGTAGAGACCAATTCTCTTCCTTATAGGTAGCCTCTTTGATCCCTCATTATATGAAATTGCAAAAGAAGTTTGATATAGATCTGAATAAAATTATTTTACAAACTTATATTCTCAGGTTTGTAGTTTCAAAAAGTAAGTAGGAATGCCAAAATACAACTGTATTTAAAAAAAAATAAAAAAGCTGTTCCATAGTTGAAAAAGTTAAGCTTGTGGAGTAATTTTTTCCTCATTTTGATTTTAAAAATTAAAAAAACATTTATTAATAATTTAAGCATGGAAATTCAAAAGGGTCTTCAACAAAACCGAAATCATTTACAATACTTTAATTTATTTAAGTTTCAAACTTGAATTCTAAAAATTGTTGTTTCAGTAAAAGGTTTTACTAAGGCTTCAGTAAAAATTTTACTTAAATAAGATTATGTTAATAAAGGTTTGAAAACAAAAATTATCTGTCATTTAGGCCAGCAGAAACTCTGATGGGCTTTTGATAGTATATGAATGAGAAACCTTACATTGCCAGTTAATAACTGAAGAAGAAAGTATTCGCAATGCCATAACAATAACATTAAATCTGTGAGGTCATGATGGCTAAATATATTAAAGCATAAATTTTAACATTCTCAAGTCTAATTACTCCAGTTGGAATCCAGCCCAAGAGAGTTGAAATTTAATTTGTGGCAGACCCACACAATGAATCTTGACCTTTCCACTGTGATTAAAATAGGTTTGGTAGATGGTATTACAAAAAAAACTTTAAATATATGGTCTTTCATTAAAATTTCAATTTCTCTCTAGATCCTGCTCACATTTATGTATCAAAGTTTTTTGAAGCTCATAGTTATTGAAAGTTATGACACAAGAAATAAATAAAATTATCTTTATTAGTGATCAATTTTTATTTATTTGACTTAAATTATATTATTTTTTTCATGTCAGGTTTAACTTTTTCAATTTATAATGGTTCTGAATGAATTTTTTTTAGGTTTTGTTGGTTTTTAATATTGTAAAGACTATAATTTTTTGTTATCAAAAAAACATGTTTTAGGTTGTCAAAGTGATCAGTTCATGTGCGGTGATGGTTATACATGCATCAACAGAAATCAAGTATGTGATCGTCGCACTAACTGTCCAGATGGAAGAGACGAGGAGAATTGTCCAGGTAAGAATCTTAGAAGAGGTAAATGTCATTTCCGTGGCTCTAAATTAATTATTAATGTTTATTTGTCAATTATGTTTAATTTTTGTGATTTTGTATTAACTACGTACTTAAAAACATTTAGATTTATTGATTGTGCTTGTCGTAGTGGTCTGTAAGTACAATTTACACCATTTTAACTACATCCAATAATTAGATTAGCTCTTATTTGCTTGGGTAATTATTCAGCTTTTCTTAGTAACCAGATATAAAAGTATATATATTACCTTCCCTTCATTTACTGATAAACTTTATTAATTTTTTTTTTCATAAATCAAAATATTTTTTATTATTTATTAGACAAGTAAATATTGTTGATTTTTCAGATGGAAACTAACCGTCTAAATAATGCTTATTAATCACTTACTCATTTATTTATTTACATGCATATTCATTTATATCAAAGAGCTTTAATAGAATATTTGAATTTGTAATTTTTATATAGAAAAATGTGGATGTAAAAAATTAGACATACTTTCTTTACAAATATTTATTCTTTATAAAGAATGTAGTAGCAAAATAAGATCTTCCTCATCATATATTTTTATGATTTGGCTTTTTGGAGTCGTAATGCCATTTTAAAAAATTTCTTTATATCATAAGTTTATTTGTTGTTGTTTTTTAGTACACATTTTGAGTTAAAGACAAATCTCTACAATGTAATTTTATTATTTATTTCAGGAGGTGACATTAAAAAAAAAAAAAGTTTAATTGTGTTATTGAGCAAGTTTTGAAAATGAGGATACAACCCGGAAATGTCAACTAATAAAAATTGATATGAAAGATCTTATTTTGTTAGTTACAAAGATAACATCTTTTTAGACTTCCAGAAAAAATCAAGAAGAAAAAAATAAATATTTACTTTATTTATAAAAATAAATCATTGGCGGTTCAAAATATTTTCTCAATAGGCTTTTCAAAATTAAATGACTTTTAAGATTTTTAATCTCCCATTTTTCATTAACTTGAAGATATTAACTATTTATTATTAAATATTTAATATAAAAAACTTCTTTTTGCAATAATACTGATTAGGAGTCTTATCTATGAACAAATTTTATTTTAAATTTGTCAGACAGAATCTGAGACTAAATAAATTTGAAAATTAATCAAATTTTTCCTACTACTTGAAAACGTTGTATACAAGAATTTTAATCATTATAAAAAATAATAATTTAAATTTTTCTAAATATGTTTACAGTGTTGTTCAATACATATTTTCTTTGTTAATCTGTTCAAGTTCCTGATATTTTGTTAATTTTTCAACAGATTCGATGCATTTTCTCTTAACGGTTTGTAATTTCAAGTTAGTATTGTATCATTCACTGTATGCCGTATTCTGAATGTAATTCTAAGCAAAAGGCACAAAGTGAGACATAAGAAGCTCTGGTCGAGCACATTCAATCTCAGATATCCATCCAAACTTTGAGCAGTTTTTTTTTCTCTTTTTTTTAAATCTATTTCCATTTATTTTTCACTCTATATATGTTCTTTTATGTATTAAAAATATATATATAAAATTGGATTTTAGTCAAGCCAAAATTTATTTTATCAATTAAAAATTTTATGAAGTATTGTAAATTATCAAAATGCTAAATTATTTGAACTGATTACGTGGAAAAAAAAGGTAAATTAAATTTTTCAGAATTAGTCTATTTTTCATTGATTTGTCTGAAATTGTTTACTGAAATCGCTAAATGACTAGAATGGATTTGTTTTTTAAATTTTAAAGAGCATGTTAATTAAGTGGATCTGGTTTTGTTTATTTTGCTGTAATGTAATCAAATCTTTATTCTTTTAAATTAAAACAATTATTGAATAAATAAACCACGTGCTTTTATTAATGATAGTTTTTCATGAATTCTATTTTGGATTTATTTCCAATTTGCAATTATTAGCTCCTAAAATTACACTGAGTAAGAACCAAGGAGGTCCAATAGGAGGCTAGAGGGATGCCACACCAGAGGCATGTTAAACAAATACATTTGATACAAATTTTTAGTTTCAGGACACCTTCTTCTTCTTAGGGTAATAACAATCCCTCACAGTCCCTCATCTAACCAAGGGACCTTATAATATCTATTTTTGTTAAAAACATTAGTAAATTTTTACGTAAAGGTGCTGTTGAGGTTATAATGGCAATGGCCTAGAGTATAAAGGCCTCGAGTCCAGGGGTGGGATGGCCGAGTGGGCTAACATGCCTTGTTCAAAGCAACCTGTGATAAACTGAAGTTTACAAGTTCTATTCTAGGTTCGGGGGCTTTTAACTCTGCCGTAATTCCTCGACCTGTCCTCTGAACTGGGAAAAAACCCATATAGCACATGGATTAATGCTAAATGCTGCCAAAACTCAATCCATTGTCATTAGTTCCAACATTCCTGTCCTGTACCTAAATGAACATCCCATCATCTTTAGCTCCTCATCAGTTAAAACTTATGTATTTTCATTGACTAAACACTCTCCTGGAATACCATATTGCCCACATCTCCCAATGATCAATTGGTACCCTGAAACTATTCCATCGCTTCCACCATCTCCTCCCCTTGTCCATATATCGTACCCTTGTTATCTTTCCTCACCTTGACTATAGCGGTGTGGTGTATAGTGGAACTCGGAGACAGACTGAAAAGAATTATGAATGACTTCATAAGATTTATCAATGGTGCCCAGTGATGTTTCCGTGCATGCGGTATTGGCTGTAAGACAGAAACTTTTACAGTTTGATTGGGACTTTGTTCCCCATCCTCTGCACTGCCCAGACCTTTCTCCATCCAAATATTACTTATTTCTTTCATTAAACATTAAACATCATAAAACTTCATTCTTTCATTCCGTGATAAATGTTGCAAACAAAAATTAAAAATGTATCCATCTCAATGAATATTTTGCTAGTAAGTCCCAACAATTTTGGAAAAGAGCTACAAGAGGTTTTCTAATGGATGGAAGAAGATAATAGAGCAGAATCGTTCATATATAACACAGTAAATCAACATTAAACAACACATAAAGAAAATGGAAAGAACTTATGCGACAACCCAATTCTAGAAACATCCTCTTGAAAAAAACTTTAATAAAATGTGCTTGTAGTCCAATACAAACATGAAGAGTACAGGATTGAAGAAATGCATTTTTATTTGCACTCTTAAAGCAAGGAAAATATATTTTAGCCTTAAACTCTTAAACTTTTTTTTTTTTTGTGAAATAATTGTTTCTTGTAGCTGTTTAGTTTTTGCTTCTACCACTACATAAAGTCAGGGAAGTATTTTCACACATCAAGAATTAGTTTTTGAGATTGAATCAAATTTTTACATTAAGTTTAAGTGCTTAAATTTGTATTTATTTTAGCAAAATTACTGTTTTTAATGATTCTCAAACAATTTTTGTTAACTCAAGTAAAAATCTTGCCACCACAACTTTCCTTTTCCCTTTTATTTAGTGATTGCTTTATTTATTGTCTATAATTTTATCAACTTTTGCTTTATTCATTTTCTTTTTCATTACAAAAAACATATATCCTATCAGAAACAATTTATTTAATTACCAATTACCACAATAAACGAGTATATTACCCTGTTTGGAATATTAGGAATTTGCAACGAATTGCAATTCACATGCAGAAATGGGGACTGTATTCCAAGAGAAGGTCGGTGCAATAAACTTTCCGAATGTACTGATTCCAGTGATGAAGAAGGCTGTGATGGTAACTTCACTTTTATATTAGATTTTTATTATTTTGTTTAAAACTTAATTCTAGTATTTAATTCAGTAAAATGATTGAAGTTCATTTTTTATTCCATCTAGGGGTCAGATAAATATCAAGAAGCTTATATATAAATCATGAAATTTCTGTTCATTAGATGCCAATGAAAATATATTAATTATATTTTTAAAGGACCTAAACAGATTATTGTTCAAATTTTATACACGCATGTTTCTCTGTTTATGTTACTAACCCATTTCAAAATACATTTTTTTTTAAAAATACAAACAAATTTCTAGTGAGATTGGCAAAAAACTTCCTTAGTAACATATATTCATTTTATTTGTCACATATTATTGCATTGTTGACGTTTCGGGAATATCTTTCCCATCATTAGAACTGTCTTTTCTTTTCTATTTTGTAGGTTTACCTTTTGTAAATAACATTGTTTTTCTTTATTTTTTTCAATTTAACATCATCTGGGGCAACATATATCTTGGCCAAAAATTTGTACATTTATTAAGAAATTAAATTACCTTTGTAATAATATGTGACAAATAAAGTAAATATATATCACTAAGCAAGTATTTTTTTTTTTTTTTTTTTTTGCCATTCTCACTGAAATTAACATAAAACTTACCGAAAAAAGTGGTAAACAAAAAAAAATTGTTTTCTAAGTCGAACGTATAAAGTAAATGAAGTTTTTTCTGATAAAAATGTACACTATTATGTATCATAATCAGATAAAAACACTGTTTCATTCAAACTTTGTCGCTCCTAAATAATTGCTGCCTCAGGCAAGTATTTAAGCCTGTCTGCCTATGTACAAGTCTATTCACAAATATATTACTAAAAAATGTGAAATATTTAAGTAAAAAATGCTGAAAGTCGGCGGAGGGGAAAAAATATTTAAGAAAAAATTACAAAACTTAATTTAACATTTAACATGTAATAATTTAATGGAAGTAATAAGTACTGAAATAACATCCCATTCCCACCGATATTAGTGAACCCATTTGGATGTTGATGTTTTTTTGGTTGTGAGATTGATTTGATTTTCTGTATTTTATCAGAGTAAATCACAAATTTCTCAATATGGAATGTGATTAATTCTAGTAGTAAAAAGAAAATTGTTTGGAGAAAAGATTATAGACATTTGTGGAAAATCTAATTACGAGTTCTGGCACAGGCATGTGGCATGCTTTACCACCCCAGAATTCACCTTATTGCTTGTTAATACGTTTTAATACTTTCAATATAAGAATATAATTTCTGTTATTTCTCAATTTTTTTTTTAATTTTCAATATTAATTTTCTTTGTTGACTTAATACAGACAAAAATCTGTAATTTCTCTTCCCAATAAGTAATCCTTAAAATATATATATTTAATTTATATTTAAAATGTATAAGTTGTTAAATAAACTGTTGGAGAAGGATGTATAAGGCTTAGAAAAAAATATATAAATCCGGTCCCTAATTTAAAAAAAAAAAATTTCTATTAATGATTTTTTTTCAATAAAAAACATTAGAAAAGTGCTAATAAAAAGTTTGTGAATATTTTAAATTAGCGCATTGTAAATAAAAATCTTCATAACTGATTTCATGCTGTAAGCACTCTGTAATATAATATAAAAACCATTTCTGAGTTTCTGAGGGACACATATATTGTAATTAATAAGTAGTCATTAACTTGTTCACATAATATTTTGTCCCAGTACACAGAACAAATTTTAGATTTCCATGGTGGGATTAGTAAAAAATGTGTTTATAAATCATGAATATTGAGTATTGGTAAATTTAACAATATTATTTTCCTGACATAATAAAGGTAATCTTCTTTTAAATTATTTTACTATTGTGATTGTCATATTTTATTAACTTTTTGTTAATTCAGTATAAAGTCTACTTTGAGGGATTGTAATGTTAGAGCCTATATGTCATTGTCCATTAGATATTATTTGTAGCCAGTAATTAATGCTTATAGATAAAGTGACCCAGTTAGTAGTTTGTAGTATGTAAAGTTGTAAATAGAGTAACTTTGTGAATAATGCTTATAAAAAGGCTTAGTCTTTAAATTAATGCCTAAAACAACTCTTAACCCACATAGCATTAAGTAATTAATATTAAAATTAGAAGCACTAGTCTTAATCATGATTATATGGTGGAAAGTTGCTTATATTAGACCATATCTAACATTTATTCTAGTTTCAGCCGTATAATAATAGTGACAAAGCGATTGGCTGAGATTTTTAGAAACCAGTTTTTCATTTGCAACACTGGTAGGAGGTCAGTTAAAAATATTAAATACTTACTTAACAACTCATACTTAAAACGTTTTTAAGAAGAAAAAATAGATTTACATAAACTGAATCAAATCATAACCAAAATAAAAATATTTTTCTATTATAAGAAAATAATTAACAAGCAAATTTACATAAATTGTTTTGTTTCAATGTCAATCAGTGACAGATTACTTACTTTCAATAACTGGGATTGTTACTAAAACTTTATTTATTCATAAAAAGTGTTTCCATATAAAATGTCAATAACAAAGAAGGGATTTAAAAAGTTGTTATTTGTCATAATAGGGAAAATATAGAAGCTCTTTATTTTATTCTATTTTATCACAGAATAAATTTCAAACCTTTTGTTTTCATTTTTATCTCCCAAGACTTGGTAAAGGCTTACCAAGAACATGCATTATTAAACCTCCATTATCAGTTCTCGAATGATTTAATAAAGAATATTTACATTTTGAAAAGTATAAAAACTATGACTGTCAAAACTACACTTGAATTAAACAAAAAAACATAATGATCTCAAACAAACAAGTGACATAGCGATCCTGCCATGTCATATTCTTGGGATGGTTATAATCTCACATAATGATAGCGGAATATCTTGCTCTTACTTCTCTCCTCATGAATGGCCTTAAATAGGCAACTTACCACAATATAGTAACCTATGTACCTTAACTACAAAGTGTAGACAATTTTTTAAGTATGATGATGTTTTATTTTTCTTGAAGAAAAATAACTTGTTTTTCACTACTGGAAAAAAAAAATGCCAATTTTCATCTTTTTCCTTATTATTATTAGGAACTTGATTAAGTTTTTTTTTTTTTTTTTTTTGTGGAATTTAAAATATACTTGCTGTTTTTTTAAGTGAAATCGTCATTATTCCCAAATATTGCCCATCCATTATTTTATCCAAACTTTCTGGTAGTATATGAATTATATATCGTTAAAAAGGACATGCCTTTTAAGCATTTCCTAGTAGGCCAAGCATTGTCTTGTAATAAAATCACCTTGTCGTGTTTCTGCTCGTATAGTCTATAGTGGTCTCCTGGTGATTGTTTCATTCAGATTGAGCTCAATTACACCATAAATTATACTTCATATATTTATACATAATAAATTACACCATGATGATCCCACCTAATGCAAAAAAGCTTCAAACCATGGATATTTGGCTGGTTTTACTCCACGGTTTTTTAAGCTTAGGATTATCGTACTGTATCCATTTTTCATTGCCAGTCACGATATAATGCAAAAAACTCATACAGCACCCAATGTCCTTGCTTCTGGATCATTCCTAATGCTTTCAAAGGTAAGACTGTATTTCTTGGAATACTGTGTTACCATTTTTCTTTTTTTTTTTCTTTTATTTCTTTTTATTGTATTACCCCTATCAACCATTTCCAGCATATAGGGGGTTAGAGGGAGGGTTGTTCTAGGGGTACAACCAAACCTATTCTAACCAGAATGGGAAGATCCAGTTCCATAGAATACTAGAACCTAAAATGGGCAACACTCCAACACTCTCGTCCATCACAACCTGTACATATTACTGATTCTGCCACCTGTTAGAAAACAGCAAGAATTTAATCAAGGCCCTAATATGTTAGACACATTTTTGGATATAACAATGGAAACCTCATTCTTTTTGTAACCCTAGAAGTGAATTAAATTTGAATGCGAAATTTGTACCAAGTACATTCGATACTTTAGCTCTTTTTATTGTTATATTTTTCACATTTTTTATTTCTAAGATTTACTTATCCATATTTTATCTCTTCTTCACATATTTGTGGTTCTTTTTAGGTTTTTCTCCTATTGATTTTTTTTTTTTTTTTTTTTATTTGATACCTTTTTCGTCAAATTCACTTTTAAGCTTTGACCTGTTGTAGCTGACAACACTGTGGAGGTACTGAATGAATGGGTTTTCAAAAAATACAGCTGTGTTTAATTAGAAAATCGATTAACAACATAGTTCAGACAAAAAAAAAAATTGTTACTTCCACTTACTTATATATGCAATATATAGATATAAGTATAGCGATCGCGAAAATATTCGAGTCTGAGTTTTCAACAGAAATACCTGTTTTGAGGTCTTTTGAGTCCAACTACCAAGTCCCACAAAATGGTCTGTGTGTGTGTGTGTGTGTGTGTATTATCAGTCTAGCTCAAAAACAAAAAGTCATATGAAAGTTAAATTGCATATTTAAGGTTTTTATAAGCTTTCAATGTTATAGCAACATTTTTGTCAAAATCGGCAAACCGGAAGTGGTACTTTATATAATCGATTTAATAAATTTTTCTCAAAAACGGCTTTAACAATTTTAATTAAACTCAGTATGTCAGTGTATTATTAAGCAGTTTTTAATATAATGTAGGTTTTATTGATGTTCTCTATCACAGCATAAATGACTAATTTTCAATATTGGCTTCCTCTAAGGTATCTTTGTTTTTTTTTTATTTGAAATAATTAACCATTTCACATTAATCTTTGATATGAAAAACAGTTAAATTTAAAATATGAAAGAATTTGATAATTAACTAAAGGAGATATAAGAGATCGTAACGGAGAATAGTTGCAATAGAGGAATCAAAGGAATACGAACTTGCCTGAGTTCACCCAAAAGATTACAACAGGCTTCCATACGTAACATGAGCTTCATATAATACGGACTCCGACAATATTATGTTCATATACACATGCGGTTTTCATAAATGCTATCGTTGGTATTATTTAATATTTAATTATATAGAATACAGCAATATAAAAATTAAAATTTGTATTTATAAGGGTATTTAAACAAATAAAAATATTCACAATGATTTTTAAATAAAGATAAGTGAAAGTCGTGTGATGCGCACACCAGATTTTGTTTTTAATCAGTTGTCAATGCTGCTATTTTTTTTATTTTTTTTTTATTAATCACACCTCATTCAGTAGTTCTACAGTGTTGCTTGCTACAACAGGGCAAAACTTTAACTTTAATTTGAATCAAAATATTGATAAAAACACAACTTTTCAGGAGAGGGAAAAACTAAAATAAACTACTATATATAATGAACATTAAAAATTTCTTATTCAAATTTAAATAACTTTAAGTATTTAAAAATGCATGGGGTTTATACTTTTCAATTCTGAAATGAATCTAAAATAATACAATTGTCATTTTTTTTTTCCTTTGTAATGCCCTTATTGAAATAAATACTTTCTGTTACCTCAAATTACTTAATGCACAGAACCAGAGTCTCAAAGCTCTTAATGGTGGTTTAAAATAACATATTTTAATGGATTTCAAATTGTCAGCAGTTAAATCTCTTTTCTGTCTTCTTTATATGATGAATACTTTAAACTGCTTGTCAATGTTGCTTACAAAGAGATTCTGGTTTTGATATGGGTTTTGTTAGTAATAGCTTCTATTAGGAACTATTAATTTGAGTTCAATACTGTTAAGCTTATGAGCTATTGCTACTGCATTTGACCCAGATTTTAATTTATTTATTTATTTATTTAAAATAATGTTAACTTATTGTAATGGCTATCTTATTTAGAATCCTAGTATATGTGTTGCTTAATATGTCTGTATCGCTGGCAGATATTCAATGTATCAGTAATGAGTTCCGCTGCGACAATGGTGCCTGTATCTCTAAAGATTATGTCTGCGATGACATTCCAGACTGCACTGATGGAAGTGATGAAAGAAACTGCCAAAAACGTATGAACAAATTTTCATTTTATTTTTTTATTTATTCTTAATATTTAATACCTTCAATTAATTTATTTAATTTTATAGCACACCATGCATATTTTTGTGGATAATTTTAAGTTTTTTATTCTCTTTGACCCAGAAGTATGATTCCAGCTCTCCCATTTAGTATCCATGGGTTAAGGCAATGTGTCCAATCTTAATGATATAATGTAATTTCTTCGTTTAACTTTTCTTTTAGGTAGTTTCTCAGGGCTGAAAGATTTCTTTTTAGTTTGCTAAACTGTAAATGATGAGTAACTAGGCTTAGCATGTTATGCGTTTTCCTAAGACAGTTGATGATTTTTAATTCTGATTTAATATTGTGAGATAACAGATCAGTTATTACTCTCAATGAACTTTATGAATCCATACGTATGAGGGAAAGGAAAGTATCTATCTTTATTATTATTATTATCTGCCCTTATTCTCAAGTAGATGTGATACGCATTGATGGTGTAATTACTTGTATTTCTTCCTACAGATCCATCACCTTCAACTCTTTATTTAAAGTTGTTGTCAATTTTATAAAGGTTGTGATTAAGGGAATAAATGATATCAGATACTTACCCCAATTTTTTGTGTAATCTTGTCCCACGCATCATCCAGAAGTGTGACACTTATGAAGACCTTGTACATCATTTTTTTTTTTTTTTTTTATTATTACAAATCTGATTTTTCCCAAATTATTGATTATTTTTATTTTAGGAAATTGTGGTCTGGGATTCTATTTTAATTATTTGATCTAATATAAAACAGATATCTGCACTGTATTTTTGGAATTTTTTTTAGTAGAATTTTGACCACTCATTAGCAGTGTCGTTTGTTTTAACATCTTTTTTGTGTTTTCATTCATAATGTGGTACAAATATTCTTATTAATTATTCTGGTTTTTTTTTTAAGTGATTGAAGTAGTCTTTATGCCCACAAACTCTCCAACATTTTTTTCTGTTTTTGTTACATTTTTTATTTGATAATTTATCTATTTATTCTTTTTTTTTTATTCTTCTATTTCTTTTTTTTTTCACTGAGTCATAAATGTTTTGAGTTTTCTAGTAGTTAGTTTTGTATTTGAGCAGGTACTTGTGAGAGTACGGACTTCATATGCCTCAGTGATGGTAAATGCATAAGTTCGTCAAATTTATGCGATGGCAGAGTGGATTGTAAAGATGGAAGTGATGAAGATGTTGGACGTTGTCGTAAGTATATCCCAATTATCTAAGGTGTATACTCAGTTCAAGTAACAGGTACTACCATTATCTGAATTTATCTTAATAATTTAAAACATAAGAGTTAAATTAAATATCTAAATCTTTAGCATATACTATTTATTATTATATTTAGGAATGTAAAACACTTTTCACCACAATTCATACGGATCTTTTGAGAGATAACTTCCCTGTCATCTTAAGATCCCATGGTAGTCATATGCTTTTTATAAAGCACATCTAGTCCAAAGAATATATCTAGAACTATCTTTTGGTTTTATTATTGCCTTTTTTAAATATTTCAGGTTGATTATTTCCCTACTTTCATAATCTTGTGACGATATTTCAGCAGTCATTGATCTATGAGGATACCCTTTATTGTTCACAACTTATCCTTTGTCATGTATATGTAAAATCAAACCTTTATTTGAATTGTTTCATGCCAGGGTTTTTGAAACATGTTCTTTCTTCTTTGTGTTCCAGGAATCAACTGATCTATCACTGTACCAAACCAGAACCCCATTTTCAAATTCGGGTCATCTTCCTTTCCCTCTTGCCTGGGGTAATTGCTTGGAAATTCTTTTCAAAGTCAAATTTCCTGATCAAGAAATCAGATATTGAGATGATCCATTCTCTTTTCCTAAGCTCATTAACACGTTTACTTAAGTATTAAATTTTTATGGGGAGAAAAAATTGGTTCTATGTATGACTTGAACATTCACATCACCTGCCATGTAATAGAGCTTGGTGTATTAGAGTTATGCAAATAAGCAAGGCGACCTACCCTCTTTAGGTTGACCGGGCACTGAAAGTAGCTGAGTCAGCTTCCAAAACTGAATCAAAGATTTTTAATGACAGGCCGGCCACCAGATGGGGAGCAGAGCTGAGCGCAATTGAGCGGCGTAGCAAGGGTCAGTTCAGCTTAGCTTTGGCTCGACTGAGGTTCAGTTTTGGTAGCTTACTCCGCTAGGCTCAGCTTCCCCCCCCCTCCCCACACCTACTTACAACTGTGTGGTCCTTTTTTCCGCTTGTTTTCACTGCACAACCTCTCAAATTATTTTATTTTGGTTCAGTGTAAAATATGTAATGGATATGGAAGAATTCTTAATCGAATGTTAATTAAATAAATCTAAATGAACATCACATCTGAATTGTCAGGTCTTTAATGATGAAAATAAACAATAAATAAGGTAAACATCGCAGTGTGTAAGTCACCCAACACCACATGGTTTATCTAGTAGCCCCTTGATATGGATGGGGATGTGGATGATGTGTACATACACGCCATCTGCACTGAACAATTAAGGATTTTTAAATTTCATTAATAATTCCCTGGTTTATAATTCTAGGCACACTGTAGTCTGAATGCTCTTGTTAATCTCTCTTTTTCTATCCGAATATGTAAGGGGGTGTGTTAACATTACTCTCACAATGTCCTAATTTCCCCTTTTGTGCCAAGGCATGTGATCCTTTAAACTCTCTCAAACCTTATTTGTATAGTTCTTTTCATTGTTAGACACCTGGTGAATGATGGATAGGTTGCATAGGTTGAACGAACAATGAATGGTGCAGGAAAGCTGCTAGAATATCATCAGTTTGACTGTTCACCTACAGTCATTACATTCAAAGCATGTACTGTTCTTCATTAGATGGGGAGATGTTTATTGCTTCACAGTTGGTTCTCTCAATGGAAACCAGTATATCTCTCAGTTATTGAGGATGACCGATAGTTGATTGTCACTATCAATTATTTTACTTGTAGTTTAAGGTTTATATCTATACAAAATTTATTAAAACCATGAAAACTTATTTGAAAACTATTTAAATATGTAGTTATCAATGTTATAGAGAATGAGATGTAGTAAAAATGCAATTTATGTTACAAGCTTTGCTTCGTAAGGCCCAGATATCTTAATGTAATTAGTATTTACTGTCTGTTATGATAATGTAGCTAATATTGTATATGTACCAGCTTAGTAATGCTATTAGTAATGTTGATACTTATTAGTAGTTATGGTGTAAGAGTGATAATTGAATATTATTGCTATTCCCTTTTTTTTATTTATTTTTGGGCTTGTTAATTTTGTGATTAATAAACTTATCTGTTTCTAGGACCTTGCACTTCCTCTCAGTTTGAATGTAATAGTGGTCAATGCATTCCTTTGAGCCAGAGATGTGATGGTGTTCCAAACTGTAATGACCACAGCGATGAAACAAACAATGATTGTGGTAATTAAATGAAACTGTCACTCTATATATTAAATATTGTAATTAATGTTTTGAAATCAATACATGATTATGAATCAATGTATGAAAAAGTAATTTTATTCTGGAACTAAAGTCTCATAAGAATAATGACAGAAACTATGACTTCATTAGAAAGTTTAGAAATTATTTTTCTAGTCCCATCCTTCGGGTTTGGTGCCATTTTCTCATAATCTAACATATGTCTATTATAGGCCATAGGTCACAAAAAAAAAAAACCACAGTTTTTTTATATATTACATGTATGTTTATTCCAACGTTTCGGCTTCAGGAGCCATTTTCAAGAACCTGCAAACTAAATTTTAATTTACTTTTTAACATTGAAGTATAGCCTCAGACAATAAACTTGTATCATTCACCTACCATGCACCGCGCCATAAAATTTTTAAAATTTGTCATTACGATATGACTCGTCCTAATTCATTCTTTTATTTCAAAGAATGTCGTTTTGCGTTTCTAAAAATTATAATATATAATTATAAATTAAAAATAGACTGCTATAATTAATTTAAAATTTTTAATTTTCATTTTATATACCTCTATTTGCAGACGGTATCAAGAAACAATAGTGAATTTGAAGAACAATACTTTCTTGATACCGTCTGCAAATAGAGGTATATAAAATGAAAATTAAAAATTTTAAATTAATTATAGCAGTCTATTTTTAATTTATAATTATATATTATAATTTTTAGAAACGCAAAACGACATTCTTTGAAATAAAAGAATGAATTAGGACGAGTCATATCGTAATGACAAATTTTAAAAATTTTATGGCGCGGTGCATGGTAGGTGAATGATACAAGTTTATTGTCTGAGGCTATACTTCAATGTTAAAAAGTAAATTAAAATTTAGTTTGCAGGTTCTTGAAAATGGCTCCTGAAGCCGAAACGTTGGAATAAACATACATGTAATATATAAAAAAACTGTGTTTTTTTTTTTTTTGTGACCTATGGCCTATAATAGACATATGTTAGATTATTTAGAAATTATGTGTGTTAGTCTGACATGAAAAATTACTAACCGGTACTTGTTAATTAACTGTTATTAGAAACTGTAATTACAGAAACTAATAATCTTATATAGTTGCAGTAGTTTGAATATAAAGGGCGATAAATTGCAGGATTATTACGCCCGAATATGAAGTAGATGGCAGAATAGCAGTTGTTTAAGGATATTTGTGGGTGAGGATTGACCTATGGAGGTAGGGAAGGAATTCCAAAATAAGGTACCACAAATGATGAATGATTTTCTGAATTGATTTTATGGGAGAGAATAATAGACCAATAGGTTTAAAGTAGAGTAAGGACTTATAGGATGTAGGGAAGTTTTTTGGTTCTGAGTAGCTGCAAAAGGTAAACCACAAGGAGAAATTGCCAATTGGAAGTAAGATAAAGCCACTTCAATTTGGAAATATAAGAACGCTTGGGAATCCCAAAGATGAATCTTATGAAACAATTCATAAGTTTCTTCAATCTCATCTCCAGCCTTGCAGATATCCCTCCATGCACCATTCACCAAGCAACTTTTTTAATATTCTCTATATACCTAACAATAAAAAAAAGAAATTTGAATGACCTTATCTTGTGTAAGGAAGACCCCTTTTTTTGTGCTAATTTGACTGGGCTATTTTAGGCTATATGGGGTTTTCCCAGGCCAGAGGATGATGATTGGAGATTAATTAATGCCAGACTTGAAAGTCCTCTCCCTTCCTCCCGGCACTGGGACGAGAACTCCTAGTTATTTTATCATTTATAACTTTGTTTATCATGTTGCTGAGGTCGTGGTGGCCGAGTGTGTTGGAGCATTGCCCGGTCTAGCATCCTCGTACCTAGCGACACTGGTTCGAATCCATCCTGGGAGTGGTTGGCTCTGGTTAGAATAGGTTTGGTTGTACCTCTATAACAATTCCCCCGTATGCTAGAAATGGTTAGGGGGTAGGGGGTTATCCAATCAAAAAAAGGTTATCAGGTTGCTGAGTAGCACGTGGTGCAGTACTCACGCGAGCCAGCTAATAATGTTATAATCAAAAACATAGAGATTTATGATTGAACTAATAGATAGTTCGTAATATAAGATCTGTAAAATTAATGTTTTAGAATTGAATTACCTGCCTATTAAAAGCTTTTCAATTGATACATGGTTTAGTGATTTATATTTATAGAAATTATTCATGTTAAATTATTATTTTATTTATTTCCATGATACATTTTGGATCTGCTTAACCATATCAGTGAATTGCTACTGTATTTTTATTAATGGTGTTCATTTAAATATATTTGAGTGCATTATAAAAAGTATTTTGTATAATGCTCACCTGTATCATAAAAAGTTTTATTTTCCTAACATTAGTTTATCACTATTGAATATCAACTTTTCATTTTAATGAACTAAACATGTTTTATTACTTGCAGATGGTGGTCGACCATACGTTCCCGACCCGATTCGTTGCCGGGATGATGAATTCACATGTTTATCCAGGGACAAGTGCATACCATCTTATGAGCATTGTGATGGCAAATATGACTGCCCAGATCGATCTGATGAGGAAAATTGTGGTCAGTGATATAAAATTAATTGTTTACATAAACTTAGTTTTATTCCTCTCTGTGTATTAAAATGTAATTAAACATAATTTAATAAACTTAAAAAAATGGGAGACGTGTCTATCACAAGCACTGAATTAGTGATTTTTTATGGACATGATTATTTTCTGGTCAAAATCAGTTTCTAACCATTCTCAAATATCAGAATAAATTTTTTTTGTCTCCTTTTTCTTCTTCTCTTAATTCTTTGTCTCTTAATTCTAAATGTTTGGAATGATTTTCATGTAATACTTTACCATTAAAAAAACATCAATTGAAGGATTTCCAATTTTTATTTCTGTTTAAGTTATCATTAGATCTATGATTATCTTGGGTTGTAGATTTAAAATAGCTATTCCTAGGTAAGGAAAGTATTGCAATCGGGTCAAATTTCCGATATGCAGTTTTCGATGGATCTATATGTTTCAGAGCCTCCTGAGTCTGAAAAACACATTTTTAGCCCTTGGTCTGTCTGTCTGTCTGTCTGTGCCAAGATTTTCTCGGGAACTACTGAACCAATTTTGTTTCTTCTTTTTTTATTTTGTAGGGTTTTGACTACCAATGCCTGTGACAGAAATTCGGTGCTCCATGCGCAATAGCTTGCGCGCAATAAATGAACAAGTTTTTGTTCAGTAATATTAGAGAGCATTGAAATTTTTACACTGATCTATCTTAAGCCGGTTTACGTTGCTTTAATTTATCAAATAAATTGTACTCAAATCTTTTCTTTGATCAATTTTCAGAAATATTAATCTAGTTCAATTCTGTTTTTGTTTTTTCATGAACTTATGTAAAGATATAAAAACTTTCCTGAAATAGGTAGGAAAGTTGTGTGAGTGGACACACCAGATATTATACTTTTTTAAATAAAAAAGGTTATATAAAACCTTTTTTTTTTTTTTTTTAATTTACCCTAAAATAAACCTTTCTTGCAATTTTGCACTAAAATAGCTCTTTTTCTTTTTTTTTAAAGCTTTGCACAACAACCTTTTTACACCTGTTTTGCAATCTTTCTTAAAATCTACTCTAGGGCCTTCATTCAAAGTTTGATTCAATTGAAAATATTCATGAATTATCTATATTATGAATTAATTTCATGGGAGATAAATATCCAGGACGCAGTCATTATAAAGTTTTTATCGGTGCGGAAGTTTCAAGAGTACTCAGAGTACTTGAATACCTTCAGTGCTCGAACCACGCCCTGATGATGATCCACATGGTTGGGTTGAAACGTCAGCTCCAATATAAATTTTATAATGACTGCATCCTGAATATTTATCACCCATGATATGTAGAACAGTCGACTAACTTCCTTCAATAATGAATTAATTTTATATAACATTTATACTAATTATCTATATATACTATGAATATCCAGTTATATCAATTTAATTTAAACTTTAAAAAATAAAGAAAAATATTAGCAAAACCTTCATAATATCTGGATATTTTTATAGAAAAAAATAGTATGAAATTAATAATATATAAATTAAGAGTAATTTATAAAAAGTGGAAACACCTGCATTTTGGGTGTGAGGAAGTTATCGGTTTCATACTTTGATTCACCGAATAAATAAAAGATTTGTGTTTTATTTGATTCAATTTTTTAATTAAAAAATACATATGTTCTGGACTCGATCCCAACATTAATGGATAACACTGGACTTTATCCCTATGCCAGTTTTTATCTTTTATGAAAGTGGGGTGTGGTTGGTGTTTCTGTATATTTGTATATAATGCTGAAAGTGAGTTACTTACGAAAATATTTGTTTAAGATTTGGATTGTTGAATAAAAGATACTTTTAAAACATCTAGAAAAGAAAATGTATTCTTACATTTATTACAAAATGGCAATTCTATTGTTTAATATTAAAATATGATGGAATTTTTCATTTCCATAGAATTGATAATGAATAATTTACTTTTTCTTGACACTTCTCTATTCTGCTCTAAAATGAAGTACTTTGATGGCTTTTAACATATCTCAATGTTTTTTTTACTATTGTATTGTTAGTCACAAAATTATGCATTTTTCTGTTTCCATAAGCTCAACATAAATGTTTATTATCAAGTCAAATACATCCATACAAAAAGTTATTTGTAATTCAAAATCATTTTAAACATCAGTTGGTATACTTGTTTACTTTTGTTTCAGCGGGTTCCCCTCCACCAGAAGTGAAGATATACGAAGGGGATCAAATAATAAAAGAAAGTAAGTCATGTTATTAACAGTTAATTTTAGCAGTCCTATAACTGCAATTATTATTTGGTGATTTTTTAATCTAATAGCCCACTTTATAATGTTTAAATGCATCCTTTCAAGAGATTGTGAATGGTGAGTTACAGATGTCCTAAAGTCATTGTAGATCTCAAATATTTATTTATGTAATGTATTAAAATTATTTTATTTTGAAATTTTTATTCTCATGATTCTCAATTTTTTTATTTTAATTAAAGCACGTGAGGCTGTGTTCCGGTGTCGAGATGAAGGCCTTGGTCGATATAGAGTACGCTGGTTCCGTGAGCGAGGTCTTCCTCTTCCTCCTGGTAGCAGAGATTTATATGGCAGACTGGAAATACCTAATGTTCAAGTACTATTATAAGCATTTTTTTTTTAATATATATATAACTTTGTTGCTTATAATTTTATTCTCTAGCTTGTAAATTATATTGAACCATTTGAACGTATCTATGGTAACTTTTAGGATTCAAGTGTAAAATAATCATATTTTATTATTAAAATGTGTATGTGTGAAGTAATCACAGAGAAAGAATTGAGAAGAGCACACTAAACCAGATCATCATCATAAAACATGCTTGAACAACCATAGAAAGCAGCTCCGAATGTACCCACCTTATAATGTCTACTTCAAAACGGCATATGATGAATCCGTGGATAGAAACTACCTAGAGAAGATCATCATTGAGCTAGAAGATTGACAAAGACATTACAAATAAAACTAAATCCCAAGTCTTGATACAAGGAAAAGTATCTAAAGTCTTCGAAGTTTGAATTTGTTTGAGGCAAGGACATTTACTATAACCAAGGCTGTTCAACATAGCACTGGAAAAAGTGAAGGAAACAATTCAGAAAATTCTTGGATTTTCAGATATAGATGTGCTAAAATGCAATCAAGAGAACTTTGAGAAACTTAAGGCTGTGATAAAAGAATTGGCCTAAAAGTAAATGAAGATAAAACAAAATATGTATATAAATAAGCTGAAAATTATACCGTAAAACAGATCTGCGGATCTGCGTAGAAGTAAAACCATTTCCGAGAGTAGATCAATTCAAATACCTTAGCTCTACAATAACGTTAATAAATGACCAATGTTCAGAAATAGGCTAGTTCACAAAAAGAGCTGCATAAATATGGCAACTAAAGAAACTAACATAACTCTTATTTGGCATTCTAGGAGTTAAATATTTCCAAAAATCTTCAAGTTTGATAATATTCAACACCATCAAAATTAAAAGTTACTTTTTTTTTTAATATAATTTTTTTTTTCAGATAGAACATACTGGAACTTATTTCTGTGAAGCCATTGGTGTGGCTCCAAATACTCCAGGCGCTAGGCAATCTGTTCATCTTACTGTTGAACAATGTAAATATTCTTTGCCAAGTTTTTCCTAAGATCTTATAAGATAAGATAAGATATTGAACTATTATTTTTTATATATTTTGTCAAAATGCTCACTCACTCAAAAGATCTCACACAATGGAGATCTAGAGTCACCTTTTGAATTTCTTCCACTTCATTCAATTAAGAGTGATTTAGCACTTCCATCATAGGTTGTGATGATCAATAGTGTTAGAGAGGGTTGTCAAATTTATTTTGTGGTGAAACATGAGAATGAGTATCAACATTACGACTTTGGTGGGTTGTTTTCGTCAAGACTTTTCTCTGAATTTTTGAACCATTTTTTATTATTTTTCATCTTGCGATGTTAGCCGTTATTTTTTTAATTATACATTTTGGTATTGTTTGTCAAAACAAGTTTTCAGGATTTTTCAGTGCAGCATATTCTTAATTAGGCTATAATGCCTTAATCTTCCTGAATATGAACTCTTGACTACTTTAAATCTTAGTATATGGAACAGCTGATGATAAACTTAATTAAATGACAGTTTTGAACTTTTGATTGCCTTTTACTCAATATTGTAACCATTTTTAGTTTTAAACTGAAGGATCAACTGGATATAGGTGTTAAACATATTTTTGAAAACATCAAATGATTGTGATGGATCAGAGGGAAAGTGAAAAAGTTTGATATTTCTTCCTTCCATTCAAAATTTGGCTTAGTGATGAATAGATGAAAATGCCGAGTGATGATATACACCTGTCTAAAGATTTGTATTCAGTCTTCTAAGAACTTCAAAAGTTATTTATTTCATTCATTCTCTTAGTCATTCAATTTTCTACTGTTTAAAATTTTAATTTATTTTGTATTTATTCTGTTTTGAAGTGTATTCGTTCTTTTACTCATGTTGTCATGCAATATTGGTATTTTTGATTATTTGGATTAGGAATTATTCTTTAGTTAGATTATCTTTTTTTTGGCTTATATTTATCAAAACTATTCTTATCATTTTCTATTGATGGTTAAGGTATGTTTAATGAAGATAGGGATAGTATGTAAATCAGTCAGAAATATATATATTTTTTATGTTAATTATTTAGAAATAGCAGTTATTTGATGTTATTTCAGATGAACTCCTGGACTATCTCCTTCTTGAAAAACATTCTTCTTTTTAATTTTTTTAAAAATATATTATGATGTTTATTTGTACTTTAATTTTGTCACTATTTAGAAAATCTTATTTATTTAATTAATGTGGAATTTGATTACAGTACTTTATCCTTCATCACCATCTTTCCCTGTATGTGAACCTTACCAAGCAACCTGTTACAACAGAGACTGTATCAACAAAACTCAAGTGTGTGATGGTCATTTTGATTGCGGCGATGGTAGTGATGAATCTAGATGCCCTTCAGTAGGAGGTTATTATATTTTATTTTTAAAACAATTTTTATTTTGAGTATTTATTCCATCATTTATTTGTTTAATTAATTAGGTTCATAGGCTGCTTTTAGTAGTCAACATTATTTTTTATTAACATGACTGGGCCTTTTGTTCAAATAAATATTCATAATCAAAGTTAACATTATTATTTTGTAAATATTAACTTTGTTATATCACTAGTTTGCTCATGTTGGGAAATGCTGCATTGTAACTTTGTTGAAATTTTTCATATATATTTTTCTCTTATTTATTGAATTATCTTTAACAGAGTAAAGTAGTATTAGATAAACTGTAGTAAAGTAGTTTTGAAAATGGATTTTTCTTTTGCATTTCCTTAAAAATATTTTGGAAATGATTTTTAAATTTCATGAACAGCCAAAGATATCATTGGCTATTATGAATATTCTAGTTCTATTAACAAAAAAAAAAAATGAAATGCAACACTAACTTCTTGTTCATCCATCCTCAATATTTATGATCAGACATTGTAACTATCTCTCTGGAGAGAGAAATGGATTCGGAAGCCAGTAAAAAAAACAACTAATTAACCATTAATATATAGTGTAATAAATGCATGTAAATAAATAAAAATAGACTAACATTTAATAACCAGGGTGGCAACCGATCTGGAAAATGGTAAAAGTCGGAGAATTTTCAAAGTAAATTAGCCCTGATGAAGGCCTGCATAACAAGTTAAAGTATATATAAAATAATATACAAATATAAAACTCAGGAAAAAATCACACCGTGAGACTGTCTGTTATTTGGAAACCCTGGTTTTCTTCAGCAGCCTGGATCTTATATCAGAGAATAAAGAGTTCCTTTTCTCTCCAATGGTTTCCCCCTCTCTTCTTCCCAATGCCTTTTTGACTCAATTCCCCTATTTTATATTGAATTATCCATTACAATATTAACTATTCAGTTATAACTTTTTTGTGCTTATCTAGAATAATGGCATGCAAGCTGTTTAAAACTGATTTTAAATAGATCCGTTATAAATTTGTTCTCACTTCTGCAAACAGAAAAGGCTGCAGCATACATATATCTTCAGATGTCTTCTTGTACATTTATAACATTTAGTTTTATAAATGTGTTAGTTTTTATAAATATAATTTCTCCATACTTCCTTTTTTTTATCTTTGAAATAAAATATAGAGGCAATATTTTCTATTAAACAAAGATTTCATTTAGTTAATGAGTTTAACAAATCCAATTTAAATTAAAAACACTTTGCTCTGTCTAAAAACATCAGCGCCTCAAAATTATTTAACAAATTTGAAAATACAGGATCATAATTGATTAGTTATTGGTGCAGGTCAAGTTTTAATAAAATGATTTATTTAAATAACTATTGTTTCTAGCATCTGCTTAGAACTTCTGGTTTCAATAAGACTTATTATATAATTATAATTAATATAAAATTTGTAGTCAACTTATTTTCATTTCAGGGTCTTGTGAACCAAATGAGTTCCGTTGTAATAATCGAAAGTGTGTCTTGAAAAGTTGGATTTGTGATAAAGAAGATGACTGTGGAGATAATTCTGATGAAGAAGGATGTAATGTCCCTCAACCAGGTAATAATTTCCTTGAATTAATTACAATAAAATTATAATATGCATTAACATTGTTTTATCATTAATTTAATAAATTATTATGTAATAATGAGAATTTAGTTTTTCTTAATCCTATAAAACTTGTACAGGTACTATTTGCAAACAAAATGAATTTGAATGTCATTCTAAAGTTCAGTGCATCCCACGCAACTTCCATTGTGACAAGACAGTTGACTGCCAAGATGGTTCAGATGAAACAAGTTGCTGTAAGTTTTTAATAATTTTACAAATGATTAATTAATTCAGAGAATACATAAATGCATATTAACATTATTGTTATAAAATATTAATTCATTTTATTGATATTATATTATGCATTATTATATTTTTCATTTGGTACCAGATCATATTATATTTTTCAGGCATTTTTAATCAATTGAACAAAAATGAATTCAATAGTTTACAATTTAAATTGCTATTTTGAATTGCACTCCTTACAAGAGGTTTTGTAGTTTATAAAAATTCAATTAAAATTTATTGAACACAAACACTATAATGTACTTGTTTACAATACCTAACTTTAACACTAATAAGCATAACTAACGTTCTTCAAAAAGAACCTTCTTCATGAATAATTAATTGAACTCATTAATAAACCGTTTTCTTGGCTAACAACTGACTGACCTATAAGGAACTGATCTAACTCTTGTCTTTGCGATCTCACTACATATGCATATTGAAAAACTAAACTGACTGATCTATGAAAACTCCTTATACAGTCTCAGCTTCTGAATTTTCTTCAAATGTTCTCAATTCAGTGCCATTGAGATTTTATAACTTTTGATATATAAAACTATTATAATATTAAATTTAATGTTATAAAAGTAATATGATGACTAATTTAATGTTATAAAAATTAAAATTTAGCTAATTATGATCATTATCTAAAAATAAATATTACAAATAATAAATTTTCAATAAACAGCAGCAAAACCACTACACCATTTTTGCCATTATTAGCTGACAGAGAAGTAGTGCTCGAAATGTATATGTATGTGTGTGTATATATATATACATATATATGAATGAAACAAAATATATGTTTAGCTGCAGAATTGGCATCGATTTTAGTGATGTAAATATAAAAGAGAATAGGTTTGAAAACCTTGAAAGAAGTAAAAAAAAAAATCAAAAGAAAATGAAGGTGAGATTATAAACAGAAAATGCTTGTTTAATTTTTTTAGTTGTCAAATTACTTATCTTATTTAGCTTTTTACCAGAAACTTATTAATTAGAATTAAAAAAAACTATTATACTATATACTGTTTACATGGGTACGAATGGCTTTTCTTTATTTAACTTTGATAGAAGAATAACATTTTACAGAGGAAGAATGATTCCACCAGTGAATTTGGAGGGTTACACAATAGAGAATTAAGGAGAATGCATACAGTATGTAATACGATTAATCTTTAAAGTTTTGAGCGTAGTTACAAACAAATTCCTAAAAAGTGCTGATTCGATGTTGTAAATGTCTGAGGAGTTGACCACAACTCCAATAAATAGAAGCATTGCATTAAGGCTAATGTTGAGGATTTGGTGGTTGCCAGTGAATTGTGGTGTGAGAATGGTGATTAGTAATAACATCATCAATCCTAAGCCTTTTGGCATTATTAGTTGAATGAGAATTTAATACAACCATGACTGAGTGCGCAATCACAGAAGATGACAGTCAACAAAAGGACTTCCAACTTTAAAGCATATCTTTTTTCCCCTCTACTATCAAGTTTAAAGCATAATATATATTTACTTAAATTAATAAGATAATTATTAGCATCTGGTTTATATGATGATAATGATAATATGATTTGATTTTATCCAGATCCAATAAGAATCGTGGTTAATCCTCCTCCTTTTGCCAACTTACGAATTGGAGAAACTCTCATAATTATTTGTGAAGCCGTTGGTATGCCGACTCCTGTGATATCGTGGAGATTGAATTGGAAAAATGTTCCTCCCAAGTGTAGAATGGATTCTGTTAATGGAAGAGGCACCCTTACTTGTCCCAATATACAGGTACATATTCTTGTTATTTTATATCATGAGTTGATTATTTTTTTAAATATATTATTTTCTTAATAAGATATGTAACTTTTTTTTCACTCATCTTTGAGTCTTTCTCTTAGATTTTATATTATATTATACAATTTTATTCTGTCTTTCTACATTTTTCTTCTGTTTTTGAAAAAAAGTTGAAAAAATTTACTAAAATTAAGTTGTTTTTTTGCTTATTTTAAAAACTATTTTTTTTATTTCAACGATTTAATTTAAATGTGTTGGTCAGGTTTTCTTAAGAAGGTTCATATTAATATATTTTTGGCACTACGGATCTGCAATAATTGGGCCTCTCTTATAATCTTCCTCCTCCTTCTTTTTCTTCTCTTGGCGCTACAGAACGAAGTGGTCCTTGACCTGCTTCTACATCTGCTACCACCGGCTCTGTCCTCCACCACACAAATGCTCGCCTGTCTCATGTTCTATTCCACTTTCTCCCTCCATCAAGCTCTTGGCCTGCCCTTTGCTCTAGTGGTGAAGAGCTTCCCTTTGTATACTTTTTTCACCTTTCTGTCTTCATTCATTCGATTGACATGGCCAAACCATTTCAGCCTGCTTATTCGTATGAAATTTGATAAAGACAGATCATTGTAGATGTTGTATATGTTCTTCCTACTTTGCCACACTCTGTTCTCAAGCACTCCACCAAAAATTCTTCGCAGCACTCTCCTCGTCAAGCCTGTCATAGGATATCTTGTGCATTACCCAGCATTCTCCGCAATAACTAACCATCGGCCTGATTAGAATTTTGAATATCCGAATCTTATTTTGCCGTGAGACTAGATTATTTTGTGTCGAAGAGCATAGTATGTCCTGTTTCCTGTCAAAATCCTTCTGTTGACCTCTTCTGTTTCATTGGCTTCCTTATTCATTAATGATCTCAGGTACGGAAACGTCGACACTACTTAAATGTTTTCCCTATCTAAGTTATAAAACGATGGGTGTTGCTGCTTCATTCTCTCTACAATCATCAATTTAGTTTTGCTGACATTTCAAGGCCAGCTTTTTCTGCCTCCTTTTTCAAGTTAGCGTATGCCTCTTCAATTTATTGCTTGCTTCTTCCCAAAATCACTACATCATCTGCATAGGCCATTAATTGCAGTGATTTATTGTGATTGTATTATTAGCATCATTCTTTACCTTCTTGATAACTTTATCGAGAACTAAGTTGAATATCAAGGGGGCCAATGCGTCTCCTTGTCTCAATCTATTCTTCATTTCGAAGGGCTGTTCTCCGTTCACTCTTACTTGACAGTTGGTGTGCCTCATTGTCATTTCCGTTAAAACTATTAGTTTAGGAGGTTCTTGCTGCTTCTCCTACTTCTTCCAAAGCCTTATAAACCACAGATCTATAGGTCCTGTCATATGCCACTCTGAAATCTACAAGCAATCTCCATGTAACCATATTTTACTCCCACATCTTTTCATCAATCTGCCTGAGTGTGAAGATTTGGTCAATAATTGACATATTCCTTTGAAAACTGCACTGGTATTCGCCAACTGCCCTTTCATAATATGGTACAATTCGATTGTATGATAATGCTGCAAAATTTTATATGCAACATTAAGCAGCGTGATACCTCTATAGTTGCTACACTCTATCAAGTCTCCTTTCTTGGTATAACCAATAACCACTCTGATTATTCCACAATTCCATTTTTTGGCATGCATTCTTCCTCCCAAATACTTTCTATGACTCTATGGAGCTCTCTCATCATGTCAGTACCCACGAGTTTGAAGAGCTCGGCATTTATATTGTCCATGCCTGGTGATTTGTTGCTTTTGTATTTACCTATCATTTCTTCCAATGTTGGGGGTATTTCTTCTTCCCACCCCTGTTCTGTTTCAGTGTGTGGGATCACTGTCGCTCCATTGACGTTTCCTTGGTTGTCAGACGGTAACTCTTGAAAGTGTTCTTCCCATCTCTGCAGCACCTCTTCATTTGAATTCAGCAATTGGCCTTCTTTGCTCTTTACCCAATTACTCATTGGCAGATAACTTTTCTTGATGGCTCCTATCTTTCTGTAAAACTTCCTGCTTTCATTCCTACTGTCCGTCTCCTCAATATTCTTTAATTCCTCCTCCAATGCCTGTTTTCTCTTCTTCTTTATTATCTTTTGTGCCTGTCGCCTTGCTTTGTGGTATTCCACTTCCTGCTGCCTTGTTTGCCATTGCAAGAATTTGTGTTGGACGGCATTCCTTTTTTTTATGGCTTCCTTGCATTCATTGTCAAACCACCCATTTCTTCTTCTAGGTTCAATGTTTCCAAGCATTTCTGCGGCTGCAGTTGAGATTATCCCCTCTAGTTTGTTCCACTTGTCATCAATAGTAGAGCCTTCTTCCATCTCCAGGTGATACTCGTGCATTTCCCTGTCTATATTTCCCCTAAACTGAACTGTCGTTTCTTCTTTCTTTAGCTTTTCTGTATCCCATTTTGTCTTAGTTGGATAGTGAGATATCTTTAATGTCCTTATTCCCTTATTCTCATTTTAAATTTCATTACTAAGGGAAAAAGATCTGAATCAATGCAAGGTCCCCTGTAGCTTCTGACATCCTTCGTACAGCTGCGATATCTATTATCAATTCAGATATGGTCAATATGATTTGATATGAATATTCTTATGAGGCAATATAGTGCTCATTATTGTAGACATCTTGGAAGCTGCTAACTGGACTAATCATTCTCTGTTGTCATTAGTGGTGCTGTTAAGGCTATGCATTCGTATTATTGGCTTATAGACCTCTTCCTTCCCGATTTTGGCGTTAAAATCGCCCGCTATGATCTTGACATCGTAACAGGGACAGGAGTCATAGACCCTCTCCAACTTTGTAAAGAACTCTTCCTTTATGTTGTCATCTTAATCTTCTTATGTTGCATGTACATTAATGATATTTATGATAAACAGGCTCCCACACAGTCTTATTTTACAGGAACGGTTGTCTATCATTTCAAAGCTCATTACCGCACTACTGTATCTTGCTTTCACTAGGAAGGCACAGCCATACTCATGCCGATCTTTACTACCACTATAGTATAACGTGAAATATTTCTTCTTGAGCATGCCCACTCCTAACCATCTTACTTCCTGAAGAGCCACTACATCATAATTCTGTTGAGTGCACTCTAGTCTTCGTTCATCAAAGACCCCAGGTCTAAAGAGTGTTCTCACATTCCATGTTACTATTTTATAAATTTGAGATGTGTCCATTTGACCGGTTCGTTGCCGCTGATCAGTCCATAATCCGAGGATTATAGAGCTTTCATAACAGTACGCTTTTTCGTGTGGAAGAGATTGTTAGCCCCTTCTCACAACCCTCCTCTGTTATCCGGGCCTGGGACCGGCTATGATTCCAGCAAAGCGACTCTCACAGGCAGAGTGATAATCTTCCTCCACTCTCCTCTATATCACAAAATGTCCACTGCCCATATTCACACTGGGCCTAAATATAGGTATAAATCTTGTGGAGAATCCTTCTCTCCAGATGTGAGTAGCTTTCTTTATGAAGCCTTAGAAACCACCCCGATCTGAAAACCATACGATTTCCTATAATACTGAAAAAGTTATACCATTTAATCATGTAATTCAATATCTCCTTTATGACATAATACTATTGCACCATCATCATTTACTCTGCTGGAAGATTCTTCAGAAGTCAACATTTTTCTTGACCTTCAGCTTCCTCGTTATTTCTGTTTTGATGGCCTCTGTATTATAATACCACCTCCTAAAGTACCATTGTTTGGGATTGAAGAAAAAGTCATAAGATACCAAAACAGATTAATGCATGATTTGATCACAGTATTCAAATTATAAGCCAAAAACTCATGCAAAAATAACAAAGTGTGTGGAGGAGCATTGTGATGATAGAGGATTCACTTCCCCTCCTCCCCTAAGAATTGTAAGAACAATAACCATTGTCTTGACAATTGATCTTGATTGCCTTTTTCTTCCTTGGCTGTCTATCTTTTTTCAAAAATTGTTTGCTATATTCTTCTAAAGCAATGAGTAATTTGTTCCAAATACTGCAGTAATTCTGAATTGATACTTTTTTTCATTTGTTCTTCCTTCAATAGTAATATTGTAAACTGCTCTCTTATTATAATTTTGCTGAAGAAAAACATTTAAAAAAAAAATCATAAATATTTTAAATTTTTAATGTATATTTGCCATTTTAAATATAATAAATACATTTTAAATATATGTTATTTTTTAGCCACAAGACAGTGGAGCTTATTCTTGCGAGGCAATTGGTTACGTTGAGTACATTATAGCATCAATAGACACTATTGTTGTAGTAAATGGCAATACAACCTGCCCTGAAGGAAAATTCAATGAATTGGCCAGGTCGCAAGAAGAATGTATAAATTGTTTTTGTTTTGGTGTGGCCAGAACCTGCAAAAGTGCCCAACTGTTTGTTTATCAGGTATTTATCAATAATTATATAGATATTAAAATAGTAAACCAAAATATATTTTATATATTTATGGCTCTATCTGTGTGATATATTTTAAGATTCTACATATATGAAGATATTCTGTGTAATTTCTTGTACTTTTTCATTTATTTAGCTTCCTCCACCTATAAGTATCTTTAGACTTCTGAATGTTTATATTTCCCCTTCTTGGATGGATATAAGGATACATGGACAATCTCCTTACCAGCCCAACTTAAGTCCGAATTCCGTAGGATTTAGGGTAAGTGTTTTGAATAAATTTATTGATATGATTTTTTTTTCTTTGTTTACACTATCTAGAAAATACCATAAAATAGTACTGTCTAATTGACTAAAACTTTTTGGTTAATTTTAAATTTATTTGTAAAACAAAATCAAATATAATTTTGTTTTCTTATTCTTTAATTTTAGAAGTTTTACATAATTCAGTATTATATTTGTAAAAGGTGTGGGCCTTTTATAACAGAAAAAAAGCTTGTTTCTTTATCATATTTCAGACATTAATAGTCCATTTTCTATTATAAAATTCTTCTTAGATGTATGGTTTCAAAATTTTAAAAGAAAAATTTGACAGGTTAGTTCATTGTCTAAAAAATAAAATAATTGGCAGTCAACAACAGTGGACATAAAAATAAATTGGACTGAATTTAATAATCATTAAATAGAGCCATAGAATCTTCTTTCTGCATTACATAAATTTGAGTTTCTAAAAATATAAATGTACTTTATGCTTGGTTTATACAAGAAAGAAACTGGCACAAGCCTACATCAAGTAAAATTCCAATTGACCCTATATCCATTTTAAATCACCTAGACCATCTTGCTTGACATTTTTGATTTTTATAACTATTTTAACCAGTTATTCCATATTTATTTGGGAGTTCAAAATCATGGTTGAAAAAAATTTAAGGTTCACAGTTTTTTCCCGGCGGCCATTTTTAATTTTCTTTTACTGAAAACATATTTTGGGAAAATGCCTGTAACTCTGGTTATTTTGTAGATATCAATCAAAATAAAAACTGAAATCATTTAGAGTATTTTTTATACATTTCTGTTCATCAATACATCACCTAAAATGAAAGGAAAGTGGTTTAAAAAAATCATGAAAATAGACATAAAAAAAGACTTTTAGCTCTGCAAAAGTGTAATAAAGAAAAGAGTCTCAACTTAAATTCCCAAAGTCCTACTATTTTCCTTCTTGCTGAAGAAATTTCAATCTTGAAAACCTTGTCTTTTTAAAATATGAATTTTCAAAAATGCTCAAAAGTCGTTTTCGGCAATTTTTGATGTTATGTATCACAAAATCGACAGTGAAAAATTATGCAATTGATACAGTTTTACTTTTTAATGATAGGAACGTATGATATGAATTTGATCATTGAGATTCAACTGGTTCTATTAGTTATAGCACAAGAAATATGGCTGGCTAGTGAGAATTGGTATCAGCATATCCTACCTACTCTAACTGCAGCATTTTTGCAGATATCAAAATAAAACAAAACTAAACTTATTGTGATGTTTTGCTTTAATTTTTTTTTCCTCGCAATATATCTCATAAATAGTGAAAAAAATTGACAAATATAAAATTAACATAAAAAGAGATATTTAGCCCTGCAATACTATAATAATGAAGATGGGGACTGAGTTTTCTTCTATCAAGAAAATAAAAGCTGAAGTACCTCAGGGTAGTTTCTTGGGTCCTACACTTTTCAATATTTATTGTTCAGATATCCCACAAAACCTAGAAACTCTGTTGGCTACATTTGCCGATATCTCGGCAATACTAACGTCCAACAAAGATGCAGCTAAGGCTTCTCAGATACGCCAACACCTAGACATTATAGCGTGTTGAGCTAAAAGATGGAGAATACAAATGAATAAATCCAAGAGCCAATTGGTTTCATTTACACGTCAGCATGACTCTTGTCCTCAAGTATTTTTTAACAATATCGCGATACCGAATTCAAATACAGTGTGGTATTTGGAACTCTACTTGGACAAATGACTGACATGGGCCCACCACATAAAACAAAAAAAGAAAAGAACTTAATCAGATAAAGACTTCATTTTAGGCTACTTGACAGACGTTCTAAATTATCGGTGATTAATAAATTAACTATTTACAAAGTCCTCATTAAACCACTTTGGACATACGGAATTGAGTTATTGGGAACAGTATAGACGTCAAATTTAAAAAGAATTCTATTGTTCCAGTCCAAAGTTCTCTGGAAAATTGTAAACGCCCCCTTTTATGTTTCTAATCTTACGCTAAACACTGACCTTGACATTCCTTTTATCACAGCAACTGCTACAGACCATTTTAATCATTTTCATGACAGACTAACTCTAAATTCATATTCACTTACTCACACTCTATTATTGCTACAAATGCATATAATCTATCCAGAAGACAGCTGAGGCACTGGCTAAGAAACATCCTGCATTGAGCTGCTTGCTATCTTATTATTTTTACTCTATATTTTTTTGTTTTCGTGTTATTTTTTATTATTTTTTTCTTTGTCTTAGTTTCGTAATTTAGTAGTATAGTATTTTATTTTTTACTATTTTCTGTTATTCATATTCTTTGTTTCTTGCTTGTTTTTTTGTTTTTTTTTTGTTCTGTTCTCCATGATTTATATATGTATTCCTTAATATCATATTTGCTCATTACCATTGTCGATAGAAAATTACTCTTGACATAAATATGTATCTTATAAATAAAAAAAAATTGGTTTGATATCTACAAAATATCAAATGCCTCCCGCAGTGCTACATCCTACGCCCTGATGAAGACCAGCAAAGTGGCTCGAAACATCGGCAAAAAAATTAAATAATACTATTTGTATAATTTAGTATTTATTTGACTGCACCCCCTGATCAACTCCTTCTCATACAAAATAACCAGAGTTACAGGCATTTTCCTAAAACATGTTTCGAGTCGAAAAGAAAATTAAAAATGGCCACTGAGAAAATATTGTGAGCATTTATGATTTTGAACTCTCAAATAAATATAGAATAACTTGTAAATAAAATTATAACAATCAAGCAACAGAATTGATTCAAATTGGGTGATTTCAAATGGATTGACCCTATACTACAGCAAAGGCAAACAATTTTTCAATAAGTTTTAATTTTACATTAAAATTACCAACATTTATTTTCTTCCTTAAAATATTGAAATATAGCATTCACATTGTTTTTAATTGGTTTTGGTTTTTGTTTTTTAAATAAATTTATTAATACAGAAATTTCAAGAATCTGATGCTACCATTCCCAATTTTAAGCCAGATTAATGTTTTAATTTTACATTTATTATAAAACATTTTTATTTTACCATTGAAAATGACATATTGAAGGCCTAAAATATAATCTAAAAAAAAGTATCTTCTTTTATTTATATTATTATGGTCTTGTGTTATTGTTTAACATAGAATAAATAGTAAGAGGTACAATAATATGGAAAGTACTGTCGGACCTTAGTAACTTTAGTCTCATGGGACTGACATTTTACTTCAAGTTATCAAAATTCAAGATATCGAGTTCAAGAATCGTGCGAATTTGACTTATTGAGGTTTTAAACAAAACAACAATTTAATGAACAAATTGCATATAATCGTGTCAAGTTTAAAATATCAAAAGTCCAAAACCACATTCATTATTATTACAGTTGAAAGAGGGACTCAGCAGAGAAATGATCATTCACTCTGAAATGTGCCTTTCTGAGTGAATTCCTCTTACAACCAATTACAATAAATGCCTGTTTTTCACATTTAATACTTTACAGTTGTCACGATAATATGTATCTACATACAGTTTGTCAGCATAGTTAACTAGTATTGTACAATGTTATACAGATTAGACTGAAAACTAAAAATCTTCTCCTTGTAGGATCTAGAAGGCCTAGAACCATCACTTTATACTTTCCCTCTTTTCTAGAAAAATGTATTGTAGAAGCCTTTGAGAAGTTTAACTTCAAGTTCTTGAGGTTTTCAGGCTCGTTCCATACTTATTGCATATTAATTATTTTAATGATTTTTCTTCCAGTTGCCTAAGTTAGGTTGTCTCTTTATATTCTATAATTGAATTGTCTATAAATTTATTTAGGATATGGGAGTTAAAATGTGGAGAAAAATACATCAAAGCATCAGAGCTGAGAGTTCTTTTTTTTTATTATTAAGGTCCTACTGTTAACTAAGTTTTGTATATTAATCAAAGTACAATTATTGATTCTTCTACGAAACATTGAACCCACCAAGAGTTTAAAAAAGTAAATAAGTTTATTTTTCAGATACAATCCTCTGAAGGATCTCTCGACTATGTTTATCCTTACTATATTCTACCAGAACCAACATACAATGGTAAACAATTGCAGTCCTATGGAGGCTTTTTGACTTATCAGGTTATGGTGGACAGTTTGGAAAATGAAATCAATATACCTGAAATTATTATTGTTGTAAGTATGAACTAATAACTGTTTATGTTTGGTTTTCATATTTGATGAGTCTGGTGATGTTTTAAACCTCTATGCAGATGTAGATTTTAGAAGTAATATTCTTACTAATTTGTACTTTTGTGATATTTAATCTATATTACAACACTTTTTTTTTTTTTTCAACCATGAAGGTTTCATAATTATTTTAAAAAATGCTTGAAAATTATAATTGAAGGGATATTCAAGCACCCAATACTGCATTAAACTTGAAAAACTTATTCAATCTTTTTGTGCTAAATATGGCTGTTATTACCCTTGACTTTAACACAGTATAGGGTCTGTTAAAACCAGTGCTAATTTCGTAATCACTCTGGGAAAGTTATTACAGATTTTCATCTCATATTTACTACTCAAATGTTAGAAAATAATGTGGAAAACAAAACATCTCCTCTTATCTATAATTACAGAAAACCCTGGGCGAGGTGGCCGAACAGGTAACGTGTGTGCACAGCACCATCGTTGCCCGGCAACATGATCTATGAGACAATGGATTAAAGTAGTCATGAGTTCACGTCCCGGTGACGGGGGAGTCTTTTAAATCCCCGCCCACACCCCCTAACCCAGGAAAACCCCGTATAGCCTTAAAGGCGAGGAAGGGGAGAACCTCCCCTCCCCCCCCTCACCCCCAAAAAAAATATATAGTACAGAAAACCCAATTTTTTGTTTATAAATTTAGCCTTGCCTCAGTTACAGCAAAAGGGAAAGTAAGCGATTAAACAATTACTGAGACCAAAATTACTTCAACTCGAGGTTCCAAATTTCTGTAACTGATAATATATTAAATATTATAAATTAAGGATAAAAAATATATATTATTTGATAAGAAAACATGAGAGAAAGAGATAGAGAGATGTTTACAGTTAAGCACCTGACATTCACAATTCTTTACATCATTAATTTATATTTTTCAAGTTCACACAATGAATATTATTTCATGTATTTATATTGTATTCATAATATATTTTATGATTATATATTACTCATGTTTGTTTGTTAAAATTTAGGGAAACGATCAAATGCTCTTATATAAACATCCGTATAAACTTGTAGAGAATTCTTTTAATACTATAAATGCTAGCATCAGAGAAGAGGGAGGCTGGGAAATATTGAAAGCGAATAGTTCAAGACGATCAGCTAATAGAGTGGATATAATGATGACGCTTCTTAATGTTGATAAGATCCTAATCAGGTATTTAAAACAGTGTCTACTATTATTAATTAATTGAATTTATTAATTTAATTTTTAAAACCTTTTCATCTTCTTTTCATACTTTTGACACTCTAACTAAGAAGTTAAAAAAAAAAAAAAATATTTGGCACATAATAATAATAGTAATAATAGAAAATAACTTTATTCTGGGACAAAGTCCCTTTAGAATAACAAAATAGTGCATAATTAAAAGACTATATCTGGCCAAAATAAAACAAAAAGAAAGTAAAGAAAATAAATAAATCTATATACAAAACACTTAAAACAAATTATACATTATTATTCCTTTCTCAATGCAATATTCAGTCCCACTTCTCTACCAGCTTTTATCAACATTTTATTTAATTTTTTAGTTTCCGTTTCTCAACAGTACCAAATCATCAGCTTAAGCAAGCACGGACACTGTTCCAACCCAATTATCTCAAACTCCAGGAACCTCAAACTATTCGAATAAATAATTACCAATTTTAACTTCATTGAATCTTTCCGTTACCAATATACAAACTAGACTTTTGAAATCCTCAGTTCAATTAGAATATTATACAATTTTTGGTGGTGAGTAGAATCATCAGCCTTTTTGAAATTGATATACAACACTGTTCATATCAATTCCATGATGGCATATTCCATGATTGAACTAGAACGAATTAATATGAATATTTTCTAACAAACTGGAAGGAGTGAGATTCTTGGATAGTTATTACATTCTGTCTTTAGGCCCTTCTTACTTTCACTTACCTATATAAGAAAGATATATAGTAAAGGAAAGTATTGCGATCGTGAAAATTTTCGTATCTCAGTTTTCAACTGAAATACACGTTTTGAGGTCTCCTGGGTCCAAATAACCAAGTCCCACAAAATGGTCTGTGTGTGTGTATGTGTGTTAACGGTCTAGCTCAAAAACAAAAAGTTGCATGAATGTGAAATTGTATATTTAAGGTTTGTATATGCCTGGGATGGTGGCTCTTTGTATCATCAAGTAAACATATTTTTACGATTTTCTCAAAAACTGCTCCAAAGATTTTGATTAAATTCATTATATCTGTGTAAAATTAAGCAGTTTTTAATATAATGTAGGTTTTATTCTCATTGATGTTCTCTAATATAGCTTAAATGGCTAATTTTCAATATTAGCTCCTCTAAAGTACCTTTAACTTCTTTTATAGATGAATATAAAATATGTAAGGATTTGATAATTAACTAAAAGAGAAATAAGAGACCGTAATGGATAATAGTTGTAATAGAGTAACCAAAGGAATACAAGCACGCCTGAGCTCGCCCGAAAGATTAGAACAGACTTCCATGCGTACATATACATATGCGGTTTTCATAAATGCTATTGTTGGTCTTATTTAATTTTTAATTCTATGGATTACAGCGGTGTAAAAATTAAAATTTGTACGTGTAAGGGTACTTAAACTAATAAAAATACTCAAAATGAAGTATAAATAAATTTAGCATCTATAATTTTTACTTTCATTTGTCTGAAAATCCTTATATCTGCTAAGAAGAGAGTGGTAAGTAAAATTCATGTAATGCTCACACCTGATTTTTGTGAATCGGAATATGAATAGATTCTTTCTATTCATCAGCCAATTTCTTACTCCCAGATATTTTTAACCAGAAAATGTATTTTGGAAACTCAAACTTCCCTGCATGCCTTAATTAGTTCACTAGAAATATTATCAGTTCCTGCTGCTTTATAAGATTTAAATTTCCTGATAGCTATTTCAGCTACCTCTTTTCTCGGTTTTACTATTAATGGTTCGGAACTCTGGTACTCAGAGGGAGGACACAGATCACCATTTCCTGTATGTAAAATATTTTTAAAATGTTTCTTAAACTTATTTAATTTGTCTACTGGATCAGTCAGCATATTTTAAAAATAAAATAAATTCGTTTGTAAATTAAGAGTTCTAGTTTTTAAGTTTGATTACTATTAAAATTGAAGGTTAAATGTTTAATGATAATATTAATTTTTTTATAGGACGCAATATACTGAAAATCGGGGTGTCATGACTTCTTTCGCTAACCTGACTATGGATTCCGCCTCCTATACTAATACTGGATTGGGAAAAGCTGCGTTTGTAGAACAATGCGATTGTCCTGCAGGTTACACCGGACTCTCTTGTGAGGTTTGTCATCCTTTTCTTCTTAGTTAATAGATGTAAAGAAGTCTGATGGCCGAGTGTGTTGGAGCGTGGGCCGGTCTAGCATCCTCGTGCCTAGCAATGCCTGTTCGAATCCAGCTTGGGCGGGGTTGGCTTTTATTTCGTGATGGACCCACGGAATGAAATTCAACCCTCCCACTCTGGTTGCAATAGGTTTGGTTGTACCTCTAGAACAATCCCCTTCTCCCTCTCCCCACTTCCTCCCCGTATGCCAGAAATGGTGGGTAGAGAGTTATCCAATAAATAAAAAAAAATTAATAGATATAAAGTAGTTGTCTAAGGCAGTCCTATTCAAACTATTTTTTAAATGAAATCAGGAGTTATTACTACCCAAGAGGACACAAATTATCCATAGGGCACCAATTTTTTTTTTTTTTACTTTTTGTGATAAATCATAATTTTCTACCCTCTTAAAAGAGTCAGAAAATTCTGAAATTTACATGTCACCTTCCTTAGAGTATAAATGAAAGCAAAAGCCTCTAATTTACACTGTGTTGATATTTGAATATTCTATTTTTGTAAATATGTGGAGTTGAAGTAATTGCACCACTTTCTAAAACCCATTAAAAAAACCTTGGAATAAAAAAACTTGTGCAATTTAATTAAAGCTGTTTAAAAAAAAAAAGAGCCACTAAAACCACAGTACGTTCTTAAAAAGTTTTTATTTAAATATTCTTTTATAAATCCAGTAAAAGTTTTAGATACCTGGCACCATTATTTTGAAAATCTGCTGAATTCTAGTGAGAGTGAGAAAGAATGTGAGATTTCTGATTTGAGTGGAGAGTTGGCAGAAAGAGATTTAGATGACGTTGAACCTCCAGATCACGAAGACTTTTTAGAAGTGATTGCCACACTTTAAAATAACAAAAGCTCTAACTGGGACGTTATTGATGAAGAAATGCTAAAATATGGTGGTCGTGATATCCTGAAAAAGCTACACGACTTAATTCTAGAAGTATGGACAACAGAAAAGATGCCAAGCTAGTGGAATGTGGCTGTTATATGTCCAATATTTAAGAAAGGGGATAAGATCTTGTGCAAAAATTACTGGGGTATATCTCTGTTGACGGTGACATATAAAATTTTTGCGATTCTACTTAACCAAAAACTACAAAAATGGTCTGAAAATATTTTGGCCAACTACCAGTGTGGCTAGCTTCATATATTCTCCGTCCAAAAAATGCTGGAACACTCAAATGAATATGATGTTGATCTGTACCATTTTTTCATCAACTTTAGACAGTCCTACGATAGCATTAATAGAAAGGTAATAAAAGTTATGCTGAAACTAGGGTTCCCTACAAAATTAGTGAGATTAACTCATTAAATCAGTATAAAATTAAGTGCTTTTTAATATGACGTAGGTCCTATTCTCATTGATATTCTCTAAAAGGGTTTATATACCTAATTTTCAAAATTTCTTCCTCTAAGGTACCTTTAGGTTAATTTTTTTTTTATGTGAAATAATTAACCATTTCATATTAACCACTGATATAAAAAATGGTTAAATATAATAAATGACGAAATTGATTGGTAACTAAAAGAGGGATTAGGGTTGGAAGTGATATGTTGAGGATCATCTGATATAAACCTAATTATGTTCAAAATTTAATAATTTAGTAACATAAAGTTATTTTTTCGAGTTTTGGGATAAATTTTTCTGATTAAACTCAGACTTTTTCCAAAAATTCAATTTTCTCAACAATTATTACTATTGTTTGATACAATATAGCAGTAAATGGAAATGGAAAGTGATGCAAACGTGTAAATTTAACAGATTCGATGGTCGGGAAAAACATGGTAATGAATTGTTTTAAATGAAGTTATACTGTCGTTTTCAATTTGACTTCCCTATGCATGAAAATTCCTATCTATTCTATTATGTGAAAGTTGTGTGATGCGTGCACCGCACCAGATTTTTTCTAATGCCAAAGGGAAGTTGTTAAGTTTTTATGAATTGTATTACAAACTTATGTGCTTATAGTATTTAACATGTTAAATTTTAACCAATTAGATGAAATTATTATTAATTAAGATCAGTTATTCAATAGATATAGAACTGTTTTAATAACCTGGAATATTTCTAAAAATGTCCTGGAAAATTAAGAGAATTTCATAAAAAATATGTATGAACGTATTGTATGAAACATTAGGTAAGAAAGTAGATACAATACCCTGCATATACTCTTAATAATTCTAAATTTATAATCATGCATTTTTTTTAATGTCTGAATTTTATTTTATAAACAATACAATTTTTCATGTATGTTTTTTTTTTAATCCATAGGAATGTGCTCCCAATTACGTCAGAGATGTAAAAGTCATTGGCCAGACATGGCTTGGCAGATGTGTTCAACAACACTGTCCTCCAGGTTACTATGGAAACCCGAGTATTAACATTCCATGTGAGAGGTGTGCCTGTCCATTTGTTGGCGGGTGAGTAAACTTTTTAGTAACTAAGGGAGGGCTGGTTGCTACGTCAGAGATTTGGTTAATTCCGACACTTAGCTTATGCCAAGGGTTTTCTAACTAGAGCTTGAAATAGTAAAAGTATTTTACTATGAGTATATATTTCTTACATACTACATGCAGTTTACATTGAATAAAAATACAGTGCTCGCAACCTAACACATAACCTATAAATGTGCTCACAGGTGTAAAAAGATTGAGGACACCTGGCTTATGCTGTCTGACCTGTCATTCTTGAAATATACTGGTATAATGATAAAGTGGGCTGTGAAATAAAATAAATGCAAAACTTTTTTACTCTGATACTATATTGGTCTAACTTTGGAATAGCCTGCTCCCACAGTAAGCTAGGTTAAGTTAATCTTCAATTTAACCTAACATCAGTAACAGTTTCAAAAAAATCTTTTTTATACTTTATTGCATTTAAACAAATATTTGGTGAATATAAAGCAATATTTATGAAGAATTTGTGAGTATTGCTTCAAAGCCCAATTACAGATAGTTTACTTTTGTTTCATGAAGGCCAAATTTTGGAACATCAAACATATTCAATCCTTCCAGGCTAAAGTTCTTCGAACAAAGTCAATGTTCCATGCTATGTTAAAAACAATACCTTATATCATGAGCTCAACATCCCAGTTGTCCTCGACGTTATTCCTTCCAAATTCTCAAACTTTTATCAAAATCTTTCTCATCATCCTAATCCTTTAGTACTTACTCCAGCCTCCCTCACAATCTTCCACAAAGTTTGATAATGACCAACTTCTCTACTCAAATCCAGAGTGCATAAGGCTCTAATGCTTTCACTCAATCTCCACTAGCTTCTTATACCAGTGACACATTTGGAAAAGAAGCACTTGGATCCCCTAGAGTCCTGCTTTGACTACCACTTATGGGTGGCAAAGCTTGATTTGGAGTTCCCTGGATGAATCTAAAGAGTGTGCATAGGTATAAATGTGTTTAAGATGACTTATTGTCTTTGTTTTCTACTTAAATTTTCTTTGTTACCTACTTATTTTGTTTTCTATTATAATTTATCTGTCTACATAATTTTATTTTTAAGTATCTATTTTATTATTTAAGCATCTATTTTTTTCTCTATCTTATTGTTATTTTTATATAATCTCATTATTTTATAAATCTCCATTAACTTATCAAAGATAAATGGTTATTATATTTGCCTTTTTATCTCTAATGCATTAAAGTTACCTTGTAACTTAAATGCATTGGATTATATTTACATTACGGTTGCATCTGGAATAATTGTCGCTGCTAAATCATCCCTCAAGGTAACCTTTTCATTTAAAAAGAGGATGGAAGAGAATAATAAATTGGAGTCAGTACAGTTAGATGTATGGAAAAGGATTCATGGTGGAGTTGTATTGGGCTGCCAGGAGCCAAATGGCCTAATAGCCAACGGCAGAGGCGTTTAATAAAAAAAAAAAAAAAAAAAAAACATTTACATTACAGTTCTAGTTGTGTTTAGCATACAATATGTCTCAAAAATGAAGATTACCTTTCATTTTTATTTTGTTATGTTGGTCACTTGAAAAAATTCATTATTTAAACTTCAAGTTAAAATGGATGCATTTATATTCTTTAAAAATTTTATAATAAAAAACTTTATATTAAAATTTACATGAATGTTGACACCATATTTTTTATTCCAAGTTTTAAATTAAAGATAAAACTAAAAAAAAATAATAATTTTTATGCAAATCTTAAATTTTTGTGACACCGATGTGTTTGAAGAAAAATGCTGTAAGTGATGAAATAAATATTTTTTAAAAATTGTCAATTAAAAACAAATTTTATATTTTTAAAATCTGGATTTCAATATTTATACTACATATCTTTTTTCCAATATTGTTTACTTGTTTTAAAAACATGTTGCATAAAAATATAGAAATTTATTTCAATTTTATTCCATTGGGCTAAATATAAATTTGAGTTGTACTAAGAAATTCTTGTCCTCTCCCTGTACTGAGGATCATGATATATTCTATGATTGAATATGAGTTCATTAATTTCTTTGATGGCTATGTTAACTAAAATAAAATTATTTATTAAACAATTATTTATATTCTATAATAGGAACATCATCTAATGGACAAATGCTAATGTTTTAGAGTCTCCGATACATGCTATTTGGACACTGATTTTAACATCACATGTACATGCCCTAAAGGTTATACGGGTCGACGGTGTGAAATGTGTGCTCCTGGTTATACAGGAAACCCATTGATAGGTGGAGATAGGTGTAGAAGTAAGATACCTACTCTTTGCAACCTCAGTCCATTTACTTCACTTACTCACTTCTTGTTCTAATATTATCTTTTCTTTCTTTGCAGTAATAGAATCTGACCGTTGCCATCCTGTTGGTTCTATCCCTTCATCTGACCCTGATCGATGTATTTGTAAGGTTAGTTTTTCTAGCAGTATAAACCTTCATTATAAATAATTGATCTTTTAGAATACCATAATTTTATTTTTTTACGTAAATGAAATTTTAACTGCTCTTTCATCTTATTATTTTTCAATCCGCTCATGATATGTGATTACTGTAAGTATTTTTTCCAAAATATAAAAAGTCATGAAACCTTAGTAAATTTTAATTTAAAATTATTCATTAACTTTATAGGAATTGGTGACTGGCACTAATTGTTCTGAATGTGTACAATCTGCATTCCACCTTTCACCATCAAACCAGGACGGTTGCATCAGCTGCTTCTGTATGGGTATTACTGACAGTTGTTCAAGTTCGAACCTCTACCGTGACCAGGTATCTTATGGGATATATTCATTTATATTCTATCTTTCATGCTTTCTTTTTCATTACTTTAATTATTAATAAATGCTTTTTAAAATTTCACAGATTACAGTTACCTTTGGGAGAGATAATCAAAATGTTAGTTTAGCCCCAGAAGATGATATTTTTAATAGGGTCAGTGGTGTAGTCATTCCTGGATCTTATGAGCTCAGTTATGACCAATTCCAACCAAGGGTATAGTTGACTTATTTTATTAATATGTTTTTAAGAATTTGTATTGTCTTTTTTTCTTATAATTATTACTAAAATAAATAATAATTTATTATATAAATAGAATAATGAGATTGACCAATCAATTTTTTTTGTATTTATTATTTCTGCATATTTAATACAATTTTGCACAATTTTTAAAAGAAAAATGTAATATTTCTGTATGGAGCTCTCCATCGCCAAAAAATAAAATCGTAACTGTGGAGAGAGAAATAGTTGACCATTATGATAGGGTTGGAAAGTTATTTGGGGTTGCGGTCACAGGAAAGAAAAGATAGTTTCATTATTTATTATTTATCAATAAAATAAATTCAAACATGAAATTGCTTAAAAATATTTCAAAATAACATTGGCTTAATGAAAAAAAAAAATCGATTTATTCATATACCATTATCGAAAAATGATAAATACGATTATAAAAACGATTATACAATAAATCTTTAAAACTAATTTTTAATTTGAATCAGTGGGTGATTTCAGTTTTGCTTAGTGGATTTATGATCTATATTATTAAAAATATTAGTTAAAAAGCCAACACAAGATAGGAACTGTATATACAACTGTACAAACGATTTCAGCTTCTAAGATGCCAAATCACAGTCATATGATTAAAGCGCACTTAAATTATCAAATATTTCAAATTTGATTGTTGTTTTTAAAGAATAAGTAATATGGTTTATTTAAATTTTAGTTAAAAGACTTTTTTTTTTAATCTAAAAAATGTTTTCCTCAACAAAAAAAGCTGAGTTACCTTTTAACCTGATAGGTGATTACCAACTGCTACTCCTATTGCGAACCTCAGTTGCTGCATTGCCATATTGATCGACACATGCTCGCTCAACTGACGACCGATTAGTTTGTGGACATTTCAAATAAAATTGACAACTAAATGTTACTTAGCCATTATCCAGGCAAAAGAAAATAATTCATCTTAAAGTATGAGTACTCATATACATATATAAGTACTCATATGCATACACAAGTATTCATATAACATTTATTAAATTCCATTCGGGCATATTAACTTCAGAAAAAGTTCTATTTTTTTATTTTTATTATATTGGAAATTCACTTAAAATAAGCCTTTTTTTAACTTATTAAATAATTATACAACTGCTTCACCCAAAGACAATAAGAACAAGTGCAAAAGGTATCCTTACATGCAATGTTTACATACAAGAAAAAAACATAAATAATTAAGAAAAAAGTAAACAAATATTTCATAAAAAAAAAAATAATAATAAATTTTCACAATTACAAAAATGAACAAACAAATATATAAACTAATATTTGTTTTTATATTTTTATAGAAAATTTTTATAAAAATATAATTTTTTTTTTATAAATAAGAAATGTATTTAGGCAATTATGTTTATTATAATACATCTCAGGTCATCAACAAAAAACAAATTATAGCTTTGCAATAGTTTAGTGTAGTAATTTTACTCTGAAAACAGTGGTAGTTTTCGGTGGCAGGACATAAAATTACATCATTTATCATAACTTGGATGCCCTTTCAATAATTTTAGTAAAATTTAGGGTGACGTAAAAAGAATGGTCACTATTAAAATTGACTGAATTCCTATGATTGTTAGCATATTTGTTTTGTTTTTTTTAATTTGAATATATGGATCCAATTTCAAATATTTAATTGAAAATAATACCATTCGGGTATTACAGAAAATCGCTTCAGATGTGGATAGTCAGTAGTAAATGGAGATTTCTGTCATAGTCCCCAGTCTGCCTATTAATGTCACAGTGGAATGCTGAACTCCACATTTTTTATGTTGCATTTTCCTTACAGAAACAGCATTCAGAGAAAGAGAAATTGTTGTGAAAGTGCTAAAAAATTCTGATGTGTTCAACTGAATACTACACCATTTATCAAATATGATTATAATTTTTAAATTGGATAAACTACTAAATTTATACATTGTAAGCCCCTGTATAAAGTCGCTTAAGTTCAAAATGTTTTGACTTTGTATTACTTTTTTTATTCCTAATTTTTTGCCCAGAAATTAATTGTTAATGTTTTCGTTAAATGTTAACGTTTGTACTTAAAAGAACTATTTTTTAAAAAAATCTTGGTATGATGAAAATTTAATTTTTTATACTTTTTTGGATCTCCTAACATTGAAATTAATAATATATAGTTCAAAGAAATTTATGTTCTCAACTTTTGAAATTAATTAACTATTGTTTTTAATTATTATTATTTTTAGGTATATTACTGGCTTTTGCCAAACAAATTCCTGGGAGATCAAGTTTCATCTTATGGAGGCTCTCTAGAATACAAATTCCGTTATGTTCCAACGCCTGGAGGTCAAAGCTCTCGAAATAATGCTGCTGATATCATATTATCCACTGTGAGTTATTATTATGGTTTTTTTTATCCTATCTTCCTTCATGACAAGATTGAAATATTGAATATATGCAACTGTTTTATATATTAAATTAATGATATATTTATATATACATATTGATTTTTACCATCATTTGCCTATATATATAATATATATAAGTGAAAGTATTGGAATAGTGAAAAAAATTGATTCTGAGTTTTCAAAAGAAGTACAAGTTTTAGAGTCCCCTGTGTCAAAATAACCAAGTCCCACAAAATGGTTTGTGTGCGCATGTGTATGTGAATTTTTTTTTTTTTTTTTTTTTCCTGTACCGCTACAACCCATGAAGGGTATTGGGTTCACTACTATTTAGGGAAAGCACTGTTTCTAAGTCAAGGGTAGTGCAAGGTGGTGATTTGACCGAGATCACGCTCAACTGCCAGGTTTTCCCCCTTAATCAATTATTTAATTAAGGGTATCCACTTTCTTGTTTATGTGAATAGACTAGCTAAAAAATGAAAAGTCTAACGATTTTGACTAAATTCATTACATCAGTATAATAAAATTAAATGTTTTTTAATATATTCTCATTGATTTTCTCTATCACTCTAAAGTACCTTTATTTTTTTTATTTGAAATAATTAATCATTTCACATTGGAACCTGATAAAAAAAGGTTAAATATTTTTTTTTTTTTTTTTTTTTTTTTTTTTTTTTTTTTTTTTTTTTTTTTTCCTAAGCCTAAGTAACGCCTGCTTCGTTAGCCATGCGTGCTCGTGCAGTCCAATACAATTTCGCTCTCCGAGTATAATAGCTGTCCATTTCATTAAAGCAACATCTTATGTCCTGTAATGCAGGGCATGTATCCAGATGTTCTCCTGTCATTACGTCTAAGGAACATAGAGGGCATGTCGGGCTATCTTTTACACCGATGCGGTGGAGGTGCTTCTGAAGGAAATCGTGGCCTGTCAGCATTCTAAAGCATGCCACGGCTTGCCCTCTAGGGAGGTCTCTAGGAATCCTGCCACTTTCTTCCAGCAATCCACTCCATCGTTTCCCTTCAATTGTTTGTACATATTTCGCTTTCAGTAAACTTTGGAGGGTCTGCTTTATGATTCTTTTTGTTGAATCCATGGTCAGAGGAATATCGGGTTGGATCATTCCAGAACCTATTCTGGCCAGTTTATCAGCTTCATCATTTCCGTGGAGCCCGCAATGGCCTAGTATCCACTGGAAAGCAACTTCTGTCCCATTTTCCTTTAATTGGTTCAAATATTGATGGCATTTAGGAACATTTGGATTTATACTATATCCATTTTTTAGGGACAAAATGGCTGCCTGTGAGTCAACAAAGAAAGCCACTTTATTGTATTTCCGTTCAGTTAACATCTCAAGGCCTAAGAGAATGGCTTTCACTTCCCCTTCAAAGTTTGTGGCTACCTTTCCGACGGGGGCGGCAAGTTGAAACTCCTTTGAATAAACACCAGCTCCGGCATGTTTGCGTGCTTCTAGTGCAGAACCATCTGTATATACATGGAGCCATTCTGTCTCTGGAAATCGTTTTCCGATGGTTTCTAGGGTTATAGCCTTTTGTTCGTAAATTGGTGTTGTATCCTTAGAAACGTTCTGAAGAAGATCACAGTGAACAACAAATTGGCTGGTGAATGGAACTTGTGTCAATGACGGGAGTGGCTCCCTTTCAGCTAATTCTAGTCCTTTTCTTTGTATCAAATCTTCCACTGCCTTAGTAAAAGTAATTTGAGTTTTAAGGCGTTCAGGTGCGGGTTCATAGGTACTCCAGTAGTTGATCTTAAGACGTTTTAGCCTTTCATAGAGCGTAATGGCCAGTTGCTCCCGGTGTGTCTCAAGAGGTACTATGCCTGTTTGTAATTCTAGCGCAGATATTGGGGTTGATCTGCTCCCTCCTGTCACGAGTCTAAGGGCTTGATTCTGGATTATGTCGAGCTTGTGTAATATTGCGTCCGAAGCAGTGATAACAAGTTCTGCTCCATATTCAATAACAGGGCGGACATATGTCTTGTAGGTAAGAGCCATAACATCCCCCGTTGCTCCCCATTTTGAGCCACCTAACCTCTGTATTAACGAAAGTTGTTTTGAAGCCTGTTCTATTTGTTTTTCAATGTGCTTATTCCAAGAGAGTCTTTTATCCAATTTCACTCCAAGATATGTAGCTTCTTCTGTGCGTTTGAGCTCTTCGTTATTATGGTTCAAATTGATCTCGTGTGATTTGGTAGAGAGGGTAAAAAGTTGAAATTCCGTCTTTTCGGAATTAACGATCATCTCGTTTTCATTGGCCCACTTCTCTAGTAATTTAAGTACATGTTGCATGTGATTTTCTAGCCCTTTAAAGTCACTACTTGTTGCCCAAATGACGAGGTCATCTGCGTACAGCAGGGCATTTATACCCCGGAATAGTTTCAGTGAGTTCCGTGATATCGTCAATCATGATGTTAAACAGGAAGGGACTCAGCACCGAGCCTTGTGGGAGGCCTTGTTTTGTTTGGCGATATGTCGAGACAACGTTTTTATATCGCACCCTTATAAACCTCTGATGTAAGAAAGAAGATATAGTCTTGAGCAGATATCCTGTGACTCCCTTGTCAACAAGCTTACTCAATAGCTTCTTTCTCCAAACTCTATCATATGCCGTCTTAAAATCTACGAATATTGCTAGGGTGCTCTGTTTTCTTTGGAAGCCGTTTTTTATATCTTGTGTTAGACGAGCTACTTGTTCAATTGTGTTTCGATTTTTCTTGAAGCCAGCTTGTTTAGAAGATATTAGATCATATTTCTCTATGCATTTTTCAAGTCTTCCTGCAACGATTCTCTCGTAGAGCTTGGAGAAAGTACTTGTTAATGCAATGGGTCTGAAATTTTCCGGCATGTCTCCTTTTTTTCCTCTCTTCAAGATTGGTACCACTTCTGCTTTCCTCCATTCACACGGAATATGTGTTTTCCAGACATCATTTAAAAATTTTATTACTGTTTCTTTGGCCATATCCCCCAGGTGTATAAGAAATTCCGACAGTATGTCATCTGGGCCTGCGGTTTTACCTTTCTTAGATTTAGTAAGAGCATCATTTAGTTCTTGCGTTTGGATATCTCCCCAGAATAGTGTATAATCTTCTTCACTCATTACACAACAATGTGTGGATTTTGTGACTGGATTTCCGTTTTCTTTTTTTGGCTTGTAATTGCTTACTTTTGAATAGTGTTTGCAGAAGGAGTTAGCTATTTCTTTTAGCATGCTTATTCTTTTCCCATCGAAAGTTATTGGATGGTTTGCTAAGTTTGATTTATTATTTATTTTTGAAAGAAATTCATGTGCCTTAACTCCATCTTTTCTAAAGTCCATTTTCTGTAGGAATGTTCTAAATGAGTTTTGTTTAGCTGAAATAACTTTTATTTTAAAGATAGCTGTTTTCCTTTTAAGTAAACTTATAATTGCATGATTTTTGGAGCTCTCAGCTCTTTTTCTAAAATCATCTCTTTCTTCTTTTAGCTTTTGCAGTTCTTCATTCCAGAAAGGACGATATTTTCGTACCGTTCCTCGGGGAATAGTCTTCAGGGCACACCTATATAAATTTCCTTTTATATTAGTATATGTTTTATCTACGTTGCCGTTTATGATTAATTTATCAGTGATGAGTTCATCTGTCAATTTTCTGAAAAGCTTCCAGTCTCCTTTCTTTAAATTCCATCGTGGCAGTTGCGGTTCTTTGGTCTTGCTATTATTATTTTGATTCAGGTTAAAGTTAACCACGAGGATATTGTGTCCGAAACCAGCTATAGCTGGTAGTAGGGTATGCTTTATGTTATCAGAGATTGAGGTGTGCGCCAATAAAACATCAGGGCAGGAAGTACTGCCAGTGAAAGAAAGAAAGGTTGGACGTTTTGTCTCATTTCGAATATATTGTGCAGGGTTTGAGTTAAGGAAATCTTCAAATATGAAATATGAAAGAATTCAATAATTATCTAAAAGAGAAGTAAGCTAATGTAATTCATTATTGATAGAGAACAGAGGAAACACAAGCGCCCAGCCAAGCTTGGCCAAAGGTTAGAACTTGTTTACATGTGTGGTTTTCATAAATGCTAGCTAGGATTGATATTACTTAATATTTAATTGTATAAATTACAGCAATATAAAAATTAAAATTTGTATATATTTAACAATGCTTAAACAAACAATAATACTGGCAATGAAATATATATAAATTTAGCTGCCTTTATTATCAGTGGCACTCATGTCGAACTAAATATTTCATGGCACTTGATTATTTATTATAATCAAATAAATAATTAAAATATACAATTGTTAGAGGCAATAATTAGCATAAAAAAACCATAATTATAATATATTAGTTTAAAAAAACATTTCATACCATATGTGATTTTTAATTTTTCTTCCCTTTTGTCTGAAAATATCTATTTCTCCTAAAAGAAAGATGTGGTAAATGAAAGTTGTAAGATGTGGACACAGCACAAGATTTTTTATTTTAGTTATAAAATAATTTGTATGAAGTAAAAATAAATACTTTGCCATCTTATGAATATATATTTATGTGTTCTATGTTTTTTCTGTTTTCTAGACACATGGAGGTGACCTGTTTTATTACGGAAATTGGTCGGTTGAGCCAAATAGAATACAATCAATCAGTGCACCATTGGTTGAACAACGTTGGCAAAAAGGAGATGGAAGTCGTCCAGGCAGAGAGTTGTTTTTGATGGCTCTTGCTGGGATTAATAGTATCAGCCTTAAAGCAACCTTTACTACTAATACCCAAGCTGCTATGTAAGTTTTATTCCAAGACATAATCATAAGTAATTGGATCTGTCTTTATGTAATTTATAAGGAGTATGATCTTTGACAACCACCTCACTCCTTCTAACATTTTATAAAGTACAGGAGGGTCTTGATTATCCGAATCCCTAATAATGCGAACAAGAAAGAAAAAAAGTTAAAGTTGACTCACAAGAGACGGAATAGAAATTGCTGTTTCTTAGCACATATTAACTGAAATTGCTTCATGTGGTAGTGTTAAAATCGTATTCTGGTATCTCTAAAAAGGAAACATTAAACCTAGGTGATCATTCAGAAGTTGAGTAATCTCTTTATGTGTGGTTATTGCAGCTAATATCACAAGGGTGTCTTATTTCCGGAAGTATATTAGCTGAAAAGACAAATTTTTTCTTTAATAATTTTTTTAAAAAAGCATGACAAAGCACATATTAATGTCAGTAAAGGTTCGCTTGATATTTTAAAGAGTAGTTTATTAACTTTTATTGAACTGCAAAATTTCTTTCCATCCATTTTATTTTTCATTATAGATAAGTCATTGAAAAGCCATAAAGGCAATTAATACTTGCTTGGAGTAGACTAATGCATACATTGACTACTGAAGTTTGTCTCTTTTAAGGGATTTGTGAGATCAGGCGTTTTCTTTAGCAACAAAATCAGGGATTCACGTACATGATCATTTACAGAAATCATTTTTTACTTTGCATTATGTGTTTATATTTAACTAATTGTAAATAACATGTTAAAGGTTAATTTTAAATATTCTTTGTTGGCAGGAAATGTGAATATTCCTCTGTCCTTTTTCCAGCGTCCTTCTTCATCGATTGCTTATCAATATGAGACTTTTTAATGAATAACTTGTTCTCTGTATAATTGAGTAAAATTCATTGTGCAACCTTACATTCATATATTTCTTTCTCATTCGTTCACACAATGTCACATAAAGGAGTAAATACTGGGGGCTATCTACTACATAATAATGCATATATTTTTGTTACCCTGTGCAATTTTTCCATAATTTCAAACTTAACCTTAAGATCTCAAAGAGAGATTGGAAGAAAAGGAAAAATAATGGACATGAAGGGATGTAAAGAAAATAAAAAAAATAATAGAAGTAGAATAAAGACGTGCGGCTGCGTTCAGCAAGGAGTTTCAGTTAAAACTGGGAAAACTTCAGTAGAGCACCCTTGGAGAAATTTGCTGACCTGTTTGAAGGGTTGTAAGGGGTTAAGTAGTAAAAACAAAGCAAAACCTGGAATATTACAGTATCTAAAATTTGAAGATATTGATGGATACAAGAAAAAACACATGATACCTATGAACTAATAAATTATAAATGTATACAAAATAGAATTAAGAAATTATAGATAGATGTTCAATGTGAATTAAAAAAATCTGGTGTGTCCACTCACACGACTTTCCTACCTATTTCAGAAAAGTTTTTATATCTTTACATATGTTCATGAAGAAACAAAAAATAATTGAACTAAATTTATTTTCCTGAAAATTAATCAAACAAAAGATTTGAGTACGATTTATTTGATAAATTAAGGCAATGAAACCAGCTTAAGGTAGATCAGTGTAAAAAATTCAATACTCACTAATATTGCTGATCAAAAACATTTTGCCATAGCTTAGTATTGTCAAACAATAATTTCTGTTAAAAGTACAGGAAATAGTGAAGGTTGTGTGATGGAGGCAACAGAATTTCTTAATTTCACTTAGTCATCTTTTTTCTCTTATTCACCCCTTTCTGACACCAGGAAATGAACTCGTAATCTTTCATTGGGAATTGAATCGCTGTAACTTCATTAATAACTGTCCAAAATGAACATTTTTATGTGGCCTTGTAGGGAATTCAATTACCTTTCAAACGATATGCTAAATGGGGGTCAGGGGGCTGTGAAACATACAGATCCGTCGAAAACCGCATGTCGGAAATTTGACCCGATTGCAATACTTTCCTTACCTAGTATAGGTAGGAAAGTAATAAAAATGAAAGACCGTACATAGAAGTGAAATATAAATATTAAAACAGGAGGCCATACATTGCAGAACTAATTTAGAAGTATAGAGAAGAAACAAATATGAATAATTACAATTATAATCAATTGTATATATTGTAAGAAAATTACATTTAAATATTAAATAAAATTGAGGCATAATGTTTAAAAGTACAATGAACACAAAAAAAAATGCATGATCGTACATTGATGTAGAATGTAAATATAAAAATTAAAGAGCCATCATACAAAACAGAAATACTTAAAAATAATAAACGATTAAATTAAATCTATTTGTATAAAAATGAATATATGTCTATCTGTCTGTTTGTCCTTTATGCATTACTAAACTATTCAACCGATCGCCATTTAGGAAGTCTTCTGTCTTACAATTAGTTTATATGTGTAAAAAAAATAAAAACATAAATGTTTTTTGTTCAAAGCCACTGTTCTCCGAAAGTTCTTCACCGATTGCTTTGAAATTTTGACTCATCATTGCAATTGAATTCAGGAGTGTTTTTTGAACATTTTTTTACCATAGGTAATACCCATATTTATTTGAACGCTTCCTGAATTTCCTACAAAATGGAAAAAAACATACGAATTGGATGATTCGTTGCAGAGTTATAGAGCTTTAAACATTTACTACTTTCTCTTCAGCAAAGGCCATTTCATTTTTTTTTTTTTTTTGTTATCGATTAATCGAAAATTTTATAATTACTGCAGTAATTGAAATTATCATTTGAAGAAGTGATATGATTCTCCTTATGTAGGTCATTGCTATTATACACTATTTATATTCATTATATTTATCTTTATATTCATTATATATTTGTTAAATAGTAATCCCCCATTATCACAAACTTGATTAATGCAAAACGGTGGATATTTCAACTTAATTTCTTATTCGTGCCGAAAACAGTGTATCTTTTAGATCATTTTTTAATAAATTCCTGGTTAATACAGATTATTTGGTAAACACAAATCTTGAAATATTTTAAGTAATGGTTGAGTAAAATTTTTGGCTAATAAAATTTATTTTAGGTACAAATAAATTGTAAACAATTCTTGGTACCTCCTCACTTAAACTCTTCTTCTTAATTTAAATTCAGTTTTAATCATACCCTTTGCTTGAAACATCTCTTCTCGTAAAAAAGCTAATAAGTTGTTTGTCAAAGACTGTCATAAATAGAAATATTTTAATTTTTAAAACCTAAACATGTTATATGTTATAGGTATCCCATGGCAACCATGTCATAAAAGAAGATTTTTGTTATAATAATGAAATATCTCGAAGACAGTACATGTTAGGGCTTTAAAACATTTAAAAATCTCCCAGTTTATTCAGTGAACTTTATTAAAGTTGTTGTAGGAATTTACATATCAAAATTGGAATAAGTCACTTCTCCATGAAATTCTATTACCTTTAATACCTCATTCATGAAAATCCACCACTTCTGAGAACCAGAAAAGAGATCTATACTATTGTATTATATCTTCGGCACCATGTTAAAGTAACAAACATGAGCCTGTTTAACGTTGCATATTCGTTACTTCAACGATTAATACGAAGTTATAAACATTAGATTATATAAGCACTGGTGGATCACTTTTTGTGATGTTTTCAGGCTGCAGGAGGTTACTATGGACACTGCTGTAAACTACTACACAAACAGAGGTTACGCTTACGAAGTGGAAATGTGCAGGTGTCCTCATGGCTACAAGGGGTCATCCTGCCAATACTGTGATGCTGGCTTCAGAAGAAGTACTGAAGGAGTCTATTTAGGACTCTGTGTCGAGTGTGAATGTAACCGCAGGTCTAATGACTGCCACCCAGAGACCGGTGTTTGCTATGTAAGTGAAAGTTCTTCAACTCTATTAACTTACAATATAACAATAGTGGTGAACTACATTATTATCTCTTAACTCATCATTAGACTTAAGAATAAAAATAAAAAAAAATTTTATTTTTCCTGTATTAACTTTTAAAAATTTTCTCCCTGGCATTAACATATTTTTAACTTAAAATGATATCATATACTGTGCTCTGCTACAATTTATTGCAGTTATATTCATGATATTGAATACCATAGAATCTTTGGAAATATAATTTACTGGATCGCTTGATAACAATTTTTATTTTATTTAGTTAGCCAACATTTCAGCCATACAAGCAGGGGTATATCAATCGAGAATGCATTAAAGGTGCCCCCTTCATAAATTATCTTGATATAAAAAAAGATACATTAAACTAAATAAAGGAGTCATAAATCTTACAAAATACATTTATTTTCTAATTTATAACAAAAGTAATGCAATAAAACTGTTACGCTTACAATTCCACCTTTCTGGCCTTCTGCGACGCAAGCATATCAATGATGTTTAGAAATCAGTTTTTCCGTTTTTTCTTGCTCTATACTAAGCTAAGCTAGGCTGAATAATCTTTCTTGAGCCATTATAGCCCTCAAATATGAACGTATTAATTGTAACTTACTTAAAGATTACTCACAACTTGTAATGGATACTGCAATTGTGAGTAGAATTCGAATGGAAATGCCTGTGCGCACTAATCATACCCCCTCGCTAAGCGTGGGAATCGATATTAAATCTAATTTCAGGTTGTAATAAATGTAAAAACCAAGCATTAAAAGAAAAATCATCTCAATCAGTCAAAAAGCAATATCTAAATTTTGTTTTGTTTTTTACAGTTTTTTCGCTTTTCTGATTTCATTTTTCAATATAAAGATTTTAAAGGGATACCATTTTGTATGTTATTGTGTGTGTATACATAATTTCCTAGAGGGTTTTATTAGTCCTACGCCACTAAGATTTTCTCTTTCTGATTCACCACAGCTCACCAGGTTCAGGAATCATGAGATTATTTGAATGTAGGTTGTATTACTGGTTTTCTTGGATTTTTTATTGGTTTTGTTGAAGTTTTAATTATTTTATTTAGATTTTTAAGTTTAATACTTTGCAAGTTTTGCACCCCATTTTGAATAATGCCCAGGACATGTGTCCTACTTGCCCCACCTTAGATATACTACTGCATACAAGACCAATTTATGAATGAAATGTAATTTCATGGAAGTATTATAAATTAAATTGATTAAAAAATTATAAGCCTATAAATATTTTTATTATTATACTAATTTTTTTGTTTACTATTTAATATGTAATATTATATTTCTTAATGTAATTTTTTAAACTTCTCTTAATGTAAGATTGCCTCATTTCACTCACATCATTATATTAATTGGTTCTATTTAATTTAAGAACTGCCAAGACAGTTGGACAGGTGATCGTTGCGACATTTGCCCTGAAAATCATCACGTTGACAACTGGAAGAGGTGTGTGCCATATGGGCCACAAGTCTGCAATTGTGATCGCAGAGGAACTGTGATACCTGTTGATATTTGTCCTGGAGGCCGTTGCAACTGCAAGGTATGTTTTTGTTATCCTTCTCAATACTACTTTATAAGCAATTTTGTTAGTTCTTTGATATTATTGGATACTCAATTTTTTTATGCTCATACAAAAATTTACAATAATATTATAAAATTAACAATATATATATATTGTACAATTATATACATATATAAGATGGGTCAGGAGGAACAGGCCAAATCCAGGAGTAGGTTGCACACAGGAAAATAGTAAAAAAAAAATTCATATGTTCATATCCAATTTTCATTTGTTTAAATTTTATTAGCTGATTAAAAATAAACAAAATTTCATAATTAAACAATATTTCATACTAGCATTAGCATTTCAGTATTAACTTTGTAATTTTGTTTACAACATAAGTTATCGGTAAAGGTGTGGTGTGGTATTGTTGATGGTTATGTTATTGGCCCTTTGGTTTTAGAGAATCGCCTCACAGAAAACTACTACTTGGATATTTTATGATTTGAATTATAAGACCTATTAGAAGACATTCTTCTAGATATCAAAATGCAAATGTAGTTTCAACTTGACAGAGCTCCTGCTCATTTCACTTGTCAGGTGAGGCAACATTAAAGAAAAGTTTCCAGATTGTTGGATTGGTCATGGTGGTTCAATTAATTTGCTTCCAACATCTCCAGATCTCAAAGTAGATTATTGTTTATCATCTTTGATAAAACTTTTGCGAGCTGTATTGATGGTGCTTGTGTCCCTAGCTTGGAGACACCTGTTCTAGAGATACAACCATACATGGGAAGGTCAAGTTCCATTCCTTGCATCCGCCACAAAATAAAAGTTAAGCCAGGGCCCAAAAATCGATCTCATTGCGGGCGAAGGTTTGATTGTAAATTACGAAAGTGTATAATAATCTGATAAAAATAACCTAGTCTGCCATTCCAGAGCCATTGCTTTAAAAAATAGCGACTGATTCAATTGAAGAATATTAGGCCAGTAATTTGAGGATTGAAACGGAAAATCCATTTTGAAAAATGTGAGAAAGGTTTTTATTTTTTTAGCTTGTATATATGAATTTAGACATATAAAAAAAAAATCGCTAACGTGAACCACGTTAGCCAACAAGGTAAAACTTTTAACAGTCAAAAAAGTCAGATTTTTTGGATATTTTTTTTTTGTTTTGTTACCTATGAGGTTAGGCGATCTAACAAAAATACAAGACATTTTTTCTGAATTTTTTTTTTATTTTTCAACAGTCTCCTTATAACTCTACACACTTTTCCCAGTGATGCTCCCATCTCTGTAACCCACCCAAAAAGTACTCAGCATTTTTCTCTGCAAAATGATTGTTCACGAAGGTGATTGCCTCTTCATTTGACGAAAATCTCTGTCCTCTTGTCATTCAGTCCTCAAATTACTAGCCTAATATTCTTTTAATCAGCCGCCATTTTTTAAAGTAGCGGCTCTGGAACAGCAGACAAGGATATTTTTATCAGAATAACATACACTTTCGTAATTTACTATCAAACCTTCGCCTGCAATGAGGTCGATTTTTGTGCCCTGGCTCCAGGGCTAAACTCTTGCCAGGCCAGATTCAAACGGGTGTCGCTAGACACGAGAATGCTACGTTGAACAACACTCCAACACTCTCGGCCAACACGACCTCACTCTTCTCTAATAACTATACTGTTGTACCATATCCATTGAATATTTTTAATTGTTAGGCATCAGGTTGATACTTAATCATTTTTGTTGATTTTTAGATTAGAATCACGCTCTCCCTTTTTTTCCAGCAAACCAAATATTATTTAAATTATTTTCTAAGAGGTGGTGTTGAGAGATGAAATAACATATTAATTACTGATTTTTCTGTAGTATTATTTTTTATAAAATATTGATTATTTGTACAGTAATAAAAAGTAAATTTATTCACATTATATTCTCTCATTTAATTTCAATAAAAAAATTATTTTACAGGTGAATGTGGAGGGCCAATTGTGCGATCGGTGCAGACCAGGAACATTTAACCTTGCTGCAGATAACCAGCTCGGCTGTTCTGAATGCTACTGCTCTGGGGTGTCGAGCAGTTGTCAGTCGTCTAATCTATATTATGAACCGATTCCGATGGTATGGTTAACTGAAAGTGATCATGGCTTCATATTGAGCGATAGGTAACTTCCTCTTCTCCTATCAGTTAATATGGTGCTGTATTTTATTGTTTTTCATTAAAGCTGGGTGCTGTTTTTAAACCTAGTAATTAAATTTTTGCTTCTTCACTATCGGAGGTTGGAAAACATTGTATTCGTGCAGAAGGTTAAAAAAAATTGGCCTCAGAATTAAAAATGTTCAATGGAATATTATGTTTCAGACATCCAGAATCAAATTTGGTTCGGTGTCTGTCTATCTGCCTATCTGTTGTCAAATCGATGTGACGGGCATATCACCTACTACTGTTTATCCGATGTTCTTGAAATTTTCAGGGATTGTGCGGGTTGGTATCTATATGGTCCCATATCAATTTCATCAGATATAATTTCGCATGCAACACATGCATATATATTTTCTGAGATATGCCAATATTTTATCCTTGAATTTGATTCAAAGTTGGAACAAAGGTGGATATTGGTAAAAACATTATGCTGTGTCAATTTTATTGAATTTCATCCACTACTTTCTCTTGAATTTGTGTAAATATATTTTCCTTGAAAAAGATATATCTCATAAACAGAAACCGCACGTTTGATTTGTCCCGAAGTTGTAGTTAAGTTAGGGATTGATAAGCAAATGATCAATTAGTTATCAATTTCATTAAATTCATTCTACCCACTACGTATAATAAGTAGACTGTATAATTTATTGTGAAAATTAGAAACAACACCCTTTTTTATACAGTCTCATTTATTTCCATTTGGTTCTCAGAGCTTTTGGTGCTTTGCACTATATTCATCTAAAATAATTAATACATGCATATGTACTACAAAATACATTATTATTTCCAATTGTCTCATAGGATTCTGCCATGTTTCTACATAAGTTACCACTACTACTTTCGAAAAATACTTTCGGTTTTTGATCTGCATTCGTTAATACATTTTTACAACAATTTTATGACACACCTTTAGTTTGAAAACGGTTTATTCAAATTTACTCAAAGCTAGAGGAAATTTTTAGAATAGTGTACAAATTACATTGTATCAATTTCATTGAATTCCATTCAACAATTAAAGTGAATATAAATTACTGTTGAGGATGGCTGTGAAATGTGAAAAGCATTGATTATATGGAAAGAGAGATTAAGTTCATAATATTGTTCTATGAGGCTATACAATTTTAGATTGTATTAAAAAAGTTAATGTAAACTGTATTTTTTTTACTATTACATATTACTAGCTTGCCACCTACTGCCGTTTCTTTTATTTTATGCAATTTTCAGTGATTAGGAGGAATGAAACTTATTTTATTATTTTGAGGTACATTATTTGAAGTATTTACTTCTTTGCATTGGAAATCGGCACCATAACCTTTGAGCTACCTCACTCCTCTAAATATATTATATATATATATATATATATATTTGTAAATTTAAATACAATTTTGCTAAAATTAGTAAAAAATAATATCTTATTTATGATTGTGATTCTTTCTTTTTAAGTTCAACCAGCTTATTCTGGTCTCAATTTCTCTCAGAACTTCAAACTAGTAAGCAGTTATATTCCACAGCTTTCTGAATTAGTTATTGTTAAAGAGTAAGACATGGGCTTTAATACATTTTAAGTATGTATAGATTTTCTTCTCATGTAATTTGTAAACTTCACTTATATTTTTATGTTCCTTCATGATTTAACTTTTATTCTGACTGTTTGAGAATTTCAGTTTTTGTTAGCAACGAAATAACAAAATATTGAAATTTTTCATATATTTTTGTTCCATCCATTTTACGAGTGAAAATATATCCAAGAAATACATATTAAGTACATATGCATGTTCGTAAATGTAGGAGCTCTTCTGCATTATTAATTAGATAATGGTAAAAACTCGTGTAAATCAAACTCATGAATGTTGTGGGGTTGCAGCAATTTGAAAATGGCTTCTCCAGAAGATTTGATTCTCAAATGAAAAATTATAGGCCCTGAAATAATGGTAATTGTGTAACCAATTAAAAAAACAAAACAATGAAGATGGTGAAGAAGCTATACTGAGCTTATTTGGTAGACTTTTTTGCTATGTACTTATTTATGTCACATTTATTGAATGTAATTTTACCATCTTATCCTAGAATAAGAAAAATTATTATTATTTTTTTTTTTTTTATAGAAATGGAGGCAACATAATAAGAAGCGGCTTTGTTCTAAACCCACCAATGAATGAAATTGGTTACATTTTTGACAACAGACAAGAAGATTACTATTGGTCATTACCGCCAAAATTTACAGGAGACAAAGTAATCATTTAGCTTTATTATTATTTTTACTATTCAAAAATAAATTGAATAATTATGATAATAATGATTTCCAATTTCTGCTACTAAAATTTCTATAACATACATTAGTCAGAAATTCTAATTAAGATTGATTAAATATGATTTAAAAATTATTTAATTATTTGACATCACTGGAAAAGGGATATACAAAAATATAAAAAAATGCTTTTCTATAGTTCTGGAATTAAAATGTATGAAACTTTGGTCTATTATCATTTCAAGAATAAAAAAATCATTTGGTCGATTTTTAGAATTAGCTGCGAAGTTATAGGATAGTTTGCTAACTGATAAATAATTGGATTGAAAAATCATATATATATATACACGGTCTCCTTAAGTAGAGAGAAATTTTTATAGGAGTGATAGCAGACCTCGAGAGCTTCAAAAAAGTTCGTATAAACAATGGACCAATTTTCAGCAGAAATGTAGAAAATCCAAGTTTTGTGATTTTTTAAGTGTCATGTTTTTTTATTGAACCAAAAGCAATAACTAAAGAAATATTTAGTTTAAGCAATTAATAATTGCTTCATTGTAAACAAGATAAAATTTTTTAAACTAACATAGAGTTTCTTATTGTTAAAACCATTTATAGGATACTTTTGAGCGGCGAAACTAAGCTATGTACTGTTTTTAGAAAAATCATAAAGGATTCGCCATTTTTTTTTTTTTTTTTTTATCATCATCCAACTATACTACAGTTTCCCCACTTTTACAAAAACTTCTGCTTTTAATGAGCTTTTAGTTCGAATTAATTTAATTGATGTTTATTTGGGGTAAATATGAGATTTAGCTCAAGTTTTATAAAAAAAATTGATATTTTTTATCCTGTCTTGTTTTTCCATGATCTGGAATGTATTTTAATAAACCTGAATTGACTAAACACACATTTATTTATAATTATTATCCTAATGAAGAACAATTCTCTACCAAATATTTGTGAATAATATTTATCTAAATTATAGTTTTATGGCAATGAACCTTTAGGACAGCAAGAGAGAAAATAAAAAAAAATTTCTACAACAGTTGATGTTTTGAAGATTCTTTAATGAAATATTATTAAAAAATAATTAAGAGGTAGTTGAAAAAAGCAAATGGATCAATGTTAGTGGATAATTGTGGACTGTTAGAAGATATTGTTGAAGAAAACATGGTTGGGGATTGGAGTCATTAGAGTTAAAGTAAAATTAAAAAATAAATATAATTTATTTCTACTTTGACTGCAATGACTGCAGTCCTCAATCATATCTTCAGCAAATGGATCCTGAATGATTTAAATTGTAACATCATTGTATGATATTATCGATTAGTAACATTATTATTATTGAAAATAGATTTCTTTAAGGTAACATTTTTTTAATTTAAATTTTTTTTCAAAGTGGAAAATATTTGGCGTGGCTAGTATTTCTTAAAACCTTCAATTATTTATTACACCGAAGATTAGATTGGATCCACATCAAGGCATCTTAATCTTAAAATTAAAGCTTATTTAATATGATCCATCTGTTTCTGATATTTGTTCCAGACAAGTTATTTTATTAAACCATCCCCTAAATTCTAAGATTAACGAATTTAATTAATTTTAGGTCACCGCATATGGAGGGAACTTGACCTTCACCCAGAGATATACCACTATAGGTGGCAGATATCCAGAACCAAACTTTGACATAATTTTGAGTGGTAATGGCATTTCTATTTACTGGAGGAATGAAGGTTTGTCCCGACCAGATGAGAAAAAGGTTAGTAGATCTTGGTTTAAAGTTGTTTATAAATGCATAATATGTGTAGTAGAGACTTGATTAATAGTTGTATGGTTTCTTTTTAGAAACACTGCAGTTTAATTAATGTATTTTTTATTAAAATATTTTTATAATATTTAAGAACTTTTTTTCATACTTAGAATCAGTTACTTTAGAACAATCATTTACATAAATTATTTCTGTATTTTGCTTCATTATTTTGCTATTCAAAATTGCTATTGACAGTGGATATGGATTCAATAGAAACTGTTATTATTTGTGTGCAATGGCTAATTCAATCTAACATACATTTGTGTTGATGATTGGTAAACATATCTACATATATAAGTTAAATAATTGTGAATTTCTCATCATATGTTGTTTATATTTTTTTCTTCTATCTTAGTCTAGATACCATAGTAGAGTTTATTACAGCCATCCTCTAGTTTTTAGTTGCCTGATTTGATTTGTGTTTTTTTTAACTAGTAAAGCTGTGTCATAACTCTTTGTAATGAGCTGTTTACTTAAAGATTAATTAGGTTTGCAAAAATGAAAAATATACTGTCAGTTTAACAGTTAAACAACTTGATTTAAGTATCTTTAACCTTATACAAACGGAATTTGTATTGTACTCCCTGAGACCTATTGAAATTATGCAGTAGAGCAGGGTTTTTGGTTTGTAATCCTCTCTATTATAATGACTGGAATATAGAAGACAGAGATGGATATGAATTTCAACACCGCTCTGCCAATATTAACTACATAGAAAATTAATATATGTCCCCATAATATGTTTATTTTTAATAAAAATTTCAAAAGGATTCTTTCTATATTATTGGAGGTATCCAAGGGATCTCAGCGCCATTTTCCTTTGTTTACGTTTTTTAATTTACGATAGACCATAATAAATTTCAATAATTTTATTTTTAAAAACCAAAATGATCTGTCATTAATATTTCATGGCACCAGCTAGAACTATAGTGGTTTAAAGTTATAGTAGGAATTTGAGAATCGAAATTGGGATTTGTAATTTCCCCCATAATTTCCTTTCTTTTAACTTCTCATTTGTCAAAATACATGGCACTTGATAGCCGGAAATAGAATCTATACCAATGTATTATATGTGTAGTAGTAAATTTTATGTGAGATTAAAGTTCTTCATATTCAAATATCTAATTTCTTAATTTAATAATTGTTTAATTTTTTTCCTCTCTTCAATTTAGACTTTCAGTATCCCGATAAAAGAAGGACATTGGAGGGTAGCAGACCCTAGAACTGGTCATTCCTTTGCTACAAGGATAGAAATATTGGAAGTAAGTCACGTGTTCATTAAATGAAACAGCTTAAGATTAAATTTGATCTCACTTTTTTAATTTTGATTTGATGGCTGATATAATTCAATAAACTGTATTCAACTTTTATCTACATGAAATATCAGATAAATGAATTCAACAAACTATTGGGAATTATTAAATTTATATGAGAAGGAGTTGATCGGGGGGGAGGGGGGGGGTGCGGTCAAATTAATACTAAATTAAACAAGTAGAATTATTTAATTTTTGCCAACGTTTCGACCCACTTTGCAGGTCTTCATCAGAGCGTATGATGTAGCACTGCGGGAGGCAGTTGAAAGTGCTACATCCTACGCCCTATTGAAGACCTACAAAGTGGGTCGAAACGTCGGCAAAAATTAAATAATTCTACTTGTTTAATTTAGTATTAATTAACCCCCGATCAACTCCTTCTCATATTTTATATCAATGGTCAACCATCTCTACATCATTATTAAATTTATAATTAACTTTTGTATTTTACATTAATTTTTTATTAATTTCTTGTTTTATATTTATTACGTTACTACGCATGTTACTAAATTTTTGTAATGCTAATTTTTATATAAATTAATCCTTAATTACGTTGGTTTAAAAGTTAAGTGTGTTAAATCCTGGTACTAAAAATATTAAAAAACATTTGTGTTATTTTTAAGACTTTTAATTTTTAATTTAGTGAATGCATCATTTATATCAATTATTAATTTGATATTTTTCATAGATATTGTCTCAACTCTCAGCTATTCAAATTCGAGCGAGCTTTGGGCGTGAAACACGAGAAAGTTACTTAAGTGATGTTGCTCTCGATGTTGCTATTCCTGAAGCCACTGGTCTGGCAGCTTTAGAAGTCGAGTTCTGTAGGTGCCCTGCAGGATATACTGGGAACTCTTGCGAGGTAATTGTATCAAAATCTGTTGACTTCAGTCTGTCTTATTAATATTCAACTATATAATACATCAGATAAGTTATGTGTCTCTGAACAGAATACTAAACGGAAGTCCTTGACTACAGTAGATTTGTTTCAAACTGAACCAGCTCTAACCTACACTTCCTGTATACCTGCTCTAGGGAGTCAATGGCATTGATAGAGCAAAATAAGGGTGCTCAGAATCGGCAATGTTGTGTGTTGCTCTATACTCTGTTAAAACAGACCAATATACTGTTATAATATACTGTTAACATCAATAAATTGACGGAGCTGAGGATCAATAATGCATTCGCACTCAACATTGAAGTACCAAAGCTAACCCCTAGCTAAACCTTCACATTTACACATGTTTATATGACAGACAATGTGTGAAAACTTATGTTTCCTTCTTTATTCGGCATAATCTGCAGATTGGTGCCTCAGTTAGTCACAGATTGAAGAGTTTTTTATTCAAATGATAGTGATCTGATACAGTCCTTCCACGCTACCTAATATTATTCCTTTCTATGTGTATTGCACTTCTCTTTAAACAAATTCCTTCTTGGAAAAGCTTGCAATTTGTCTGTTTTCTAGTGCTTACCCAATAGAGCTGAGGGTAATACCATACCTGTTTTTTGTTTAACCATTATCCATTTATTTTAAAAGCTGCTAATTTATTTTTTTTTAAATACATCTTTGAGAAACCTTTTTTTAATTTAATTTTTTTTTCCCTGTAATCCATAGTTGCTCGAACTCAAAACTATCCATAATATATTAAAAATTATGTTTACTTATTATTATTACATTAATTAATTTAACTTTTAATTTATTTGTGGAAATGGATGTTCCATATAAAGAATTTAGTGAAAACTGAATGTGAAGAGGAAGAGTTCTATTGAGTAGTTACTTTGAATTGTATGTTTAATAATGAAAAAAAAAAAAGAATTTTGAATTTTCTTTATCTTATTCATTACAACATAATATAATTTTATCTTGTCTTAATATATCTTACTTTTTATTTATATTTTTGTTTTTGTAACATGACATACTGATATCTAGTTGTTAATTAATCTAAAATACTATCATAATTTTTTTGTTGGGTTACCTTTGATTTTATAAACTATTCTATTACCAAGCATCCTCTTTTCTAATTATAATTATAACTTGTTCCTTCCCTTTTTTTAGAATTGCGAACCCCACTACTACAAAGATTACGACAACACGTGCAAACCCTGCCGTTGCAACAATCATGAAGAGAGTTGCTCAATCGGTCCAGATAACAGACCAACCTGTGTCTGTCAACCTGGATGGTTTGGAGAAACCTGTGATAACGGTTTGTGAAGTTTAAATTTTTTTCTTTTCTGAATTTACTTCTTTTTTATAAATATTTGTATGGTTTATATTATAAGCTATTTAATGTTAGAAGTTCTAACCAAACAGCAGAAAATTAGAAACATCTATATGTTCATGGGGTCTTATTAAATGGACAAAGGTATGTAAAAAAATTGATATTTATTTTTTAATCCACACAATTAAGTGATCTGTATTCCTTACTCTCTTTGTAAGATATTCATTCTCATTTTTTAATTTGTAGCTTTCCTTGTCTTTTATAAATTATTTTATTACCTTGGCTTTAGTAGTTAGGTAATATTTCTAATTTTTTAATAAATTATATTTACTTTTTTAATCATCAATAGGAAAGAAATGTCTCAAAATAAGGAAATGTGTCAAAATAATTAAATTTCATAATTCTTATTTATACATTGTGGCTATTGACTTCAAAGGTTAATGAACTTTTCTCTTAATTTCATATTTGAATTATCTAATGCCAAATCTTTGTATTTATCAAAATAGGTCTTGTAATTAGTTTAAATATTAAATAATTTATTTTGATGCAGCAGTTGCTTCTCAAAATAATTCTTTCAGTTTTTGTCTTCTAATTTTCCTATTTTCATATTTTTAAATTAATTATTCTTAAATGCATTTCAAGCATTGTTTTCTAAAAAATTAAATATTTATTTTAACTTAACTGTAATCCTAACTTTTAACTATTTAGTATAAAACTTTTTATTTTCTAACATATGAGGTTGTAATGCCAGTTTTTTTTTTATGTATTCCTGTTTGTTTAAATAACCAAAACTTTATTTCTGTGGTGCCTTTTTACAATCTACACAATTTATTTGTTAAACAATCAGAAGAAAATCTATAAAATTAGTTACACAGTCGTCAGAATAATAAATTTCTTTGAGAGATAGAATGAAATTCTTCCTTTGTTTTATTCTCTAATCAAAATATTCATAAGATGTTTTTTTATAACATATATATATATATATATATATATATATATATATATATATATATGTATATGACATATATATATGTATATGACACTATATCATATTTCCAGAATGGTAGTTTAAAATGATATATCTGTCTCAAAATAAAACCTACTTAGTTTTCTTATAAAAAAAATATTACTCCCTTTACAATCGGTATAGGACAGATCGTTGGTTTATTGCAAAAAGTCGCTAAGTGCATTCTTAAGATAGGTTAAATTTAAAATATGTTTTTGTCAATTTCGACCTCATTTATTCATACAAATATTGCATGAAGGTAACACACACCCTTTATTTTTCATGTATATTTACACTAATTGTACAATTTTCTGATTTTATAAAGAGAAAATTCATAGATGTACTTAATTATTTGCGGTTATAAAGTGTCACTTATTGAATTTTTGCAATAAACGATATTTATCTAATGCAAACAAAATACAAAATAATATCTTATAATGCTTAATTGGTAAAAACTATAGTGTTGTATACTTGATAAGATATAGAGATAGTGTCCTATATCTCTGAGGAAGATTTAATTGAGTAAATGTGGTGTAATATGAGATCAAATGTTGTCGTTGGTTAGAATTATCTTTCACCATAGGAGAATAAACCTGAACCTTATGGTTAAACCTTTGTCATTTTGATTGCTAGAACCATTATATCAACTTAAAGAGCTTTATTTGGGATACATTTTATTGCATAAAATAAAATAAGTTAAGGAATTAGTGTTACTTAATAAATAAAGTCCATCAATATATCAAAAAATATAGAAAACATGAAATAATAATATGAATTAATAATTAATATTATTGTGTTACAAAATATTAATTATATAATTTAGCATGATAAAAGGATGGTTACAAGTTAGATAAATTTCACTAATAAAAAGTTGATTCTAGAAGGGAGGTTTAGACCGGCTAGCTGGTCAAAAAGTTTATAACAAAAATAGTTGCAGATCAATAAAATAAATCAAATTAGAAATTTAGAAAAACAAAGTAATAAATTTGAATTAAAACATAAATAAAATTTGTTAATCACAAAACGTTGATACATTTTCTTCAAATCCATTTTTACCAAAACTTAGTCAAAATGGTGAATACATTTTTACTTGTAATTCTTAGCATTTTCTTAATAGAAATGAATTTTGTTTAGACATCTTTATATTCTGCTCATACAGAAGAGAAAAGTTATACTTTCTTTTGTGTGGTTCAAGGCATACTGATTTTTTGGAAGCTATTAGTATCTTCGGAACCTGTATAAATGTTTTGGCAAAACTTTTTGATTGATTTCATGTGGCTGACAAAGGTTTAACATTCTTGGATTAAATTGGGTTTTATTTATGAAATACCATGTTTTTTTACTTCTTGTAATTGTTTATATACTGAATTATGTTGTACAGTAGAATCCTGATAATTCATATTGCCAAAAGACTGATAGTAAATTACAAATTATTGAAATTTCTAGCAATAGAGGGTAATAATTAAAAATATGAAATAACAACATTAATACAAACATTATAACTTTCACTGTAAAGAGGATGTAAGTAGAACAATCAATTCTTACAATTTTACTTTTAAAAATAATCAGTAAATTCTTTTGATGTAATCCTTGAAGACAGAACATGTCTATAGATTATACATTCTTTACTATTTGTAAAATCTGCATTAAAAATGTTTCTAGATTCAGAAGGAGCAATCATATTTCCCTACTCATGTTTCCAGTTACAACGAACTTTACTGGACACTCTCACACTTTTTCCATTAATGTTCTTAAATTTTATATTGTGTCTTTGTTTTATCAAACCAATCATATCATCACAAGCTCAAAAATCTTTAATTCACATTTTTTCAACAAAAAGTTAGGCTGTTTTCTTTAAAATAGGACCTCCAATCAGAAGTTAGAATTAAGTGCTTGTTTCAGCCCTATTTTTAAATCATCTTCCAATTCTGAGTACTTACCCCTTTGGAATTGCTTTAGTTTACTACTCGTAGGCTGAGAGGCAATTTTATCTTTTTTTCTTAAAATGTAGGCTATTGTTGGCGGAGGAACATTAAAATGTTTTGATATAACAATTTGTTTTTCAACACCAGCCAAGGCTCTAATGATATCTTTTTTTTCTTGATGGAAAGCGATTTTTTAAACCTTATCATTTTCGAAATCAAAGTGAAATATAACATCACATTTGATGAAATTAGAAAAAATGGTAAATAAACCGAAATTTATGGAAATGGTAATCTCTCACTCACTCCTCTCTCCTGAATACAAATTATCAAGGGAACCAAATTACATTGTGTTTTATATAGGAATTTGAGAGAGATTTTCCAGGAATCTGCTAATCCATATGAATTTCCGGGAAACCAATTATCAGGATTCTACTGAAATTTTATCTCAATATTTTGTTGAAGTAGTTTGTGTAATAATTGTAGTTATGATATAGTTATGATCCTAAAATAGTTTTACTTAGTTATGACCGATTTCTTGTCCACAAAATATCTTTGTATATTAACAATAAGAACTATCATAGAACATTTGACATGATTAGAAGCAGTGACTATTTCACTACAGTTTTATCTTGAGTCTATTTCAATGAAAATTTTGTTTAAAAACTTTATATTATTTATTTCATTATTTTTCTACAGTTTGTCATTCACGTCAGTGTCATAGTTGTCCTTGTAATAATCGTGAAGAGAGTTGTGAATCCGGACCTAACAATGAGGTCATTTGTCACTGTCGGGAACCGTACAGTGGGCAGTTCTGCCAATGTAAGTATCGGCCATTACTTTCAAAAGCAATTTTTTTCATGTTAGTCCTTTTTCGGAGGGTTTTGATGCTTCATATGTTAAAAAGTCAATTTCATGTTTTTTATGGTTTTGTTTTCTTTTTTATGTCTGTTTTTGATAGGAATGGTGCAGAATATATATATTTTTTAATTATTTTTATTCCTGTGTTTTATTGATTGCGTTTTTGTGTATTATCCTCTCTGTTCGTTGCTATGATGTGAAGGTTTTATTGTATTGCTTTTATTTTTTTATTTTTTAGAATAATTCACCACGGTCTCATTGGGTTTATTCTGCTGTTTATTTATATATTTTTTATAGCATCCGTGAAGCTTAGAAGGATTGTGTGATTGACAAACTCGCAGCACTTTGCCAATAAAGGCACTCCTAACTTTTTTGATCTCCCAACCTCTATATCACTTCTAAATTTGGCTACACTAGCTGTACAAAGTTGGATATGCCATTGGAAAGCTGATGAAATGAAGCAAGTTTTCCTGAAAATATCCATTTCTCATAGTTTACTTTGCATTGACTGCTATGATAAAAAGACATTTCCTGACAAAAAGATATTTTCCTACAAATCTATTACTATTTTATTGGAACTTTGTCATAAATTCTGAAAGTAGTAACAAAAGTTCAGTTTCATTCGAGAAACGTTTATGGGGGAAACATGGTTATCTTGGAAAAACTCTTTAAAAAATCATATCTCTACAATGGATACCTTTATAGATGTGCAGTTGGTGGGACTATATTTTCCTCAATTACTGACGTTTCCTCCTTAGACAACCTATATACAATATTGTGGAGCAATGCATAAGTTTATAATTTTGGGAAAAAATATGACATAAACCCAGTTATATTGTTTGGCAATAGTTTTTATAACAAAGAAAGGGTGTTTTCAAATTCTGTTTTTAGAAATGTTTTTTGGATAGACTCAATAAAATCACGTGCTCCATTTGAGCAGTTCACTCCATTTTATAATCCGTTTATATCTTCAATTAATTTTCCTTATGTATGTAATAATTTTATGATTTTTTTTTTTGGTTTGGTTTTTTGGTTTTTCTATTGTTTCATTTCTTATCTTACGTAATTATTTGATTGATCCGACATTATTTATGATTACTTACCACTCTATATTTTATATACTTAGGGTACTTCCAGGATGATGAAAACAGAAAATAGTGATATAGTTATGACAATTATAATTTGCTTTTTGTGCTTATTTGTAATGTATTTGTTAATTTGTAGTTTATCCATCCTTATTTGTTTAGTGTAAGGCTTAACTTAAGAATTATGTGCCATTTATTGTGATTTCAGCATTGCTAGTAAATATTTATTGTAAAGGCATATCTATGTTCAAATATTAATTTAATGTATGTGTATGTGATGTTATTTTCTGTTATTCTTCTTAGTTACCAGATATTTACCACATGATACGCTTGTATTAATATTAGTGGCTTGATATAATGCTATAAAGCTTTATATTTTTAAATGAAAAAATAATATATATTTGTAGCTTAATGCAAGAACTACTTATGTCTATCGAGAGAACCAGAGTAATGGGTTGTAAAACTGATCAAAGTTTAGCTATGTAATTTTATTTCTACTAAACTAGTGTCATTTATACTGTAATTCCAACTCCAATTTCCCATTATTTTTTTTATTATTCCTAATCAACACAATGGGACCAAAGTGCAAAATTCTGTAACTTAACATTCTTATGCTATATGAGATATAGATCCAAAATAAATCTTTTTAAGCTGTTATTTTTTAGCTATTCAAATCTTATGACCAAAAACCTATTTTGTTCCAACAATGGAATATACAGAATTAAAGAAAATAGAAATCTTTTAAAATTAAGATGATAACATTATTTTAATAAGTTGCTTAATTAAGTGTAAATTATAAAAAAAAAAATTTTCATTATTTGATGAACTATGTTACGTTAACCACTGGTTTTGTTCTTGAGGTTAGATTATAAGACTGGTTCAACATTTTAAGAAATATATTAACTGTTTTTGAAAGCTTAAAAAAATAAAATAAAGCTTAATATCTTTATTTCAATCTTCTTAAGCTTAATCAGCTGGAAAACGTGAAAGTGGGTATTTGACATTTTGAAAAATAATTCATTTTCACAAAAGTACATTTTTATTAATGTTTTCTTGTATGTCCTTAAACTTCCTTTTTCTAATTTTGAAATAAATGACGTTAGCACATGTAGAAGTCAAAAGAAAAGAATGTTTTTGTCTAAAAACAATATTAGAAAATTATTATATTTTATTAAACTTACCATGAGGTTAGTTCTCCATAATAGTATAATTAATAAGAGGCCATATACATCAGTGGTCCCCAATCAAATTAAAATTAATAAAGTGATAGTATAAAAAAAGACAATTTTTTAAGGCAGAATTTTAAATAAACATAAATTAATCACCATAAATAAAGAATTTATCATGGGGGAAAATATCAGATTCTTTTTATTTAATTATTTTTTTTTTTATTTATCACATCAGATTCCTGTTAGTTTGAAAACCGAACCTGTGTTAATTTATACAACATTTGGATTTGAATTTTTCATATTTTGGTCAGATTTTAAGATAAATGGCCCCACTTAAGAAATTTACTCCATAAGATCATTGTGACAGTGAAATATTTTTACAACACTTGCATTAAGGTATATATATATTTATGTGATTGGTGTATGTACAGTAGATTGTCTAAAGTTCTGCACAGTCCACCATGGTGCTTATTTATACAGGTGACTTAGAATTATGTTTATTCTTAAATAAAACATTGTACTGATGAAGCAGATTACTTTTATACTTTCTGTAAAATGCAGCTTATCCATTGTCTTTCATGTGAAGGTGTTGGGAATCATTTTTAAAGAAATCAATCAAATTTAACAATGAATTGTTTAATTCTTTCTTTAGATGAGTGCAGTGGACACTATTACAGAGATAGAGACAACAACTGCAAGAGGTGCCCGTGTAATGGTCATGAAAGTAGTTGCTACCGCTTCCCAGACAATAATGTAGTCTGTGTTTGTGAACCATTATTCTTGGGCCGTTATTGTGAAATAAGTTTGTAAAACATAAAATTTTCTTTTGTTTTGTTGTCATTATATGTTACAATTAGTTTTAAAATTAAGTGGATATAATTTCACTTAGCAACATTGTAATGGCTACCATACTCCTACATTTATCATCTTCTAGGCTCAAATATATCTATTAATTTATTTTACTAGCGTATTGGTAATTAGTAAAGTGATTATTAGTTTCACTTATTCATGCCTCGTCAGAAACTTGAAACTAATATTTTAGTCAAATGGTGCTCCTAAATGAACAATAAGGAGGCAATGTTCATTGACATTCCCTATTCTCCTCTTCTGATTAACCATGAGGAATTTATAGTGATTAAAAGTAAATATCATCAGTGTTTTGTAAAAAGGTAGAATGCAGAATATTGGAAATTTCTGGATTTTCAACTTTTTAGATTCATGACATGAATTGTTAACAATGTGTAAAATGGCTGAATTGGTCATGTTTGAATATACCCTCTCTCTCTATTTAAAAATGGCTAAAATACCACTCTATATAAAGTCTTGTCACTTATATCTAGTTCTGTCATAAATATTGTTACAATGAAATATATACAGATTTCAACAGAAAAGTTAATTTTTTCAAAAACTTTATTAGAAAATAAAATGTATAATCTATTGAGAGTAAAACAAAAAATAAATTACTCAAAATGTCCCCCTTTTGCCTTGACACAGGCATTTAATCTCCGTGGCCAGTCATCAATAGTAGCACGCAGCACTTCTTGAGAAAAGCACTCAACTGCTCGTACCAGAGATCGTTTGAGGCTTTCCAAGTCAGGGTGTGCTCTGTGACATGCCATTCTCTCCAGTTCAGACCAAAGCCAGTAATCTAGTGGGTTGATATCAGGGCATTCTGAGGGCCAATCCGAGGCAGAGATAAACTCTGGAATGTTCTTTTGCAGCCACTGCGGAGTTGACCTGGCCTTGTGAGCTGAAGCGGAATCCTGCTGGAAAACCCAATGACTTTCAGCAAACAGAGAATCATTTAGAGGCTTGACAACAGGTTCCAAAATATCATCCTGATAGCTTTTAGTGGCTGTTTTAACTTGTTTTTCACAAAAATGGAGCTTTATGGTGGCATCAAAGTAAACTCCCCACCAAACCATCACTGAGGAAGGGTGATGACCTCTTTCCACTCTTCCAATGACTTCCTGGGCATCTTTAGAGCTGTATGTGTACACACGATTATTTTGGCGATTAAATTTTTCTTCAATTGTAAACATTTTCTCATCGCTAAACAAAATCTTTTGATGAAGACCATTGGTGTAACAGCCAAGGAGCACTTTGCATCTATCCACTCTACTATTTTTTTAGGGAAGTGGTTAGCCTTTGTCCTGTCATTATTCGAAATGCACCCATCCCAAGGTCACTTTTTATTATGCAAGACATTGAACTGACAGAGATTCCCATTTCCCAAGATATGATTTGTTGTTTTCGAATGGGATTTCTTCTGATTCGTGCAGCCGCTGCTCTCATTACATTTTCCATTCTCACAGTGTGGGGACAGTTGTGTATATCTGTCATATACAGATAAGGTCTCATTATACCTATTTATAGTGCGGTACATGAACATACGGCTGATACCCATAGGTTTTTAAGTGTTGAAAATCTCTGACCTACATTTTCCAATTTTGTGTAAGGTGATCATAGCTATTCGGTTTTCTTTATCACCCCACTCCATGTTAATGAGGGAAAGAAAAATACAGACTAACTGAAATTATTATCCTGACACGTAAAGAAAATAACCTGATAAAGGTATGGATTATCTAAATAATACCCAAGGATGTAAACAAAGTTCAACTTTTGTAACAGTATTTATGGCAGAACTAGGTACTCTCAAGAAAAATAGTAGCAGAGGTTTCTCTGTATTTAGTATGATTTTGTTTGATTTAGTTAAACATTATTAATAATATTTTTTATAACTTTCATTGTCAAAATATTGATAAACATTTGTTATTTACTTTGAATCTTTTATTTTGTGACATATTAATAGAACCTTGAATAAGTTCACATTTAAAAACATTTTAAAGTAAGTGGTAAAAAAATATATCACTTAAAGTATAGTTCCTCACTAGCCACTACTTTTTCCCATCTTTCTGGCAGTATATGAATTTCACTTCGGAAAAATGACTCGTCTTTTAAGGCTATCCAAGAATCTACTCATTTTTTGTTTTCTTCCTTAGCGAGGCCAGTTTTGCTGCATGTGGCTGAGCATTGTAATGTAATTAAGTCACCATGTCGTGTCTTTGCTGAACATTTTTCCTTAACGGTTCAGCTCAAACACATCTATTGTAGTCGATAGCAATCTCCCGTGATAGTTTCAGATGGTTCAGAGAAGCTTCAAATCATAGATTTTTGACTATATAGATGATGTTGATGCATGGCCAGACTTAGCCCACACTTTTACGATTATCGTACTGTATCCATTTGTTATCCTCAATTATGATATGATAAAAACTTCAACTCATAATGCTTCCAATGTCTTTGTTTCTGGATCATTCCTAATGCTTTCAAACTTTATAACAAAACTTCAGCTGCAAATTTCTTTTGAATAAAATAGTGCAATAAAATTCCCCACAAATACTTGGCTCAAAACTTGACACTTTTAGAATTACGAAAATAAATGTTTACACTATTTCAAACTGACAGCTTATGAACAGCAGGACAGTAGTTCTTGGAAAATCCTTTTACATCTGAAATTAAATGCACATAGTATTGGTGCTGTCATTTGTTAAGAAACAGATAGAACTTATTCAAGGTTCTAATAATTTTGGTTCCCTGCAGATATATATGGGCATTGAAGCTGCAGTGCCAACAATGTTAAAAATTCCAGTTTCTGTGTCATTTGTCATCTGGTTTTATATTTGAAAGAAAAAAACTTCTAATTAGACACAGAAGTCTATTGATTAAATTTTTAAAAACTTAATTAGTATTTCCCATATTGTATTAAAAGAATATGATAAAAATAAATCATCATATTTTAATAAACGTTTTGAGAATGTAATGTAATGTATATTTTATTTCTAATTGTGAACTCTTATTACAGACAATAATGGTACAATGGTCCACCTAACTCCCGGAGGTACACTCCGCTCCCCCCTCGGGAAGAGGATCAACTTTAATTGCTACTTTAAATCTCCAGAATATGTCTACGGAGCTATAGAGCTAGTTTATGCTGCTCAAAACATACATGGAATTAGTTATTCTCCCACTGAACGAGAGGAAGGTTATAATGGATCTATAGATAAATTTATTAAAATAGAACAAGGACTCAAGGAGGTTGTTTGTCATGTGTACAATCAGAAGAAGGAAGTTATCGGACTTTCTAGAGCTTCAATAGTAATAGGTGCCGTTTCTTTATACTTTCATGTTATCTGTGAAGATGTCACTCCATGTATTATTTGTTTCCATTTTCTGTCTCCTTATTCGTTGAGGTAAAATTAAGTAAATATTTAAATTATTTACTTCATTTCTTGTTGAAAATGGTGTATGTACAGGTAATAACTGTTCCATTACTTAATCTTGAATGTGACTTAATATCATCTGTATTTTACTCACTTCATATTTTTGTACTATAATCCTTGCTTTTTTCATTGGTATCTTAAGTTTCACCTTTATCTTAATTATAATTATTTATCTAGTCTAACATTTCTATACATTTTTCCATAATGTTTTCTTGATTTACCTATTTGTTTGTGATTGTTTTATATAGTGTTTATGTTATTACTTATTTATGTGAAAGATTCTCAACTTTTGTTGTAAACCAGAGTTATCCATTTACATGTCTAATTAGGAGATAGTTTTTGTTTCTAATATCTATGTTTGAATGTAAAATATACTAAAAACCTCATTATTATTGTAATGTTGTTACTTTATAATTTTATAAAAATGATAACAAATCTTAATTTATATATATATATATGTTCATTTATTGTGATTTTTTTTCCTTCTACTAGCTGATTTCAAACCTTGTTTTTTATTATAACTTGCTTAAATTTATATTACTATGGCAAATTAATTAATTGTGATTTAAAAGAATACTGGGTAAATCTTATTTTATTTTTTAGTTAAAATGTGTTTTTCTTCTTTTTTTTTTCAGAAGAGAGCGCTCCAACCAAATCACCATACCCATCAATTCAGCCAATAATAAAATTGACCATTCATGATGATGAACCAACTATTCAAATCAAAGAAGTTGGTTCCACCGTGCGATATAGATGTTCTGTAACAGATTTGGTAGGTTTTTGTTATTAAATAATCAGTGACTTTCTTTTCTTTTTTTTCTTTTTTTCTGAAAAATGATTTTCGCTCTGGAACATTTTGTCCCATAATAATTTGAAGCTCAATGGATATCACAATGAAAATGTAAAATTTACAAAATTATTATTACAAATTTATGAAGTGTAGGGGACAACTAGATATCGATAGAAGCTGGGTACGTTTGATTTAATAAATATAGTGAGGGTATCTTAGGTATTGATATTAACTCTTGTTCATGGTGAATTTATAATAAATTATAGTTTTCTATTTTTTATAAGCATAATTAACTTAACATGTTATTAAACTATTGTTTTTTAACCAACTAAGTGAAATGACAAGAGGGTTGTGTGTTTGGTTTGTCTTCTAAAAATTGTTTAAATAAAAAACACTCACAGACCAGGTTATTTAATTTATTGATTTATTTAATTCATATCAAGATATGAACTTAGCTGGCAGAGTTCAAAGAATTAGATTGAGTCAACAATAAATTTCTTTAAATATTTTGTTCTCTTGACCTTCTGTTGTATGGTCTGATGTGAACATACTCTATGATTTAGCTATAAAGAGATCCATATTAATTTATATCATTTTAGTAGTTACATTTCATTACCTCATATTAGTTCTGATACCACGCCCTAAAATTACTCAGCCTGCTTTGTAGTAAACTTGCTTCTATCTCTGCAGAGAATCATTAAGATAAATTTCCACAAGAGATATAGAGTAAATTTTAATGGAGGAGTTTTTATTTTTGTAAGTTATGCAAATTTTTATAGAGACTCAGTGATGATGAATGTTATATCTTATCATTACATTATTTATATATTTTTGGACGTACAGTTTCCTGTGATAAAATAAAATTTGTCCAAAAAAGATTCATAATGCAATAGTGATTATTATAAAAACCATTTGTATTAGTTTGTTTAATTATGCCATTATAAGTGATTAATCAATTTATAGGAAAAGTGTTTCTTGATGTGGAAAAAACAAGATACAACAAAAAAGTTTATAACATTAACCAAACCATTTCTGTCATGAAATAGTTAACTATAAACAGGTTTTTAATGTTAACTAATAAACAGAAAATAAAAATTGTTAAAAAGATTCTCATTCATGAAACAAAAACTGTGAGATTAAAAGAGTTGTTGTTAGTATTAATGTTAATCATATATTTATTTAATATTACAATCATATAAAGATTCAACCAAAACTGAATAACCTAAATAAGGTTGTTAATCATAGGTATTTATTTTTTTTTTAGTTATGGTGGAGATAATGATTAGATATATTACTCTCAATCAATATTATTTCTGGGTTATTGTTTCGCTTAAGTTTATATTTATAATATTATGTGTTAAATTCAATCAGTTTGTAAATTCAGGAGATCATAAAAAAAAATCTAGTTTATAGATTATAAAAGTTCCATTATTTCTGAACCAATCTAATTTATTTGTTTTGGTTTTTTTACTATTATTATAAAATATACTTTAACTGTTTAAAAAAATAATTGAATAAAATTGTTTTTATAATTTTTCAGTATAACCTAGGACCTGTCACACTCACCTGGTCGAGAATTAATGGAGAAATGTTGCCTTCTGGACGATCCTCTGATGACAGACAAGGAAATCTAGAGATTGTCGATTTAAAAATTTCAGATTCAGGAATCTACGTGTGCACAGCCGAATCTAATTTAGGTTCAGTCTCGCAAGAAGTTGAACTGAAAGTTGGAGGTAAATATTATAATTTTTTACAAAGTACTTTAATTAGAAAGAACGTTTATCAGAAACTTGAATATTCTGCGTTAGAAAATATTCATTTTATATCTTATTATTAGATGGCGTTACGAACTACTTATTGAGTCAAAGCCTGCCTTATTACAGATTGCCATTCCTCTCTGTTTCCTTCCAGTTCTGGATACCAAGTAGCCACTCCATCCTCCCAGTGAAGGTTAGGATGTCCAACTTTTCTTGTTCCATATACAGGCTCTGAAAACACTTTATGTGGAATCTCATTTGGTTCAATCCTGGAAACATGGCCCGCCCAAAGAAGCCTTGATAACTTTATTAAGGTGTATACATCAACTTCTCCATATACAGTTCTTAATTCGGCATTATTTCTCCTTCTCCATATAACTTGTTCACAGTTACCACCATATATTCTTCTCAAAACCTTTCTATCGAATCTGATAAGGGCTTGTTCTTGGTATTTAGTCAATATCCAACATTCTGCAACCCATGTGCAAGAACCGGTCAAATATGTGTCTTACAAATTATTGTTTTTGCATCCCTACATAATGCCTTAATTTTTAACAGCTTTCGGAGGACAAAATATGTGCGGTTTGCTAGGAGTATTCGCCTTAGTATTTCTTCCTCCATATTATTTTGAAAGTTCACTTGGGTTCCTAGATAGATGAATGATTGTACCCTTTAGAATCTATGCTTTCCAAACAGAACGTATCTCTCATAATTTTCATGTTGAGATAAGGTGCTCATATATTTCGTCTTTTCTTCATTGATGATGAGTCCTAATCGTGCTGCTCATGGAGATGTTCTAGTGCCTCAAAAATTATTCTTAGCACATCGAGAGTCCTTCCAGTTAGATCTAGGTCATCTGCGTATCCAAAGACCTGTATTGTCTTATTTATTAAGGTACCAGTTGTCTGGATAACAGAGTCTCTGATAGCTTACTCTAGAGAGAGGTTGAATACTTGGCAAGCAAGAGTATCTCCCCTTGTCTAACTCCCGTTTCTGTGGAAAATCCTCTCGAGAGTTTCCCATTCGTCCTTGTGAAGCTTTATTGTCTTCCATCATCATCCTCACAGGATGAACCAGTTTTAATGAAATATTCATGTAGACAATCGCTCTGTAGGCATCATCTCTGTTAACAGAATCATATACTTGTTGATAATCAACAAAGAGATGATGCGTTGGAATCTGATATTCCCTGGTTTTTTTAATAGGATGCATAGAGTGAAAATTGACTCAGTAGTTGATTTTCCTTTTTGAAACCCAGACTGATATTTTTCCAGTTCGCGCTCGGTATGTGGAAGAATTCTGTTAAATAAAATTATGGAAAAAATCTTATATGTGCTTGGGAGAAGTGAGATTCCTCTGTAATTAGTGCATGTATATACATCTCCTTTCTTATGAATAGGACAAATTACTGTTTTCTTCCATTCAGGTGGTAATCTTTCTTCTCTCTAAATATCCGCCAAAATTTCCTGCAGGAATTTTATCATTTCACTTCCACAGTGTTTGAACAGCTTAGCTGGTATGTTATAGTGTGGGGGTGAATGTAGTGTGTTTTTATTAGTATTTTGGTGTGAGTGTCGGTGTACTGTTCCCCCAACCTGGAGGACCAGTGGCTGGTTGCGGTATAATTACCGGGTGATGGGGTTGCCACCTCCCTACACCTAACATTTTATATCTATCAGCATCATTATTTAAGGGATAAGTTATCATAAGTTGAAAGTTAAACCTTCCAGTCTTCTTATAATATGTTAGACTTATTATTACATTCTTCCCAGTTTTATACCGCTCATCTCTTGTAAGAATTGGCATTGGTTCAAAGTTTACCTAGAGCGTTGACTTTTATTTTGTCACAGAATAAATTTTGACCTTAGTCGTCCTGATTCTAATTGACGTATCCAAGGTCAAGTAACAACATGTTCAAGAGATTTCGTGTGTGGATTTTTTTTATGTGTGTATGTGTTTGTTCTTATACGTTTATAATTTATTGAATATAAATTGAACTTCTTTATTTATTATATCATTTTAATATCATTTTTAGGGTCCTAGAAAAATTTATTAAATTTCAATGTATTGAAAAAAATTATTATTTTAAAACTAAATATTTATTAAATCTTAAACTGAAAAAGTAACTTCCATAATTTTTTATATTTTATGTTGGCTTGATGTTTTGAGGATTTAAAAAATCTGATCATTTAGTTTTAATTTTGTTTTCTTTGATGCCAACAAAATTAACTGAATTTATTTAATATTTAGTTATATGTAAATAAATACATGTATAATCTATAAAAATAATAATTATCTTGAGAAATATGTTTAAACCTTAATGTAAATTAATGTTTGATATTTTTATTTGTACTTAATTCATTTTTTATTTTCTGTAAATAGCTTTCGACCCTGGAATCAAGAATAACAAAGGTAAATGACAGATGACAAAAATCACAACTGATGACCTTAACAAATATTTTGATTTTGAGTTTATGATAAAAATACATATGCATAATTCTAGCCTTTGATATTTATTATGTTTAAAGGATTCTACTGTGACTAATGCTAACTTTCCAATTCTGTGAATATAGTAATCAAAATTTCTTTTCACAACTAGGTGCTTTTCAGATAAAGTATTTATATTACAGAAGAGTCTTGATTGTCTATTTGGTATAAATCATAAATCATTACATTGCTGCATATTAATCATTAGTGAATAGAATCAGGAAGGTCATTAATTTAAACAGAGAACATGTTTAGTGGGAGTGAGGAACACTTTATAATATTTAAAGTTTAGAGCAAGGAGAATTATTAGGAATGATAACTGTTTGGAAACAATGAAACAACCAGGAGAGGAACTACCTGAAAACATTATTTGATGTCGAAAGATTTTATGACTTGGAGAGAGGTATCTGATAATTATATTATAACTACTATCTGAATCAAAAGCTTTAGAAAAGTGAAATAGGTCTAGGGCAGAGGTGTCCACTGTGTAAGTTGTTTTCAATTTAATCATGTTTAATGAGTTGAAAGCAATTAAATTAGGGTAGTTGAGATTTAAAAAGAGTTAAAAAACTATTATCTTATTTTATTTATTAAGAAATTTCATAATAAACCTTCATTTTGTTACATATTATAATATGAAATAATAACAAGCATAAACAAAACTTTCTTTTTCCTTCAAAATGTATTGAAATCCCGAAAAATCTCAAATTTAGGGTGTAGAATGCTATGATAAAACCAGTTCTGATATATATGGCTGTAAGTCGTGGATACTTACCAGCGCCCATGGATACCAGCGCCATAGAAAAAAAAGTATTGAAAGATCTGAGAAAAACATCCTCCGGATGATAACTAGAGCGATCTGCGATCAGAGTACTAACATGTGGAGAAGGAAGACCAATAAAGAGTTGTTTACAGAAACTGTTCAATCAATATCTCATGATATTAAAGTATGGAGATTAAGATGGGTGAGTCATGTAGCAATCCATCTGGAAGCCTCTACATAACAATGAATGCCTCAATAGTAGGCAAAAGACTATGTGGAAGGCCAAAAATTAGGTGGATTGATCGAATCAACAAAGATAGAGCAATAGAGCTGCATACAGATATCTGGAAAGAAATAGTCCAAAATAGTTAAGGTAGTTTTGTTAAGGTGGCAAAATATCTATAAGGTCTGTAATACCAACAGAAAAAAAAAATGTATATATATATATATATATACATTAAAGTTCAGCATTTAACCATGAGAAAGGTGTTATTTTCATTTATATTTTTTCAAATTTTAGTTGAAATCAATCCTGTCAATCTTTATGTCATGATTATTGTTTATTAGAAAATTAATGTTAATTAGTGATATGAATTTAATATAATATAAAAGGAAATTATGTTTGTAAATGTATGTATATTAATATTTTATTTTTTTTCAGCTAATCGCAGGCCACCAACTGTTAATATAGAACCTTCAACAGTTGATGCTCGCGTGGGAGATCTTATCGAAATAGTTTGTCATGCTGGAGGAACACCAGTACCATCAATAGAATGGAGAAGGGCTTACAATGAGACTTTTAACCCTCAGGTAATAACAATTTTAAAAATGCTCTGTAAATGCATCTTCTGAAGGAAATCTATGTGCCTGTTAATAAAGTACATTTATAAAAAATCAAATCATTTTTTGGTAATACTTATTGATAAATTTGAATTAGATCTATACTACATTTTGAATAAAATTTCTGCACTTATAGTGTACCGAAATTGTTAGATGTAATATATTTCAGAGATTCAATAATCAGTCAACTATTTTTGACATTATAAAAAATTGTTCATAAAAAAATTGGTATAATCCATCACACTACTTTTACTTACCACCCTATTTTGAGTTTAAATTCAGTTTTTAAAAAGATGATACCTCTTACGAATATTACTTTAATTATAAACATAAACTTCAGACAATTAATATAAAATCTAGCAATTCTTTTCAACTTATATTTTTGCTTTATTTAGCCAAAAAAAAAAAAAATTTATGAAAACATTTATCATTCAATAGTACAAAAGTAGATATTATTAACTACAACTACTAAAGCTAATTTTCACAATCACAATACTTATCCTTACAATATATTACATTTATAGGTAAGTGAAAGTAATATGGGTAGTAAAAGATACTGGAATTTATTTTTAATTTTTTCAACTTTTTTTTTTCATTTGATATCCACATTAAGTTAGTTCTATGCCCATATTTGTTACAGCATATTGTGGAATTACTTAAAAAGTAATTAATAATTTTATATTTGCATGAGATAGATCATCGTGGATTTTATTCAAGGAGAAGATATAAGGTGATGAGAAATTTATTTAAATGATTAACAAACTTTAATTTTGCAGACAATCATTAAATATGGTACTGTGAGGATTCCATATGCTCTTACAACTGATGCAGGTCTATACGAGTGCACAGCTAGGAATGAGATAGGAATAGATACAAAAACAGTCAATGTATATATAAGAGGTAAATTAAAATTATACTAAACTCCATTATTTTAGTACTAAATTCAATATGGGGTTAATTCTAATTAAGTTTTGTTATTATCAGCTCCTTCTCCACATCTTGAGCAAAATTATATTTGGGTTCTGTAAAAATAAAAAATTCATCTATGATTTTATTTTGATACACACACACACACACACACACACACACACATACATATATATGTATATTATATTGTTAAGTGTGTGTGTATTTTTATATATATATAAGATTGTCTGGAAAATAATACAGGATTTTGGTTTAAAAAGAAAGATTTACAAATGTTTTATTTAATCCAAATAGTCTCCATTGCTATTAATACATTTCTGCAACGTGTTGGCAACTTTTCCATTCTCTCGGAATAGAATTTTCCATCTTTAGAATTGATAAACTCCAAAAATGCATTTTCTAATTCCCTTTGTCCATTAATTTTATTGTCAAGTAAGTAGTGGTTCAGGTGTCTAAAAAAATGATAATCCGATCTGAAGAGTAGTGTGGATGTGGCAGAGTTTCATATCCAAGCTCCATCAATTTTTGTGACTTCACATGTGGCCGGCGTTGTCATGCAACAAAATGGGCTCCTTCCGATTGACCAAAGATGGCTTCATTATTGCCAATTTCTGATGAATTGCATTAATTTGGTTACAATATGATTCTGCATTGATAATTTCTCCAGGATTTAAGAAGCTGTAGTGTATCAAACCAAATGAAGCCCACCAAACAGTAACCATAATCTGTTTTTGATGAGTTGGGGGCTTTAGAAAATGTTCTGCTGCTTCTCCTTTGTCAAGCCACTGTCCAGAACATCTATTGTTATCGTAAAGTATCCACTTTTCATCACAAGTAACAATTCTGGACAGAAAATGGTCGTTTTTGTTTCAGCAAAGGATTGTGGTACAAACTTCATAACGTTTTTTTTTTTTTTTGGCTGTCATTTAATGTGTGTGGAAACTAACTGCCAAGATTTTTTACCTTTCCAATCGCCTTGAGGTAGTCATTGACTGTCGATTTGCTAAGGTTAAGTTTCCCTGCAAGTTCTTGAACACTTGTTCTTCCACCAAAGCCTGCAGAACATCGTCATCAAGAGATCCCTTCCACCACCTTCTTTGTCTTCAACACTGAAGTCTCCCTCCCAAAATTTTTTGAACCACTGTTGAATAGTGCACTCATTCATTGCTGCTCTCGCCTCAGACTTGATTGATGTTTCTGACCATCTGGGGTCCATTCCAGCCGAGTTTAAACTCGTTAAACAAAATTATACGAAAATCACGCATTGACATCTTAGTTTCTGATTGAGATAGATAGACTGAATTCTACCTAAGCAGCGAAATGCTACAGAGCTAAACAAACATTATCGTTTGGAAGAGAATTAATAAGTGTTGACATTCATACTAATGCATAATCCAGTAAACATAAATAATTTCTTATATAGAAAGGTATTTTAAAGAAAACCTCAAATTCCTGCATTATTATCCGGACAATCTAGTACATTACTAAAAAAGGTTCAACATCAAACATTTGTTTGATATTTTATTGGTAGATAGTTGGCATTATTATTTATTTATTTATTTATATATATTTATTTACATTTATTTATACAATAAATGGTTGAGCTCTAAAAATGAGAAGGACCTGAGGGAATATAGAAATGCCTGTAAAAAAGTAAAAGCTATTAGACGGAAGGCTTTAAATATCTATTGGGAGAAAACCTGCAAGTATGTGGACACTTACATTGATGGACAAAAGTCTAGTGCTGCTTGGAGGACATTAAAAAGTTTGAAAAATCCCAAAAGATGTGGAGATAACTTCCCATTGATCAAGGAGCAGCAATGGGTGAATTACTTTGAAGAATTATTTCATGAGGAGCGACCCGAATTCGCATGGAACCAATCCGATGAAATAATGCTAAATAAGGAAGATATACCGCCAGTCACAATCATAGAACTGGATTCAGTCCTCAAAGGAATGAAAAATAGAAAATCTCCCGGCCCTGGTTCTATTCCAATTGAATTAATTAAAGCAGGCCCGACCGAACTCAAAATGGCACTGGCAGAAAGTATGACACTTCTGTTAAATGGTGGAGAGATTCCTGAAGAATGGAAATAGGGTTATATCACTCCAGTTTTCAAAAAAGGCCAAAAGAAAGATGTTTCCAACTACAGAGGTATTACTGTTACCAGCTCGCTGAGTAGATTATACGGCCGGATAATTAAAAGCAGAATTGAAAATGATTTAAAGGAAGAGATCAGCGAGGAACGGGCGGGTTTTCGAGCTGGAAGATCATGCACTGATCACATTTTTAGTCTCTCACAACTTATAGAAAAAAGGATGGCCCACGACCGTGAACTCCATATGATATTTTTAGATTTACACAAGGCCTATGATTCAGTACCTCTAGCGAAATTGTGGAAAGCTTTGGAATCCACATCTATTAAGAGATACCTCATCAGAGCAATTCAAGAGCTCTATAAAAATATAACGGGGGCTATAAAAATTGGAGATAGAGTGTCTAGAAGCTTCTTCATTAACAAAGGATTGAAACAGGGCTGCTGCCTTTCACCCCTGATTTTCAACATTTATATAGAACAAGCCCTTAAAAACTGGAAAAGATCATGCTGTGGAATTCATTCATCATTCATGTGTGGCACGACATCCCGTTACCGAGACTGGGCCTCCTCCAAGAGCCTCCGCCAGCTGGCTCTGTCTTCTGCTGCAGCTCTCCAGTTCCGTACACCAAGCAGGGTTCTCGCATCATAGGCCACGTTGTCCAACCACCTCGTCCTCGGCCTTCCTACCCGTCTTGCGAGGTGCAGCTCCTCCATCATTATTTTCTTGGGTATCTCAATGGTGCTCATTCTGGCCACATGCCCTGCCCACCTTAGTCTGGCCAGTTTAATATAGGTGACTACGTCGATGTCTGCATAGAGAGAACTGAGCTCCCTATTTTTTCTTTTCCTCCAGACATCACCCTCCTTTACTGGACCATAAATCCTTCTGAGGACTCCTCGCTCAAACACACTCAGCTTCATCTCATCGTGTTTGGTCATCGTCCAAGCCTCTGAGCCATATGTCAAAACAGGCCGAACAAGAGTCTTGTATATGATCAGCTTGGTCTTCTTTGAGAGGTACCTACTTCTTAAGTGTCGGCCAAGTCCATAGACACATCTATTGGCAGCCGTGATCCTTCTTTGTATTTCTTGAGCCATGTCATTTTTGCTATTAATTTCAGACCCAAGGTATATAAAACTTTTCACTCTCTCAAACTTAAAAGAACCTACCTCAAATGGAGAGTTCAGATCCACCTCACCACCAACTCTCATATACTTAGTTATATGCTGTGGAATGAGTGTTCAAATCGGGAATGATGTCATCTACAATTTGCAGTATGCCGATGACCAAGTCATAATCGCATCGGATCCGGATGATGTTAGCTATATGATGAGGAAGTTGCTGGACACGTATTCCAGATGGGGTCTGAAAATCAGTGAAAGTAAAACAGAGTATATGGTTTTCAACGCTCCAAATTTGCCCCTTGAAATTGATGACTGGACGCTAAATGTCAGCCAACAGTTCAAGTACCTCGGATACTGGTTATCTTCAAAGGGTGGTAGTGAGGTGGATATCGAACATAAAATAAATAATGGGAAAAGAATAATAAGTTCGATAAATTCAACCCTATGGAGGAAAGAAATAAGATTAGAAACTAAAAAAAAGATATACCATTCCTTTGTAGAAAGCGTAGCCACTTACGGATCAGAAGTCTGGACACTGACAAAAAAGATGGAAAATAAATTGCTTTCCATGGAAATGGATTTCTGGAGAAGAAGCTGTGGCATATCCAGAATCGAGCGGATCCCAAACGCAGCAATTAGAGACAAGGTCGGATGTCAAAAGAACATCCTTCACCTGATCGGGACCAAACGGTTAAAGTGGTATGGCCACTTAATGCGGATGGATGAGAACCGCTGGCCAAAGAAAATTTATAACTATATGCCACCTGAAAGAAGGAAGCGTGGAAGGCCAAAGAAGAAATGGATAGAGGACGTGGAGGAAAGCATGGCAGCCAGAGGGCTTCGTGAGGGAGATTGGATGGACAGGGAGCAGTGGCTTTTGGGTGTTGGGGATATGACTCCTTGAGTTGTATAAAACCCAAATTAAAAAAAAAAAAAAAAGATAGTTGGCAAACGATTTATAGAACATATTTAATAAAGAAAGGAATGACAAAAAAGTTCTTAGATGACTAAATTTTGTTAAAAGAAGAGGAGTTGAAATAAAAATAGTAATGCTCCAAGTAAAATTGAAGGATTGATATTTGTTTCAACTTTGAGTTTTTGTTTTCAAAATAAAAAATATATATATTTGTAAATTATTTGGTGAATATAATTCCAAAACTGAACATCTACAGTCTCAAAATTCAATTTTTATTTTTTTAAATTAAGTTTTACTATTATATTATCTTGAAGGTAAAAGAATTTCTTTTAGAAACTATTTAATCACATCTGATTTAACTGTTTTTAAAAATAAATTCTTAATCCAAGTACCGAAACTGTTAATGTGTAAAAATTAAATTTGAGTTTTAAATAAAACTGGAATACTGCACATCTTTTTTCTTATCACCAGTTTTGTGGGGGCGAGAAATAAAGCAGTAATAAATTTTGCGATTAATTAATTCTCTAAGATATTTTAATATTCTAGTCCTTTCTTGGTAAAATTGTAATTGTTGAGGTTTATTACTGCTTTTTAGCTACTACATTGACCTAAAAATTATTTATTGTAAAATGAATATTATTAAAATTTTGGGTTTTATAAACCATTTCTTCTTTCAGATGAACGTACAGATGTAATCACAATTACTCCAGCCAATATTGACGCTTCTCCAGGAGATAGGGTTACTCTCAATTGCAATGTTGAATCTTCTAGTAGTAACTATGAGTAAGTTTATCTTTTTGATTAAATTTTATCTTTTTATATTTTATAATCTGCTCTTTCCAGAACTGTTTCAATGTAAAAGTCTATGGTAAAACCGTTGATAAACTCATTATTCAACAGTAGAAGTGGGTTAGATGACTGTGTGAATAGTTTTATTTTATTTTTATGAGACAAATTATTGCTTTTCTGATATGAGATTCAAATGTGATTTGTGTTTAGTATCTTTAATTTAGTATCCCGTATATCGTATCTAGCCATTCTTCCATTCTTTCTTACATATTATTCTCATTTCCATTCTGATTATTTCCTGTAAAATCTTTTGAAATTTTTGCATTTCTGGATCTTGTCAGCTATTTTTGTTTTTAAAACTGATTTAAAGCTGGTTGCCCATGTTATTTTTACATATTATGTTGCTTTATTACCTATGTTAAGAGAAAATACAGAAACTAAGAAACTAATTACAACGCTGATGAAAGCTGGTAAACAACTGGGACTCAAAATAAATATGGACAAGACAAAATATATGGTTAGCTGCAAAAACAACAACAATTTCGGGAACATAGTTATAGATATAGGATAATATACGTTTGAATACTTAATGAAGTTCTGGTATTTATGGTTCATGATAACAAGAAAAAATGAAATTGAAGAGGAAGTTAAGATTAGGTTGAAGGTTCAGATTGAAATTGATGCCTGATATTTTTCTATAGAAAAACTACTTAGCTCATGTCTCCTGTCCCGCAACTTCTTACGGTGCTTTATGGATACAAAATGTGGCTTCTTGCCTTAAAGGATGATTAATGTCTGAAGGTTTTGAAAATAAAGTATTGCGTACAATATTTAAACTAAAGAAGGATGAGTCAAGTGGAGAATTGAGACAGTTACACAACACCATGTTGTATGATTACATTACAATGAATAAAATAGTTAATCAAAGAATCCCTAAAAGATTAAATGCGATACATATTATTGTAAGCACCTTAGCAAAAGGTGGGAATATTTTGTGAAGGCTGATCTGGCAGGGTTGAGTTTTGGACAGTAGCCAGTGGAGAGAAATATGTAGACAGTGATTGGTGGGATCGCCATCAAACCTACAGGTTCACGAAGCATTTTATTAAAATATCTTTGTATACAAAACCTTGTTCACTGTTATTATGCAGTTTATTTTGAGAGTTTTTGGAAGATGTGCCATCCAATGCTAGGTTGTGTTTTTTATAAACTAAAAAATTCATCTGAAGATCTAAAAAAAATATAATAGTATAGTCTCATTGGTGTAAATATTTGTAAACGTCTGCCATAGTATACAAGAAAAATCAATACATAAAGAGTGTTGCCAACCAGCCTTGCTCTATCCTAATAATGGAGGAAGTAAACTTTGGAGACAATTTTCATCTACTTAAAAATATTTGCTTAGATATTCATGCATTTAATTCAGCTTAATTAAAGGCATTTTTTTTATTTAATGTATTAAAATTTTTCTCTAGGATTGAGTGGAAAAGAGAAAATAACAGACCTTTGCCATATTATGCAGTCAAATCAGGAAATCGGCTGTTGTTGACAAGAACAAACCCTGAGGACTCAGGCCTTTACATCTGCTTTGTAAGGAATCGCCTTACTGGTAGGGCTATTGGTGAATCTACTGCCAGAATCACCATTAGTCCTTTTAGGTAACACTTTCACTTCATAATATTATGTAAATAATCATATTTAATTTGCCAATTTAGAAATATTTTACATGAAAACATTGTTGCAGCACTCGGTTTGACTACCCCACCATCTCACCTTTAAGTCAAATAAAACCACAGGGTCAGTCCGCTGAATTGATATGCAATGTTGTTCAGGAGTCATATTCAGCATTACCTGCAGTGAGGTGGTTCAAGTCGCAAGGAGAAATCTCACCAAGAGCTCAAGTAACTTTTATTTCATTACATTTAAAAATGGAAATAGTCCCAACCTAGTTATTTCAGGTCGAGCATTTTTGATAAATGTTGTTTAATTTCCATTTAGCCAAGAAAAATAATTAAAATTGTTATCAATAAAACATTTCTCCTAATATTTAACCCTCTGCTGGGTTGGTGCTTAAAAATTATGCTTTTATAAGAATTTACTTAAAACAAAATTATTTTTTTCAAAAATATTTATTCCCTTTAGCTAGGAATTATAACCTTTTGATTAAAATTAATTAAATTTTCATTCACAAATCATCTGACAATATTTTAAGTTCTCTTGCTCATTTCTAAGTAAAAATTATGGTTGTATTATGGTACATTCAATAATTGTTAAATTATTAAAAATAAATAAAAATTGTTAATGTATTATGGTAAATAAGATTATCTTTTTTATTTTGTTTCTTTTCTTGAATAATTAGTAATTTATCAGCCATCACCTTAATACTTCAAATAAATGCCGAAAACGTTGATTCACAAACAAAATACTCATTATTTCTTCTACTATTTAAATAGTTGTTTTCTACATGATTATTTCAATGATTTAAAAAAAAAAATCATTTTATATACGAATATCTATTGCTGTTATTCTTTTGTTACTAATTACATTGTATTACTTGGATATATATATATTTTTTTAAGTATTTTATATTATGTTTAACCGTTAACATGGTATATATATTTTTATATCCATTTTATCTATTGCGGTTTCTGAAAAAAATATATTATTTTCATTTAAATGTTAAGCATTTTTCTAATTTCTTTATTAGTTTAGAACTTTTTCTCTACAGTATATTTGGAGAATTTCGCTCTATGTTTTAGATTTTGTTTATTGTTTATTTTATTGCATATTTTATATATATGGCCATAATCTGTGGGTAATTACTACATAAAAATCCAGGCTCTGATAATCACAAAACCAATAATTTTATAATTGGTATAAACTGTATATAATTTTATAATTCATGTAATTTTAAACCAACATTATTCTCTCCTGATTGTATTTGACTACTGCTGATAAGAATTCTTTTAAAATTTTTTTTTAACTTAAGAAGCAGACATCAATGACAATTTTCTATGTAAAAAAAATTAAAATGAACCCTAATGTTGTATGAGTTTAAAAATATGTTTCCTTTTATAATAGGCATATAATACCAAAACATCAAAAGATACCAGAAATATTGATTACTGGTTAGAAGTTTTAAGTATGTTATGGGAGAATCTGTTTTTCTATAGTCTTGCCCTGGTATTTTTTTTTTCTGTAAATATATAATCAATTTAAACTTTGTCTTATAGTACATAGAAGATGGAAGAATATTAAGAATACCAAGTTTGTCGATAAGTGACCGTGGAATATATATCTGTAACTCGGTGTTTAGAGGAAGGCCTTATAATACATCAGCAATGCTTGAAGTTGAACGTAAGTTGTTAATACAAAGAAATCACCATATTTTTTATTGATTTAATAGAGTAGCTTTTGATCTAACTGTATCAATTATGCTTAACAGGACGAGAAGCTCCAATTATCCAACTTTACCCAGAAGACAGGACACAAATCCTTGCTGTTGGTAATTCCTTACTACTTCAGTGTAGAGTGACTGGTATACCAATGCCTACTATAACATGGTCTAGAGCTGGCAATTTGACTTTACCCTATAACATTGTGCCATCTTCTGGCGGAGTCCTCAGGTAATGTTTTCACCCAATTCTGAGTATGTACTAAAATATAGTTCAAGAAATAATTCCTTCTTTTTTTTTTTTCTTATGTTCTCTTAAGAAATAATTTTACTTAGATTAAAATTTTAACTCGGGAAAGATAGTGCTGATAAAAGTTTAGTTAGAGTTGCATCAGTTAGATGAAGTGACCTTATTTTTTATAAGGGCAAACAAAATTGTGGACAAAACAAAACAAAAATTGATTCATTTACAGACTATAAGAGAAATTTTTTGATAAGTTAGTTCTTAATCTCGATGTTTGAAAAAGAAATAATAATAATGTATTTGCCTGCAGCTACTGCCATTCTCTCTCTGAAATCTGTTGGGAGAACTCCCCAAAATAAACCGTTATAACGGAGTTGGAGGTACTCTGTAATACAGAAGTATGTTGCCTATTCCTTTAGATGACAATGGTTACCTTAACTGGGTTAAATATAGTGCAATTATAGGATCGTGAAGTAATTGTGCAGGGGTGTTTAGATTACTAAAACATTGAATTATAGAGGCTGCTGAAAAACTATATGTAACCAAAGAGTAAAACTCATTATAATATTTGTATACTTCCAAACATCTTCATGCTAACATAATTTTTTTAATATTATTGAGACATAAACAGTTTCATGAATTTTTCATCTCAGATTGATACATACATACAAATATATATGTTGTTAATATATATATACAGATATTGAATTTTCGAATATTTTCTATTGAAAAAATGTTCAATTTTTTATTTTATACAATTGAATTTTCCAATCACATATGTTTTTGATCAATTAGTAAAATTAGCTTTCTTTTTCTTTAGGTTCAACAGAGTAAATCTGAATGATGCTGGAGAATACATTTGCACAGCTGAAAATGAAGCTGGCCGTACAAGTTTATCAGCTCATATTGAGGTAATGTATTTGACTAAAATATTTTTTTGTTTTGTTCACAACATTTCTTGCAAATGCTGTTTAGTGAGGGTCTCAGGAGGCCTGGTTCAGAGGAGGATATGTTCAATTCCTGCTTGAGTCAATTAATATTTATTTCAAGAAAGTCCCATAAAATGATTCTTGACACTCACATATGAAGTGTCACAACCATTTGGTAGACATTCGAGGTTAGCAAAAAAGACATAGGGACACTTGCCAGACTGTTTCTTCTCTGATAACAATACCAGCATAATTATTGCAGACCTGATTATTTTAAAAAAAATATTATTTACTTGGTGCGTTAATATGAGTGAGAGAGAGTTAATATGATTACCGATTCTAACCAGGATGGAAATGAATTATTTTTTATTTTTTTTCCTATGCTGAAGTCCTTGGTCATTCAGTCTTCTGACATCTTGCTGCCGAGTATAAATTAGATTTTTTCATATATTCATTTAAAAATGTCTTTTTTGTTATGTCCGTCAAGGCTGGACATGTGTCTAGGTGGTCTGTATCCACTCTTCCTTGATGACGTAATTCATTCCTAGGATCCTCAGCCATGTCTATCATGTGGAGATGACTCTGCAGATAGTCGTGGCCAGTCGTTAGGCAGAAGCAGGCTACTGCATCTCTTTTTGGTAGGTCAGCTGGAATCGGGTTATCTATCAAACCCTTCCACTTTGTCCAAGTGTGTTTTTCTTATTTCTTCCTTCACTACCATCCTTACCATTTACCATATTGAATCGTATAGTTTTGGATGGATCCACTGAGGAAAATATGTTCCTCGCTTGGCAAGAGTATCAACTTCTTCGTTTCCTGAAATCCCGCAATGGCACAGAATCCACTGTTGGACACATTTGTGCCTTGGAGTGCCAAGTCATAGAAAACCACTCAATAGACATTCATTCATGTTTGTAACAATGAAGATGGCTGCTTGAGAGCCGATGAAGAGAACAGCGCTCTGGCTTGCCTTCCAGAAAATGTTCTCATGGCTTTGGGGATCGCTGTTATTTCACCGTTGAAATTTGTTCCATCGTTACCCACTGCAATGCTGAATTGGAATTCCCTCGAGTAAACCCTTGCTCCAGCATTTTCAATGGCTTATTAAGCTAATCCATCAATATAGATGTGGAGCCAATCTTGAGGAAGGTACTTTTGAGTTAGTGCTTTTTCTTCCCTGTTTCTTCAAGTAGTGCCTTCAGCATGAAGGATTCTTGTGTCTTTATAAATATTTTAAAACACGTGTCCCTCAGCAACCTGACAAACCAAAGTTTATATGATGAAATAATTACTAATTTGCATCCTGGTGCTGGGGCACTTTTAACTCTGGCATTAATCCCCCGCCATTTCCCCTGGCCTTAGAAAAACTCCGTATAGCCTGAAAGGTGAGAAAGAGGTAGATAAAATAAATAAATTTAGATTTTCATCTAAATATTTGCTTTGATATAATTTTTTAATGATAATTGAAACTATTAAACAGGTATTAATCTACCTGTATCTGTAGGTACAATCACCTCCCGAAGTAAGAGTGTTTCCAAAAGATAGCATTGAGCTTCAAGTAGGCCAAAACCTTGATCTTACCTGTACAGCAGAAGGCTCACCAACACCGACTGTTTTCTGGACCAAAGATCCAAATGAGGATATTTATTCTGTGTAAGTTTTCCATCATGTTTACTCATTAGTTAATTAAAACTTTAATTAAGTTATCATATCTGATAATCGGTCTTAAGTGTTAATATGTTAGAAATTAAGGATAATTCTTTTATTAGTGAATTCGGATATTATTTATTTTTAATCTATAATCATTTAATTTTGCATAGAAGAGAAATTATATGTAAGAGTTATTTTTATTTACATATGTACTAAACAATATAGATCCATCAGAGCTGATGATGATATGAAGCAAAAATGAGAAAAATAAACCAAAAATTTAAATTATTCAGGCAGTATTAATTTTCACCACATTATTTATTTTATACTTTTTTTGGTACTAAACCACACTTGCTCCATCAGGACAGCACATGGGCCAAGATCACTTTTATCACACTTGTACTTGGAATGTTGAAACTTCTATTTCGAAGAATATTAGTGAATAAAATGTAATCTAACCTGAATAAACATCAGTGATATCTAAAAAGTGGTATTGTCGTACTCTGTTATTTCGTATGTGCAAGTATTATTGAAGTGATCTTGACCCCCAGAAATGGAATTATCTTCAGCAATGGTACAAGAGTAGTATATATTCATCTAGCTCTAAGATACAAAATAACTAGTAAGTTTCACATTTTCAATGCAAGTATGAAATAAATTTTGCTAAAAAGTGACTAGTGATGAGTGCTTAATTTGATCCCATTTTATTTCATAGTTCTTAATGTAATGAATTTATGTCAAATTATTTAAATATTATAACTGCACGGTATTAAATCAAAGACAACAACTATCATATATTGTTATATAGTTGACTTAGTCGTACATAGGGTTATAGCAATTAAGCTTTTGGTTAATATATATTTATACAATATATTATAGGTTAGAATTTAAAATGTAAATGTTGCAAATGTAATAAAATAATATATAACAATAAATAAGATGCAAATTAATAAAATCTGAATATTTTGTACATATAAAAAAGTTGACCTTAACTTAAATTCAGAAAAAAAATTAATATAAATCAATGTAAGTATAACTTAATTGATCAATGGAAATGTCATCATCAAGAGTCAACCAATTTAATAGAAACAATTATTTAGCGAAATCAATATATTATGATTTTATTGACAAAATCTAGTTTTATCTTGATATAATGTGATTGTATTTATGTTATGAAAATAAATGCCATAATTGGTGAGACATCGACTCATCGTTTATTTTTATGACTAATTATAGTGACATTACGTTGTTGTAATGTTATAAGATTCTATTTCTATTAGCTACTGAAGATTATATCATTTTTATGAGAAAGAAAGCTTTCTAAAATAGTTTTCTTGAAAATAATGATTTTTTACTTGAAGTCTTAAAATTAAAAAAAAAAAATCTTTCATGTTATATTAAATATTATTTATATTTTCTAGTCACTCTGGGTTCGCTGCACCAAATTTGGGGCGTGCCGAGTATCAGGTTCTCCAAGTGAGTGCAGAAGATGAAGGTATTTACTACTGTGTCGCTCAAAATACAAGAAGAGAAGTGAAATCTGTACAGGTATGCTTAATATTTGATCCACTTTTTATTAAGTTTAGGAGAAAGTTGTAAATCACCAATACCTATAACTTTATGTTGCTCTTATGTCTGTGATAGTTAGTACTTCATTTTATGCTGCATCCTAGATTAGGTCATAAAAAAAAAGTTAAGTATAAGTTATAGAGGTGTTCAAATTATTGTAGTTACCAATAATCTGTAATAAAGCCAGATTGAGACAAAATTTTACTATTAACTAATATACTTTTTAAAAATTTATTATTTCTCCCAACTCATCTTTCAACCCAGAACAAAAGCTCTTTTACCAATATGCTTCATAGATTTTATGCATTAATTTTTTGTAAGAATCTATAAAACCTTTGCTTTCCCTTTTAAAATGTTTCCTCCAACTAATTCGAAATCTCCTTTGTTGTGCATACGATTTTTTAAAATGATCTAGTTGAGAGTACTGAACAATCTTGAAGTGTTTTATTTATTGTCTAATGTCTAAGGTTTGATCTTGGAAGAATTTTATATCGTTTTGACATATCAATTTGTTTGTCAGATGATTGTAAGATCTTTTCGGAGGCATGGTCGAAACTGAACTGAAAAAAACATTACATTCGATGAAAATATAAAGCTAGGTTAGGAATAAAATAAATCATGAATTAATTTTAATTTATACAAACTAATCCCTTTCATCCTCACCTTATAAACACAATATGAATTGTGAGATGTTTACATGACGTGGACCACAATTTTTTTCTTACGACCTAGAAAGCATTGGAATGTATGAATTACCAGAATACGAAATATCGGGATCCTGTTTTATATATAAATTTAAAGAAAACCAAAAAAAAACAAGAAATAATACCTTAACAACAGGAGATCCATGGATGATCTCTAAGGGGTTCGTCATTTGTGATTAGAAAATTATTTTTGCAAATGCCATAATAAATCAAATTAAAAATATTAAATATTTTTTGGCTGAGCCTTTTAATAAGAATCACCTTACATAGACACAGTAAAAATTTCAATTTTACTCAAATAAGGTCAACAATTTTCCTAGATTTGTAAATTCAATGGTGCCAAACCATGGTTCTTGAAGTAGCGTAAGTATTATTGACCTGTGTGTAGGCGATATCATTGACAATGATAATGATTGTGTAATAGGCCCCTAATAGTCTATCATAACAAGCTTACAATAGTTTTAATAATTATCAAAAATTTACTAAAAATAAGTCTTTCTTAGGTAAGAGTGTATGGCAGCAGAGATGACATTCCACCTCCACAGCCTCCCACTTACCCAGGTGGTGATGGTGATGGTGAATCACTTTGGGTCGCTCAGGGTGGTGATACTCAGATGTCCTGCATTCTAGGTATTTTTTTTAATAATAAGCAATTATCAATAATTATGATTTATTTTAAGTCATGATTTCTTTATTACATTGAAACATTTTAAAAAAATCATTAGAAATTTTATTCTATAAAGCTTGAGTTTCAATGAGGGTGAACCTGTTTGTATGTTTTTTTTTTTATTCCTATAAATTTTGTTACCAACAGTCCTTGTACTTACATCAAGTTCCTTTGAAAGTCACTTTAGTTGAATCTTGTTTTTTTTTTCTATTTTTACTTTGGCAGTTTAAATTAGTTTGTATGAATTTTTACGTTCCTAATGAAAAAAAAAAAAAATATTGCGTAAATAACAATACCTAATTAAAATAAATATATTCATTCGAGTTTAACCAATGATGTAAAAAAAATTTTAGACTGATTCATGGACATTTGCTTAGTATTCGTTACTATACAACAGGAGTTCCCAAACCCAGTGCCCATGGGCAAAATTGTACACATTTTACCTAACCTAATAGCCAGTTGCTGCATTACGCAGTGTTGTTCAACAAGTTTTTTATAAAATATTTATTTTTTTTAAATATGTATGAAGTAATGAATTGGGGAATATAATCATGTCTGTTTGAAAAATAGTCATTTATTGATATCATAGCATTTTAACTCCAATTTCAAATCTATCTTCATAATTCTTTCCTTGAAAAACAAAAGTTAAATCTCAAAGTCGCTTCCCCTAAACAACAACAAACAAAGGGGCTAATTTTAACTTTTCACGGATCTAATAATTAGTTTTGTGCTTATTTGGGCATCTCTTATTTCATTGTTTCAAATTATGAAATAATGACCAATAAAATGCTGTATAAAAATAGCATTATCTTAAGCATTTATATTTTTTATAATGAAATTTTAAATCTTATAAACATTTTTAATGTATTATTATAAGAAGTATAATTTAATTATACTTCTAAGTATAAAGCATACTTCTATATATGTTAAAATTATTCTTTTCCATTATTATTAACGAGTTCATGACTATTAACATTTAAATATGTTCTAAAGTAGGAAAAGATTGGGGACTCTGTATGGTATTGGACAAAATTTGCGAAAGCTAAAGACTAGAAACCAAAATTCTGTTTTTAATAATATTTTAAATCAAAATAAATGCAATAATTACACTAAGTTCAAGCAAATGTTGAAACAAAAAAATTATTCAGGGAGTAAAATATTAATAGTTTAAATTCTTGATTATTAATTTATTATTTACATTTAAGAATTAAGTGACATATAATTTTAAAAAAAATTAAAATACACAATAAAAAAACACTTCACTAAGTTTATTCTGCAATGTGTATATGTTATAGTGGTTGGCATTGTAAAACTTAAATTATTGTTATTATTTTTTTAAGAAACCAACAACAACCTGGAAAGACGATGGATTCGTGGAGACATGAGGGATTTCCCTCCAGGTGTCACTCAAAGAGATGGTACCCTGTACATCAGAGCAGCTTCCTCAGATGTTGAGGGAGAGTATGTATGTCTCCTCTTAGATGAACAGGGAAGGGAAGAGAGGCGCATCGGCAGATACTTATATGTTAAAAGTAATATTTTATTTCTATTTCTAGCTGATTGAAATGCCTTTTTGCATAAATTTGATATAGTTCAAGTATTACATTTATAATATTTAACATATTTTGATTTGGATTGTTGCTTGCCAAACCCAACTCTGCAAGGTCAGCATTAATGTGATTCTCCCACTTTTGTGTCAGTTTACTTCTTGAATATTTACCCTTCAGCACAGTGCTTATTAACATTTTAGCGATTCGTGTGATATTAAGCCCAACTATAACATGGCCATTTGTTTTGTTAATTATTTTTAATGGGTATAGTTCATTTGAAATTGTGTAAGTCCTGTGATTGATCCTTCCTTCTTCAATTCAAATATTGTATACAACACTTTATTTTTAAAAAAACCTTAAGGCTTTGATTATTCCTTAATTTGAGCAGCCATGTTCCATACAAAAAAATGTCTCCTGATCCTAGAGTCGATCCTTGGCTAACCTGTCACAACTGGACTCGAACCTGGGACCCATAGCATTGGAACGCAATGCCTTAATTACTGAGCTATCCCACTTCCCTCCTTAAATTTTCTGGAAAATTTATAAAATTTCTGTTTTTTCTAATTATCCTAAACCCTAAATACCTAAATTTCTCTATATATTCTCTTCTAGTTACTATGAAATAAAATTAAAATTATTTTATATTGTATGGGTTGATAGTTGATTGTACATTAAATCTAAGAGATGGCCTGGGAGTTTGTCTGAGGTATCATCAAATAGATATTCACTATTTATTCAATACTGACGATTCAACCCATTTTGTGGATTTTGATTAAGGATGAAAAATGTTTCAGCTAAGAGCAGTCATTGTTATTATTACAGCATAAAGTATTGTTGAACTGACTTCCAAAATTGTTGAACAGGACTCCAGGCAATTGCCATACTATGGCCTACTTAAAATTTGTTAATTATTGTTTTCATAAGTATTTGAAGTATGATTTCAAAAATTCTTGTCAAATTTTATTAATCTAATATCATTTGTTTCTTCATTACATTAGCTCATGGATCACATTTATTGAAATCACTTTAAACTATAAAATCTAAATTGGATAAAGTACTTAAAAATTTCATTACGTTCCAGTATTCTGAAAAAAAAAAAATCTTTTCTCATAGCAATATTTGACTAAATTTTAAGTTTTGATTCTATTTATAAACATTGTTGATTATATTCCTGTTAAATTATTATTAAAATATCATTTATCGAAGAATGCTGCTATTTTTAAATTAACTGTTCTATATTTTTATTTTTTGTTACAATACTGTATAAAAAGGAATTTGAATTTTTAGGTCTTCCTGAGATAACACTCGAACCACAGAGGCAGGTGGTTAGGCCTGGAGATGATGCGACTATCGTCTGCTCTGCTCGAGGGGAACAACCAATAGAAATCACTTGGAGGGCTGACCACACACTATCTCCCCATGTCTATATCAGAGGAGGACTTCTCAGTGTAAGTCAGCAACTAATGAATATGAATCCAAGCTTATTCAGTATTATTTATTTATTTAATAAATGCATCTACCCATGCGGGGTCCGTTACATACCATATGGCTTTTGATATTTACAATTTTTGTATTTTCCAACATCAAGTATTACACAGTTAATGGTATCTTAATATAATTACATAGTTTATGAGAGGTATTACACACTTAATGATATCTATAGTTCTATTTCTCAGATAAAATTAAATTAGATCATTTGGTAGAAATAGACAGAGATGGAGCTATTGACATCTCTATCTTTTGGCTCCTACTTAACTAAATAGAGATTCTTTCTGGAGTTCAACTTTTGGCACGACATTGGCAGTGGCTCATAAATTATTTTGATGCAAATAATTTATTTTTAAAATTTATGATTCTCCATTCCTCATCATTTAGAAAGATTTTTAATCTAAGCTTCGTATATTTATCCTACAAGCTCTTTGACTGCCTGTTTTAGACATTAGATTCAGTACTAATAAATATTAAATTGTTGTTTATTCATTTTATTTTTATTTATAGTTCCAAGGAATTACTGAGAGTGATGCTGGCAGGTACGTGTGCTTGGCTAAGAATATTGTAGGGTTGCGTGAAGCAGCTGCTGAAGTTATAGTCAATGGTAAATACTTTATTATTATTAGCTAAAACTTCTGAAGTTTATTAAAATTTAATTTTTATTTATTATTATTTTAGGTTATTTTTTAATGCTTTATATAAAATTATTATTTATTTTTTTGTAATAATTTAAAATGAATTACAAAATTGAACATATTATCGGTTTATTGCAAAAAGTTACTTAGTGCATTTTTTATGGAGCTGAACTTTTAAGAATGTCTTTGTGAATTTCTATCTTATTTATCCATACAAAAAAAATAAGTAGACTAAATTGACACAAATCCTCTTATATATATATCAAAGGTAATTAATTACATCAAGTGCCCAATTTTGTGATTTTACAAAGGGAAATTTAGATGCTGGGCCAAGTGATGGTACAGGTGAGTGGCATCTAGTTTCCCCGCGCAAGGCTGTTTCTCCAAGAGCACATGCAACTACTGCTTCAGTGAGACAGGTTTGTTTCTTATCATCAAATCCATTTACTGTTCTACCAACTGAAGTAGATGCTCAATGTCATAGCACTAATCAATCCAGTGCAGAAGTGATTTCGAAACCTCCACCGATCTACGTAACATCAGTGAGTAACTACAAACTGTTATGTGACGAGCTAGTCAAAGAGGTAGTCAGAGCTAGTCAAAGAGGCTCAAACGGGTTCACTTTAAAATCTGGAGCTAATAATGTAGTTATAATGTCGAATTCTTCCGATTCCTACCGACGAATATCGAAGTACCTCAAAGAAAGAAAAGCAGAATTCCACACCTATCAACTTCCTGAGGACCGCCCTTTTCGCGTAATTATAAGATACCTACATCACACTATAGATTCTGATATAATAAAAATGGAATTAGAAAAATTGGGTTACCAAGTGTTAGGTGTACACAATATCTTACATCCTAGAACAAAAGCTCCTTTGCCAATATATTTTGTTGATTTAGTAAAAAATGACAAAAGTTCACAAATTTATTCATTAGAATTTCTGTATTATACGAAAGTCATTGTTCAAGAACCGAGAAGACGCAATGAAATCGTCCAATGCAAGCGGTGCCAATCCTACGGACACACAAAATCATATTGTAATTTAAAGCCGAGATGTGTGAAGTGCCTGATTACATCTGACAGCGAGCTGCAAAAAACCTTTAGACACTCCGCCTAAATGTGTCCTCTGTGAAGAAGCACACCCAGCAAACTATAGAGGCTGCTCTGTAGACAAGGAATTAAAAAATCTTAGACAGCGCCCAGCAACGAGAAGTCTTGCATTTTATGAGGAACAGAGAGCGAGTCAGCCTACCAAGAAAGAAAAAGAAGACTCCTCGAAAATCGTCCAGAATTCAGCAGATAATCTTGAGCCGCCGTTACGACTATGACCCGACTATATACAGACACAGAACATTGCTACAGAACCAACTTACTCATATAAATTGACGAGATCAAATGACACACTGGAACCTAATCTTCAACCAAATAACATCTCAAACGTCCCAGACATTGCAACACAACTAACAAACTTCATAAACGAATTCAAAAACCTTGTTTCGCCCCTGATATCATTGCTTACATCGCTGGTGCAGCATGTTCTTCCAAAGCTTACCAAATAAAAGGACTAAGAGTAATTCTTTGGAATGCTAACGGTGTATTATCCCGTAAAAATGAACTCGAAATTTTTCTTAGTTATAACAACATAGACATTGCTTTACTGACTGAGACTCACTTAACAAAAAATATTAGGTTTCATTTACCGTCTTACATCACTTATCGGACTGACCAATAGAGCTCTGGGAGGTACTCTCATTCTCGTTAAGAACTCAATCAGTCACCATTTCAATGCTTCTGAGGCCTGTGAGAGTTATCAATGTACTTCAATAGTGGTTAATATATTTCATTTTAATCTTGCCATAGCAGCTATATATAGCCCTCCTGGTAAGAATTTATCCATCCAAACATTTGACCAGTTGTTACACTCTTTGGGTAACAAATTTTTGTGTGGCGGTGATTACAACGCTAAGCATCATGCATGGGGCAGCAGAATCAGTAACTCTAGGGGCAGAGCCCTTCAAAATGCGATTCTTGCTCAGAATTGTAAATGCTTATACCCCTCTTCACCGACATATTGGCCCACGGATGCTAACCGGATTCCTGATGTTTTGGATTTTTTCATTGCCAAGGGAATAAACGTACAGCATTGTGCCATTACTAATCTGACTGACCTATCTTCAGATCACTCCCATCTTCTTCTAAAGGTAGACTCAAAACCTATAACCAAATCTCCCCGACTGTCTCTAACACCTGGAAAAATTGACTGGAACAAGTTCAGATCATCTATTGAAAATTCATTATCAATTAACACTAATATAAGAACACCTAAAGACTTTGACGACGCAGTTCATCACCTCACACAAACAATACGAAATTCAGCATGGACTTCTGACATCTCAAGCAAAAAGGCAGACAAACATGACCATAATTACATTTCACCTGAGATAAGATATCTTATCGTACAAAAACGAAAAGCTCGTAAGATATGGCAAAGAACTCGTTACCCATCTGACAAACACAAGTTCAACAAACTAACTCGACAACTTCACGATGAAATAAGACGTTCAAAGACAGAAAATTTTGACAAATTCTTGAATGGTTGAGAAAATTGTGAGAACATTCCAATTTGGAATATAACCAAATGGATTCTACAGCATCATGATGTCTCACATCCTCTCAGACATCATGATGGTTACTGGGCAAAGTTAGATGCTCAAAAAGCGCAATTGTTTGCTCGCCACCCCGAAGAAACATTTAAACCTCATAATGACTTAAATGTCATTATGAGGTTACATGACATAATGACATAATGACATAATGAGGTTACATGACATAATGACATACTCTCTACTACAATTGCCCAAAGTCACCTTAACGTACCCTTACCTATGACATTACCACCAAAATCAATTCATCCTTACAAAGTTCAAAATTTAATTCAGAGCTTGTCTATGAACAAGGCTCCAGGATTTGACTTAATTACAAATTTCGTCATAAAAAATTTACCTTGGAAAGCAATTCTTTTTCTAACAAATATTTACAATTCTATTTTGAGAATCACACATTTCCCCACCCTCTGGAAATATTCTGAAGGTGTTATGGTCTTAAAACCTAATAAATCTTCAGACTCCCCGAATTCTTATCGTCCGATTAGTCTTCTTCCTTCCTTTTCTAAATTATTTGAAAAAATTATTCTTCGTCGCCTTGATTCTCTCGATATATTTAAATTTATTACAAATCATCAATTCGGCTTCAGAAAGCATCATTCAACTGTTCAACAATGTCATCGATTGGTAGATTATATTTCTAATTATAATGATGTAGAGATGGTTGACCGTTGATATAATATGAGCAGGAGTTAGTCGGGGGTGCGGTCAGAAAAATACTAAATTAAAATATAGTAATTATATTTATTTTAATTTTGCCGACGTTTTGACCCATTTTGCAGGTCGTCTTCAGGGCGTAGGATGTAGCACTGCTGCAGGCAGTTGAAACACTGCAGTTTTTCAACTGCCTCCAGCAGTGCTACATCCTACGCCCTGAAGACGACCTGCAAAATGGGCCGAAACGTCGGCAAAATTAAAATAAATATAATTACTATATTTTAATTTAGTATTTATCTGACCGCACCCCCGACTAACTCCTTCTCATATATTTCTAATTCTTTAGAATCTAAAAATTATTGCCCTGGAGTTTTTCTTGAAATTAGTCAAGCCTTTGATAAAGTTTGGCATGAAGGATTGCTCTCCAAACTTAAAATTTTACTTCCTCCGACCAACTATCTAATATTACTTTCATATCTAATGGATAGACATTTTGTAGTAAAAGTAGGGACAGAACGTTCTGACATCAAACCTATTAAAGCAGGAGTGCCTCAGGGTAGTGTCCTTGGACCAATATTGTTTAATATATATATGTCTGACCTACTGGAACACAACGACACAATACTGGCTACTTTTGCAGACGATACCGCAATATTAAGCTCAGATAAAAACCCTGTTCGAGCATCTACCATCCTTCAAAATCATCTGAACGATATTGCAGATTGGGCAACAAGGTGGAAAATTAAGATGAATGAAAAAAAAGTGTGCATTTAGTATTCACTCTTAACCATAAACCTTCCCCTGAAATATATTTTAATAACATTCAAATACCAACATCAGATGTAATTAGGTATTTAGGTTTTTACCTGGACAAAAGACTTACTTGGAAGACTCACATCAGACAAAAACGAATAGAATTAAACAGACGATACGGTCTCTTATCCAGATTACTTGACAGACGTTCAAAATTATCTTTAACTAACAAACTAACCCTTTATAAAGTCTTACTTAAACCTATTTGGACTTACGGCATAGAACTGTGGGGCTCTGCTAAAACTTCCAACATTAAAAAAGTTCAGTCCTTTCAGTCAAAAGTGTTGCGAAGGATAGTTGATGCACCTTTTTATGTCACAAATGATACAGTACATAAAGACTTAAACGTACCTACAATTTTAGATACTGCAAAAGAGAACTACAATAACTTTCACCAAAGACTGAAGTACAACACGAATCCTCTGACAGAAATCCTTCATCGTACAAGAAACCCGTACAGTCCTCTATGACGATTACGTAGGCGTTGGCCAAGAGCTGATCTGATTTATATCCCGGACGTGATGGGAAGCTGTGAAGCTGCTAAAAAATTTGCTTATTGCAAAGAAATTTGCAGATTGCAAATTTAATCTAATGTTCCACATTTTTGTTTGGTTAATAATATCTTTACATATTTTCATGAAGAAAGTTATGAAATATCACTTAATTACTTTAGTTCATTAGCCAATGATATGAGTTACATAGAATCATACCCTGTTATGACCATTTTTTCTAATTTTTACAGCAAAATAGAAAAATTACTAATTATTGGTTTTTGAAACTACAAAAATTTTTATCACAGTGCAATTGACTATGGATATATAAGTAATATAAATTTAACACTGATAATATAAATTTATTTTCAGATAATGGTGCATATAGAGTCAATGTGTCTGTGATTGGAGACAAGGTCCGATCAGCCCCAGAAGGTTCAACCATAGATTTGGAATGTCGAGCACCTGAACAAGGAGAGGTGATAAATTTTATCTTTGATTTTTAAAAGATATATAAAATATTTATTATAAATGTAATATGAGCCCTTTTTCGACTCTAAGGAACAATGAATTTTTACTAAAATGGATTGAAATAAAAGGAATTTTCACTTCTAGAATAAGTGATAAATCCCAATTTAGATCCTAAGATTCATAGTACAATTATACTAAAAACTATTTAAAAATGTAAATGGCATCAAAACTATGACGGTGTTAAGTCCGCAGATTGAGATAAGACAAATTGGGTTTTTAAAATTGAATCACATTAAGGTCAATAATTTGAATTTTTAATGCCATATTTCTGTTCCTTAATGTAAAGAAAAATTATACATCAATAAACTATAATAAAAAATAACTCAATGAAAATTTCTAGCTAGTTAATGAATGTCATTTATTGATAGTTTTGCTTTGCTTTACTTTTATATAATTATTCATTCATATAATGGTTTTATAGGTTACATGGACCAAGAATTATAATGAACCATTGCCATCTAATGCTGTGGCATACGGAGAACTCCTGAGAATATTCAGAGCAGAAGTACAAAACTCAGGCCGATATATTTGCACTGTTCATACACCATCAGGTGCAATCGGTACAGATTATGTAGAGCTTAGTATATCACGTGAGTAAACTCAATATAATACCGCAAAAGTTTTAACATAAAGTGATGGGTTTAGGCAGTATAAAGTTACTAAATTTTAGAAATTTTGAAATTAAAGTGTAGATCCAAGAGAGTATGTTAGTCTATGTAGTGATAGATGTTAGTTTCAATTTATTTTTTATTTCAAAATTTATTTAAACTGCTTACTTTTATTTATTTTAATTATATTTTTCAAAGGAAAAGATGAAATAAAGTAACATTTTACTCAGGGCTTTGATATGTAACCAAACTGTAAATTCATTATTTTTTAAATTTTATCATGTCAACAATACGTATTTAATCTAAATATATCCATTCTAAATCTAAGTGAAAACTTTCTCTTTGAACTGCTCAAAATTGGCTTCAATCTAATGTATTTTTTATATTTTTAAAAGAACATAAGTGATCCATAATTTTTTTTTATTTACAAAAAAAGAATTTGCTTCAAAGCCCTGTGTATTCGTATAAAAATAAAAAATCCACAGTGAAAACACAGTTCAAAGAGTTTCTTTTTTTCAAAGTTTGCATTTTTTCTATCCCTCCTTCTTCCCCTTAAGTTTTGATCTAATTAATGATAATCAATCATAAGAATTTATATGAAAGATTCTAAACCATGATTATTCTCTTGGAAAATTTACTACATCATTAATTCTTGCACCTTTTATTTTTTTTTTACTAATTATTATAACAGTCTAAAACAAATTTTAACAAATAAATAAAGGTGTGGTTACTTAGTCAGTGGTGTTAAAGGACTTAAATTTAAACTGTATTCTTTGAAAAATATTACAAAAATAAAATTGCTTTTTTATGTTTTATTTTTGTAGTGCTCTTAATTTTTGTTTGTTATTTTAAATTCTATTTTTTCCTTGATCTTTATTTTAAAATTAATAGAACTATTTTCTAAAAGTACACGCTTCGTAGTGTGAAGCCTTAGTCTTCTTAACAATATCACAGCTTTATACACTTTGGGCTTTTATTATTTTATTTTGACTTTCATATTTTTCTCTTTATTTACTTGCTTTGCATTCCAAGTTTTGTTCAACTGTTTCAAATAGTCTTCACTGATTTATATTTTCAGCGCACTTTCAGTTTTTCTTTTTCTTTTATTATTAATTTCCTCTCACTAATCAATGCACATCAATAGAACTATCGCAATACTTTCATGTATGTTCATCCTGGTACTGAAGATTTCACTTTGTAAGTTAACAGAATAATTTAATCAAAATTGTCTTTATTGCTTGATTTTATATACTTCTCCCAATGTTTAATAGTACATTTAATTCTCATCTCATAAAAGCTTGCAGTTCAAGCAAAAAAAAAATATATATTATAAATTTGTGGAAGTTTTTTTTTTCAAACTTTATCTTTATGTATGCAATACTCAGGTCTGATAAATTTTGCTGATACAGAAAATTTTCTGTTCATTTTTTATTTTATTCGATTTCAAAATTTAAATTCTATGGATTTTATTTTATTTTTTTAGTTGTTATCAAGTTGTAAATAAAATTATGGACATCCATTTGTTAATTATCAATTGTGAAAAATGTACTGCATATTTTTGTAGGCAACACGGTTTACACTTTGGTGAAAATGTTAATGAGATTTTGTGTTACCAAATTCATTGGATTTTTTTAAGATTTAAAATATATTCATTAAAAATGAAAAGAAGATAAAAACTAAATTAAAATGATAGACCTTTGTTTTTATTCTTAGAGTAGTAAAAAAAAAATGTACTTTTTAAGAAAGTAATGTTTCATGGTCAACACTGAAGCAAGGAGGTGATTAGACCCAGATCATGATCAACCTCTAGGTTTTCCACTTTAATCAATTATTTAATTACGGCTACCCACTTTATAGAGGTTGGGTGTGCCCTGGGAAGTAACAGAAGAAATAATTTACCTGCGATCAGCCATACTCAAATCCAGGACCTTGAACAGTGGAGGTCAGTGCGCTATACCCACTCCCTTATAGTTTTAATAATTCTATAAAAGTATGGTAATCCATTAGGTAGTAATCACAAAATTGCCCAATTCAATGTTAAATGTTACACCTGCCTCTGGTGTATTTATTTAAGCTATCACCAATTAGATTGTATTATATGAAAAACAGTTATAAAATATTATCAATATTAATATAAGTGATTTTGAAGATTCTAAATTTTTATTTAGCTCCAAACTTTTATGAGATAATTAAAAAAAAAAAGATTTTTGTTTAAAAGAAGTTAGGAGAAGTCGACAAGGGATTTTAAAAAATATATATATTTATGAATTTATTTTAATCAAAAGTGTAAATAACCCTTGTGACATAAAGTCATTTGGCTGTTAATTTGAGGAAAAATTATTTCTTTACTATGATGCTAAAAATTTGTAATAATTAATTTGAAATGTTTGCAATAGCTTTTTATTTTTATATTTAAATTACCAAAAACAGTTGAACATTACTTCTGTAAATCACTCACTTTTTAACTCTTTAATTTTTTATTTTTGTTTTGTTTTTGTGAATCTTCTTCCTGTTGTCGCCGTTGTGGTGTGAATCTTTATTTCATATAATCTATTACTCTTCTTGCGGCATCATCACTTATGACTTATCTCTGACTGGTACAAATCTTCAAAAAATCTTTTTAAAAAAATATATAATAAAAAACTTAAAAAACGAAAAACAATAAATGATATAAAAGGAGAATCTACCTGCTACGGTTTCCTGTGCCTAAATGGTAAATGCATCGACTCGACAGCCTACTGCAATGGTGTGTTTGATTGTGCTGACAGGAGTGATGAAATCAACTGTCCAAGAAGAAGACGGGGTACGATCATTTGAAAAAATAAAAAAATAAAAAAAAAAAAAGCAGATATTTAAGTTTAAATAAAGTAAAAATAAAAACAAAAACTTCTCATTTTTATTTCAAGCTGTTAAGTCGATCTATATAATTTTTTGTTGAACTTAAAAATTTGAGTATCTGATTAGTTTTTGAAATATAGTTATTTCGGATTACTAAAATATTTCTGCACAGATCAAATTATCTGATTAATGTTCACATATGTTTACTGTTCTGACATTTACATAATTTCTCTTATAATTCTCTCAATAAAAACAGCTTGAAATTTTAGTGAGATTTTACATTATTTTATTTTAGGTTACATGTTCATGTTATATCATCAATATGCCATTACTAATAGTAGCAAGAAATGTTTTCAGAATTAGCTTCAAATAACAGATAATTAAACGAAAAAAGATATATTTGTTTTATTTGAGCCTCGATGTGATACGTTTGTTTTCAGAATGCAATACAGAATTAACTGGAATTATAGAATTATAGCATTTTAATAGAAAAAAAAAAAGAAAAGAAAAGTGAAATGATAAAATTAAAGCATGGTAACAGATGCATCAGTTTTAAATGCATCTTGAAATTTATATTCTTGCTTTTTTGACTTTGTATGATTATAACTGACTAATGCTTTTAAAAGATACTATAAATTTTAAAAAAAATATTAATGATCACATTTTTTTTTTTCTAAATTAACAGTTTAATCTTTGCACCAAAGCATGCAGTATTGATTACCTAACCTATTATATAATTTAAATTACATTTTTTTATTGTCATTAGTTTTTGTTATTTTGATTTTTTTTCTTCTAAAACCTGTAGCAAGAATTGAATTTATTTTAATCTGAATTGTTTCTTATTGACTTCATATAATACTGTTGAATAAAACTGCAATATATTGATTTTTTTCATTGGTATTATGTTTCATTCTTGTTTGTTATAGCATATTTATAGTAGGTATTTCTTTTTATTAAATTAGAATCAGTTTAACTATGATTTTAATAGATTTATTCTTCTGTTGATATTATTAGCTTCTCATATTATTACATAAAAATGCATTTTAGTGTGTAAATCTGTCTGTGAACTATTTAACATAAGTTTTTAGTATTATTTAAATCTTAAAAGAATAAAACAAAATCTTTCCTGGACTCTATGAAGTCTTGAAATTATTCCTTTCCTGAAATAGTAGAAATATTCTTAACCAATAGTATCGTCTACAGATTTTTATAGGTAATTGATTTTTTTTATTTTATATTAGGGCAATGGGGAATGATGTCCTTTATATTTTATGGGACCTTGTAATTTGTTTTATGTTCTGCCTCTGCTGTCATAAAATTAAACATCTTGGTATAGATCCATGTACAAATTTGCTTACTTTTTGCTGTATTGGCTCATTTGCTGAAGTCTTGTATCAATATCAAAATTATTAGAGGAATTATTCAATAGTACTCTTTTTCTTTGGGTAGGTATCCTACTTTACCGCATGGGCTAAGCTAGCAGGAATTAATAATGTCCACTTAGTTTCCATAGTTCAATATACTGTATAATCACTCAAGAACAGTACTCAATACATATTAACTAATATGAGGTCACATACAGTAAAAACTGAGTCAGTTTAGAAAAAACTTATGCAAAGTTACTGCTGGTGAAATGGAATACCTCCTCAGAGTGTTCGACCAAACTAGGAGAGACCGGATAAGAAACAAAAAGATGAAAGAAGATCTAAACACTATTTCACAAAACGATTCGCTTGAAAAGAGACAGTTAAGATGATTTATTCACTTATGTTGGATGAATGATGACCAAAAATATAGGAAAGCAAGATGAAAACCTGTTATGCATACCCTAAGGCATCTCCAGTCTGAGAGGGGCCCAAGGAGGAAGAGAATGAAGAAGAATGAAATGGCAAACTACTCAGTTATTTTATATTTATCAGTTTTTTCGAGTTCTTTATCCTTCCTAACTATCTGTCTTTCGTTCTTCTGTTAATAAATATTTAACAAAGTACTGTGTAGGTATTTCTGTGGATAATAACTTCCTCCTTCCATTCATATAATTTCAATATTTGGTTAAGTTGATAGATCTGTCCATTGAGAGTTTATGCCTGACTTATAGTAAAGAAAGGTGACTGGAATACAATTTTCTCAGAACTCAATAAATATTACTTATCACCTTTATCTTCTGTACTGTTATTCTCTAATTATCTTAGTCATTACTTTCCTTTTAGAAGAATTATTCGGTTTACATTTAGTTAATTTTTTTATTAATAGACATTAAAGGACACTGTTCTTTTTTATTTTTTCTAAATTTATTAAAAAGTAGTCGATTTGGGTTTTGAAGAGGCTTCCAATATTTAAATTTGTTAAGATTTAAAGATATTTAATTTTTTTTAAAGATATTTGTTTAGCAGGAGTTTTTAATATATTTCTCTGTTATTACAGAATTTATTTAATATTTAAATAATACTATGAGCTTATTTTGTTGTCTATCAGTAACGATTTATATTATAGATGAATTGTAGCCTAGTAAAGCACTCAATAAGATATTGATAAAATATCTTTTGCACTTGCTGCCTGATGCCTAACACGCTCTTTGCACTATTGCACTGTTTCTTGAATCATTTTAATTTCTAGATTACTTTGAATTGAATCATGATTAAGAAATTAGTGAGATGAATAATCTGAAAATACATGATTTTTTTACATATATATAAAATACATGATGTTTTACAGAATTAAATTTTGCTCGGTTGGATTTGGTATTTGTAAATGAGATGATTAATTCCAAGCCTTCCTCAATTCAGTATAAAAATGACTTTGAATTCATGGATTTGTTTTATACAAATAGGGCATAAGGTCATTTCATGCCAAATCATCCAATGAAAAATAAATATATTACAAATCTATTTTTTGAGTACTTTTTTTGTTCAGTACCTTTTTAATATCTATTTTTAAAACTTTTTGAAAAACCTGAATTTGAACACAATTTTGATCACAAAAATTCTTGTAGATTTACAACCAATGGTACTTGTAAGGTGTTATATAGGCTTTAATTTTATATGAAATTCTATCATTTTTTTTACTTTGAAATTTGGCATGAATTTAACCAATACAAGTCAGTGTTGACGTTGTCATTTATATAATAAATGATAGCCCATTTAACAAGCTTTGAAATGAACTTTCAATCATCCTTTTAGCACCATTGGTTGTTAATCTACGTGAGGATTTTTGTGATAAAAAACTCAGCTGTGTTACCTCACCTTTCTTCCATCTTGGGATTGTTTTCTTTTCAGTCTTGACAATGCCTAAATGTTGACAGTTTATTTTCTTCTTTACATGTATTCGAGAGACACAAGGCTGCTTTGATGGATTTTTTCCAATTGTAACCTGATAAAATAACTTTTCAAGAAGAAAATGTTTAGCATATAGTTTGTAAAGTATTTATTTGATATAACGGATATACCAAACATTTTGTAAATTAGGGACATATAGATTTTGGTTTCTTATTATTTCAAATTGAATGACCTCATAATGAAGTTTTGGTGTCAGTTATTAAATTTTTGAAAATGAGTTGAGCCGGTTTTGAAACTAATTATCTCAAATATACTCAAAAGTTAATTAAATTTTATTTTTAAATATTTATCTCATGATTTTCTCAAATTTGCTGTTAAAGATAAGAGTTAAACAAATTTAATTTATTACTCCTTAACTATTCCATATAATCTTTTTTTTCATATAAAATAATTAGGAACACACCGAGGAGGACTAAAAATTGAACCCAGTATCGATATAATTCGAGTTGGAAGTACTGTCGACCTGAAATGTATTACTGACGGCATACCAAGCTCCAGTATAGTCTGGAAAAAATTTGGAGAAGATAATCTTGGAAAGAATGTTATAACCATTTCTCCCAGCATTTTGAGGCAAGTATTTACATTAGTTCTCTTCTTTAAATGTAATATTCGTATATTGAAAATTCAAGATATAGAATAAGAATTCTTGATAGTGGGTAATTGTTGACTGTGGAAAATATATTGAAGAGAAGTTGATAGGGATTTTCAGACAATGAAAGTATTAAGTAAAACTTTTCCTTGTATTTTCATGAACTGGAAACCCCAACCAACTTCTATTCCACAAAAATGTGAACACTTTACATAGGTTTCATTTAAGCCAGTGATATTTGTTCTATTCATTTAAAATATATGTGAAATAAATAAAAAAAATTATATAAATATTATGTATCTCAAGTCATTTAATATCGTTTACAGTAATTATTTAATTTTATCTTAGTTTATGAAAACACTAAATACAATAAAAAAAATAATACTTACTATGTGAATATGTGAAGGAGGCTGGGGTAGTCTTGCAGGCTAAGGCGCTTGCAATAGGTAATCAAAGTTAAGCAACGCCGAGCGTGGCTAACACTTAGGTAGGTGACCACACTTGCGGACAAAGATCTTCGTGGTCTGTAGCGCCAACCGAAAAAAAAAAAAATGTGAATATGTACTATTAAAAACTTACTTATTTTAAAGTTATAATTGTTATCGTGTTTTCCAGTATCACTGTAATCTACGAAGGCTCAATGCTTTATAAGAAAGTACTCTTTTTAGGCTTACCATTGTTCAGGAGGTTGAGATTATTTTCAACTGTCAGGTTTTTCCTTAAATAAAAGTACCCACTTTTCAGAGGCTAGGTGTGTGCCCACCACCAGAATTGGTTCATGATATTTGGTTCATATAACAGAATAATTATGTCCCACGGCCGGAATCGATCCAAGTTTGATAAAGTTATAATAAATTGGATTTTTTCATAATTGATATATCTATGCCTTATAGATTAATTTATACCCAATACAAGGGTTATATTAATATTGGAGTTTTTTTTTTTTACACATTCCAACATAACTTCTCCGAAGTCTCAGTTCATCTAGAATGGTTGCGACCTAATTTAGCTTTAAAATATTTCTAGTTGGCTGCTGAAAAGCATTATTGTCTTCATTATTATGTTTCATCAATACTAGACATGTCTCAGAGCATGGGAACATGATTACTTTTGTTACACATTTTCTTGATGAAGTATTGCCAGATTTAAAAAAAAAAGTTCCATAAAGTTATTGTAATTAATAATTAGTTTTGTTTCTTTACAACAGGATTGCAGATGTCACTACTAGCAATGCAGGCACTTACAGATGCTCCGCTCAAACTGAATCTGGCACTCATGTTGATGATTACACACTGACTGTCCAAGGTTTTGCTCTTTTTTTTAAATTTAGTTATATAATAATTCATTTATGTCATTTTGGAAAGAAATTTAATTTGCAGATTTCTAATTTTTTTTTTTTTTAAATTCTTTTATCATTGGATTAAATCTTGGTGAGTAAATTTAATTTTAGAACATTTATAAATAATATGTTTACAATTTATAAACTTGTTATTTATGTAAGCATATATTTTCTATAATAATAATAATAAGTGATGGGCAATAATAACAAGATTTATAAAATACTATAAAATTATAATTTAAAAAAAGTGAGGTGAATGATAAAAATGACAGGCAAAATTTTTTTGGCTTCTGCTTTAAATATAATTGATTCTAAAAGTATAAATAATATTTTTTTTAAATATACAGATTTTATACTTCTAATATACTGATGTTCCGATGTTTGAGTTTAGACACCGTGGGGAAATGAAAAATTTATTTTAATGAAGTTAATTTTTCATCTATCATTTCATCTATTAATTGGATTTGATAAATTATAACTTATTGCAATTGTTTTAAAAAGTATGAACACATTACATTAATGGAAAGAAGTAAATATTATTGAACATTGATTGTCCTATTTTGAATGAATGAATGAAAATAATTTTATTATTCTGGGACTAGTGTCCCTTTAGAACAAGTCACAAATACAGAATATATATTAATATTTTGGTGTGTCCATGAAATACAATTTAATATTTACAGGTTGATTTGAAGTAGAATAAAGTTATAAATGATAAAAAGATATAAATATGTGTAAATATAAAATATACAGAGAAAGTAATAAAGTGAACGAAATATCGATGAATTACAAAATAATCAGAGTACCTGGGTGTACTTTGAGGTTTTGACAGCTTAGGTTTATATAGTTATTCTCATAAAATACCTATTTTATGAGAATGATCTATATCATTATTTATTGTGAGATATAAGCACTATTTATTAATAAATTATAAATTTATTTTAACCTCATTAATATTTATAGATGATACACAACAAACCGTTCCTGACTATGATGACGATAATGATGATATGGACATATCTCCTGCACCTTCCCCAGCTGCAAAAACCATAAAGCTGAAATTGGGTGATTCTGCTGATATTAATTGTAACAACGATCTAGAACCACCAGTGAAATATAGTTGGATACGCCAAGGTGGTCTTCCAGCAACTGCCACTTCTGAAGAAGTACTGAAACATTTAAGAAATACACAAATTATTATATAGTTGTTAAATGTTTCCTCATTTTTTATTTTTTATTTTTATTAGGGAAAACTAACATTAAAGAGAGTTAGCTCAAAGGATTCTGGACTGTATACCTGTGTTGCAACAAACGGCGAAGTAAAGATGGAAATACCTACATTTGTTGTGGTTCATGGTTCAATTCCCAGATTTACTCAAACATCTCAATCTTATCTCAAACTGAAAACCCTCTTTGATTCCCTCATGCAGTTTGATATTGAAATTTTATTCAAGCCTGAACAAGAAAATGGTAATTAATTTAAGTTATTATTTATGAAGAGTTAATGACATAAAAATACAACTCGCCATGCTGAGGGTCTTCCTGTTTATATAATTATATTGTTAATATATATTTATATTGTAATCTAAAAATATAGAGCATAAATTTGAATATGTTAACTTATGTTTTTATATCATTATCTCTTTTTTTTACTTAAGTATAATTCTAACTAAAGTGTAGAATTGATATTGAAAGTTTAAGGGAATTAAACCCAATAAACGAGGTAAGATACTTTTATATTTGTTATCATTTAATATTTTTTCTCTAAACCTAACTAAATTCTTTCAACCCTCATAATTATAAATATATTCAATTTTTTTAATGGATTTAAATTTTTATTGATAGTGGTTCTCAATTTTATAATTTTAATTATTAAAAAGGTGTAATAATTAATTATAAATTATATTGTCGGAACATGTTAAAGTAAGGAATGTGAGCCTGTTTCACGTTGCTCATTCATTACTTTAACATCTTGCAGACGATATGGTATTAATCAAAATTTTATTGTAGATATAACTTGAGCTATTATTCAAATTTATTGCTTACATCTAATTTTTTCTTTTTCTTTTTTATAATACAGGACTCATATTGTTTAATGGCAAACGACACCCATCAGCATCTGGGGCAAGTGATTTCGTTTCATTTGGCTTAAGAGATGGTTTCCCAGAATTCAAATTTGACGTTGGATCAGGTCATGCTGCAATTGTCGGTAGATCCCCTCTTGAAATGGGTAAATGGGTTAAAGCTAGACTCATTCGTAACAGGAAAGAAGGCAAGTTTTAATGATATTAATATAATTTTTTATTTTTTTTTTTGTTTATTCTTGATCATTTTTACTGATAGCACTATTGTTACCGCAGGCCGATTGATCATCAATGACGAGGAGCCTGTTATCGGAACCAGCCCAGGCCGTCATCATAGTCTTGATTTGGATTTGCCCCTCTATGTCGGTTCTGTTCCTGACTTTAATGATATACCGAAATCTGTTGATTACAGCACTGGCTTTAGAGGTATGATAAATTACATTATAGTTAGCATTTATAAAAACTGAATTCAAAAATCCATTATTTTTATCATTACAAAAATTAACATTTAGTTTATAATTCTCATCATCTAAAAAATTTATGATTGATCACTTGTCCTATTGATATATTGGAAATCCCACGACTGAAGGAAATAAAATAGGTCCAATAAGCAAATGCTTCCTAACAAAAGCAGCACTTTTCCATCCAAAAATAAACTACAAAATATGTTCAGCTGTCGTTGATATAAATTTTTTTTATATGGTTCATTTATCTGTGACTAATAAATTAACTATTTACAAAGTCCTCATTAAACCACTTTGGACATATGGGATCAAACTATGGGGAACAGCAAAGAAATCAAATATAAAAATCATCCAGTAGTCATTCCAGTCAAAAGTCCTTCGGAAAATTGAAGACGCACCCTTTTATGTTTCAAACCTCATGTTACACACTGACCTTAACACTCCTTTCATCGCAGCAACTGCCACTGACCGATTTAATAATTTTCATGACAGACTGACTCTAAATTCCAATCCACTTACTAAAGCTCTATCTACTGCCACAAATCCATATAATCCCCCAAGAAGACTGCTGAGGTGCTGACCAAGAGACTTATTGCATTGAGCTACTTGCTGCATTTTTTTTTTTTTTTTTTATGTGTGTGTTTGTTACTATGTTATTTGTATGTGTTATTTTACTACCGTTGTTTTTCTTTTATTTTATTTTCTTTTTTTTTTTTTTGTCTTTTGGTTTTGTTATTACTATTCTTTTTTGTTATCATTTCTTCTCCTTGATATCATATTTGCTGAATACAGAGGTAGATGGCAAATTTATTGTGAGCCACGAATATGTATAACTAATAAATAATAAATATGGTTCATGTTTATTACAGATAGCTTTTAGGAGCAATCTGTTTTCACACAGGCATCAGTCAATTCTTATGTGTATATATATATATATATATATATATATATATATATATATATATATATATATATATATACTGTATAGTTTAACAGTTCTCTTATATTTTAACTAATAATATAACTTCGGAAAATCACTTCAATACCTTTGGGATACTCCCAAAAGAAATAAGAGTTTGTTAAATAATAAACAAAATTATAAGAGTATTAATATATTAAATTGAAATTTATAATTATTTTATCTCAGGTATGGGTTACTGAGAATCAGATCAAAAAAAAAGACTCAGTAACATTAACTACACTAAACACTGATTTTAAAATAAAGTCAAGTATGAATTGGATAGCTAACCTTTTTCCATATACACTGTTTCTTCCTTTGTGGCACTGAATTCATTTGTCTTCAAACTGTTTCAAAAGTTCTGCCAAACGCAATTTCCAAAATGGTGACAAGTTCATCTACTCAACTCAAGCTCCTCTTTCCTCTCTCTTGTGATTCCAAACAACTTGTCCCAGCCAAACACCGACTGCTTGCCAAAACAAAATCCTTTGTCCCATCCCCTCTTTGGTATTTCCGTTTTTGGGGAAACTACAGAGCAGCTATTTTCTTTTCCCTGAACTAGTAGAACTAGATTAGCTTGCCTTTTAACTGTTCAATATTAATTTATCAAACCATTTTTACCAACTTCCAATTAAGATGGATATTACAATATCTTATATATAGTATAAATATACACATATTACACTTTCCTATTAGAAAATCGCTTATCTACAATATCCTGTCTTTTATTTCCATTAAAATAACTATAAATCTAAGAAATAATATTGGCTTATTCTTTTGTTGAAAACAACTCTCTGCTCCTCTCCCCAAGTACTTTCCAGTCTAACCTAAATGATCCTAAACTAACCAAAAATCAGACCAACTGAAAATATTGAGAAAAGAAGTGGTGCAGGTTGGTTGTCATAAAAAAACTTAAAATATTGAAAAACTATTTTATTTTAATTCAACATTTCGACCCAACTATGTAGGTCTTGATCATGGCTGGAACAAACAAGATACGAAGAATATAGAAAATTGTAGGAACCACTAGATATTTAGATATACAATTATAAAGAGTATAAATAGAAATTATATAAAAGTATTAAGAACATTAAAATATAAAGCCATAAAAATGGTTGACCGTGATTATGATATGAGAAAGAAGTGGTTGGGAGTGCGGTAAAATAAATACTATAAACTAGAATAGCATTTTATTAGTTAGGCCAATGTTTTGATCCACTTTGTAGGTCTTCATCAGGGCATGGTATCAATGAAGTGATTCGAAACATCGGCCTAACTATTAAAATAATATCCTAGATTATAGTATTTATTTGACCACACCCCAACCAACTTATTCTCATATTAAAATATAAACATTAAAGTCTTCACCTTAATGTTCTTTATAATTTTATATACTTTCTATTTACGATTTTCTTAATTTTTTTTCTAAATGTCTTTTATTTTTTATATCCTTTGTATCTTGTTTGTCCTAGTTCTGATGAAGACCTGCACAGTTGGTTCAAAACGTGGGCTTAAAATAAAATAGTTTTTCACTATTTTAAGATTTTTTATGACCACCATCCCAGACCATCTCTTTCCTCAATACTATATTACGATCAACCATTGAGTATTCAATATAACAGAAACTATAAACAAGACCAGGCTGATAAACAATAACATACTGATAGAAAATGTATTACATATTCATGTCAATTTTCAATACTTGTATTTCTGTGAGGAAGTCATCAATAAATGATGTATCTTTATTAGACTTTTTTCCTCTAAATGTTATCAGAAACATTACCTTAAAGTCTTCCCATAAACCTTCATTCAAAGGATACCCTATGTATTCTAAAATGCTCCAATATAATTGTTTTTCTAAAAATATTATTAGTGTGATTATCATGAAGTCGAGTCTTCAAGACTCAGGATTACTTTTTATAACTATAATTTTGTTAAGAACACTGTGTTTTTTTATGAATTCCTTGAATAACTTCATGTTTCATTTTAATTTATTTTTATTGTACTTTATTTTTGTTAATAATCTATTTAAATTTTCTAAAATACTAATTACTTTAACTAAAATTGATAAAATACTTAAAACTATAAAATTCAATATTTGTTATCACATATTATTTTTTCCACCAAGTTTTTATCGTTTTGATATTCCTATATTAATATAGATGCGCCTATGAATTTCCATCGAAGTTTATTAGTTATACATGATTAAAACCATTTGTATTTTTAATAGTTAATAAACAAGATTCAAGAATGCTCCTGATTATTATTATCTCTTTTAGGATGTATTGCACGACTTATCATCAAAAATGAGGAGCAGACCTTATCTAGGGCTGGAGCGCTCGAGTGGACAGGTATATCAGAATGTGACACTTGTGCCGAGAACAAATGCACAAATTCAGGAGCTTGTCAAGAATCACCAAACCATCGAGGTTATGTTTGCCTCTGCCCGAGAGGATTTTCAGGAGAAAATTGTGACCGCACTGGGGAATCCTGTTATCCAGGTAAGCTTTTCACCTCTATAATTCTTTTTGTACAGAAACTAAATAAGTCCTGGGCAAATATTTAATTATTAAGGAGTTGCCTACTTTACATGAATTTTTGTGTGCTTTATATTACATCACAGATCTTTAGAATGAATTTTTTTTCCTTTATTTTTGGTCTCATAGAACAGAATATGTCACACTATATTAAGATAAAAAATTTCAAAAAGTTTTTATTATAAGTAAGTGTAAATTACCACCAGTCTATATTTCCTATTCCAATTGTAATTAAATAAAAAAAAGTTTTATTTGGATTATTTGGTATGGAGAGAAAAATTGTGTATAAGTCAGGGAGAAAGGGTAATTATAAAAATTGTACTAAGAAAACTTAACTTTTTGTTTACCATAATGGCACGATAAAGTAAGTTTCTTTTTTATTTGAATAAAAAAAAAATTTCTCGATCGCAATACTTACACTTACTATATATTACATAAATACGTAAATGAAAGTAATAATTGTACCATCAGATTCAATGGTTATTTTTACATAAAAATCAATCCTTATCTTGATTTCCATTAAAACCCATTAGGGTTCACTATGGAAATAAACGGCTCATGTATGATTGGTCCCAAGGATGATTTAAATTTGAATGTTATTGCTTGTATTATTTGAATAATTTGTGATTATTAATGTTGTTGTTTTTTTCGATTATCAGGCTTATGCGGGGAAGGGTATTGTGAAAATACTGACAAAGGATATATATGCAAGTGTCAACTAGGACTTGCTGGACCCCATTGCGAGCATAGGATTCAAATACGGACACCCTTCTTTCAGGACAATTCCTATATAGCTTACCCGACTCCAAGAAGCACGGAAAAGTAAGTGTTATTCTTATTTATCATTAGTTTATTCAGGTTTACATCTTTGTAAATCTTCGATATTAAAATTTCAATAACTTAAAAAAAAATAAAATTGAATAGAGTTATTGAAATATTGTTAACCTGTGATTATTACTTCAGATCATTAGAAATTTGTAAATAAAGTCGATGGATAAATTTAAAATATAAATGCTGTTAGCTTAATTATTTAATTTATTGGAGTAAATATGTAAAAAAGTATGGAATAATTAGAAACAGGATTAACAATAAAGATATATATATATATATATATATATATATATATATATATATATATATATATATATATATATATATTTCTTAAATGTACTGACTTTTAGTATTTCTAGGACACTTTTAAAATATACACTTACTAATTGTAATATAATACGTATTTAGACAAAGTTAAGATGAAAATAAATTTACAGCATATTTAAAATATTTATTAGAAATGTATATTAATTCTCAGTCAAGATAAAACGTTTTATCTTCTACAAATTCTATATTCCACTGTTGAATATAAATATTTCAAGATTCTTCTAATGAGACTAATTTATTTATCTGAAATATTTTAGTAAATACAACATTTGTGCCTATATTTATAATAATATCAACTAGGATATATTAGTAAATCATCAATATTTCTATATATTTCACTTTCAATTGTTCCAACAAACAGTCCTAGTTTTTAAACTAATATAAATATTTTCATGAAGGAAGTTGAGTCGGCCTAATATAGTATATAGTTTATAATAATATAGTAAAAATATAGAATAATTATGTAGTTAATTAAAACAGATAAAATGTCTTGACCATGTATAATTTTTTAAATAAGTTATTTTCTATAAAAGTGAAAAGTTAGAGGATGTAAAATTAATTTTAAAAATGGACTCCAAGTAGTCACAGTTAAGAACCTCAGAGTTATACTACTAATGTTTTTTTAAAATTTATTTAAATAAAAATACATCTGCCTGTAAATATTTTATTCAGGAAAATGTTTGCCATAATTTACACTAAAATATACAGAAAAATATAAATAAAAACATTTTTACTTAAATTGGCCTACACCTGTAACTTGAAGCCTCAATAATAAAATTATTGATGGTTTGCTCTATTAATTTTATTGTTTTTTAGATTGGACATAACTCTAAAGTTGCATCCATTAGACTCTAGAGACGCTCTCATCCTGTATGCTGCTCAGAATGATTTTGGCAGTGGGAACTATCTCTCATTGGCTATCAAGGACAGGAGGCTAGAATTCAGGATGGAAACTGGTTCCAGTGAGTAAATAGATAGTCTTGTGTTTTAAAAATATAACTTAATTGATTAAACTTTCTAAATCAATATCACCATTCAGATTAAAAATACTTAATACGATTTTCTTTTTTTATATTTTCTATTAAAATATAGAATTACAGAGATAGTGTCACCATTCCTTCAATTGTAAAACATCTTTGTTTCATTTTAGACTATTCCGTTACATGGATTGAAGAGCTTAGGCCCTATCATTTAATAAATTCTTTCCCAGACATTGCATTAAATTGGTTATAAATTGTCAATTATCACACCTGGAGATTTGATAGAACTGGCATAAAAGTCTGCACTAAAATCCTTATCCAAACTAGACTATGCAAGCTTATCTTATAATCTTGGAAATAAAGAATGACAAAAATTAGCCCTTATAGAGTCACTCTTACAGGAATTCCAATAGAAACATGTTTATGTATGATGCTATTACTCACATGGCATATGTCTATTTAAAAAAAAAAAAAAAAAAAAAAAAGGGAATTTCCTTTTAATCCATATTTTCCAATTTGTTTTTTGTAGGAAGTTTTATTTAGTAAAAATCTTATGATTAATTTAAATCTCGTTTTCTAAAATTCTTTATTCACTTCCATCAATACAAATTATTTTCAAATATAGATAACAATCTAACATCTTTTGAATGAATATATTTAAAACCATCCATTAAATGTACAATTTTTCTTAATTTCAGCTTTCGTTAATTTTCGAATATTTGCATACTTTTCAAGTAATTACGAGATCGTCTGATAGGAGATCTAGCATTCTCTTAAATGATTCATTAAATTTTCATTTAGTGTTGATATATCTGAAATTTATAGTAGATATATCTGATAGGATAGTAAAAACAGTTTAAAATTTGTTTTTTTTTTTTTGCGTTTTCATTGTTATAACCTAATGTTCACCAACGAGGAAAAATTTTAAATTGATGCCCTAAAGTACTCTATTGAAATTTTTATATTTGTATTTCAAAAGTTATAAAAATAGCGAGTATTGAAAAAATGTAGATAACCATGAATCCAAAAGGTTCTATAAAGTTTCTTGAAGAATTTAAGTAATTGAATTTAAGTACAATTAGATAAGGAAGATGTTTCATAGATGTAGGTTACCTCAGAGTTAGAGTCAGTTTTTAGTTTGTTTTCAGTCAGTCTGTTATTGATAATTACTTCAGTTCGATGTTAGCTTGAGAGTGAGTCTATAGTTATCAGTGTAAGGTTACATTGTTGGTAAATAATATTTTCAACAAGTGTTTTAGTGTCTATGAATTTATTGTATGTATATTGTAAAGTGAACATGTTAAATTTATTATTTATCAAAACTGATTAAAATATTTAAGAATTTCTCCTTAATGAATATTTTTTTCAAAACATTTTTATTCGACTTCATAGTGATTTTTTAAATTAACTCTTTTTTATAAAAAAAAATATATACATGAGTGAGGAAATCTATAGATATTAATGAATTGAATTGATGAGTACATCTGTTTCAGGTGCACCAATCGTTGTCAAGTCGAACACAGAGGTGATCCCTGGTTCTTGGATGACAGTGACCGCAGGACGGGATGCAAGGGAGGCCAGGCTATCAATAGGTAAATTATTGATGCGTTTTTTTAGGAATCTGTTGTTTTATTAAAATAAAAATATGGAGACTACTATGATAAATATATATATGTTTTAAGGTCAAGATCTTGCAAGAGCGACATTGACACCTGGTCAAAGAAGAGAGTTGATTTTAGGTACCAATCTATACCTCGGAGGTTTTGACTCAAGCTTAGGTAGTGTCCATCCCAATGTTGGTGTTACTGAAGGATTTAGAGGCTGTATATCTCATGTGAGTTATCTATCTTTTTTTAAAATTTAATTTGATTTATTTACTTTTAAGAAACAGGGATTGCAGTATAAACATTCAATATCTTGTCAGTTGTGATACAATGATTGTTTTGAGTTTGATAAAGGTACTATTTCACTGGTACTGCCCACTGTGCCGACTGCTAGCAGTTGAGTTGAGAGCTCTGCTTTAGTGGAATAAGAAGGAGCATATTTCGTTTGCACTGCTGGGCAGTCTAGGTATGAATTCATGTCTATACTGCTCCTAAAACAGTGAAACTGTTGGCAGTATGCCAGCCAGTTATAGGTTATGTTATCATATCAAAGAATAGTTTTGATGGGAACAGTGACCTTGTTACATTTCATTTCTTCTTCTTTTTTCATCAACTTAAACAAAATTAAATGAAAAATTGTTTAAAATTTAAAAACCACTATTGCAAATAATTTTTGTAGGTTTGAAGTAACTGGAGTATTTTATATACGGATTCAAATATACCGAAACCAAATTAATGTTAAATAATTAGGAAAAAAATCGCTAATAAATATTCAAATCTACATTGAAAAATCACTTTTTTGACTGATTTACTAATAGTCTAATGGTAAATCACTATCTAATGTGATTTCATTATAAATACCATGTCTGTCTATTGCAAAAAGTCACTAGGTACATTTTTCATAGAGCTAAATTTTTATCAACATACATAAATACACTAAAACTTACAAAACACGAACCTTTAATGTATCAAACATAATTACACCCAGCACACAATATTTTGATTTTACAGAGAGGGAGAAATATAGTAAAGTACTTAGTGATTTAATTTTATGAAACGTTATTTGATTTTTTTGTACAATAAACTGATGATATGATATTTATTACTGAAATGATCGTACTAATAATGAGTAATACATTCAAAACCAGAGACCACAATTCACCATCAATTTTTAAAATAATATTTCTTCATAGTATTTTTCCCATAATGCTGGTACTTTCTCTTCAATATATTATAATAATCAATTGTAGGCAGACTGGTTAATATGTGTATACTGTTTTATTTTTATACTGGTTAATATTAACATTTTACAGTACGAACATAACCTAACCTCATAATTCAACCGTTACGGTGAGCAGTTTTCAACAAAATACTGTAATATACACCTTAATTGAAAGTTGTTAAAAATGATTTAATATATTATTGTAACAGTTAAAAAGCAAGTTAATCTAGTTCTATTAGTTCAGGGAAAAGAAAATGGCTGCTCTGTAGTTTCCCCCAAAAAAAAAATCCCAAAGAGGGGATGGAAAAAAGGATTTTGTTTTGGCAAGCAGTTGTTTGGAAAGACAAGAGAGAGGATCTCCCAGGGAGTTTGAGACCAGTAGATGGAAGTTTTGTTTGGCAGAACATCGGAAAGCATTTGAAGATAAACGAATTACAAGCTAACCCTTTTCTATATGCACTGTTTCTTTCTTTGTGGCACTGAATTCATTTGTCTTCAAAAAGTTTCCAAAGTTCTGCCAAACACAATTCACAAAATGGTGACACATTCATCTACTCAACTCAACCTCCTTGGGATATCCTCTCTCTTGTGATTCTAAACAACTAGTCTCTCTGCCAAATAACAACTTCCAAGATGGTAATACTATTACTGGGTTTTACCCACTGGAGCCAGGATCCCTTCTCCTATCCTCTCTTCACTCACTGCAGCCAAACAACAAATGCTTGCCAAAACAAAATCCTTTGTCCCATCCCATCTTTGGGATTTTCTTTTTGGAGAAACTACAGAGCACCCATTTTCTTTTCCCTGAACTAGTACAACTAGATTAGCTAGCTTTTTAACTGTTACATTAATTTATTAAATCATTTTTAACAATTTTCAATTAAGGTGTATATTACAATACGTATGCACAAACGGTTAACTGTTAGAAATGGCAGTCGCTACTGAGGACAGTATCTTAAGTAATCAGGATTTGCAATTTTGACATGGCTAGGTATAGGTTTGCTGATATTTCACTCAAGTCTCCTGCCACGATGATGACTCTCATGCTTGGGTCAAAGTGTTGAGAAGCCTAATAAACTATCTAGACCGCAAATCCTGAATATTTATCATCTTCATAATTTTAAAATAACAGTTACCAATATATTCATCTGTAAATAGTTATCATTGCTTACTTATTTGATGGTTCTTATTTTAATTCATAAATTTATGCCCATTGATCTCTTTGATTTCTTCTTGGCCGAACAAATTAAGCACTAAATAAGGTTTTTATTTAAAAACTGGAGTTCTATATTATTCCTCAGAACTAAGATCAAACTAAGCAATTATGAACTAAGCCAATTCCGTTTTAGAAACTAACTGTTTAATTGTTATAAGCATTAGAGTATGCTAGTTGATTTTATAAATATAAAAAGAATTTTTTTTGTAATTGCTTATAGGCTGAAATGGAGAAAAGCAAAAAAAAAAAAAAATATATATAAAAATTAAAACAAAAGGATCCTTGTGAAGATTCATTAGAATCAAAATCAAAGTTCTATAATAGTTATTAAACTGCCTAATGTTAAGAACAATGGTTTTATAATCATTGAATTTTAAATGTTTGCTTAAACATTAAATCAGTTCTTTCAGTTTATAATTCAATCACACTCACAAAGTTACTTCTTAAATAGTATAATCAATAATGGTATAATCAAATGATATAAGTTACTTAAACTCTCATATATAATTATGTATTGTTTAATTTTTTTTTAATGGTTGTTATATTATTGCCAATGCAGATTGAGATATCAAGAATGGACTTAGATATCCTCAAGAGCAGCAAGGAGTCCTCGAATGTTAAAGAATGTCCATCAGGTAATCCTTGCCATGACAGTCCATGTCTCAATGGAGCTAGCTGTCAGCAAGATGGAAGTAGCTACATTTGTCATTGTACACCAGATTTCAGGTATTTTTTTCATTTTTTAAAAGTGACTTTTCCGACTCCCATTTCCGATAATAAAATCATATCGTTGCATGGAAAATATAGAGTGTAATTATAAATTTACATCTTAATGTTATTGTTTATAAACAATCTTTATGTATTATTTCTCAAAGATTTTGTTTTGAAAGAACTCCATATCCATGTTGGTACTCCTTATCTTTGTTAATTCTTTAAAAAATCTAATGATTGAGTCTTTGTTTTTATAAAAATCATTATTTTTATCTGGTGGGAAAAATAATCACATACCTCAGAAATGTCAGGAAAAAAGTTATGAAGAAAAAGATACATTATTTGTCCATAAAGTTTTATTGGTTGGGCATTCAGTCATTGGAAGTACAAAGTAAAATTAAATTATATTTAATTATTTGTGCTGATGTTTTGGTCTAAGTTTCAGGCCTTCATCAGGGTTCAGCAAAGACAAGATAACAAATAAACGCTGAGAAAAATTGTAGATATTAATAATAATAATAATAATAATTTGTAGGTAATATAGTTTAGCGAAATAATATATAGGTAATTAAACGTTATATTAATAAATATATGGAATGAGAAATATGTGGTACATAGATTTATATAGTGGCATATTTCTCATTACATATATTTATTAGTTTTAAGTTTAACTTCCTACATATTATTTTACTCTACTATTTTACTTATATGTTATTATTGTTACTACCATCTACTATTTTTCTTACTATTTATTTATTATCTTATCTTTGCTTAGTGCTGATGAAGGCCTGAAACTTAGGCCGAAACATAGGCACAAAGAAAATAAATATAATTTATTTTTACTTTGTACTCCCAAAAAAACAAATCAAAATCGAACCATTATTTCAAAGATAGAACCTCCAAATAACTTTCTAACCATATTATCTACAGTAAACTATTTATTATTTTGAATGAACAATTGTAATCAAAGGAGCAAAAGAATAATAATTCTAGTGCTAGTACAAAGTAGCGTACAAACCAATTATTTTTTTTAGTTTTGGCAATAAAATCATAGGTCACCCTCGGGATGATATTAGAACTCGGCATTAGCATCCATGATTTTGTTCCAAAATAGCAGTTGATAACTGGTTTTATACACTATGGTCTGAATTATAGGATTCCTATGTCAATAGCTTAGCCATTTATGAAGATAAAAGAAAAAATAAGTTCTGGTGCCCTATGCAGTCGGGGTGGACTGTTATCTGCTAATGTTTATAATCTGAACTCGGAAAATGCACTGTTCATAATATCGATCTTTGTATTCAAATTTATGGAAATTGAAATAGACAAAAAGAAATGTAACAATAACAAAACACTTTCATTTTATATATATATTGTAACATTCTCTTTCCCTCCAAAATCTAACAACTAGTTTCTTTTTCAATATACTATTTATTTTAGCATATAACATAAATTCTCAGGTTGGGTCCTGACAACTGAACACTCATTTAAAATTATATTATTTGTAAGCTACACTAATTTACTTAATTACTAACTACACTTATATATAATTTAAAATAGTTTTATAAAATAATTTGTCCTGATCTACACTTTTTGGCTCTCTCCCTCTGTCAATATAAATGTCATTGTTGGCACTCAGGCATTTACGCCTGTCACTAGTGGCCTCTATCTTTTCCAGACTGGCTAGTACTCCTTTTCTATTTTCTCGAGTTGCTGGCTGGTCACGTTCTCTACTTGATGGCTCGTCACCTTCTCTCTTGGTGGCTCGTCCCCTTCTGAGTTACATGAGGCATGCTTCCCTCACCATCCGCACGCACTTCCTCCCCGTAGTTCGTGCTGTTACCACTTTTACGCCAATATTAAAATGCCCATGTAACGTTGACATTACAATATATATAAAACAATTTTATTTTGCATTTTATACAAAGTATAACATAAACACATAATGCATACAATACATTAATGCATACATTCATACTTTATATAAAAAACATATATACATATAAAACTTGTTGGATAGTTTCAGCTCCTCTTTGCTCCACTGTATTGTTGTTAAATTATGAGACCAGCCATAAATAAATTTTAAAGCCGTTGAAAAAGTAATATTTGACCCCTCTAACCACGTTCCTTTTCTTATAGATATGTTTTTCTTACAAATTTGACAGGAAGAGCAAATGGAAATGAAAACATTTCCATTTGGTCTTCCTGTCAAAGTTTATTTCATGACGTCCTTCATAGGACACAAGTACCAAAAAATATTACACCAAAGCCTTAAAAAAAAAATTGAAAATTTTCATTTAAGCATACTCTTATTAAAAATAAACTAGAAATAATTATAAAAAGTTTAAGTTTTAATTGCTAAAACTGTTTTGGATAATAAATTCTTCATAAATTGCAAAATATTCTTAATGAAACTTTTTAGTTTATGATCATAAATGTGTAGATATATGATCTTAATTTTTATATACCTTTTAGTGGACGCCACTGCGATAAATTTAAGAATGACTGTGAAAGATATCAACCCTGTGGAAACAAAGGTGAATGCATTCCCCTTTCTTCGGGATACAAATGCAACTGCGGCAAAGGGTTCTCTGGCCAGAACTGTACTATGAGTAAGCATTACTATAATTATATAAGATGTTTATATCAATTATTTTTAATTCCTTTTTTTGAAAATGTATGCATCAATGCTTAATTTTTTCTGCAAGAAAATTTAGTAAATGAGGAATCTTTTATTGTTTTGACAAATTTAAGTTGTTTATAACTGTTATAGATTTTTGTAAACCCAACATAAATAAAAATTAGTTAATTTAAAAAAAATTGAGCCTTAATTTTCAGAATATCCAAATTATTGATTGTTATTGCCATCTATTTTTGCAGGAGAGCACTTTACAACCTCCTTCCGCCTCGGTGGCGATGGTTGGGTCGAACTTGATAGGAGCATTCTCGACGATATTGGAGATGAAACAGAGGTTGAAATGACTGTTGTTACTAGCAGTAGGAACGGAATTCTCTTGTGGCACGGACAAGATCCACGGACTGCAGGTGGTGTCTCTGACTTTTTCTCGATAGGAGGTGAGTATATTATTATACATTAGATCAAGAGTCCCTAACCTAGAGCTGTGAGCAATACTGTCCATTCATGCCTGTGATCAAACTTGTGCCTCCTATGTCTAACATAACCTTTATCTGCAATCATTTTGGCTGCAGATCGACAAATTTTCAATTAAACTTTGAATATTAATATTGGTAAATATCTAATAATTAATTGTAAGTATGAGTGATTACTTTAAAAATAATAATATATTTTGTGGCTTTTTTTTCAACCATTATTATTGTTTTGCATGGAATGCTGCAGATAAACAAGTTTTAAATTCATATATTTAACAATTAAAAATATGTTTGAAAGAAAAAAAATGGATTTAATTCTGAAATTATTACTAAATTCCTTACGAACAACATAATTTTTTCGGAATAAAATAAATTTGGTCCATCGCATAACTTTCTCTTTGAGTTGATATTAATTTGTTCTCAAATAGCACTCATTAATATTTATTTGGCTCAGAGTATATATTCGGCTCTTAAGTTATTAAATTGAGGCAATTAAAGGTTATAGATATAAAATCCAAATATTCCCAGAGAAGTGATGTGAGAATGACCCTAGTAGTTGACACCTTTATATATCCTAGTGTTCATCCAGTGGTCGAAATTTGACCATCATCATTGAAAATTTGAGGAAACCATATAATAAAATAAAAAATTAATTCAATAAAAAAAGAGTAAATCATGATATAAAAATGTTCATTTATTAATAAAAACGAAATTTCAATTTCAATTAAAAATCAAGCTTAAACTACTTAAAATTATTTATAAGTAATAAGAAAATTGATTCATTCCAAAATATTTAATTTCCATTTTTATTTATGTATGTTATCACAATCAATTAATACTAAGACTAAGCAAGAAAAAATAAATTTAAATTAGCAATTTCAATTCAGTTTAAATCAATATTTATGTATAACTTCTCTGTAAACAATGTTCTTTGTGAATGTTCTGTTCTTGTTTAGTAAGTAGCCTTGCGCGTTGCCATTGGGAATATAAAGTTTTAAACTTTTAAAGATATGTGCTCTACTTGCTGCCACATATAATTGCACATTGCATAAAAACTGAACATCGCAATAATACTCCAATTTTTCCAAACATTTGACTCTGCAATTTGTTTATGGTCTAGCAAACGCAACTATTACTGAGAACTGTGTTGTTTGAAATTCAGATGGAAATATTGTCCCAGAAAATATTAAATTAATTCTTGGAATTAAAATTCTTTTATTTACAGCAGCTCCCGTTAATACTTCACTCTCATTCGCGTTCCATTAACTAAAGCTTGTGCAGTATTTAAGTTATGAATGAGCATAACTACAGAATTTACTTTTAACTTTAATTTATGAGATGGCATTCCGTTAACATTCAATGATATCAAATCTTCAAATAATAATCTCGATTACTTCAGTAAATGTAAAGTTTTTGATTTATCAAAAACCAAAATAAAGGAAATCGTCTTTACAAAAGAAAAAGTTCTAAATGTTTAAAATGTTATATCTCTTTACCAAATAGTCCGATCTCGATGATTTTTTTAATTTTGTAGGGAATCCAGGAAGCTTTCAAATAAATATGAGTATTATAAATATAAAATTATGTACTTTTTGAGTGATTTACAATTATTATAATAAAATTATGCATTCATCGTAAACATTTATGCAGCTAGTTTTTGGGAAAGTATGTTATATACATAAATTATAAAGGTTTCAGGGAAAAGACATTAGCCAAGTTTCATTAAAATCGTTGCAGCCGTTTTGGAGCTACAATTTAAAGCGAATAATGTTTTTCGGACACCATGTCTAAAAGAAAGGCCGGATGATAATGAAATGTATAAAAAAACACTCCTAAATCTGATTATGATGTATCAAAATTTCAAAGAAATCGGTGAATACCTTTCGGAGATTAGCTGTTTTGAACAAACTACCATTTATATTCACTATTTCATATTTTTATTTGTTGATAACACTAAAGCTCGTCAATAGCTATAAAACAAAAAAAGAATGAAGAAAATCGGTTGAATAATAGGAGAAAAAGGGCTGAACCGTTCTGTGTTTACCTATTTATATAATAATATTGAGTTACCCAGAAAATAATGCAGTATTTTGAGTTTTCTTCTAAATACTCCTCTATATAATAAACTGTTTACGTTTACTGGATTATTCATTGGTATGAATGTCAATACTTATTAATCATCTTCCAAATGGTAATGTTTGTTTACCTCTGTAGCAATTCGCTGCTTAGAAATAATTCAGTTTTTACTAAGATATCAACGTGTGATTTTCGTATAATTTTGTTTCACGATTTTAAATTCGGGCAGAATGGGTTCTGACCGGCCAGAAACATCAATCAAATCTGGGATGAGAGTAGCATTAATGAATGCACTGTCCAATGGTGGTTTAAAAAATTTCGGGAGGGAGACCAACCTTGAAGACAAAGAAGGTTGTGGAAGGACTTCCTCTCTTGATGATGATGTTCTGCTGGGTTTGTTGGAAGAAAACCCCAGAACAACTGTTCGAGAACTTGCAGGGAAACAACCATAGCAAATCGACTGTCAATGACCACATCAAGGCGAAAGGTAAAAAAGCTTGAAAGTTGGGTTCCTCAAACATTAAAGAATGCCAAAAACAACCAGCATTATGAAGTTTTTGTTACACTTCTTTGCTAAAATAAAAACGGCCCTTTTCTGTCCAGATTGTTACTTGTGATGAAAATGTGATACTTTACTATATTAGTAGACATTCTGGACAGTGGCTTGACAAAGGAGAAGCAGCAGAACATTTTTCAAAGCCCTCAATTCATCAAAAAAAAGGTAATGGTTACTGTTTAGTAGACTTCATTTGGTTTTATACTCTACAGTGTCTTAAATTCTGTAGAAACCATCAATGCCGAATCGTACTGTAACCACATTAATGCAATGCAATGCAATGCAATCAGAAATTAGCAGTAGTGAAGCCATATTTAGTCAATCGGAAGAGGCCCATTTTGTTGCATGACATCACCTGGCCACATGTCTCACATTTGATGTCACAAAAACTGTTGGAGCTTAAATATGAAACACTGCCATATCTGCTCCTACTCTCCGAACCTCTCACTTACGGATTATCATTTTTTTAGACACCTGGACCACTACTTATGTGACAAAAAAAGTCCGTCAATAAGGACAGATTGGAAATAACTTTATTCTGTAACAAAGTCCCTTAAGAATAACAAAATTGTACAAAAAGAAAAGATTACTTTTGGTGTAAAGGTTTGATGCAATAAATAAAATTAAAAGAAAAGAAAAACACTGAGCAAATTATCTAAAAAAAAAAAAAAAAAAAAAATGAAAGTTAAATCTGTCTTTTACAAAATGTATAAGTATACTGGGTAATATTTAAATACATCATAAGAAGAGTATGATCATTTATTGATATAAATACATGAAAGAATTTAATCGTGTATAAAAAAATAATAATAAAAAAATGGAGGGAATTCTAGAAAGTGACTTTTCTATCTTATTACATAAAATAAGTCTAATTAAAAATTATCCTTTTTTATGAGGGATATTAGCTCTAAATATTATGATTATATTTCAGTCTTGGAAGGACGTGTGAAGGTGATCTATGAACTGGGTTCTGGTCTTGGAGAAGTTACCTCGAGCCGTAGGATTGATGACGGACAACCACATAATATCAGAGTATCCAGAAACGGTAATATCGTCACCTTGAGTGTTGATGAGGACACCATCGATGGACAATCGGAAGGTTTCTTGTCTAAGCTCAATGCTAAAGGAAACATTTATATTGGTAAATAAGTTACTATACAGTATGTTGATAATTTATTTTAATGTTCACTTTATATTTTTGTATTAATATTATAGTCACTTTGTTGTTTCCATATTCTTATCTCTTATATTCTGTAAAGGTGGACTGCCTGATGCAAGATATATGACTAATGGCCGCTATATTCACAACTTCGATGGTTGTATTAAGAATCTAAGGATTCAGAACTCTGATGACATTGATATTTCTACTTCAGCTGTCGCGACAGCCAATGTAGTAAAGTGTCCAGTGTAAGTATTTACAGTTAATCAATTAGAGCGTTTTTTTTTTATTTTGATGTATGCTTTTCTGAAATCCTGGAAATTAGTAATTTTTTTGAAAACTCTCTAATGAAATCATTGAAGTATTAATTAGTTGAAAACCATGTCAGGCAGACGAAAACTCATGTACAGTTAAGGCCTCTTTCAATTTGTTCCGCCTATCCTCCTTTCTAGTTGCAGTTCTCTAAGATATTCATCAGACCTAAGATTTTCTCACTCTGGGACTGGCAAAATCAGCTTAAAAACTTGCATGCGATTTCGTGCTGTATCAAATTTTAAAATGTTATTTTAATAATTTCTTGAAATGGATAGATGTTTAGGTTTTAGATCTTTTTACATGCTAGCGACTAAAATGTGCAATAACATGAAAATCTGGTATCTAGTTATTATCCTTATAACATTTTTTCTTCTTTTTTTTTTGGTATAACATCTATTGAATCTTATTATTTCATCATTCATGCATATCCTCCAAGTTCCATTAGCATAAACTTGGCTATAAATTCGCATTAGTAATATCCTTCAAAATCTTAAAAGCCTTCTGTTTGTTATTGGATGGGATGAAATAAACTCCTATATAAATAAAATTAAAAGTTTATTTATATTTATGACTTTTTTTTTGTCTCTCTTTCCTCGCCTTTTAGGCTACACTGGGTTTTTCCAAGGCTGTGAGAGAGGGCGGGGAAATTATGCCGAGTTAAAAGTTCCACCAGGGCGCCGGGATTTGAACTCGTAATTATTTCTTTATCTCAAAACTTGGTTATCAGGTTGCCGGGCAATACACTGTGTTGTGTACACGCATTACCCAGCTCTGCTACCCCGCTTCATGGTATTTATGATCAATAATATAACCATCATTAGTTATGAGGCTTTCGTGAACACTCCGAATGTTACAATATTTCCACCATTTAGAAAGTGTACGTAACCCTCCATCATTACAACTGTAAAGTATTGATTGTGAAAAAAAAAATTGCAACGATGGCTGAATGTCAAAAGTTCCATTTAATCAGGAAGAGGTATTTTACATTTGATACTTCACAGTTGTAAGGATAATTTTAAAATTATCCGGCACATCCATTAATTTCATTTTTCATATTTTGGTTGGTTGTTGTTCTAATTTAAAACTGATTTTCTTTGAAAGTTGTTCGGAATTTTTTTAATTTATGTTAAATTATATCTTCATTTATTTATATAGCCATATAATATTCTTGTTATAGCAATTATAAAAAATATTTCATTTAGTTTTAAGCATTATATGAATACTGTTTATATTATTCTATTACAAATACTATTATTGATATGTACGTAATTATGAGTTGTTTAAGGCATAACCTTCCCAATCAAAATAATAATCCTTATTATATCTAAAAACTTATTAACATGTGCCTGCCTTACTAACATGCTAACAAAAGGAACAAGTGGATACCAACATCGACCAAGTCCACCATCACACAGGATAGTGTGAGACCGACCTCGGCTAGCGACTGGCCGTACCACGGCAAGAGTTCCTCCACAATCCTTCCAAAGATATCCTTCTTGAAACTTTTATTCATGCCACTAATAAACAGGATTTTTTTATTCCTTTAAAAAAGTCTTATTTTTATTATTAACATAATTTTTTTGTTTGTTTTTTAATATGGTTTCATTTCAGTAGCAAACTTGGCATTTGATTTTTGTGCCTTATATGATGAGAAGCTTTATCATTCAAATCAATGTTTGCTTTCTTTTAAAGAAAAGGTGGTATAGGCAATAAATAAAGCAGGATTTAGCTAAAAATTTATTATATTGCAGTTTGTTTACTTTTAATTCCTATAATATTTTCCTCTTAAAAGTATGGGTTAACAAGCCTAACTTATTATTATTTATTATTTTTTTTTTTTTTTGTTATGTTAAGCTCTCACTACATGAAATGGGAATATTATAACTAGGTGGATAGAGAAAATTTTGAGTGTAAATAAAATAAAGTCAATTATTACTGAATTTTCCTGCATATACAAACAGCTATATTTTAAATGAAACTAGGTTTACTCACGCAACTTGTAAATATGTCAGTTGTAAATATTGTGCTAAACATTAGCATAAATGGTGAGTGAATGATCCCTCTAATCTGACCTGCTTATTTGTTATTAACTTATGTGTTATGTGTAAGTTGAAACTGTAAAGATAGTTTATTTTTTCTTTATTTGCAAAAAGTCTGGCAACCCTAAATTCTTCTAATAAGGAGATCTTCATCCTTATTTTTCCTGTATTATATTCTTATATTCTATATCACTTGTAACAAAAATAGTAAACATAAGATGAAAATCTTATCATAACATTAAATAAGTTTCTTGACTTAAATACACTTAATGGGTTTAATGTATTTAGCACTGGTTGCATGAATATTCCTATTATAATGAAGTATAAATATTTCTTTACTATGGCTGTTGACAATTTTTATAGTTCTAGATCATTGTGGTTGACTTACTCATTATCATAATGTTGAAATTTTATTTTGAATAAAATTACTCCTTCCATCCTTGAAAATAATCCCTAACCACTAAAGTCACTAAAAAGAAAAATATTGTTATATATTTTCAAAAAGTTTGTCATTGTATGGGACTGTTTTGGCTTAGGATCATAGTACATCAATAACTGAGCCTGATATTAAAGTATTAGCATATTTTTTTTTTTTTTTTATGAAATCTTGTTAAATAAGAAATTTATTGACTATATGACCATAGTAAATTGTTTACATTTTTAATTTAATTGTTATTTGATAATTATTAAAGTATAACCTATTTTGTATTAATAAGTTTTCATCTGTAACCGAATTGCCACCTTTTCTTTACTAATGATTATCTGATAAAAAATTGAAATTATGAAATGTTACATATCATGAAATTCAAATGCCTCGTTTATTTTCTTACTAATTAAATCAAATTACGTTAATGAGATGAAGAAAATAATATATAAAATATAATTAATCTTAGGTCTATACAATAACAAAAAAAATATATGTACATATCATTAAGTGGCAATATTTTCTAAGAGAGGTCTCTATTTCGTAAGGATATATACCTTAAAACGTATTAAGACTGGTGCTTTGTTTTTTATATTTAAATATTTATAAATTTAAAATGAAAAAAAAAAAAGGAAGATATTGATATTTTTATGCAAGTAATAGTAGAAGAGTGTGTTTTGTAAATAATAGGTTTTAAAATTTGTTAAAAATGTGAGCATTTGAAAATAACAATGTTGTTCAACTTTTTTAAGTTGCTGTCTTTAGTCATTAATCTAAACATTCAATGAAGCATATTATCTATGCATTCTGCTACAATTCTATCCAAAATATCTGATCAGAAATTTTATTCTGGTCTAGTTTATTTAATTTATGAATCTGCTGAATTTATGAAGTGATATCGCATTTGTTGTTTGTTATTTTCTTAGAGTTTTTAGTAATATACTTTCTTGTCAAAAGCCTTTGATAAAAGCAAGCAGAGAGTTCATTTTTGTTCATGTTAGTATTATATATTATTTTTTAATATTTGTTAATAAGTAATCACTAACAATCAGAAAAATGTACTTTTTGAGCGTTATAATAGGAAAAAATTTTGCCAATTGATGTAAAATGTTCTATTGACATTCCATTTGGAAAATTTGGATGGGAGGTTCTCTCTTTATATTAAAAAATAATTTGTTTCATAAAAAATAAATAAATAAATAATTTTTACTGCTGCAAAATTGAAGAGGAGATAAAGGTTTCACTGAAGGCAGGAAAAATTTGTTATTTTTCTGTGACAAAACTACTTAGCTCGCGCCTCCTATCTCTGAACTTCAAAACTAGAATCTATAAAACCATAATCCTACCTACAAGTTTTTTATGGATGCGAAACGTGGCCCCTTAAATTTAAGGATCAGCAATGTCTTAAGGTTTTTGAAATTAAATATCATGTAGAAAATTCGGACCGAAGAAGGATCAATTAACCAGAAAATTCAGACGGTTATACAACGCCGAATTGTATAAACTGCGTCCAGTTAATATAATTAAGATAATTACATTGCGGTGAATTAAATTTAAAATTGTTGGACTTTGTAACAAAAGAATTCCCAAAAGGATAATATTTGCTTTGCCATTGACCAAAGCGAAGTTAGAAAGATTGCATTTAGGCTGATCTGGAGGGATTGGGGGTTTGAACGGTGACTGGTAGAGTGATATGCGTGATAAGCAATTGCTGGTGTCAGCATCGAACCTTCGGGTTTGCTAAGCCTTTTATTACTATTACTGCTGCAAAACATAAGTTCTTAGTCCTACACTTGATAAATGTTTTTTTTTTTAAAATGAATAATTTTTTAATGAATTATTTTTATTTACTTTAGAAATGTGTTTGATCCGGTTGGAATGAAAGCAACTTGAAATTAATAAACTATAATTTGGATAGTTTTATTAACTTCTTTTGTTTAAATATGTAATTTAAGATCGGTTTAGCATGAATTTAAATTTAACAGACATACAGTATGAAGTTCTCTTTATTTTTTCCATATCAGGGGTGCTAAAAAGGAGGCTCATTTTTATGGAGGAATTTAGGAGAGGGTGTATTTCGATGAGGTAATGAATTTCTGGAGGAAAACTATAAGTCTGCGATACAGATTTCTTTTTATCAAATTATTAACAGCCATCCAAAACTTCATAATTGGCTTTATCTTATCCATGACCTACGAATTTTTTATCTACATAAATTCTCAGAGATGGGACATTTTCTCATCAAATCAATTAATTTAATGTGGTACTAAAAACTCATCAATACCCATTTGCTTGAAACTTGAATCATAAGATAATTTGATCACAAAATCAAGAGAAAAAAAGGTGGTGTACAAAAATATTGGAGCATTTTGCCTATATAATCTTGTTATTTTGACATAGTGGGAGTGGATGGGCCAAAATTTTTGTACACCACCTTTTTTCTCGATTCTGTGATGAAATCATTTTACGATTCAAGTGAAAAGCAAATGTGTGCTTATGAATTTTTAGTTTCTCATAAAATAGACAAAGTTTACCGATCTCCAGATTGATTGAGAATTTTCATAAATAAAAAAATTGGTTTTGATAAGATGAAGAAATTTACGAAGTTTTAGATGGATGTTTTAATAATTTGATAAAAACAAGTCCATACCGCAAACTAATACTTATGTAGGATTTCAATTTGGAGGAACTTTTAAACCAAGAGAACAAGGGAAAATATGGATTAGATAGAGTAAGTGTAATTGTATATTATGTACAATTTTTCTAATTCTGATTTTGCTTTTACTATTTTTAACAAAAGGAGAATAAGAAAATTTCTTGGAAGATGGAGGCATGCGTCACCAAACTTGGGGGGATGGGCCTCCCTGTTCCACATGAATTCACCTAAATAAATTACTCGAGCTAAGAGCTCAGGGGATAAAGTTATTTTTGGCATGACACACATGAAAAGAAACATATTCCAATAGCTCTATGTTTTAAATACTGTAAAAGTCAATTAGTTTTCATATGAGTTATATTTAATAGGCCTATGGAGTTTCATTGAAACTTTTGTTACACTGGTTTTTTTGGTCTCGGGTGACCGGCCAAACAATGTGTAAATAAAAAAATCAATCAATTGCAATTTTTCTTCAACCATATTATTGTTATTTATTTATTTATGGTAATATTATTGTAGTAAACTGGATTTATTACATGTATCAAAATTTTATTTGATAGCTGTCCTTGAATATTAATTGAGTTTATTAATATTATTTTCAACATTTTTTTAGTAAAACTGTCCAGTATTTTTTTAACCTTGTATTAATTAATATTAGTATTGTGGGCTTCCTTCGTCTGTATCCTAAATTAAATAATTGAAGGGTTTGGTTGAATAACAATCTATGCTACATTTTTGCGAAATTGGATCGTATGTAGGCTGAATTACGTTTGATACAGTTATTACAATATAAAGTTATTACACCGTCTTAACTTATAATAATGGTATTGCTGTTAAGAGTTTTACAGATAAAAGCTAATGATCTGTGTTAGATTCAAGTCCAAAAATGTAATACGCTAATTAGGTTTATTGATTTGCAATACGTTTTTTAAAAAATCTGGTGCGGGCAACACATAACTTTCACTTACTGCTTTACTTGAATATAAATTATTTTCTGGCAATTTTGGGCTATTATAAAAATTTTGAAGTGTATTTTTAACCAAGCTAAAGCTTAAAGGTTAGAGTTAACAAATCATTAATACCATTAAAATAACAAAATTCTACTTATATTGATTATTGATTTGCATTGCCTGTCATAGGTAGGTCAAAGGTTGTCACACTAATTGTAAGTTCGGATATCACAAAGGAAAGATTAACAAATTATTCACTAATTTAATTTTCTAAAAGTTTACATGATATTTTTCCAAATAAACGGACGATAGATACCTAATTATTTAAATATAATATCAGATCTAGACTTATTAAACTACAGTAAATATATTTAAGGTTACATATCCATGAAATATTTTTATATTTCACTATTTCTTTCACACAAATGCAATGAAATAGTATTTTAAGCAATGTTATTTATTATCTTGATTCGGTGGATTTTAAATACTTTTTCCTTAAACTTAAAAAAAAAATTTAAACGTTTGCATTTAGGAAGAAAATTCCATTTAATTTCCTTAGAAACATGTGATTTACGTTAAAATAGTATAAGTTTTCAGAAATTATTATTCTTATTTTTTTCGTCACTCCTTGTTACCTTCTACAACTTTATTTATTAGATATTATTTTTTCTGAAATTCTCCGCTTTTCAACTTTATATTATACGTATACCTTCTGACTATTATTTCCGGAGATTCATTTTCGACCTGGATAAGCATTTCTCTTTTTTTAACCTTTATTCAATTACCAAATTCTTTCAACAGTTATATTTAGCCATTTTTTATAGTTAATGTCAATAAGAGAGAATTATGTTTTAAAAGTAAAGAACAAAATTACAGGCACTTTATATGAAGAGGTAGAGAACATTGGACATTTAAGCCATGAATATGACATGATTGTGGATAAGACCTAGCTGATATTAAAAGCAACTTAATAATACACTGGTTTACTGATTTCAATCAAAATCGTTAGAACTATTTTCGAGAAAATCATAAAATCATTGATATAAAGTGGCACTTCCGGTTAGTCGATTTTAACGAAAAATTTGCTGTCACGTCAGAACCATATATAAACTTTAAATATGCAATTTAAGTTTCGTACGATTTTTCGTTTTTGAACTAGAATGTTCACATACACAGATGCAGACATACAAGACCATTTTGGAGGACTTTTTTTCTTAGACTCAGGAGACCTCAAAATATGTATTTCCGTTGAAAACTCAGATTCTAAAATTTTCACAATCGCAATACTTTTCCTTATTATATATCACATATATAGATAAGCGAAATTAAAAATATATAGACTGTTATTCGCATGAACTCTTCAATTGTCAAAGGTTGTGGTTTTGAGGTTGGATTAATTTAATTTTTAATTATATAGTCTTCCTTACTTTGGTTCCAACCGGTTCATATGATCTTTAAATTTTATAAGTTTCCATTTACTAAGTGAACAGCAAAAAATGATCTATCTTTTAATAAATCTAATGATAATTTATTTGCTAATTTTATGAAGTATATATAGTTCTCCTTTCTATTTTTATTCTACAAAATCACCTCGAAACATATTTCACATTGTGACTTGCCCTTTACAGTGCAGTTTTTCATATTTTTTTTAAGTTGCAGCATGTCAGGACTTGGTGAATGAAAAAAAAAAAATATTCATAGCATGTTTAGTTTTCTCGCATCAGTTTATATGTGGCTAAATGGTAAAAACATATCAATTGATGCTTGAAATGAGTAAAGATTTTTAAAAAATAATTTAAATAATCTTATTTTGCATTATATTAATTACCTGAAAACGATAATATTTATATAATTAAATGAACCTTTTATCCCTCAGTTTTTGTCCTAGTTATATTGTTAGTATATGAATTTCCATATTTTATATATAATATGCTTAATACTGTGATAAATATTGTTTTGTATATGTATGTCAAATTTTATATAGTTTTATATTTTTATTTTATTTTTGTTTTTAATAGTTAGTAACAGAACTGCAGCTTGAATCCTAATCGATGGAAGAATGTGCCAAAAAGAAAAATCAATATAATAAAGGGGGAAAATAAAACAAGTTTTAATTAAAACAAAAAAATGGATGAAAAGTAATAATAAGAAAGATGGACTTAAGTTAACAGTGTTAACTTAGGGCAATGTTCCTGACTGTCTAATTTTATTTTACAATTAATTATGTGTCGATGCTTTGAATGTGTTGAGATCACGCTGAGCCCCCTCAGTTGTGTTTTCTTTTATATATGATTCTCCTTATTTATATTTTACTTTTAGCTTATTTGAATACTGCCATTTTATAATTGTTAAGTTTTTATTTTAAATGTTGTGTAAAAATTGGTAAATATAATTGAGTTTACATTCTGTGCCATAATTTAATTTTTCATGTAAAAAAAAAAAATAAAATAAAAAAATAACAGTATTAACTGACTAATGTAATTACTCTGTTTGTATTTCTTTAATGATTGCGCCTCTAGTATATTTATATAAATAATGATTTGATCATAATCATATACTGAATGTATATATATATATTATCCAAGGATATTGTATACTAACTCATTATAAGGGATACGATAATGACAGAGTATTTTATATTCCAAAAAGATAATTGTATATAATTTTTTACACTGTTGTAATGTTAAGAACTCATTGCCCTTGTTATTTTAAATCTTCTGTTAAATGAGTCTAAATGAAAAAATATATATAATTAGGCAAATGTAAATTTACTGGCGTACTGTCCAACTAAACAAAATATAAATATATATATATTAAGAAAATTGACAATAAATAATGTTATACATTATATTGAGCTTATTATTTTATTATTAATTGAACCTCTATCCTTAAAATTATTTATGAATTTTAAATTTATTAAGTTCAAAATAAGGTAAGTACAGGCTTTCTTATATGTAATTTGTACACCTAGTTCTGCCGTAAATACTGTTACAAAAGTTGAACTTTGTTTACATCCTTGAGTATTATTTAGATAATCCTTATCTCTAACAGGTCATTATTTCTTTACATGTCAGGATAATAATCCCAATTAGTTTGTATTTTTCTTTTTCTCGTTTAACATGGAGTGGGATGATAAAGAAAACCGCTGATGACCTAGATGGTTTGCGCCTAGGCATCGAAGAAAACCGAATAGCTGTGATCGCCTTCCACAAAGTTGAAAAATATAGGTCAGAAATTTTCAACACTTTGAAACCTTTGGGTATCAGCCATATGTTCGTGTACCGCACTATAAATAGATATAATGAGACCCTATCTGTATGTGACAGACCTCGACCAGGCCGTCTCCGCACTGTGCGAACGGCAAATGCAGTGAGAGCAGTGGCTCGAATCAGAAGAAAACAGCAAATCATGTCTCAGGAAATGGGAATCTCTGTCAGATCAATGATCAAGGCTAACCATTTTCCTAAAAAAAATTAGAGTAAATAGATGCAAAGTGCTTCTTGGCCATTACACCAATGGTCTTCATCAAAAGATTTTGTTTAACGATGAGAAAATGTTTAGAATTGCCAAAATGATCGTGTGTATGCACACAGCTCTCAAGAAGTCCAGGAAGTCATCACCCTTCCTACGTGATGGTTTGGGGGAGACTTAGCTTTGATGGCACTGCAAAGCTCCATTCTTGTGAACTATCTGGACGATATTTTGGAACCTGTTATCAAGCCTCTAAATGATACTCTGTTTGCTGGAAGTCATTGGGTTTTCCAGCAGATTCCGCTCCAGCTCACAAGGCCAGGTCAACTCAGCAGTGGCTGCAAAAGAACATTCCAGAGTTCATCTCTGCCTGGGATTGGACCTCAGGAAGCCCTGATCTTGATCTCAATCTACTATTGATTATCAGCTTTGGTCTGAACTTTAGAGGATGGCATGCCACTGAGAACACCCTAACTTGAAAAGGGTCAAACAATCTATGGTCCGAGGAGTTGAACGCTTTCCTCAAGAAGTGTTGCGTGCTGTTTGATGACTGGCCACGGAAATTAAATGCCTGTGTCAAGGCAAAAGGGGAACATTTTGAGCAATTTTTTGTTTTGTTTTACTCTCTATAGATGTACATTTTATTTTCTAATAAAGTTTTTTTTGAAAAAATTAATTTTTCTGATGAAACCTGTATATATTTCATAGTAACAATATTTATAACAGGACTAGGTATATATATTTTAAGCATAGAGCTGAGAACTTCAGGAAAGAAATTATTCTAAATCTTTTGGTTAATATCTGTATCACATATTTGGCCAAAATTTGCTTATTTCGAACATTTAAGCTTAAAATGCATATATTATGCATATTTTGAATAATTGACATTACTTGTTTAGTTAAATTAGATGATTTATTTGTCTGTTAATTTCATATGAAATTAATATTACAATTTATAAACATGACATAGTTTTTCCAACAATGTTTCAAATTATAAATCTATGGTTTCATTCTAAATGAAGTAAAAGCGCTTGTAAATTGCCCAATGAATGCTGGCTTTGAAGTATTGAAAAACATTTTGAATGAAAACTCACTATGAAAGTACTTTTTTTAAACACAACTAGAAACATTTTCTTAAGTTTGATTTGTCCACAGATAAAATTTGAGTAATGTTAAAAACCACATTGCTCGACTCGTGATAAAAAAATGTTTACAGCTGAAAAGAAAGTAAAAGTTTGTGTATGTCAAAATTGACCCAACTAGTATTAAAAACATTTAACTGATTTTCTATAATTGTTTAGATCATTTTAATTTTTATGAAATGCGCCCCTTTAACATCTGTAGATAATGAAAGGTTCCATGTATAAATATCCATTAACTGACAAATTATTCAATATTCGATCCATTAACGATCAATTGCAAACATATTCATACTAAAAATATTTAGTTTTCCAGGTGAGTAAATGATAAACTGAAATTTTCATGGAGGAAATAAATGTTTATTGCATAAAAATGTTAAAGTATTTTATTAGAAATGAAGAAATAGATGTACATTACAATTTTTCTGAACAATATGATTATTTCTCGTGGTTCTTATTAAATATTAATCACAACAAGCAGACCTTTAAAAAAATTAAGGAAAAATGAAGTTTTTTGAAAAAAATAAAATCTGGCATATGGTCATAGACAGTAACGGAAGGCGATGAAAAAAAATTGTAATTAATAATTTCTGAAAACAAAGAAAGAAAAGGATGCGATGAAAGTAAAATTAAAGTAGAGAACACAAAGAGAAACGTCAAGCTTAGAGAAAATGAAGGCGACTGTAGTAGGTTGAACTGAAAAGGGGAGGGAAGCCACACGGTATAAGCCAATCAGACCCAATGATTGCTCCTCCTCAAAAATATTTTGCTCCCTCGACACTAGTGCAAATCTACGACTGCCAAGCCAGACAGTTTTGCAGTAAACTAATCAAGTCATTTTCATAAAAAATGAAACACTGTTTTGTTAGTGCATGCCATATCGAGGCAAAGAAATAACTGGATAGACACAGCACTGGCATTAGTCACATGCACTGTTTTCCAACTGAACATCTCAATTATTTCCTTCACTGGTTTTGCTGTCATTGATGAATATCATGAAACAAAATCACTTTTTGTTGTTTTTTTATGATATCCTGTTCATTTTATTAAATTTAATCAATCAATCATTTGACATCTATAGCATTCAGTATTAACAGCTCATAATAGATCATATTCCTGTTCCTCATTTTCCATGTCAAAATTGTCACTTTTGAATTTTTTAAACCGATTCCAGCACTGATTTAAGAAGAGAATGCTCATATTCAGCTTCGAAAAACATTTTATGCAATCCTGTAGTTGTTTTCTTTAAATGATAACAGAAAATTAATGCTGTCTGCAAATCATAGTTTGTAGGTACTGGACTTGAACAGGTTCAACATTGTTCAAATGATCCTATTACATGTAACATATATGTTAAGTTGAAAATCTTTTCCACCTGTAGTAGAAAAAAAAAAAAGGTGCCAATAATGCGGTTTAACAGTAACTATATTAACTAGTCATCTATGGATGAATTACAGTTTCGTATTTACACATTACTATGTTGCTAATAAAAGTTAAAATAATACCAAAATCACATAAAATTGAAACATTAGGTTATTGTGAAATAAAAAAATTGACCCATTTACGGCCATGAAACAAAAGGTAAATTTTTTTTTATAGACAAAATTCATAGGCAACAACCTTAGTACAGACTGCCAAAGTACCTACACCTAATAGAACAATATTTGCCGTTTTACCAAATATTCTTTTTACTTAAGTAACTTCTCAGTAAGAGATTTTATGGTAGTTGGTAAGAAAAAAAAAATCAAATAATTGCTAATTATTTAGTAGCTGCAGGCCTTGCTACCCATATCAGGACTTCATCAGAATAAAACAATGTCAAAAGCCAGGCAATCACTATTTTTTTTTTTTTCTTTTTTTGTTTATGCAAAGTTGGATATAATACTATAATATACCAAAAATTTGTTTATGAACTTTACATGCCTTAATGGGGTTTGCCAACCAGACAGACAACTTACACATAAAAAAAAATAGAGAATCATCTCAAGTCTAACTTGTAAAGACATTAGGAGATAAAAACATTATCTAATTTACAAAAATATTTTATTTATATATAAAAAATTCAAAATTTACAAAATTACACTCATTTTTAATATTTTAGGAATACATTATTGTTTATTTATCACCTAGAATCAAAACCCTTTAAAAAGTATCAATCAAATTTTAATTTTCTCTGTATCTTTCGGCACAAGGCCCTGGGTGGCATTGGAGTCGGCAATTTCTATTAGTACATCTTGACAAGCAGCAGTGTGGAGTTACTCCTTCTATCTGAAAGAGGAAACAAAGAATTTAAATATAAGTTAAATATAAAAAAAACAGACTACAGCAAATTCTATCCACCATAAGGGAATGTACTTCTACTTCCATATCTACTTAAACATCTTGGTAGATTGGTAGGAAAATTAGCATCTACGAATATTTAAACTTGGTGTAACGGTTGGGTGCCTTTTACTACACATTACGGCTCCAGGCAAATAGATTTCGTCCTATGTACTAGGGCATGCAAACATCCGAATCTTGAGTTTTGTTGAGGGGTGATAAGCACCTGACTATTACAACAAGTAAAAATATTAATAATGTCAATTTCCCAATCAATCATCCAAGATGTTTAAGTATTTATAGAAGTACCTCAGGATCGATCAAATTTACCAATTTATGTAGCCATTTTTTTTTTTTTAAATTAAAATGTTTTTTTATTTTAACATTTTTAAAATTTAAAATATGTTTTTTTTCTTCATATTTCTATCCCCAACTATCATAAGTTTGACAATAAGGAGATGTGCTGTAACTAATAAGAAAATTGACATTTTAGGCATGAGGAAAAAATAGTAGCCAGCAGCACTTCTTCCTAGTCTTGGTTTAATTCAGAAAAGCGTGATCTCTCATCCAGCTCCTCTTTAGTCGTCTCCTGATGGGCAAGTCAGCTGTAGCCATGTCATTATTAAGTCCGTTGTGATGTCCGTCTAGTTTAAGATGAAATCTGGAGTAGATATCACGTATGTGGTGGTTGATAGTTGGTTGTCGTAAGTTGTTATGTAAAGTTTTGTTGTTTATATGCCAAGGAGCTCCTGTTATAAGTCATACAATTTTGGATTGAAATGTCTGCAGTTTTTGTAAGAACTTTTTTTTTGTATAACCGTAGTAAATATGTGAGGCGTATTTCCATATGGGTTTGAGTAGGTAAGTGTATGTATTAAATTTTGGTCTGATTTTCAAAAAAGTGAATACAGTATTTTCAGTCACTTGTTCAAAATCTTTCGTTTCATTTTGACATGTGGGCGGCCCAGGTCATCCTTCGGTTAAATATTTACCCAAGATAACGTGTAGTGTACGTTGGGAATTTGGTTGTCGCCGATATAAACTGGTGGGAATGTGTCTCGTCGAAGTATAAATGTTATATGATGTGATTTGTCATGAGTTCATTTAATTTTATTCCATAAAATTTTAATATTGATCCATCCATTCACTCAGAATATCATTACATTCCTTTTAGGGATTGGGGACATCAAAAAAACTTGACTCTGGTGTCGCTTCACTTTCTAAATACTCATTGGACCTCACTAGATAAAATAATATATCAAAAAAATAAAAATCTATCTAGACGTTTACTTGAGAAATCATTACATATTTTTATCAAATCGATCAAACACATTTCATTTAACAACGGTTCAGTATTTTTAGCTATAATTGTTTTAAAACTCACAGAATTTCATAGAATAAATTGAGGCATCAAACTTAAAAATCAACATTTTTTTTTTCTCAAAATAGTTTTTTTTAGTATGTTTCCAGGAAAATGAAGTTCTCAACAGATATTTGGCAACCTAGAATATTAAGTTTAGTTTAAGTCGGGTATCTGGGTTTGTCGGGGGCTCACTATCCCGAGCGTCAAGCCGAAAAGTTTATAAAATACTAAATCCTAATGTTTTGATTAGGTACCATTTTCAGTTGATGCAAATAAATTGATAAGATGGTAGAGAAGTAAGAGTACTTCCACAGTTCAAGTTTTATCATTTAAAAAATTAATAAGTTTACCTACTAAATACATGAATAGTTCCAATGGTTAATGAATGAAATTTTTGAAAATTAATGTTTTCTAAAAAAAAAAAAATCAAAACTTACAGGCATGGGATTGAAGTTTGAGCCACAAAAACAATAATATTGCAGTTCGTAATCTATGCTCTTACGACATGATGGGCAGTGTGGGCTCCTTCCAGAACCTATTTAAATAAGAAAAATAAATAAAACACATTATAAGGTTTAAAATTTCCTTACTAATAAAAATATCGAAAATAAATATTAAAATTTTTTTGCAGTTGTTTTCTTATCGCTTGCTTAGTTTCTCTGACAATCCTGAATGTATAAACAAAATCAGCAATAATAATTTGACTCATATTAGGTAAAAAATCAAAATACAATACAAAAATTAATCTGAAAGTCATAAGTATTTATAAAAACTGTCACATAAGATCTAACAATGTCTAACTCAATTTTTGACAAAAATGAGTTGGGTATATCTTAATGAATTCGCTTCTTTACACCTGATTAAATGGTAATAAATGTCCTATATATATTTACAAGACTTTTAAAGCAGAAACCCCGTTCAAAGTTGATCTGCGATTGAATTCAAGTAATAACATTACACTTTTCAAGAACAAAAAACAAAGGTTCATAATTAGCTACAAACTTGAAAGATCAGTACATCTTTGGAGGTATAAAGGAGAATGGAAAAGCGCCAAACACGATGCTATCGAACATCTCTAAGCATTACTTTTATAAATAGCCATTTATATTTATAAAAAGTTAATAAAATACATTATGAACTAAATATTTCAATTTAGTGTCAACAGGGTGAGAGAAAAACAGAACGATATTTATTGAATGGAAATTAAAAAAATTGGAAACTATTGTAAGTAAAAAGGTCTAATACCCAACTGTATCAGCCTGGCGCTGGCACGATGTCACCAATTATCCACTCTTGTGGGGTAGCTCCATCCCCATTATTTTCCTTAATGCTAATTATCTTTCCAAATATGTGTTAGAAAAATTTGACTTTTTCCATTTTGATTTTTATAGTGTAGAGAGACTAATAATGATACATTCCAGAGAAATTTAGAATCAGAGTGGAACAATATCCAGGAGGGAGGAGATAGAAAAAAACAAGTAAGAATTTTCTAGCTAGAAGTTTAAAGGATTAGTTCAACTTAACTACTGACCTCGTGAAGTTCTAAGAAACGCTCAGTAGAAGACTGGATATTAATAACGGATTCAGTGCCAATAAAAAAAAATTAAGGTACACCCATAAAGCAAATTAAATGGCATCGCTAACAACCTAAAAAGCTGATTACATGCCACAACTTTTGCTAATGGCAACCAATAATAATTTTTGTGAAATTTAGCTCTCTTTTTTTGGGGTTGGACATTTAAGACTGTCATTTATTAAATAAATTGAATAGAATAATTAAAATGAAGAAGTTTACCTCCTGATGATTCACAGTGACTTTTAATACATCTTAGATGATTTATAGTATAACATTTTTTGCACGATACGATCTCATCATTTCTGGAAATCTCTTCCAGGCAAATGTTGCAGTCATAAGTCCCACTGTTCAATTTGTCTATGATAACTTTACGCTAAAACAATATTGGAAGGATTACGTTGTGAGGAGAGGTGAACATGGTTAGTGTAAGAAATAAAAAATAAAAAAGTAAATAATACCAATTCCGGAGACTTTTCTCCCTGTAGAGATCTTCTGCGACGCTCATCTGCTCTGTACAGAGAAAGAGAAGAAAAAAATAACTCATTTGATTAATGCAACTTTAAATTTGGCTACAAAATAAAACTGAGAATTTCAAATGATAATATTATAGCTTCAAAGAATCCCTATCTTATAAAGAAAATATTTAATAAACTAATAAAGAGTTATAGGCAATAGTTCTGAATCACTACAGCTGGGTTAAAATCACATCGAGCATGCTGTAGATGAAAACCCAATTAGACAGGTATAATCGATCGCAATGTCATCTCTATTTCAATTCATTTTATATATAAATAAAAGTGAGAATAGATTTATTGAAATGATTGTCAGTTTTTTTTTCAAAACCTTTTTTTTCCTATGAAATAAATATCAAAAGAAACATAATTTTTGTGTTTCTGGCCTGCGATATAGTCGACATGAACATATCCTGAACTCAATCGGATTTTTAAGCACAATAATTCTGATGCTGAGAATTAAATAATAATGAATTAATGGAAGGAATATTGAAACAAAATTAAATCTATTTTGTAAATGCATTTCACTATCCTACATCATATAATTAATAATACCAACCGGAGATAAATACTTGATGCTTGAGGTTAAAATAGAGATTTTTCTGCTTTTGAAAGTTGTGATAACAGCCAAGACATTCATGAGGTTATCAATAGTTAGATATATCTTGAAAAATTTGAAGCCTAACCCTTTGACTGTGAGACTTCATAATAATGAGTGATTCTTCCCAATGGCAGGTCCCGAAATCCAAAAAGATTTCAGAAAAACAGATTTTTTTTTTCTCCTTTAAATTTGTTTAAAATACTATTTTGAGTCACCCTGAAAGATATTATCTTTCAAAAATGCATTTAAAACCTTTTTTTTTTTAAATTTAATTTTGGGTTCAGAATAAATCAGCAACTGATAGCTTCCTGATGGCCAGAAACCGGAACGACCGAACTGAGTGAGCTCCAGAGGGCTAACGAATGCAACGACCAACGCGAACGGTGGAAGCGCGGCAGGCATCCCGGCTAGCCCAGGGACCCAACCGCTGGCCAGGAAAACAGGTATCCCTAATTATCACCTAAAGTGTTAATGAGCAAAATCTGTATGTATACTGTAAATAAAGAGATCTTACAGAATATGTGTTCATGTTTATAGTAATTTTAAACTAGCAACTAAGACAAACCAAAGAGACTTATCAGGTTTTTGATAAGTTTGTCCTGTTGAGAGGTGAGCTATAATTTTTTAAACAGTAGGACATCAAACTTTTTTTGATAATGAATCATATATAAAACATCTGTTTATATCTTTAAACAGTAACATCTAGATATCATATTGTAAACAAATACGCAGTACCAAAATTAATATATAAAATTACCCTTAGAAACTTATGATATTTCTCAGGATACCATCTCAGAGTAGAAATTCAGAACTAGAACCAAATTATTTTTTACTGCATAAATAGGGTTTCATAATTGAGAATATTCATCATGATAAGGAAATAATTGCCCATAGTTCTAATTTAAAGAGAAATTGGTCAGTGGTACGGCCAACAGTAACATAATACAACATGGATTTAGTATATGACTTATGACTGCACACCCGACCATCTTCATCTTTAAAATAAAAAATATTGATATCTATGATATAAAATAAGACTGAAATTTCCAAAGTTTAAAATTTCAATCATCCTGAATGAATTATTTATTTTGACTTCAATATTGTTGATTAACAATAGGTTTCCATAAGTTTAAAAAATCAGCACCAATATGAACGATACCATATTAAGGAGTGAATTTAACCTGACCATATGAAGAAAGCCTTAATATTTAAATATTATTTTAAATTAATTTTCATTGGATACTATTCAATACTAAGGCAGTGACTAGTAGATCTGTCACAAAAACAGAATCACATCAACATAAGAAACTGAAAATGACAGTGAATTACACATTGATAGTGAATGCACAATATAGCCATAGGTATTCTTAATATAATCACAAACTTGTTACGATTCTTAGAAAACTATAAATAACCAATTTGGTGAAAGCAAAATAATACTATTTCTTGAAGTTAGTAAGCAGATGGTATAGTAAGAAGCTAATTAAAAGTAAATATTTAATGAAAATAAGTATGATTCAATGAGTAATGACAACTAATTCCAATAAAAGTAAATATATAACACATCCTCAGACTGGAATAATAATGCTAAGTTACTTCGACAACTATCAAGTTCAAGGCTAACAAGTTCTTATTTCTTACCTCAAAGGAGATTCATCTATACAATTCTGCCTACTATAAATATAGAAGGCCACACCAACAGCTACTACTCCAACAAGGGCTGTTTTAATAAGTTGAAAAGCAATAGGCCACATCCTTTTAAATTATCAAATCAACCAGTAATTTTATGGGTACATTTTCAGTAGCAAGATTGAAACCTACCAAAGTAATCTGTCCCAAAAACCTTATCAATTTAGACTTTAGTATTTCAATAATCAGAGACTGTAGAATGAAGCAAAATCGGTTTATTTTAAACACCCATTAACTGTAATAACTAACTTGCCTTTCTTCAGCACGAGAGGCCTCTTCTGTGAATAATTCGCTAACTAAATACGCTAAAGCAGCACCCGCTGCAGCTACACCGACACCAGTTGCTACATTTTTCCAAAATGTGTTAGTATTTCTGTCATTTGACATATCTATATTTTATCTCAGTAGGATTTGGAATTTAATTTTAAAAGCTACAAGCGATGTCGTATTACAATTTTTCAAGGAGAGACAAGGGACTCATAATACTGCGTACATACCAAATATAACTCAAAACTTGGACTTCGGTCAAAACAAAGATGTTAAAAAATATCGATATTTTCACAAACATCATATACGTAGCCTGTATCGACAAGTATTTTATCGATATTTAAATAAATACATCAACAATTTTATATCGATTACAATGTTATACTATGTATCACTTTTTATCAATGCACATTTAACCGAAAAACATAAAATTATTAATCTTTACTTTTCTTCGTTACTAAATTTTCAGTTGAATTAATAAGTCCCTTGTACATCTTTAGACAATCTATTGTAAACTAAACTTTTATCTTATGTATTTATCAACATAATTTCCAGCTTAATTGGAACTATTTATGTTTACTTTATTTCATTTTATTAATGGAGCGGAGTAGCTCAGTGGGAAGGGCATTTCAAAGCTCTTGGTACCGGGTTCGAATCCGGCTGATATTAGGTTATTATTTATTCTGTTTCATCGGCCGTTGGGAGACCCTCCTAGAGGACAACCAGCATCTATAAAGTAGATAATGTTAATTAATTAATTGATTAACTGGGAAAAATTGTTGATTGAGTTTGATCTCGGCCTGATCATCTTCTTGCTTGTTAGAATAGTTGACCAAGAAACAGTAATTTCTTACGTAGTATTGAGCCCTAGTTCCTTCATGGTAGATTTTTATTTAATTTTTACTGCTTGCTCATGTTCAGCTGAGCGTTTGGAACGAGCAATATAATGAAAGAAAATTACCGGAACTATTAGTCTTGCAGCCTCGCAACTTTAAAAGTAACTCTTTTCTTATCTTAATACTTATTGTACTGGTCGCAATCAGGTCCAAGGAAGAAAACTACGGGCCACAGGGAGAATTTTCTCGGGCCCCCCTTCAAATATTAAATTTATCACTCAAACTATTAAATGTATAATCCAACCTAGTCCTTTACAATGTACATAGTCCTTTAAGAGTCACCTACAAGTTTAATATTATTAAAGCAATATAATTGAAGGCAATATATTGAAGGGGTACCACATACGGGCCAATTATTTTGAGTCAATATGATATCAGTTAAGATCTTGCTTCCACTAAAGAAGGAGTTTTCAAAGAGGTAATCTTTATTTTTTGTGGAAATGAATAACAATAAATTTCCTATTTAGCCCAGTACAATCTTGTACATCGTAAGTTGCATTGAATGGAAGTAGACAGTTTCTCTTTATTTTCTTGTATGGGATATGACTGAGATACAAAATCCAAGTTTTCTACCCTGGCGCTCCCCCGGATCATTTTTGAATATTCCAAAAACTGCTATATTTTCCCACTTTTTTCGTTTGTTTCCCATTTTATACATGAAGCAGCACGGTTTCGACAAAAACCTTATTAAAATTTTTACGCTGGATTAAATATACTACAATTTAAGAACAGGCTCGGTAAATTAAATAGTTTACGAGATGCAGATTTTCAAATTTGTTAAAATTTTAAGTTCATTTTCATGATCGATCATATGCAATTGTCTTCAATCAGTGAAGTTATCATTTATTCATATTAACATTTTGAAGGAGCGGTGATGGAGGAGGGTAAAAATTAGGTGGAAGAGAGTAGTCCGTGGGCCAGACCCCTTCTGTGCACCTCCCCCCGCATCACTATAAATTGAATATTATTATGTTCCATGTATCTTTATATTAAAAAAAAAAAAAAAAGCAAATGTTTCTTTAAAAAAGTGGCTACATTGTCCCTAAATGGCGTGCAACCGTGGCGAAATGGCGGTTTTGACTTAAGTTAGTTTTTTCGGTTACTGAGATTCAGCAGTTGGCTTAATTTCATCATAATTGGTATTTTGTTATAGCTGAATAGTCAGGAAATAATAAAATAAAAAAAAAATTAAAATGATTGGACTTGAGAATAAAGAATATCAGTAAAGTTAATTTTTTCAAGTCGTTCATATTAATGTTAAAAATCAAGTGCCATTTGTAATTAAACAGCCAACAATAACGAAAAACGCCATGAAATAAAATATTTAGTTCTCGTCAGGAGTGAACAAATAAATAAATATTTGCTTTACTTACTAAGGCTGGTTATTGAAGACAAATCAAAATTAACTTAACATTTCCAAGTTTCGAATATTTCGTCTACTTCATTTACAATTTTTGCACGCACTAGATGTAAATGTTTGTTAAATATTTTTTAAATTTCAATTTCAGTCTTAAGATTGTGAAAAATGATCTCCACCCTCTCCCACCTTAAAAATATTAAAACGAATAAAAATTTACTCCATTGAATAATATAATACAGTTTATTGAAGATATAAAGACAATTTCATATGATCTAGTTTGGAAAATAGCGTAAAATTTTCAAGTTCCAAAAATTTCCAAAACTTTGAAAACCTGTACCTCAAAAACTATTAAACTTACCGTTCTGTCTTAAATTGTAGCATATCTAATTTAATTTAACAATGTATACAATATTTTTTGTCAAAAACGGGCTATGTTATGGTCAAAATGGCGGAAAACACAAAAAAGTGCGAAAATAAATAGGAATTTTTGGGATATTCAAAAGTGATCCGGGAAGGGAAGGCGCCGAATACGTTACATGGCAATTTTTCGGAATAAACGTTGATACCTAATTATTTAAATATAATATCAGATCTATAATCACTAAACTACAGTAAATGTATTTAAGGTTCTAAACAAATGATTTATATATCCATGAAATGATTTTATATTTTACTTCTTCTTTCACAGAAGTACAATGAAATAGTATTTTAAGCAATGTTATTTTCTTGATTCAGTGGATTTTAAATACTTTTTCCTTAAACGTTTGCATTTAGGTAGAAAATTTCATTTAATTTCCTTGGAAACATGTGATCTATGTTAAATAATATAAGTTTTCAGAAATTATTCGTTACCTTCTACAACTTTCTATATTAGATATTGTTATTTATAAAATTCTCCGCTTTCCAACGATATATTATAAGTATACCTTCTGAACTTGTATTTCCGGAGATTCATTTTAGACCTGTTTAAGCATTTTTATTTTTTTCTTCTTTATTCAATTATCAAATTCTTTCAAAAGTTATATTTAGCATTTTTTCGTAACTTTTAATAATGAGAGATGGTGGATTATTTAAAATAAACCATATTAAAGGTACTTTAGAGGATAACGCATATGAACATTGGGCATTCAAGCCCGATAAAGTGACATTAACGGGGATAAGACCTATACGATATTAAAGACTACTTAATTATACAATGATACACCATCGTTAGAGCAGTTTTTGAAAAAATGTGTTTCAGCGTTGATATAAAGTGGTACCTCCTGTTAGCAGATTTTAAGGAAAAAGTTGCCAGCACATCTAAGGGGTATATCTATCTTGAATATGTAATATCAGTTTCGTACGACTTTTCGGTTTCATTCACATACACACAGACCATTTTTCGGGACTTGGTTATTTGGACTCAGTGGATCTCAAAACGCTCGTTTCCGTTGAAAATTAAGATTCAAAAAATTTCAAGATCGCAATAATTACAATTACTATATATAGGCAAGTGAAAGTAAAAAACCTAACTCCCATTTCATATGATCAGTGCCTTCCACATTTCACAGCTATTATATTGTTAACAATCATTTATATTAATTATTAAATGGAATTCAATGAAATTGATACTAAGTAATTTCTACATTGTTCTCCAAATTACCTCCAAGTTTGGGTCAAATCCATCGTACGTTTACCAATCCCTAAATTCTCTCCAAATCGAACTTCCGGTTTTAGAGATATAGACGTATCAAGGAAAACACGTTTGCGCATATACAAGAGAAAGCAATGGACATAATACAATAAAATTGATCCTACATTATTTTTTCATTTCATTTAATCGAGCCGTATATGAAATATTGGCATATCTGTAAAAATGCGTTTGCGCGTGCTTAAGCGGAAGTGCTGGTTAGAATTTAATAAAATTGATATGAGACAATCTAGACACCAACCCGCACAATTTCTGAAAATCGGATGAACGGTAGTAGCTAATATAAACGTCCACGGGCGGATCTACGGGGAGGAGGCTTTCGGGCTGAAGCCTCCCCTCCCCCCCAAAATGGTAAAATATAACCATATTTTATCGAAAAAAATTATCTCTTGAAGTATAATTATTCGTGTAATTACATTTAAAAGAGCTTTAGGAATCACTTAAACACTAGTTCATATAGGTACTTAGTTTCTTTTTTATTTTCCAAAGTAATTATCGTTACTTTTATGAAAAAAAGCTTTCGGGCTGACGCCCCCCCCCCCAAATTAAATCCTGGATACACTATTGTACCCGTTACATCGATTTGACTAAAGACACACACGAACCAAATTTGATCCTTGATGTCTGAAACGTAAAACGCGATCTGAAATTTTCGATTCTGAGCACACATTTTTTTTTAACCTCCCGCACGAATGCAATGCTTCCCTAGCTTCGGTAGTGAAAAAGCACTGGGACACGTCATCATTTGATAATTATTACCTTGTAATCCGTTATTGCAATTTCATAAACCATCACTAATTGAGTATGGCGGCATCGGTTCTAATCGAACTTGAATGGATTCACTAGGAGATCCAGGATTTAATTTTGGGAAGGGTTTCAGCCCGAAAGATTTTTTTTCATAAAAATAACGATAATTACTTTGGAAAAAAATAAAGAAACTACCTATATGAAATGGTGTTTAAGTGATTTCTAGAGCCCTTTTAAATGTAATTACACGAACAATAATACTTCAAGAGATAATTTTTTTAATAAAACATGGTTTATATACAATATGGTTTCTAGGTGGGAACTGATGGAGAGGAAGTACCTCCCCTGGAGTCTTCCCTTAGCAGAATGTCCTCTCTGACTATCTTATTCAATTTGCTAGATTCCTCACTGATCCTGATCAGAAGATTTCTGAGAAGTCCGCCAGGTCTTCCCTCTTTATTTTGTATTGGAAGTACTTTAACTCCCTATAAGGTCTCCTGAGACACCCTAGTGACTCTTACCATCCACTGTTTTTTTTTTTCAGAAAAATATTTCAACCCACAATGACTCCCTTACAAATAGTGTACATGTAAAACAAAACAAAAGGCAACACTGGTCATTTGAGTATCAAGAATTATTGAGGCCATCCTCGACTTCTTTCTCTCACATCATTCTCCAACCGAATTGGTGCAGGAACCAGTTTGACCTTTCAATCTGTTGGACCCACTACAATGACCAGATCATCTGTATAAGCTCATGAAAGAGAACTATTCCTCTTCCTATAGCTCATCAAATCCCAATTTCCACAGACCAAGATATAGGATTGAACCATCTGGACAACTTTCCACATCTTCTACATCATAGAAGTTACCATATGTTCAATATTAGTTCATAGATGTAGCTTCTCATACATGTATTTGTAGCAAGTCACACAAGTTGCTGATAGATTAAAATTCTGATTATAATTACAAATAGATTTATATAACTGTCATTGTAATTAATACAATAGACCGAATTCTTAAATAGTTATTCTTTGTTAGAATACTAGCATTAAACTATAAAATAATTTCAAGATTCTATTCCCTAAGATGCATTAAATTCATAGGGAAAATAATTAAAAATCATAAATAAAAAAAATAATTTACTTATTTTTAAACTTTTACAATTTAAAGTTAGTTATTGACTTGATAAACTGTTTTTGTTATACTGCATTAAATTTAGAGACACATGTGAGGCATAGAATGCCAGTTTTAGATAAAAAATTAGTTTTTTAATCAACTTAACATCAATTAAAAATAATTTACTTTAATAAGTGATGTTCAATAAAGTGTTTATTGCTTAAGTCTAATTTCTGATATTCAATAGGATAATTTCAAATGACTTATGATATCTTTAGATGGTTTTACTTAAATCTGAAATATTTAAGCTTTTATCATTTAAATTCCAAGAAAAAAAAAAAAAAAACAATTCATCGAGTCTGCTCTTATAAAATATTTGTTATAAAAATCTTGTAGAAATTTCAGGAGTCAAGTTTTCCAGTTAATCATAGAAAATTTGGATTTAGATTGAGCTCAAACAGAAAAATTGAACAAAATTGGATTTTTGAGTTTTTATAATGAATAAAATGGCTAGCGGTCTTCACCATTGTTCTTAATATTGTGTTAAGTTATTATTGCTTTTCGTGTTGTACAGATTTTATTTAAGTAACTCGCACTGAAAAAAAAATACACAAATCCATGAAAAACCATTTCACAATTCCTTTTCATCATTGAAACAAAAAAATGTCCAAGTGAAGTAAATGCAAAAATTAAAATATTTTATCCCAATCTATCCAAGTAAATATTCTGACAATGTTTAGTGTGTTTTGCTATTACTCGCCATTAAATATTTAACGTTTTAAGTAACAAGAAAAGTTACTAAACTCAGTAAAAATCCAATTAATACCATTTCACAACTTTACAGTTTGTAAAGTAGCCAAAATATCATTTGTTGTTGACCATGGTGTTACTAAAGCTCTAATTTCCTCACTTTTTTTTATTAAGTCCAAAAGTGGATATCCTATTCTGGGAAACACCAAGTCATTTTCTCTCAACTTTATAGTTGGACACAGATCATTATGACCATCTCCAACATAAAACACAGTACTATATTCAATTCCTAGCTTCTTTTGGTCTTCTAAATGTTTTTCCATTATATACCCTTTGCAGAGATTTATCCCACTTTGACTACACCAGTCTTGTAAGTGGTATTCATCAATATTCAGCTTGCCATTAATAAACTTAGCTGGATTAGTATATATAGCATCTACACAGCCTTTGACATTGTTACTTTTTAACCACTCATCAATAAAATAAGTATTAGAATCAGATATTATTATTACATCACTATCCATTTCTTTAAGTTTATTTAAGAAAAGTAGAAAATAAGGTACAGGTGGAATTTCAACAATAGCTGAACGAATCATTTCTTCAGAAATTTCTTGTTCATGTAAAAGAGAAAAAATGGCCCTCATATAAGCAGTCCATCGTCCTGTTTCAGCCAAGTTTTTAGTTTCTGAAGATATTGTTGAACCCGAAAGTAAATTACGCACAACGACATCACTATTGTCTTGAATTATTGTATGGTCAAAATCGAAAACGCCCAAAAATTTTCGTGTTTCAGTCATAATATCAAATTAGTAATTATCCAAGTTTGACAAATTAAGCAACTTATTTTCATTTGTCTTAACCTTCATTACTTATAACCTTAAACACAGATTTTCGCGGTCAGTCCAAAATTAAACTTTATTAATTCACAGATACAAGAAAAATGGTAAATTGTCCGCAATTGCGGCTGTTTAGGAGGAATCTATAGCAAAAAAATAACTATTAAATTATTTTCATTGTTTCAGGACGAATCTAGGCAAGGTGGCACTGGCCGGTGCCTTGTGAGACGTGAAGTAGGTTCTGCTACATTAATGTGACTTGGATTCTGGAGTAAGAGTATTTCTTTCATATCGGGCTAGAAATGGAGGAAGATAACAGTGAGCCAAATAGCTCGTTAGAGGACGACTATTACGCTTTCCTTAATGTTTCTAGAGATGTAAGTGTCTCTTCAAAAACTAGTTGAAGGTTATCTATTTAATTTATGATATCCTAAATTATGTATCATTTCCTGTTCATAATTTAACTGGAGAAATCGTGTTTGCAGTTATCACCGGTTTTCCTTTTATCTCATGATTGCATTCTAGTTTTTAAAATTTAACCATCATCTATCTATAGCTTTTAACATGTTTCCAATAAAAGCTTTGAAATGATGTCTTATATTTATTTAAGGCTCCTACAGATGAAATTACCAATGCATATAGAAGGTTGAGTAGACTTTATCACCCTGACAAACATGTTGATCCAGCAAATAAAAGGGAAGCAGAGATAATATTTAACAAGACCAAAAAGGCCTATGAAGGTAATTTTTCATCATCCAAATTTACCTTCATTTTAAACGTTTAATAATTTTTTTTTTTAGTTTCTATACTTCAGGAATATGATTTATTAATATTTTTGAATCAAAATTAAGAATATTTGTTTGCTATACTTTGGTGCACAGACAAAGGTGTGCTTTTTCCGAATCGCCACTCCAAGATAGAGACCTGGTCTCAAGATCACTTTGAGCGTACTGTATTTGGAATTCTGAAGAATGTCAAAAATAGCTGAGAATTGACAATTATGTTCTCATACAATGACAGACATGTTTTAATGACATATTTTTGTCTGTAATGCACTGCATGATTTACTGAAAAAAAAAAAGGTTTTTCCATAATTGTAGATCACACACAATTTATAATAGTATATGCAAAATTATATTTATTATTTTTACCATATATATGGAGAAACTTATTAAGTATATAAATTGAATTTTTATTTTAGCATGTCTTCAATTTAATTTTAAGTTTCGTAGTTATCCTAACAATTTGAAAGAGTAAAAGAGATTTATTATTACAGTTTGCAAACATAAAAGCCATTTTTATTTTCAGGGAAAATGCAAAAGTTTCGGCAAACATTGTGATTAGTTGGTTAATGCTGTTATTTATATTTATGAATATCTTTGAGGTGAACATATTGAGAACTTTAGTTAATCAAACTTTATCTACTGTATATGATTCGATATCAATCTTTTAACAGCCTGACATTTTGAAATATTTGTGTTATTTTTTAGTTCTATCCAAAGTATATTCAAAGTGATCTTGAAACCACTCACCATCATGAAGCATCACTGCGGAACTAGAACAAAAAAACAGGCTGGTGTGTCCACTCACACGACTTTCCTACCTATTTCTGAAAAGTTTTGGTATCTTTACATATGACCATTAATAAACAAAAAAATAATTGAATTACATTAATTTTCCTGAAAATATATATGGAGGACATAGTGAAGCTTTTGTGATGCGGGCAAAATGATTTTTTTACTTACATTTAGTTATCTTTTTTCTCTCTCATTCACCCCTTTCTGACACCAGGATATGATCCCCTGGCTAAACAGTGTTTTTTTTTTTCGGACTCAGGAGGCTCTGAAACATATAGATCGGTCGGAAACCGCATATCAGAAATGTGACCTGATTGCAATACTTTCCTTACCTAGTATCGGTAGAAAAGTAATAAATTTAAACATGTATAGAAAATAGAATACGCTATATCATTGCTAATACTGGTTCGATTCCGATGATTTTTATTTTTGTTAGGCCCCAAAAGATTTTTCTTTTCTTTATAACTATTTTTTCCTGAATTTTCTCGGGAATTTGGTACATGTACAAAAATTTAAAGGGCAATTGTTAGAACATTATAGGAAAGTTTTCTCAAAATCGTTAGAGCTGTTTTTGCTGTCTATAGAAAAACATGTTTTTCATTTATTGCACAGCCATTATTGCATAAGTCAAAACCCTACAAAATAAAAAAAGAAGCAAAAAATCGGTTCACTAGTTCCCGAGAAAATCTTGGCATAGACAGACAGACCAATGGCTAAATATATGTTTTCCGGACTCAGTCGAAAACTGCATATCGGAAATTTGACCCGATCGCAATACTTTCCTTATCTAGTATAGGTAGGAAAGTAAAAAAGAAGGAAATAAAAGTAGCATTGTAATTTCTTTGAACTGTCTTTATCCGTCATGGGTGATGTAACATTCATTACTAGTATTGTTAGTTTATAGCTATTTATAACTTAATAAATTAGGATATTGCTAATCAAGTTCTACATATCATACTATATGTATCCCAATAATTTCCCCACCATCCATTTTATCTTTATAAATTATCTTTGTATTTAATCTTGTTTAAAAAGAATTATAAGAAGTTAAACACATTAGTTGATGTGGGATTAAGGGATTTCATTATTTTTTCTAAATCTTTTAATTACTTCTTAAATCTTATTATTTTATGTGCTGTTGCAATTCAGGCAACAATAAAAATAATTGTAACTTGCCATTTATTTTAATAACTTGACTGTGTATTGAAAGATAATATAGAACAAACATTCTTATAATATTTCAATATTATTATTATTATAGCAAATATTTTTTAATTTGTTAAACAAATTTTTGTTTGTTTAGTACTCAAAGATCCACATAAACGAGCGATTTACGATAGTGTAGGCATAAAGGGTTTGGAGACAGATGGCTGGGAAATTATACAACGTTCCAAAACTCCTCAAGAAATCAGAGAAGAGTATGAACGATTGGCAAGGTAAAACATCCGTTCAAGTTTATTTTGAAGTTATTTTTACAAAATTTTCTATAAAATTATTTTTCTCATTGATATTGCTGGTGCTCATTCAATTGATTTTCATAGATTTATTTTTATTGTTTTAAAAAACTGTTGATTTTTAATGTTCTTTTTATATTTATAATTTATATCATTACATCATTTTTATTGTTCTTGACCTCAAATAACTCAAATCCGTTCATTATCAACTTTTTTTTCTTTAGACAGAGAGAGGAACGACGTCTTCAACAAAGGACAAATCCTAAGGGAAACATAACCATCAACATTAATGCTACAGACCTGTTTAACAGATATGGATACGACTTGGATTATGATATGTAAGTGATTTTTAATAACTCTTTTATTCTAGATTATCCATGAGATAAACATTTCATTACTGTCTGAAGTTTATGTTTAGCCGCTGAGGTTTTAGGAGCTCCATTAGCAGGCCAGACAAACCATAATATTGTGTCGCATGTTATTGATATTAGTTTTATTTGCGATCTGATGAAGTATGCATGCCTTAATAAGGAAACTATGTATTCATCAATTCATCATATCTTTACCTTGCTTAGAAGTCGATCTACATGAAATTGATCAAAGATGGTAGATGACAATTTTTTTTTATAGTTTTGAATTTTAAAAGCATTTTGGGCTAAACCCCTCTCCCTCTATAACAAAAATGGTAAAATATAACCATGTCTTATTAAAAAAATATATAAAATTACCTCTAAAAGTTTGTATAATTACATTTAGTTGGACTTCAAGAATCACTTAAACACCATTTCATATAGGTAGTTAGTTTATTTGTTTTTCTTCTAAAGTAATTATCTATGTGTGTATAATATGTTGGCAAACTGAGCTAAACTCTTTTCCTTTCTATATTTTTCTCACTAATATTCAAAAGAATTTTATTTTATGATTAAAGAAAAGGGCTCCCGTTCATACGTTATATACTTGGCTTCTCAGCATTTTACATCTATTTTTTAGATATGTCTAGATTAGTGTGCAATGCCATTTGATATGTGGTGTGGTGGTTATCACACAAATTTTGAAATTGATTTTTATAAAAATACAGAAGTTTTGATTCTATCTACTGGGTTTTCTGGAAAATAATGCAGGATTTGAGTTTTCTTAGAAACTTGCCCCTCTGTATAACAAACTGTTAACATTTACTGGATTATTCATTTGTATGAATAGCAACACTTAATAATTCTCTTCCAAACGATAATGTTTGTTTACCTCTGTACCATTTCTCCGCTTAGAAATAATTCAGTTTTTGCTAAGATGTCAACCCGTGATTTTCATATAATTTTGTTTTATGAGTTTAAACTGCCGGAATGAGGTCCAGACAGCCAGAAACATCAATAAGGTCTGGGGCGAGAGCAGCATTAATGAATGCACTGTTCAACGGTGGTTAAAAAAATTTCGGGAGAGAGACTTCAGCCTTGATGATAAAGTCGTGGATCTTGATGATAAGGTCGTGGAAGGACTTGCTCTCTTGATGACGATGTTCTGTGGGCTTTTGTAGAAGAAAACCCCTGAACAACTGTTCGACAACTTGCAGGGAAACTTAACCTTAGCAAATCGACCGTCGATGACAACCTCAAGACGATTGGAAAAGTAAAAAAGGTTGAAAGTTGGGTTCCACACACATTAAACGGCCGCCAAAAAACCCAGCATTATGAAGTTTTTGCTACTTATTGCATTATGTTTGCCAAAATAAAAAGGACCCTTTTCTGTCCAGAATTGTCCAATTTAATGAAAATTGGATACTTTACGATAACAGTAGACATTCTGGACAGTGGCTTGACAAAGGAGAAGCAGCAGAATTTTTGGAGTTAATCAATTCTAAAGATGGGAAATTCTATTCCGAGAGAATGGAAAAGAAATGTATTGATAGTAGTGGAGACTATTTTGATAAAAAAAAACATTTTTAAATCTTTTTTTTTTAAACCAAAATCCTGTATTATTTTCTGGACAACCCAATATGTCAGACCAAAATTGAAAAAAATTATATCGAAGAAGAAAAAGAAAAGTGAATGTGTACAAAAACGATTCAGTTCAGTGGGCACTATATGATCTTCTAATTTCCAAGAATATATAGTAACTGATTTTTTGCCTTATATTAAGATGGATAGTTTTTGTAAGTACAATTTTGACAGTCAATTATGATCTGTTTATTTGTTTAGTTTACTTTCCGTTCTAAAATTTACCGATTTGGATCATTGATTAAATTAGATTTTTCTGTTTTGAAATTGTCAAGAATGAAAGTAAAACTGGAGCTATTCCGCTTGCTGGTTAAAAAATAAGTTTTTCCAATCAATGTTCTCGTTGTTTTACTTTTTCCATGCATTAGTTTCATCTGATAAATTATGAATTTTCATATTTATAAGTTGATGTTTTGCATGTGTTATTTATTTGTGAGTTGACTATCTATGCTTTAAATCGGTATGTGATTCTTAATCACTCTTGTGTCTAAACTCTACTTATACTATATGTTTCTATGTGTTATATCTGTGCATGTGTGTATAAAAGAAAACATGATGAAAACTCAATCATATTTTTTGAACACCTCCACAACAACAAAGTTTGTTGTTTGTTGTTTATAATACGAGTATAATTTTAGTTTTCCCAATTTTACAGTGGTTTATGTTCTGTAATTATTTAGTTTATGGTAAGGAATTACTTATTATAGGACATTTTTATTTCCTAGTATTAAGAAATAATATTTACAAGGTTATGAGTATGAGTATATTGTGCAACCGTTGAAATAGTGGTTGTATATTTTTAAAAAATTATAATGTCATTTTTATTTTATTCATAAATGTGTTCTAAACTGTTATTGGTCATTCTGTTCGTGAGGAATGTGTTCATTTAACATTGCAACAACTGATTAAATTCAGATGCATTTTTTAAATTTATATTGGGAAGGAATTTAATAATCACTCCATGCCAGAACCATCTCATGCATAATATTGAAGACCTTGGAATTGACATTCCTGTTCTGGCTTGAGCAATTTTATAGCCCATCCTAGTTTGAATAAATAATGGTTTGTAACACTTTAATTACAAGAATAATTAAATTTACCATAAAATTGAACATTATAATATTCTATACTAAAATGTTATTTATTCCAAAATGATAGAAATATTTGATGTTTGAATTATAATTCTGTTTATATTCATATCATTAAACTTTTTTTTTTTTAATTGAAGAATTTATCATCTAGGCCAAATAGCTACCCCGCTATCGAGGTGTCTGGTATGGCTATAAACCAGTCGATAGAGGCTCCCCTCACATCAAGGAACACCTCCAGTATATCTGGCCACCTATCGACTCATAATGGGACTGGTGAGATATCAAGAAATATTTATTTATTTTTATTAAATAATAGTGAATGGTTGTAGACCAGTAAATTTAGGATTTGATTTTAAGAAAATTCATAATTGACTGTAAATGTGAAAAATAGTTCGTTATCGAATTCAGAGCAAACCATAAAAAGTAATTGGCAAGGATGCTTGTTTTGGATTCCATCTAAGTTCATCTGGTAAAAAATGATAAAACGAGCTGTAAATTGATCTATTCAGCATCAATAAAATGAAATTTTCTTGATTTTAGTTCTGTCACCCCTCATAATTTTGAAACTATTGATAAATAGGAAATAATGTTTCCCTTATTTTTTGTAGTCCTTAGTAGGAGGAGTTTTAAAAAAATTCTTTTTTTAATATTTGTTGAAAAATGATGGAGATATGTTTTTTTTTAATAAAAAAGACAATCTCAAAGCTGAATCCCATACGGATTATTTGGACTGGATAGCTAAATATATACTAGGAGCTACGGACCATTTCATTTAACTAAAGGGCTTACAGTTAGTAACCATTTTAATTGTAGATAAATCTCATCTGAAACCTCACAACGTTGGTCTGTCGGTGGAAAGCCATTGCTTTCTATACAAAAATTCAAATTAAAGTGTTGAAATTTGAAGTTTCATTTATTGGAAGAACTGATGGCTAAAATTTTTATATGGTGTAAAGAATGTGTCCTTCAAAGAGAATTTATCTTGACTGATGATGTAATCAGTAGCATTTTGAAAACTAAGTCATCGAATTAGTCCAGTCGAAAGGAAGTTGGATGTGGTAAAAGTTCAAATAGTCAGTTTCTCTTCTGTATTTTATGTTTTGTGGGATGCTGAATCTAAATTTGAAGTTCACAAGCAAAATTTTCAATTGAGGTCTGAGATATATGCAAAAAATATTGAGGTTTCTCCACTTTTTTTTAATTTTTGGGAAATGCTCCTGAAATTGCATTTTATCAACATTATTATTCTATACAAAGTTAAAAAAGATAAAATCTTCCAATGATTTTGAACATGGCTTTTTATTGTAGGACCGACGTGGGAAGAGTTAAAGCGTGTTGACTGCTTGCTTTTTTCACAAGAAATAGCTGTTTTCGTTGGATTTTCCCGAAAACTCATAATCTATGCATCTCCCCAAAAAATTTAATATAATCAGTTTCAAAGAGCATTAAATTTTCTTTATACCTCATGGACATAAGTTTATTATAGGATAAGAAGGTAAGTGGCTTTTGTAAAGCATACGCCATTGAAGACATATTTCAGTCGAAGTATCTACCCCACTCAACTTTGGCACTTTATATCTATTCAATTCTTTAATTACAGCTAATTTTATTATTTTTATAACATAAATAGAATGTATAAACTTATAACATAGCTTTTTTATATTCAGTTGTAATGAGGGACATAAAAATCAATAACAACATTAAAAGAAAACTAATGACCAAAATGAATACTGAATTCCTAGATCAGTTCATCAACATTTCACTAACTTGTCTATTACGAATCTACATAAGCTTAAATCAGATTAAAAAATCATTAAATTTCCTATGGAGCTCAGATATAATCGTTAATAAACGAAAAGGTGAAAAGGCATTAAAGCGCTCGGACTTTGCAGCCCGTTTATGTCCTTAACTTTTTAATTATTATTTATCTCGATGTCTCCCATGTCAATAGAGAATTTTTAACTTTGTGTAGAATAATAATGTTGATAAAATGCATAGTTTCGGAGTCATAACCCAAAAACTAAAAAAAAAGTGAAGAAACTTGACTATTTTTTACATATATCTTGGAACTCATTGAAAATTTTTCTCGGGAACTTCAAATTCTAATTCAATGAATTAATGACTTAGAGGCCATTAGTTTTCAAAATGCTACTAACTACATTGTCAGTCAAGGTGAATTCTGTTTAAAAGACACATTCTTTACACCATATAAAAATTTTAGCCATCAGTTCTTCCAATAAATGAAACGTCAAATTTCAACACTTTAATTTGAATTTTCCTATAGAAAGCAATGGCTTTCCACCGACAGACCGAAGTTGTTAGGTCAGATGAGGTTTATCTACAATTAAAAATGGTTACGAACCATAAGTCCTTCAGTGAAACGAAACTGTTTGTAGCTCCTAGTCTATAACTAATTATCCAGTCCGAATAGTCTGTGATAGAATTCAGCAAATATTTAAAAAACAATATTTTGAACATTCCTCCTAGTAAGGACTAAAAAAAAAAAATATGAGAAACATTATTTCCTATTTGTCAATAGTTTCAAAGTTACAGGGGATGACAGAACTAAAATCAAGAAAATTTTGTTTTATTGATGCCAAATAGATCAATTTACAGCTCGTTAATAATTTTTTATCAGGTGAACTTTGATGGAATTCAAGAATGATGGTTTTTGCTGAGATATGATGAAAAACATAATAAGACAGAAAGTGCTAGGTTTTCATCTTTGACCCTTCATTTTGGATGGAAGTGGACATGGGATGTTTGGGGACTTTTCATGGTTTGCTCTGCATCCGATAAGGAACCAATTTGCAGCCAATTATGATTTCTTGATATCGATCCTGTTTTTTGTGTATATTTACTGGGCTATTAAAGAAACTGGGTGGCCAATTCCAACAATAATTTTTCCTACTGTTCTCCTTCCACTCAATGCATTCTGTCAAATCCTATTTCCACAGCCATCATAGTAGCTATATACTATAAAAAATTTTAATTGTGGGTAAATGGTTGACTGTCGTGAATAATGAAGAGAAGAATAGTTGGGGTGATCAGTCAAATAAGAAGGCAAAATAAATGATAATATTTATTTTGACATTTGCCGACGTTTCGACCTGAAGTTCAGGCCATCATCAGGGCTAAGAAAAGAACCAGATAACAAGGTATGAGAAACATAAAAATTTAAGTAAAATGCAGTTGTTAGAATAATGACAATAATAAGAACTAAGAGATAAATAATAATAACCGTCAAAAAGTGTGGAATGATGAAGTAAACATAATCAAAAAAGGTGACATAAGTATTGAAATGGGAATCTTAGAATAAAATGTAAACCAGAAAAATATGAAGTTATATAAGAAATGGAAATAAATAGTAAAATTAAGATATTGCGAATAGAATAGTTAGATAGAAAATGGAGATATTGTAAAGTCTATCAAGATGTACAGACAACGTATAATATAATAAAGAGTTGAAACAGAGAAAAGGAATGAAAGGAAGGAGGAAAGAAACTGAGAAGGATGAAATAAGAATGAGAATATGAAAGAAAAAGAAAAACACACCTGACTGCAAAGAAGTAAATCGAAGCAATGAGCATGTTATTTAGTCAGGGAGGGGGTGGAGGGAAGGGATGTATGGTCATCTCCAACGGTTATCTGACGAAGTTTGAACTAAAGTATCGGAAGCGTAAATAAGGACGAGAGATATATCACTCTTAAATATTATGGATAATTAAATGAAAGTTCATAGAAAGAGGCAATAAATTTTATATATATCTATATTTTCTATCTATTCTATTCGTAATATCTTAATTTTATTATTTATTTCCATTTCTTATATAACTTCATATTTTTCTGGTTTACATTTTATTCTAAGATTCTCATTTTAATACTTATGTCACCTCTTTTGATTATGTTTACTTCATCATTCCACACTTTGTACCGGTTATTATTATTTATCTCTTAGTTCTCTTACTATTGTCATTATTCTAACAACTGCATTTTACTTAAATTTTTATGTTTCTCATACCTTGTTATCTGGTTCTTTTCTTAGCCCTGATGATGGCCTGAACTTCAGGTCAAAACATCGGCAAATGATATAATAAATATTATCATTTATTTTTGCCTTCTTATTTGACTGATCACCCCAACTATTCTTCCCTTCATTATAAAAATTTTTGTTTTGATATACAAGAATGTTTTATAATTGTAATTCATGATTCTTTGATTGATTGATTGATTCATGATTGATTTTTTAAGATAATATAATTGTCTAGGCCAGGGAACAATTAACTTAACTAATCGCTACACTCTGTCTGAAAAATCTTGGGTGGAGCTTGGTGGTGGCGCCGGAGCTGGACCTCTGCTGCTCTTCAAAGCCTTCAGGACTCTGTATAGAAGAACATTTGCCCAAATGGACACCTTTGTTCTGTTCGGAAATAATGGCATACGCACTGGCATCGATGCAAGTAAGTTTTTAAAATGTATAAGTTTTAGTCTTATTAGTGTTTATTCTTTTTATTAGCATTTATTTTTATCTTTACGTTTTTGTACTTTTCTTCAAGCGATGGGCGTAAACCTTGACTCCGGATCAATGGGATACTTAACATGGAGAACGGGCAGTTCTTCATCCATGACTACTTCATTCGTGAAGGACACTGAGACTTATAATACAAATGTGTCTGTAGTATTTGGCGTTCCTCATTCTCACTTATCCTTTGCATTCGCTTGGAAGAGAAAAGAGACTAAAATGAAGATTAGGACTAGCATAAAGTGAGTTTGTGGTATGTTTTCATTTAATAATAATTTAATTTGAATAATCATATTTCTACTTAAGAATTTTCTTGTAAAGTTATAAATTAGGTTTTCCTAGGGCATTGAATTACTTGCATATCATGAATTCTTATTATGCTCTGGAAAGAAATGGTTAGTTATCCTTGAAAAATAGTCATCATGATTGTTAACTTTTAGTGTACTCTCGCTATTCCAGAACTGTTTGTTACATTTCCTGAGATCAGGTTTCTTTAATCCTGTTACTTTATTCAATTTTATTAATTGTTTTAGTATTTTTTGAGCCCATTATTTGTTTACATTTTAATCAATAAATATATAACATAACATGGAGAACGGGCAGTTCTTCATCCATGACTACTTCATTCGTGAATGACACTGAGACTTGTAATACAAATGTGTCTGTAGTATTTGGCGTTCCTCATTCTCACTTATCCTTTGCATTCGCTTGGAAGAGAAAAGAGACTAAAATGAAGATTAGGACTAGCATAAAGTGAGTTTGTGGTATGTTTTCATTTAATAATAATTTAATTTGAATAATCATATTTCTACTTAAGAATTTTCTTGTAAAGTTATAAATTAGGTTTTCCTAGGGCATTGAATTACTTGCATATCATGAATTCTTATTATGCTCTGGAAAGAAATGGTTAGTTATCCTTGAAAAATAGTCATCATGGTTGTTAACTTTTAGTGTACTCTCGCTATTCCAGAACTGTTTGTTACATTTCCTGAGATCAGGTTTCTTTAATCCTGTTACTTTATTCAATTTTATTAATTGTTTTAGTATTTTTTGAGCCCATTATTTGTTTACATTTTAATCAATAAATATATCCTGTGATTTGTTATATATTAAGTTTTTATGATTATTTGGTTGTTGTTGCAAAACAAACTTATATTTTTGTGTTGTTATTTAAAATAAGTCTGTGAATTCAATTGTTAAAATTTATTCCAATGTGTGGACTTCATTTAAACTTGAAATTATTGTTTCTGTAACGTGTTTTGTAATTGTTTCTATTTTTGGCCATATATTGTATATCTCAATACTATTTTTGTTTTTACTGAATTTATAAAGCTGAAAGTAATTTTGTAATTAATTTTTGTTTTCTGCTTGAAAAAAATTTCTAGTAAAAAAAAAGTTAAAAATTCATATTTTTTGTTCATATTGTATTCTTTTTTCTTACTTACTTTCAAAATTGTTTATTATGTTGTATTGTTAAAAAAAAAATACTTTATTGATAAATGCATGTTTTTTTGTCTTTTTAGTTACATATTTCAATATTTTTTGATCCATTCTATATGCAGACGATTCCTAGGAAGTAATCAAGAGGACATTGAGAAACTCGCTAAGACTCTGATAAGAGTAGCAGTGCAAATCTAACTACAAGTTAATAAAGACAAAAAAAAATATATGATAATAAGCTGAAAATTCCACTCTAATAATAGATCTGCGTAGCAAGAAAATAGCTCCCGAAAGTCTACAAATTCATATGCCTTGACCTCATATACCTTAATAAATGACCAATGATTGGATATAGACCAGCACAAACAGAGCTTTCTTCTCCCTTTCAAAGGTATTGAAATCCCAAAAAATCTCAAATTAAAGGTGTACAATGCTATGATGAAGCCAGTTCTTGTATTTTGCAGTGAGATCTATCTAATTATAATTAAACAATTCCCTAAAAAAAAGTATTGAAAGATTTGAGAGAACAATCCTCTGCACAATTACCTGGACGATCTGGGATCAGAATACTAGTACGGAGAAGTTGCTTACATAAACTGGTCAATTAATCTCATGATATGAAGGCACAGAGATTAAGATGGGTGGTGAATGTATCTCGGAGCAATCCATCTGGAAGTATATGCTCAACAATGAATGGCAAAAGACCATGTGGAAAGCCAAAAAGCAGATGGATAGATCGAATCAACAAAGGTGCTTTTGAGACGCAGATAACTGGAAAGAAATAGCTCAAGATAGGCAAAAAGGAACTTCCTTAGCAGCAAAAGATCTACAATGTCTGTAATGCCAACACACAAACAAAAAAAACTATTATAACCACGCAACAACTCTTGGATTAGGTATCTACCCTTCTTCATAATAAATTTGAAATTTTGGGCCTCGTCATTTACATTCCTTAAGAGTTTTACTTAGTTGTCTGTTTCAAAATATTTAAAACACAATTTGTCCGATCTAGATCTATCGGGTTATGAATGCCAGGGTTTTGAAATCTTCTACGTTATTCAATGACTTATTAAAGTTGTAGTATGAATTTAAGGATCAAAATTGAGATTTGTCACTTCTCCATGTAATTCTCTTTCTATTGACACCCTGTTTTTAAATTTTATATGTTTATGTTTTGTTATACTCTCATTTGTGAAACTGGAAATAATTTAATAATTTCGTATTGCAGAATAGGTACCGCTGGGTTGACAATTGAATACGGTGCAGAGAAGAAGGTCTCAGAACAAAGTACAGTTGCTGCCGCTATGGCAGTGGGCGTTCCTACTGGAGTTATACTCAAATTAAGGTGAGCAGGCAAGTATAATCAGTATAAACTATCTTTAAGTTAGAGAAAAATATATTCTCAGAAATTATCCCATTGAAAAAAAAAAAAAAAAGTTAACAACTTAAGGGAGAATTTAATGATCTTGAAACCTGACTTCTTACGAATTAGTTCAAGGAATTTAAAGATTATATAGCAAATCAAAAATGTTAAACAAATTTCAGATGGTAAAAAGCCTAAGCTCTAACTACAACATTCTCGCTTAAGTTGTTTGCCTGTTAAAATAATAACATGTTGCTATCTTATTTAAAAAGTAGGTAAGAGTAAAGTGTTTGGAAAACTGTTTAGCAATCTGTTTATCTAAATAATAATCATTATCAAAGTAACTAAAATTTTTATTTATCTACTTGTTGTTTGTAGGCTGACGCGTGCTTCGCAGACATTTATCTTCCCTATTCAGTTGTGTGATGAACCACTTCCGAGCCCTGTCTTCTATGGTACCGTAGTGCCACTTGTCATTTTTGCTGTTGTAAAAAGATTTATCGTTGACCCGATAGTTAATGAGCAAGCGCAAGCAGAGAAGAAACGACAGAAGGATACTTACAAAAGCAGGTAAATTCATACTTCTTTTTTGTAATAATTAAGTTTCAATTTTTTGCCAAAGTGTAAAGATCATTATTTCTGTTGTGATAGGAAATACGTAGAGTTCCTAAGAGATATCTATCTGTGGTTATAGATATTTAAGAATGCGCCAAATTATTTTATTTTTGCTTTTAGGAATGAACTTTTTTTAATTATTAGTGTATTTTGATATTATAAACTTTTGAAATATCTTTTAAAATATTTTTCCATTGCTCTAGATCAAAGACTTCCTGATTCCATATACTGCCTGGCTTTCCTCATATAAGCATACTGATTCCTAATAGATGTTATTTTTTATAGCAGCTTGATGCTATATGGCTTGCTTGATTACTTTAACAACATCCATGCTATTGAAGAAATTGTATAATTTTAAGTTGTAACATCTTCCTCATCAGACTTGTTACAGCCATGTCCTCTGACCCATACATTAACGCCGGTTTAGTGAATCTTTTATAGAGTTTTATGTAAACCCTACTTTTAAATTGTTTTCTCAGTTTATAATTCTCTTCATTAACAGCTTAGATTTTTCTATCGAGTAAAAATGACTGCCAGTCTAAATAAGAAGAGCAGAGATGCCACATTCAGTATATGCGTGACTGTATTGTTTTATGTATGAGGGAAAAGCTAAAATTAGTTTACAATCTATAATTAATTTTAAAAAAATCTAAATGTTTTATATTTTGATGGTACTAAAACCTCTCAGAATTATTTTTGAATAATTTTTTAACAGAAAATGCTCATACTTTACTATTATGACAAAATTACAATTGTTTGGCTTACCAACCTTATTTATTTTTCTGATTAGTAGTTGTCAATATTGCAGTGTTTATTTCTTTAAAACTAAAAAATGATAAAATGTTTAATGATTAGGAATTCATCAATATTTTTTAAATTGTTTTAAATGATAATGTGATTGGATTTTATATTCTACCTTATTTTTCAAAATATTATTATCAATGTTGAATTTACTATTTTCATTCTGTATCAGTCATAATATTATCAACTCTCTAATAATTTTTACATGTATTTATATAATTTTGAATCGATAAAAGAGTATTATTTTACTTCTGATATTTGTTAGGATGGCAGAGAAACGTAAAGAAGCAGTTGCAGCTGTTAACCTTATGTCTGTAGCTTTTGCCAGGATTCGTTCAGAAGAAGAGTCTCGTCGAGGGCTTGTCATTATATCTGCGTTGTATGGCAAACTGACCAGTCAGGGTGACCCTGGTGCAGATTTATCTGACGAGGTGATAGATGTCACCATACCCATACAATGTTTGGTTAAAGACTCTAAGTTGGTTATCTATGAATCTACTAAGGTACATAGTAATATTTTACAATATAATCTTTTTTTTAAAACAACTCAGTTTAGAGAAATGTTATTTTACACTTACAACATTAAATGAAGTATACTACATAAGTTTTTTCCTGAATATATTTATTAATGAATATAAAACTGTTGCAGAGTCAACTGCCAGGATTTTATGATCCATGCGTTGGAGAAGACAAGTTCCTCTACATACAATATCTATTCCATAATCAATTGCACCAGACAACCATACAGGACAACGAACCTCTCAGGATACCTCGCCAGTGTAAGTACTCAAAGTACTTTGATAATTAGCTTTTATTAATCAGCTTTTGTAATTAATAATGCTGTATCGATTTTCGATTAGAGTAGTATTTTCAATAGCTTGTAAGTTTATGATAATTTGGGGATTATTTATTTATTTTGTATAGACAATAGAGAAATTAGATAATGAGTTTGATGTAAAATAAAATTGTTTTGCTTTAGCTCATCGTGTGGTGGCAACATGACATGAAGGGTGACTAGCTAGTTGGTTTAGAGGCTGCTACCTCAATAGTAGGGCATTGCTGAGTCCTGCGATGAGCAGTCGTGCCTACTGCCTCTTTGTTTAATCTTCAAACTAAACGTTGTTACCTGTATTCATTTTTCATCTTTTTTTTTCCTTTTCTTTTTTTTAATTTATTTCTCTTGTTACTTATTATTTTTGTATAGAAAAATTGAAACCTTTGTTGTAATATATGTATATATTTGACAAACAGCGTTAAATTTTGCAATTGCAACAACAAAGAGAAGAAACTGAGGTGCTAAATGGGTGGAGACCCAGCACATGTTTCAAGGCTGTTAGCGTAGTAATAAATATAGTTCTATGTTTATTATTGTCTTTTCCTCATCCCTTGATAATAAATATTTATTTAGTTGTTAATAGCTTATGTAACATGTTGGTCAATTGTAAAACTGTTCATTAATAATATTGATTTATTAGTTGATTATAAATTGTAAGGTTGCGTATCTTTAAATCAGTGTTTTATTTATTTTATTAACTATTCAATTTAGGGTTAGTATTAAGTTTATTTATTAGTTTTGAAATTTAAATTAGAAGATCATGTTAGCTACTGATATAGTATGATCTCATTGCTAGCTTAAGAGTGTAGGATTCAATTAAAGAAATACCGGGTTCTTGGAATTTGCGACTTTTAGCAAAATAGTTTAACAATATTTATATCATGGATTTGTTTATTCATAAAATTCTTTCGATAATGACTCTAATCAATTAGGAAATAAGCTGTGATAATAGCAAGTCACTAAAAGAAATTTAATCACAAAAAACATTGAATATTCAAAATTTATAGAAAACAGTAATTCAGTATTTTATTGTTCAGTGTTTTCATGAATCAAAATATAATTCTAAATCCTGTTAAGAATATTGAAAAAACTTTAGTTAAATAATTATTTTTAAGTACTATATTTAGGGTTAGTGGCTCTGGTAATCCCTGTAATTCCTGAAATTTTCAAAATTTTCTGTTGTAAAATGTGGCATCTATTTGTCGCCCTTCCTCGCCCCGACTTAAAAAGTAACTATGAATGAATAGATAGCAAATTCTGCGCTCTAGGCTGCACTGCACTTTTCAAGCAGAATTGCTACCTATTCCATCATATTTATATTTTTAAGTCAGGTCGAGATACTAAGGTAATTACGAATATGAATGAGGTTGAGCGGACAAGTGGGCGCCATGCTTAAAACCAATTTTCTTTTTTGTATGATAGTGACCTTTTAGTTAGTTATTTCTGATAATAGCTTAAATGAATTGTTGAAATTAGTAATTTTGTGAAACATCTCATTCAATTTTTCCTTTTTTTTTGTAAGTTATCAGTTATACTCGGGTTCTACTATACATCACATCTGTTTGTTATGATTATTTCTGTAGTTATCAAATTATGATTCTTATTATAGGAAGATGAATAGTTAAGTAAATAAATAGTGTGAACAGAGAGTGTTAAGAATTACAACTATCTAACACTTTCAGACTGCACTCCTATGCTTTCATCACAGCGACCTTCAGTCTAGTAATGAAAGGACTCATAAAATAAATCTTTATCTTCCCATTCCGGCGAAATAAAATTGGTAAGCTGTATGGTAACCCCTCCTTCTCTCTTCCTGTGCGGTAAGTCTGTTAGTTTTATCAATGCATACTTCACCGATTATTATAAGAAATCAATGCTGAATTAGGTTTCTTCTTGGAAGTAGCTGGGCAGTTCAATCGCGAACTGAATTTTGTTATTATTACTTTAATAATAATGGGAACATATATGGACTCCTATTGGAAGTGGCCTGGCAGAAACTATCTGTAATTATGATATAACAATGAAGACAATGGTGGAATATGATAGAGATGAAAAATAGTTTTATTATAACTAAAATTTTGAAATAAATAGTAGGCTCAAACCTAATGATTACTAATTAGCTTTTAATAATTTTGGATAAATATGTAGAGCCATTAAGATTGCATGATAAAATGTTTGATATGGCTTTCTATATTTTTGTTGTGTTTATATTAGTATGATTTTTAAAAATAGTTAGTTTTTTTTTTTTCTGAATTCTACTAATATCTGTACCTTACTATCTTGAAAATGGATTAAAAGAAAGAAAAATGTTAATGGCAAATAAGAGTATCGATTCCCTGCCAAATGTATATTTCTAATTGAACATTTCATGTGTAGAACTTGTGGTCCAATGAACCGGTGCCTTCGACAATGAGTGGGTAGACGGATCCTGGAGTCGAGGAGATGAACTCGATGATGTTTACATATCTTCTACACTCCCTGGTAAATGTTAATGGCATCAGTGAATATTAGCCATTAAAAATGGATTTGAGATGTGTAATTTTAAAAAATAAATTAATGTTATTCGATTTATGCTTATTTGCTGACTATTTTATTTAGTTGCTTATCATATCATAACTAAAATTATATTTCTATTATTTTTGGCTGCCTTTAGAAATGGCTGAATTGCTTTTTACTTTTTTTTTTAAGTCCTAAGAAGATTTTAAGCAATAACAATATCCTACCGTCCACCATTTTATACTAAAGTAGTGGGGTATTTAAAAAAAATTGATATTGTCCAATTTCCAAAGAAAAGAAAAACGCTCAACAAAAATATTTTTTCTAAAACTTTATTAAGAAATAAGTCACATTTAAGGGCTACAGGTATTAGAGGTATACACATAATAATATTTGTATCATATTTACAGAAGAATTAAGTAAGTAACAAGAATAAAAAATGATATATATTTAAAAAAGATTTTTGAACCATTGTCTTTTCAACCTTCATGGAGGATTATAGTGATTGACTTTTGTAGGGTTTCGGATTATAAATAAGATTTTGATGAAAGTTTAGATAAAATAAGGTCAAGGACTTTTGATATGTTAAGGTCATGATGTAAGTTGGATACAATTGATGTTGAAATATTTATTGTTCTCCCATAGTTGTAGTCCAAAGGTCCAGAGGAATTTTAGTATATGGGAAGAAAATTTTACTAGCCACTAGGCTAATAAATTCATGTATGACTGGAATGACTGATTCAAAATGGATAAACACTCCAAGATTTAATGTGAACTACACTCCTCAATGAGTTATTAGCGACAGGAGAATAGTCAGAAACTCCTGCCTTAAGGTTTGGAATCCTAGATATAGGAGACTACATAATTTGTAGATATACTAGCTTTTAGTGTGACAGTAAAGTAAGCTGTTGTAATATTTACATCGATGAAATCAGAGTACCTGGTGCATAGAAGGGGGTGTTATGGCACAAGTTGTGCCATGAAAATATTTGAGGGGGGCACATTTCGGCGGGATCATGAATTTTTGAAATTGAAAATTTCAAAACAGGGAACAGACCACAGCAGGTGTAATTGTATATGATCTAAAATCTTTTAAATTTCACTTTCTTAAGCACTGTTATTAAGAAGAGGAGAGAAATAAAATATCTTGGGAAGATTCTTGGGCCACAGACCTATGGGGCGTTGGGTAACCTTGTTCATGACTATCCCAATTTCCCTTCTGATCCTTTTCAGATAAAATTGCGGCCTTAATTAGGTTTAAGGACATATTTGTGTACGGTCGATATTCTTGCTTATAAAGGAATAAACAAAAACCCAACGATTATTTTCATTTGGGAGCGGGATGGCCGAGCAGATTGTAAAACATGGCGTTGCCCAGTAGCAGATCAAGGATTTAATTTTGTTGGAGGCTCCAGTCCGAAAGCTATTTTTTTTTCATATATATATATATATATATATATATATATATATATATATATATATATAACGATAATTACTTTGGGAAAAAAAAGAAAGATATTAACAACCTACATGAAATGGTATTTAAGTGATTCTTGAAGTCCTATTAAATCTAATTACAAGAACAATAATATTTTCTTCCATGAAACATGGTTACATTTTACCAGTTTGTGTTAGGGAAGCTTCAGCCCGAAAACCTCTCTCCGTTGATCCGCCTGTGGCGTTGTCTAATACTTGCGAGTTCATGTCCGGGTGGAGGCAGTGAGAATCTATTAGCTCTGGCCCGGAAAAAACCCCCCTATATCATATAAAGGGGAGGAAAAAAGATTCTTTTCATTTGAGGTCGGAGTCTCACCAAGACAGTTCGAGAAACGCAGCCTACTTTCGGACATTTTCAAAGATAATGAATGTTAAATAGATTTTATCGAATTCCGTCTATTTTTTTCTTTTTTAGGCAACCGTTTTTCCTTGACATAATTATACTTCAGAAACGGCTACTCCTTTAGATTTTATTCCCAAAGCCTTAGACATTCGGCGCTCCTCCGTGCAATGACGTCATCCCTCCCCAAATGTGAAATACAATTTATTTCTTAAACTGTTTTATATTATGTAATATTTTATTCTATTCAACATTTCTCTAATACAATTAATTTATTGATAGCTAACATTAATTATTTTAATACGTCTTGTATTTTACCCCTGAACACAGGCGGATCTACTGGGGGAGGGAGCTTTCGGGCTGAAGCCCACCCTCAAAATGGTAAAATATAACCATGTTTCACAGAAAAAAATATGATAAACTATCTCTTAAAGTATTCTTGTTCGCGTAATTACATTTAATAGGACTTTAAGAACCACTTAAACACCATTTCATATTGGTAGTTAATTTCTTTTTTTTTTTTTTTCAAATTAATTATCGTTATATGTATATGAAAAAAAATCTTTGGGGCTGAAGCCCCCCAAAATTAAATCCTTGATCCGCTAGTGCCCCTGAAGATCGGCCAGCGCCCCAGGGAGATATTTTTAGTGATACAAATAAGCATGGAATACTCTAAAAAAATATGATTAAAATTCCTTGATTAATTCGGTTCTTACCTGGGAGCGAATTCGATCAAGATGCGTATCGATCTTCCCTCTCTTATTAGACCCAAAAGCGGTTTCACTCGAAAAGCATGTTCGTCGTTTTTGCCAATTCGAACTTTGAATGGTTGGTTACCTCAAAACAAGTAACAATAAAAAAATATTTATTATTTAATTTTAATTGTAATACCATATAAGAATATTATATAAGAGACACATATGTCTTTCTGTAACAACTTACCATTTTCTACGTGAATATCTATATATTTTACAGTTTTTTCCATAACACATGTTGGCCCGAAGTTTATCTTATCGGCCGGAAATCGAAACACTGGCTTAAGTAACTGAAGTTCAAGTTTGATAACCTGTAATATATTTTTAACTATAATTAATGATTTGAAGTGTTAAAATATTAAGTTGCTGATGTTGGTCGAAGGCATTCAGTAAGCAATTATGGCGGGGAAACATTCGTAGCTACAATACAGGGATGCTGAAAGTATCATTTCTCTCCCCCCCCCCTCTAATAATTCGACTTACAAAAATTTAAAAAAAGCAAAATGAAAATAAATACAAATAATCTATTTGAATGAATCAAATATGTAAACAATGTCCAGAAAGATTGGGGAAAAGTTCTAGACATAAAAAAAGATGTTTTTCATGTTAAATGTATAAAAATATGAGAAGAATTCAAATAGAAATATCCCTATTCATTTTTTAATGGTATAGACACGAAAAAGAAATTACAAATATATTAAATAAAATCATATATATATATATTTAATTTACATTATTAAATTTATTGTTCGTTTAAAAATAATTATGTTGATTTGTTCAAATGTGAATTTCAATAATTGAAATATGTTTTAATAAAAAAAAAAGTTAATTGTCATCATGACACACTTATTTTTTTATTTTATTCATATGATTATAATTTATTTTTCTTCTTTATTTATATTTTACTTATTTATATTTATATAAACATAATATATAAATATTTTAACTTGATTTTAAATGATATTTAACTTTTATACCATTAATTAAACATAACATTAACTCTTATAGATCATGCCTTGTTAAAAAAAATAATTTAACTAATAATACTATTAAATTAAACTGTGGTAAAACATTTAACTTTACTATATATATATATATATATATATATATATATATATATATATATATATATATATATATATATATATATATATATATATATATAATCAATAAAACATCATTTTAAATTCCAACTTTTTACCCTCTCTACCAAATCACGCGAGTACCAATGAACCATAATAACGAAGATCTCAAACGCACAGAAGAAGCTACATATCTCGGAGTGAAACTGGATAAAAGACTCTCTTGGAATAAGCACATTGAAAAACAAATAGAACAGGCTTCAAAACGACTTTCGTTAATACAGAGGTTAGGTGGCTCAAAATGGGGAGCAACGGGGGATGTTATGGCTCTTACCTACAAAACATATGTCCGCCCTGTTACTGAATATGAAGCAGAAAACTTGTTGTCACTGCTTCGGACGCGATATTACACAAGCTTGACATAATCCAGAATCAAGCCCTTAGACTCGTGACAGGAGGAAGCAGATCAACAGGTTTCTAAGGATACAACACCAATTTACGAACAGAAGGCTATAACCCTAGAAACCATCGGAAAACGATTCCCAGAGACAGAATGGCTCCATGTATATAGTGATGGTTCTGCACTGGAAGCACGCAAACATGCCGGAGCTGGAGTTTATTCAAAGGAGTTTCAACTTGCCGCTCCGGTCGGAAAGGTAGCCACAAAGTTTGAAGGGGAAGTGAAAGCCATTCTCTTAGGCCTTGAGATGTTAACTGAACGGAAAGACTAGAAAGTTGCTTTCTTTGTTAACTCCCAGGCAGCCATTTTGTCTCTCCAAAATGGATATAATATAAATTCAAATGTTTCTAAATGCCATCTATATATGAACCGATTAAAGGAAAATGGGATAGAAGTCGCTTTCCAGTGGATACCAGGTCATTGGAAATGATCCACGGATCCACGGAAATGATGAAGCTGACAAACTGGCCAGAATAGGTTCTGGAATGATCCAACCAGATATTCCTCTGGGCATGGATTCAACAAAAACAATCATAAAACAGACCCTCCAAAGTTCACTGAAAGAGAAATATGTGCAAACAATTGAAGGGAAACGATGGAGTGGATTGCTCTAAGAAAGTGGCAGGATCCCTAGAGACCTCCCTAGAGGGCAAGCCGTGGCATGCTTTAGAATGCTCACAGGCCATGATTTCCTTCAGAAACACCTCCACCGCATCGGTGTAAAAGATAGCCCGACATGCCCTCTATGTTCCTTAGACATGATGACAGGAGAACATCTTGATACATGCCCAGCATTACAGGACATAAGATGTTCCTTTAATGAAATGGACAGCCCCTATGCTAGGAGAGCAAAATTGTATTGGACTGCAAGAGCACGCATGGCTGATGAAGCAGACGTTACTTAGGTGTAGGAAAAAAAAAAAAAAAAATTGAATTAAAGTGCTTACTTTTTCCATTTCTCCTTTCCGTCCAAAACTCAGTTGAGAAATAATAGGTCCTTTTTGGCTGATATAACTAGGTTTCATTACTGTTGATTTTGTTAGAATGTTCCTGTTTAGTTGCAACAGGACTTCCACCTTATGAAACAAAGAGTTTTACCTTCAATAAGTATCCACACATAATACATTAAGATCAATCAAAATATAAAGTTTTTTCTTATATGTTTGCTGAAGAAGATGTGAGGTATGTTGGTGATTTCATTTTGGCCTTTGGGAAAGAGCAGATCTGAGGATCATCAAATAAATTTTTTTTGGTTATCATCTAATACAACTTTATAGTTAGTTAATTTTGTCTCGACGGTGTGCCTATTGTTATTGTTTCAATCCTTAAAATGGAATAAGTGATTAGGTTGGGTCAGAAATAATAAACATAGAAAAAAATGGCTGAATCATGATTATTTGTGAAAATGTACTAGAAAAAAGAGGTATCGATGCATTTAAAAAAAAAATTAATTAAGAACATTACTGATTTGTAAATTTATCAATCCACCAAGTAGTTAAGAGATAAGCCTGTTTTTTCTGGAGTAGCAATAGAGGTTCCAAGATTTAATTTTGGGAGAGGACTTTTTTAATAATTTTAGTATATTGTATATAGGTATGTCTGTTTTTTTTTTATTTACTTATCTTTAAGTTATTTTATTTAATTTTTCTTGTATATACTCTTTGATTATTAGTTATTATTTTGCTTTTGTTTATTTTATGTTTTCTGTATATATGGTGTGAATTTTTTCTTACCTCACTGTAATTGTTGTCTGTGTGGCAGCATGTTATATTACTGAAAAGAAGTAAAGTTACACCAAATGTTAAATAGGCTTTAGGAGTTAAAGAGATAGATACAAGCGAATGTTGGGAAAATTTTAACCGAATGACAAATAAATACTAAATTGTAAACCACCCAAGTCATCAACGCCTAATAGAAAATTTTTATCTTTGAAATAATGATTAATTTATAGATTGAAAAATACAATTATTAGCGTTACTTTTTTTAGCGAAATCAAAGTAATTTGGGTAAGTGATACTAGCCGCTTTAAACATTTGTTTGCTGTTTGTGTTGCTTGATAAACTTTGAATTTAATGGATCCTGATACTATTTAAATATGTTTTCTTCATCCACACCTTTGACAAATTTTATGCCTTCTTTCATTTTTTTTGGTTTCTTTATAATAGCTACGGGCAAATTGGTTTCGCAACATACACCGTATTTATTTCTCTCGAAATACAGAAATTGTCTAAACACCCTGTTTCTTGTGATTTTTGAAATTTCGAAACTCGGCTTAACGGTTGACCAATTATTATTAACAATTATTATTCGAAATAAGATAAATGTTTCAGTAAAAGACAATGGACTAGTGATAGACATTTTTCGACTAATGATAAGCTTTATTCACCATAGATATAGTGCAAATATGAGTAGGTTTGGAACTAAAACATATGTCCATAATTGGTAATTGGTTGACTGTTGTGGATGATGAAGAGAAGAATAGTTGGGATGGTCAGTCAAAAAGGAAGGCAAAAATAAATGATAATATTTATTTTTTACATATGCCGACGTTTCGACCTGAAGTTCAGGCCTTCATCAGGCCTAAGAAAATAATCAGATAACAAGGTATGAGAAACATAAGTAATGATGGTAAAAAATATAGTAAAAAAAAGAAAATAAAAAAATTAGAAAAATAAAATAGATAAATATAAAGTAAAATGAAATTGTTAGAATAATGACTAAGAACTAAGAGATAAATAATAAAAACCGTTACAAAGTGTGGAATAATGAAGTAGGCATAATCAAAAAGGGTGACAAAAGTGTTACAATGGGAATCTTAGAATAAAATGTAAAACATAAAAAAGAAATATGAAGTTATATAAGTAATGAAAATAAATAGTAAAATTAAAACATTGAGAATGGAGTAGTTAGATAGAAAATTGAGATATTGTAAAGTCTATCGAGATGTACAGACAATGTATAATATAATAAAGAGTTAAAAAACAGAGAAAAGGAATGAAAGGAAGGAGGAAAGAAATTAAGAAAGCTGAAATAAGAAATAAATAAAAGATGTGCTACCTGTCTCCTTAAGTGTCGCAGGGAGAATATAAGTCGTTACAAGGGAGGGAGAGAGAGATTTTTTTATTTTCTTTTTTTTACTATCTTTTTTACCATCATTACTTATGTTTTTCATACCTTGTTATCTGGTTATTTTCTTAGCCCTGATGAAGGCCTGAACTTCAGGTCGAAACGTCGGCATATGTAAAAAATAAATATTATCATTTATTTTTGCCTTCCTTTTTGACTGACCACCCCAACTATTCTTCTCTTCATAAAACACATGTCATAATAGTTATGTTTTAATGAAGCAAGGCTAGATGTTTATAAAAGAACTTGTTGACCAAAACCTACCGCTGTCAAAATTTCTCATGTTTTTCATAAATAATTAACTAGTAGATTGTATAGAAAAAAAAATCTATAAAAGGTTAAATGGATTAACCATTAAACCCATTTCCACAGTTTCGCCACCAAAACTAAAGCTGTGGTTCTCATTAATGTTAAAAAATTCTCTTGAAGTATTACCGGTACATTTACTTTACTTAGCTAAGAACTAAAGATAATTCAATGTTGCAAACCTGCACGGTCTGTGAACATTCCACCAAGAACTCTTGAGTGAGATCAGTCAATACTCCGTCCCGGGTTTCGATGGAAGTGATTTGGAAGGGCTCCTGGATACGAACGGAAATGTGGGAGGCAGAATTACAGTTGTTCTGGATGTGAAAAATCCTACGTGAGATGTGTTCTTTGTCAGTGTTAAAGATTTCAGAAGTGTTCACCTATAGTTAAGATCAGTACTAATTGTCATACTCGTAATATAATATTTAATAGTAAATAATTCGGTACTTGTGACTTATCCGGTCGCAATTGAACCTACCTTCTTATCTCGTGTAACCTCTTCTTATCACGCGTCTCTGGTTAGTTACATGTGCGTTCTATGCAGCTCAACTAAAAAAAATGGAGGATCTGAAAAAGTGGTTGAAATAGACAAAAGTATTTTTTCTAAAAAAAAAAAAAACCATGTAGGGAAAGTGCTTCCTGAACAATGGATGTTTGGCTGAGTTCATCGAGGAAAAGAAGAGTGCTTCATCGTAAAAATAAAAGACAGAAAAGCAACAACTTTATTAGAATGTATTAAACCTAATCTAGAAGATAAAAACACTATACAGGGTGTTTCAGTGTTAAGTGGCCAAACTGAAGAACTAAGGACCACAAAACAAGAAATAAATTTCCTTTGAAGGATATTTATAATTGATTCGGTCAATAACCTTATACAATAAATTTTCACTTTTATAACATATTACATGCAAAATATATTTTATTTATAATTGAAAAAAAATCACAATAATAATAACTATTGGTCTTACCAAAAAAGTTTTACTTTATATTAATTCAGAATGGCCGACATGATATAGTAAATTCAGTTTTTTAAATATCTTGTTTTAATTGAAAGTTTCCCAGGATTTTGCCGTTTTTATGCCTTTTCCGACCACTGTGAGTTTATGCCATGTCCGTTCCTCGCTATTTTAAATATAATTAAGCTATTTTGTCTCCCAAAATAAATAAAATGTTATAAAATAAAAGTATTTTGTTATTATTACATTTATTTTTGTTTATTTCAATTTCTATAAATATAAATAAGAAGATAGGTATTATCAGTATCAGAAGGTTATAAACAGAGTATAACAGTCCGTGGAGACCGGTTAACTCACAAGTACCAATAATTCTTATGAATGAGACATAAAAATATTTTTTTAACTTAATTATTGGCTAATAGTCCATTTTATTAAATGTGGTTTTCAAACTGTTTGGCCTGCGGGCAATATAGAGACCTCCACTAGACGTCTAATATTAACAATGAGACGTCGAAGTTGGGCGGTCCATGGCTTGTGACAAAAATAAAAGACTTGTTCTATAAATGACACTTAAGTATCATTGTGAAATTATATTTCTAAGAAAAACAACCCATGCAATATATGTGATAACCTCGTGTTTTAACCATTTATTAAATTTTATATTTTTTAAATTTTATCATGTAACCAAAGATATTTTCTGCGGGCCGCAGTTTGAAAACGCTGGTATTAAACTGTACTTACACTATTGAAGTAAGTTAAAAATAATTTAAAAAAAAAATGTCTTGAGGACGGTACCAAAATTTATTATTTTGACGAATTTTACCAATGATATATACAAAATTTTAATAAGTGACATTAAGACAATTTAGATACATAAAGAATTCATCATAGGTTTTTTGAACAAACAACTTTATTTATAATGTTGTTTAATTTTGTGTAAGAAGTTTAAACTTAGCAAGGTCTAATTAAAAAAATATCTAATCTAATATAATCTAAGCCCTTTTAAGTTTACGTTAAGTGGACATATTCAGTAGTATTCATCTCATAGTTATCGTACGGCGTTCTCTTTTTTTCCGAAACATTTTGTACAATTAATATCAGTTACTTCTTATCTCATTGACATGGTTTGATGGGCTTAAGTTTCGAATTTTCAAAATGGCTTCTTCTAAAGTTCCATTTATTTTGTTCATTTAAATTAATTAAACTCTATGATTGTTAATTGTAGTACTAAATGAATACATATAAATTAATAATGAATTACATGATTAAATAAAGGAGGAATATTTTCTGGGGCTGAAAATTATTTTTTTTAAATAAGAGCAGCAATCAAAATATAAATATAATATACTGTTAGAAAGTTAAGTGTTTGACGAAAATTAATATCTAACATTTACTTGGTAGTATAATAGTCCGTGGTACAGACCCCTTTCGAATTGTTAACATCCGGCTGAAACTTCGTAAATAACTTTATCTCATCGTAGCCTACAAATATTTTATTTACGAAAATTCTCAGAATTGGTGCGTTTTCAATCTGGAGGTCGGCAAACTTTGTTTATTTAATTAGATACTAAAAACTCGTAAATAACCATTTTCTTTCCACTTTAATCGTAAGATATCTTTAGCACAAAGTCCAGAAAAAAGGTGGCCTTCAAAAATATTGAGCCGTATGGCCTATATGACCACGTTATTTTGAAAATTTGGAGTGTAGGTTAGGTAAAACGGCTAAATAGTTTTGTAGGCCATCTATTTTTCCTTTCTCGACTTTGAGTTCAAGTTATCTTACGATTAAAGTGGAAAGAAAATGGTTATTTACGAGTTTTCAGTATCTAATTAAATAGACAAAGTTTGGCGACTTCCAGATTGAAACCCCCCCCCCCCAATTCCGAGAATTTTCGTAAATAAAATATTTGTAGGTTACGATGAGATGAAACTATTTGCGAAGTTTTAAGCCGGATGTTAATAAATTGATAAAAAGGGGCCTGTACCACGGACTATAAAGAAGTGTATTTTTTAAAATCCATTAATATTGCTGAAGATAACATACTTTGAAGATTGCATCCCGTAGCGAATTGTTTATGACTTTGAAATTCATATCCTCAACCACTGTTAGCAATTTGAGTGAAATCCGATTCGTTCCATAACCATCCGGTCTGTAGCAGCAGAAACATTCCTCATTATTCCTAATACAAATTTTATTTATTATATTATATTATTTTAATTTTGCACATTTGAGAAAAACATAAATGAATTTACATGTTTCCAACACACACACCCACACATATATGTATATTCACTTTTATATGTACTTAGAAAAGGAAACTGCAGTGCCTTTTTTATATTTGAGCGATAGGCAAATAAAACTGTGAATTCAATGTTACAATTTCAAAACAAAAAATTTGAACCCACATTCCTTACTCGGAAATAATTAGAGGCAAAACTTTTTTTTTTTTTTGATTGCTAAGATAATTCATATTTCAGGGTTTTTCCAGGTGAGAAATACCAATCTCAATTATGTTTCTCTTTTGGAAAATATTTGAAATCACTTTGCTCCTTACGTCGGTTAGAAATGGTTTCATTTCAATATTTTACTTATATTATATCTATATAAATATATATATATATATATATATATATATATATATATATATATATATATCTTTTTTTAATCTTTATTTGTTGCCAGGGAAGAACCCCATACAAATATAGTCTTATCTTTATTATAACAAACATTATTACTCTTATGGTATTACAAATATATTTTCATTTTTTCGTTTACTATATCAAAAATATTATTATAATATTACTACAAGAATGCCCTAAAAAGTATAATTGGTAAAAAGTCAGACAGTTGAAATAAAGCAAATTACTAACAATTATATAAAATCTAAAATTCCGTCAAAACACATACGAAATATCAATAAAAACAATAAATACATTTTATTTTTTAAATATAAATAATAAACTATGTTTTAAAATTCAATTAAAAGATTACTCGCTAGAACATTGAAAACAAACAAATAATATTCAAAGGACAATATTCCTAATTACCCCACCAATTCTCTATAATTTGATATATTAGATATGAAAAAAAAATAATGTTATAGCTATATTTTAAACATATATTAATCACAATAGAGGACTCCAAAAAATATGAACCGAAGAAAATGTCTTATCGGACACGTTTCTTTTCGAATTCGATGATTTTCTTTTTTACTTTTTTTCATAGTAGAGAATTTAGGAAACTTATATAAAATATTCATAGATTTAAAATGCTTTACCTCTGCACTTTATGTAAAAATGTTTGTAATAGAGGTCTGCTGTAATTGTAAATATTACAAAATACAAACTTTTTTTTCATTCATTCATTCGCTACACCAAATCGTCCTATTTTGATCCAATTATTTTCATTTTTTAGGGGATTCAGGAAACTTTAAAATAAATATGAGTGTGATCCATCAAAACTTATGTACGTTTTGAGCTATTCGCAATTAAAAATTCTGAATTCATCGTAACGTTTTTTGCTGCTTGTTTTCGGAAGTATGCTATATATATATATAAATTATATATACTATTTCCAATTTTTACTACTTTCACTTACCTATATATGAAATATAGAGTAAGGGTAAGTATTGCGATCGTGAAAATTTTCGACTCTGGGGTTTCAACGGAAATACATGTTTTGAGGACCACTGAGTCGAAATAAACAAGTCCCGCAAAATGGTCTGTGTGTTTGTGTTAACAGTCTAGCTCAAAAACGGAAAGTCGTACGAAAGTGAAATTGCATATTTAAGATTTGTATATGCTTGAGGTGTTACAGCAACTATTTCGCCGAAATCGGCTTAGCTGAAGTGGCACTTTATATAATGGACTAAACACATTTTTACGATTTTCTCGAAAGTGGTTCTAATGATTTTGATTAAATTCATCACATTAGTGTAAAATTAAGCATTTTAAAATAAAATGTAGATTTTATTCTGATTGATGTTCTCTAACAGGGCTGAAATGGGTAATTTTAAATATTAGCTTCCTCTAAAGTACTTTTAATTTGATACAATTGAACATTCCACATTCGCCTCTAATATAAAAGATAATTAAATATAAAATATGAAAGAATTTTATAATTAACTAATGGAGAAATAAGAGATCGTAGCGGATTTCTTACGTAACGCGAACTTAATATAATAAGGACTCCGACAATATTATCTACATATACATAAGCAGGTTTCATAAATGCTGTTGTTGCTATTATTTAATATTTACTTGTATAGATTACAGCTATGTAAAAATCAAAATTTGTATATATAAGGGTAATAAAACAAAAACAAATACTAACAATGAAATATAGCGTTTATAATTTTACTTCAACTTCCCTTTTGTCTGAAAATACATATTTCTGTTAAGAAGAGGGTGGTTAGTGAAAGTCGTGTGATGCGTGCACCAGATTTTTTACATAGTAAAATTAGATGAAAAGGGAATACCAGAAAATATATCAATAGGGTTAGGAAACAAAGAAAAAAATCTTGAATGACATCATATCTTTTCTCACGGAAGAGAAAATTTATAAAAATACCTGAAACTTTATCTTGATTTTCTTTTCTTTTTTAATCTATTTTTTATATTTATTTTATTTTTATTATGCATACCAGCAGATATAATTATAAAAAAATAAGTAAATGAAAAATAAACCTAATTAACGGCGTTGATAACAGGTTTTAAACCTTAACTTTATGAAAAACGATAGATCAATCTACTACACAGTAATAGGAGTATTTTACAGTTCCATTGGAAAGCTGGAATGCACCCGTTTACGACACCCATTTTATATATTCGTTTACTTAAATTTCCCTAATAGTCTACCAAGGTGTTTAAGTAGATATGAAATACATTATATTAGGTTTCTTGATGTAATAAATATTAGCTCTAATGATATGCAGCTTACCAGCTGTCGTCTTCGATGTAGACCAGACCAAAAGCCGTCGCCGATAAGGTTTCGTTGCACTTGAGGAATTCCGGGGAAATCCTTTGGCTGTTGACGGTAATGAGCAGCGGCGCTTTCGATCTGGGCGGGATGTAGAGGACCGTTGGTTCGATCTAATCAACATATCGCCAGGCTTTTATTTTATTTTACTGTAAGAATTAAATTACCGAAAGTATCGCATTATATGATTAAGATCTGGCTCTTTTGGTGGCCACGAACAGCAGAGCCAAGTTGAAAGATGGGTCGACCACAAAGTAAAGATGGTGCGAAAGAAAGAAGTTGAGGATGATTGCTGCCAATACCCAGTCCATTCTTTTAAAGGGAAACTGACAGTTTCAAGAAGATCTGAATTCGTATATTAGAATAAAATAGTACAAAACATTGTTGGTAGTTATATTAAAATAAGTTGAATGTCGTCATAATATATTTAATTAGTTTTCATCAACATTTGAGACTTTTTATATCAATAAAAAAACTGTCCTCAAATGCAAAAATAAGGCATTACTGTACATTATACCTGTAATATTATATAGTAGGGAAACAGTCAGCCATCCGAGCCTAGAGAGGATTCTGAGGAGGATTCACGGACCCAAGGTAACGCAAGAGGGATACAAACTAAAATCCAATAAAGAAATATACAGAAATTTGGAAACCAGAAGACTGAGGTTCTACGGGCACATGGTGAGAATGAATAGTGAAAGACTGAACAAGAAAATTTTTGACAAAGTTTGCAGCTATAAAAGTATGGGGGGATATGTAAAACAAATAAAAGAGGAACTATACAGCCTAAAAATCACGAATAAATATTGCTTGGATAGAGAGATTTTTAGGGAATACTGGAAGGGGTTGGGGTTCTTGTAGGTGGGAGGGAGAGACGAGGGAGAAAATGGACTAGGGAAGAGCGAGAGGACCAGCCCAGGAGAATGAGAGAGTATCGGAATAAGAAGAAGGCTGAGGATGTAAAGGGGAAACGGAAATGGCATTCGCGTGGTCCTTGCTGGCCGCTTAGAGTAAAAAAAAATAACAATAAAATAAATCTTTTATTAAATAAAATGCAAGGTTTTCTAAAAAACTAGGGGGGGACCTCCTATCCACCTAACAGCGGACCAATCCCTATTATACAACAGTTCATTTAATGGTAATAGGGTATATAAGAAAAAATTACCGTTTTATCAAATTCAAGATTTCAAAGTATTGTAAATATTCTAATTTTATTTAATACTTACCAATACTTAATAACCCCTTTAGAGCATTCTCTGAGCTTGTTTAATCCCATTCGATTTCTTCAAAAAAAGCCTCAGTTTAGTCATTTGTTTCAAAGAATAAACATGACTGTGTTCTAAGAAATTTTCATAATTTTAAGGCATTACTGGAAAAAAATGCCATAGGGCAGCAGATGGCTAATGAGGATAGATAACAATGGGCTGTATTTTGAGTATTAATTGTATTCTATATCAAGGAATAATACAAACATTTGGTTGAAAAACAGTCTTTTCTTTTTGTTTATACACCCTATTATTACTCGTTGCTCAAATCGTATAACTGTAATATTCATTTAATCTGTAGTTCATATTGTACAATTTTTTTTTATCAACATAAAATAAACTGAATGAAACCACTATTTGGACAAATTTTTAATTTATGTACCACATGTTTCCGATTTAGCTTAATCCATATACCTATCCTTCCATAATAAACTTCTGAACCATCCGAAACCTCTTGTTTCCAACCTTGCTTCCTCTTCTATTCCTGATAACCCTCCGAGGCGTCAGAAAAGAAGATGGCCTCGGGATCTTCTAATATAGAAATATAATTGGAGTGCTACCAATGGGTCGTTTCTCCTCATGTTGTACATGTCAAGTTACTTATTTCATATTTCATTAAAAAAACAACACAAGTAGTAATGCGAGTAACGAATACAATGAATGAATGAATCCAATTTTATTATTCTGGGACTAGTGTTCCTTTAGAACAAATTATAAATATAGAATATAAATTAACATTTTGGTGTGTCCATAAATTAAAATTAAACATTTGCAAGATGAGTGGTAATAAAATAAATGTACAGATGATGAAACGAAATAAAAATGTACATCAATAAAAGAAAATAAAACAAATTGAGGAAAGTAAAATAAATAAACAAAATATCAATTAATCACAAATAATCATCAATAAATAAAATAAGTGTCTGGAGGAAGGGAGAGTATTTTGAGAATCTTACGACTTAGGTTTTTAAGTGCATTTCATGATCATCCGGAATGGAAATGAAATAGTTACTTGAAGAGAAGATATTTGATAGAGAATACTGACTTTTCGGGTCTAATATCAGAAGGTATAGAATTCCAGAAGGAGATAGCTTGAATTAAAAAGGATTTGTCAAACACAGCAGTTCGTTGAGAGGGAGGATAGAGGTCGGACGTACTGGATCTGGTGAGACGGGTTTGGATGGAGGATTTGAATTGTATCTACAGTATATAGGAGGATCGGCGAGTTCTAATACCCTGGTATATTAAGGTAGCAAGGAAATAGTGACGGCAGTAGGACGGATAAAGTCACTTCAACTCGGTGTAATACTGATCTCGAAGATAAAGCATTTCATTAGACGTTTAAGATTGGCTTCAAGTTCTCCCGAGAGTCCACAATACGCTATACAGCCATAGTCGAAGTAGAGGAAAACAAGAGATTAAACCAGGAGTTGACGGGTTTTGAATGGAAGGAGATAGGCGAGTTGTTCAGAGAAGATTGGGAGGTACAGAAATGGGTTTGAGGAGGGAGTAATACAATTGTAATCGGTACTCATAAACACTTTTGTCAGGTATAATTCTGTATTTATAATCGCCGATATAGTATACCAAACTCTACCCCCAATATTGTTCAAGGTCACTGAATATCCTTAATACATGTTATGTAGCTAAATACTCACTGTATATGTGAGGTTCTCTTGAACACCTGCGTATGGTATAAGTTTCAATTTGCAGAAATCCGAGTCCTTCTTAGGATGGAGTTCCAATGCCAGACCAAAGTCTGGGTCTCTCTCTAAAGGTAAGCATTGATTCTTATTCAACAGGCATCGATTCTTATTCGGCGTCTGGTCCAGGTATACTGTCCAGACAATCTTCAGTACGAAGGGGCAGGTATTCTCCAGGTATACTTGTTTCCATTTGATTCTGTTAGGGCGTATAGATGGGAACCTAGAGGTAGTGACACTCATCGTTATAAATATTTTCAAATTCTAAGAAATAAAATGTATAGAAAAAATAAAATTAAACTAAAAAGAAAACAGAAGGTGTTAAAAAAAAAAATAGCGTCAGGTAAAGAACAATTTTTTTCTAAGTGAAAACTTCTTTACGCACATTCAGCACCTTTTTTGGGTAGTGAATGAGACAGCCGTTAAGCTCTGTTATATAATACTCATTCGGTTAAATTCGGCTGGAGCTGACAAATTTTTGCATTTCGATTAAAATATCTCAGAAAATAAAGATGAAACTTGGATACTATAAGCGAAGAGAAATGTTCATCATAATACCTTCTCTGTAATGAGCTGTAATTCAAAATTGTATTTTAACGCTGTGTAAAAGGGGAAAAACGAGATTTTTAAACATTTGGATTAAAATATCTTAAAAAATATAATTTGAACTTCCATACTGTAAGCCAGAAAAAATTTCAGCATTGCATCTTCTTTGTAATGAGCTATAATTGCAAATCTATTTTGACGTGAGGCTGAGTTAAAATGTCGGAAAGGAAAACATATAGCGCAAAAAAAACCAAGGAATAACTTCTGTTTTAAACGTTTGGATTTGAATATCTCAAAATTTAAATACCATAGAGAATTCAGAAACCTATTCGCAGAATTCAATATAAATATTTGTTTTTTTTTAAAGGCAGTATACTTGCCTATACTCCTGTATGGTGCAGAAAGCTGGGTGCTGACTGACAAACTTGAGAGAAAAATCACTGCTGCAGAAATGAGGTTTCTCCGAAGGATCGCAGGAAAAACGAGGCGGGACTGCATTCGCAACGAGAGAATCAGGAAGGAATTGGGGGTTCCCCGATGAAGGATGTAAAAATAGAAATAAGAATTTACGCCAAGTCAGAAATCTTGCAAGAATCAGGGAAAGTTGGCAATCCTGGCTAGACGCTCCCCTAAGCTGGAAGGCACTACAGAGTGATTTAAAAGAAGAAGAAGTTTTTTAAAATCAAGATTGGATTTGTCTAGACCACTGTTGGCAAAACCTAAATTGTACCTTAATAAAGGCGAAATGGTGTCCGGAGCGAATGTGAAGAAGGCAGGGGGGTGCTCACACTTGACCATGATCGGGACGTGGAAGGGAGGATGGCTGTCCACCATGACGGAGACGTTGTCGAAGTAGGTCCCCCAGGCCATCGCAAAGACCGAGACAGTCACTTCTTGGACTTCATCAGCCAGGATCGTTCCCTTCTTCTGCTTCACTCTGATCGCAAGTCCGAGGCGGCTTCGCACTCTGTGGCACCACTTGTACTTTTCCAATGACGGAGCGTCATCGTCTGTAAAATATAGCGAATAATTAAACATGAAAATAGAATTATTATATTATTTGTATTGTAAATTATTATATTATTGTTTATTATATTATTTGATTAGATTTAATCAATAATAATCTGTGGACACACCTCCTTACATCGGTGGGTGGATCCCTCCAGATTCACCTTAAGGTAATCTTCCCACTTTCGCCTTAATACACGATTAATTTTTTTCCAAGACCACCTATACACCCATAGTTCTTTTTTTATTAATAATACATCTCTCATACGAAAAGGGAATACCATTTAAAATCCTCCTTTCCTACTTACTATTAAATAAGTAGACGTATTTTTAATAGTCTCATTTACTTGAAGAGGGTATGGTTGGGATTTGATCCGACCTCTTTTTTGATGTTTATGTGAGTTATGAAGTAGTCCATCCATTTTAATAATATGGTTTAAGTACTATAATTTAAAAGTTGAAAACAATAATCTATATTAAAATACACTTATAAATATATATATATATATATATATATATATATATATATATATATATGTGTGTGTGTGTGTGTGTGTGTGTAAAGGAAACAATTGAATATATTCTTATCTGAAAGTTGACAAACAGCTAGTAGGAGTTAATCCTACGAAGTTCCGTAAACACACCCGCACTCTGTGAAGTCTACTATCTAACTAATTTAGGTAGTCTATTTATTGCTTGTTGGTCAATAATAATTTTTTTAACAAGATTTTCTGTAAAAAAAATGTTGATTGATTAATTTTTTCCCTTAGTTGATTGTTTTAATATTATATCTACTGTACCCTCCTTTCATAATTGCTTTCTTAACAAAAATAAATAATTTATATGGCAAATTTTAATTTTATTTTTTATCAGGAATTAGTTGAAAAGTGCACCTACATATACATGCCATTTAATATATTATAGATAAATACATATTATTTAAAATACTACATTTTCAGATCTGGTTCAGACCTTCTGTTGGATTGAGACATGTAATCATACCTAGAGAAAATAAATCTGATTATTAAAGAGATATTTTATTAATTAAATAAGATCTGTGGGAGTATTTATTGTATTTGAAAAAAACTAATCGTGTATTGATATATCTTAATAATTATATTAAAATCACAAAAAAAAGAAAGAATTTAAAAAAGGTTACCATAAACGCCTCGGCTAAATTAATCAATACTCACAGCCCAGCCCTTCATCGTGAAAGACCATCTCGCCAAGAAGGAATGGATCCATATGAGGCAGTTTTTTCTCTGCATGGAAGAAATTAGTCTTCACTCTGTACTGGATTGGGGATGGGGATAAGTTGCTTATGTAAAGAATTTGTGTGTGGACTGAAATTACAAAGGAATGATAAAAATAAATAAATTTTTTTTTCTAATAGCTTATTTATTGAAATATATTACAATCTGTCTCAGGGACAAAAAATAAATAAATAAAAATATATTTTACGCTAAAGCATTTTGAGTTTTCTCTAAATAGTTTAAACCTGTAATCTTCTTAAAAATCTTTTTAGTTAGAATAAAAACATCAAAGTTGATGATTGATATTTTAGTTTCGGATAATGTGTTTGGTCATGTAGTCATTGTGTAAGTAAAATGTATGTATAGTCTAAAAATACTAATGATAAAAATAATTTATTGAGGCGCTAATTGCTCATATTAAACTCGATTTTCTATGAAGACATATTCTTCGTTGAACTTCCCAATGAAGTCTAGTGTAATGCGCCATTATAATAATTATATTATGATCTAGAAAAGTGTTCTATCCAACTTGTCATTTGGTGTTTAGAAAAAATTGAGTTTCTTTAAAGGGTGTTTATACAGCGTGAAAACAATCGAACAAAACAGAAGACAAATTATTGCAAACTGGTACCTCTAGTTGAGCGGAGATGTGATAAAGATAATAAATCTGTATTTCAAGAACACCAAACATTAAAACTAGGTAGACAAAAAAAAAGTGAAAGTGGAAGGTAAAAAAAGGATGTCAAATTTATTCACGTCTAGTAGAAGAACCTCACTATTAATTAGCATTAGCAGTAAATGAACAACTTTTTTGGAAGGCTGCGATGAAGGCTACATTACTTAGAAGTATGACAGGAGGGTAATAGAAGATTTTGATCGCCTGTATGGACCTCAGATTGATTAAAAAAAAAAACTAAACTTTAATAAAAACAAATATACAAATAACTGATATATATGAAGAATATTGTATCTGAAATGAAATTACGGGAAAATTTTCAATACAATGACTGGAATTTTATGTGTCTGTGGTCATACAGAAAATCTAAATAATATTCAGTAGAGAATGCACATATCTTGTCTCCTCTTAAAATATTTAGCCAATTTTTTAACCATCTATTTAATATTAATATCAATCCAAACTTATATTTAGCACTATTGTTCCAAATAGAGTTTGTTTTTTATAGATAACAATTGTTTCTCTCTCGATCTCTAGGTTTGATTTCTGGCCCATAAAGTTTCTTTCTCGAAAATTCGCATATAGTAGCGGTGATTGTCAGGAATAATTGATGCCGTCAAAGTACTCATTTTAATAAACATATTAAATCTATTCTTTAAGATAACAAAAATTATGAATGGGATTAAATTTAAAAATTATATATGCAACAACCTTTAAACGTTTCAACTGTAAAGTTCATGGATTTTTCAGCGAAATTTTCGAGGAACGAGTCTAGTATTTTTGATTTCATGGATTTCAAATTATCCTTCACTGACTCTTCCGTCCACGGTGTTTCGAATTCTCTGTAAATAATAATAATATCAAGGAATTTCTTTGGATATCTTAAATTTAAGTTAATTGTTAACTCATTATAGAAGCCAATTTTACTTTCGCTGAAGATGATTTTTACTATGTTGGGCTGTTCCCATAGTAATTACTGTGTAAACAGCCTATCTCCAAGACGAAATATCGTATGAATCTGGAATTACGTTTTTATGGTAGGTACATAAACATACAAACATGTACTTTATACTTTATATCATCGAACTTACACATTTTTTTTTTACGATTTTCACCGAAACGATTCTTGTTTAAACTCTTTAAAGTAAAATCAAATCAATTGGTCTTTAATATCAAACAGAAAATATTTGTATTGAAATATATTCTAACACGGCATAAGTTTCGAATTTTCAAAATTTCTTTTTCTAAATTACTTTACAAATAAAATAAAATAAAATCTGAACATTGCTACGTATGAAGTATGAAAGAATTTAATAATTAGTTTAAATCAATCAGAATTTTTTTTTTAAAGAAAAGTTGCTAAAAAGTTATAACTGACCAACAAACAAATAAATAGACTACATAGATATTAATTTCAAATAAATTATTTTAGCAATTAACTTTTAATAATATATGTCCCTTAAAGAATTAATTATTCAACAATTTCATTCCGGCATCCAAAGAATTAGAGAATTGATACTATTCAAGTTTATTTCCAAAGGTATTTGTATTAAAAATTTAGTATCATCTACCTTAAACAATTTTGAAGCTCAATTTTCATGGACGTATACTTATACGAACGATCAGCCTTATTAAATAACTTGAAGGCGCCATCTAAATTATATAATATATTTTATCTATTTAAAATAAAAAATAAAACATGCTTTATGTATTCCATATTTTAGAAATAAAATACAAATACATTTAATTTAATTTTTTATTTTCTATAGAAAATTCCGTTTAAAACAATATGTTTATATTTTAATTCTTAAAATAAAAAAATTATTTGATTTTGCATTTTAAAATATTCTATTTGTAATACTATGTAAGTCTTGTTTAAGGGTAGAGCCGGCGCCTGAGATATACTATAGCCGCAGAGCAGGCACGTCATGCAAAATGGTCTAATTCCTGAGGAGTAGGGGTTGTAGGGTCGACTGAAGCAGTTATGGAATAGAAAATATTTTCTTTGTTTTATATCTGGGGATTCAATTTTTACAAATTACTCTTCAAGAAAAGGTAATTTTATTTATACCTAAACCTTAAAAAAAATTAACTGTATCGGATATAAAGGTTGATCCAGTCTTTAATGGCCAAATTCTTAATTAATTATTAAAACACTTTATTCAGAAATATTACAATTTGTCACAGTTAAGGACACTTATAATAGAGTTCAGAGATTGCATTCATACCGTATATACAAAAATATAAATAAATAAAGTAATAACAAAAGAATAAGAAGAAAGAACAAAAGAGTAAAGAAAAAAAAATATATATATATACACATAAGTAAATAAAAATAGAAATAAAAGTAAAACAAACACCTTATATAAAACATACATTATTTACAATTTGCCAGGTGATCTCCGAACCAATCCTGTCCCCTCCACATAGGAGATCCCTACGCCTCTCCCTCAGCCACTTCACTGGTATTTTAAACCAGCGGAGGATGAGTAAGAGCGCTACAGCCACAGACACTCATGACTTGAGTGGAGAATCTGGCCATTGCTAGAACTCCAAAATATCCATATTTACAAAAGGTCTCGTGGCCACTGCCGCTTTAACCTACGAAGGGGATTGTAGGGATGGGTGGTGCTTGATAGGGATTGTACAACGGGATTTGGGTGATGAGAAAGGTTCTGGTGAAATTTGGAAAATTTGGCTGGGATAAGATCAAGAATAAATGGGATATTAAGGTCATGGTGTAGGGTTTTATTGGTTACATAGAAGGGAGCATAGGCCAAATTCTAGGAAGTGATTCTAGAACAATTTCCAACAAAAAAGTTCATTTGATGAATGGACCGATTCAGAACGAAAAAAAACAACAGTTAATTCAAATTTTGTGTTTTGTAAAGTTAGTCACGTTTTATCTTTCATATGAAGGGAAAAACAAAATCAATTTACTAAATTCATAATTAATAATAATCTTATGGTAAACTAGATAAAATTTCTTTGAATTAAAAGTGGGATTCGTGTTATTTTGATGGAAATGATGAGTTTTAGCATTGATAGATATGACCAAAATCCACAATTTTTTTAAAAAATATTTAGTTCCATTAAAAGTTCATTTAAAAATGTTTTTTTTTAATAGTACAATTTTGACAGAAAATAATTTCTGTTCAATTTAGAACGTTAAGTTAAAGTTTTTGAAAGTTTTTTACGCACTAGATTTTTAGTTGTTTTTTTTTACATGACTCCGAAACTAAACCTTTTACCGAACTTATTAGTATATACAAAATTAAAGAAGATAAAATTTACTATCATTTTTTTTATGTAAGTCCAACGAGTGAGGGAGTAGAGAATGTTAACTGTTGTTTATTTCCCAAGAAATGTCTGTTTTCGTCGGTTATCTTCCCAAAATACATAAATTTTAAACACCAAATTGAGATTCAGTATCACAAAAAACTTACCAAAGAAAAACCGATTATTTGAATTTTTTTCTCCTAATTTTATGGCATTGACGCGCCAGTTTTCAAAACCCATCCGAGTAAATCGTCATTGGTGGTATATTCTCTTTTATGGACATATGCTTGACACTAAATTAAAATCTCAGCTGTATGTTCTTCCGTTGAACTAATCGTCGAATTTCGCCTCTTTAACTAGCTCAAATATCCTTCAAATATAATTGGAATTTGTCTTCGTCAAAACCAATTAAAAGAGGGTTTTGAACACCTAAAATACAAAAAAAAAAAGGAATAATACAACTTTGTAATAATTTATCGGTTTTTATTTTTTCTGAAAATACAGGTACTCTGGAATTACAGAATATCAAATCACATATTTTTTACACAGACGTGTATCTCAACTCGATTTTGCAACAAACCTTAACTAAATTTATACGTAATTAGAGTTTTTGATTAAGAATTTTTTTATAAACGTTGGATGTTTGTAGACCAGTTGTAGGATGATTAAACAAAAATACAGATGACCCGTTATTTAATGAAAACACAGATAAGCGTAGTTCCGGCGCGTAAAAGCCCTCCTTAAATGGATTTGATAACGTCATACTCTACCTTTAATTGAAAGAAATTTCGTCTTGTTAACTATTAAACAATTATTAATTACCTAAATTAAATAATTTTTGTGTTTTTATTTTACATGAAAGAGAAAACGTGAAAACCTTAAGACAACCCAGAATTGGAATTAACTCTTTTTCTGTTCTGAATCGTTCTATTCAACAAATGAATTTTTTTGTTGGAAATGTCTGAGAGTTTGGCCATTAAAAACTGGATCAACCTATATATTCACTGCAGTGTTTGAAAACTTCATTAGGCTCGTTTTGCACTTATTTGTGGGGAGTGAATTAGATTGAGCCGTCAGAATTCCGATGAGTTAAGGCTCGGGTAAAGTCGGCTGGCGACGGCTAACTGAAGTGCTTTTTTATATCGATAAAAATATCTCAGGAACTAATAATCGAACCTGCATACTGTAAGCAAAGGAATTGTTCAGAATTTCATCTTCTCTGTAATGGGCTATTATTCAAAATTTTATCTTAACACGGTGCCCATTTTAGAGAGGCGAAAAGGACAAAGTAGTGTCGAAAACCAAATGAAGACTAGTTTTATTGAAGATATGGATTAAAATCGGATCTGCATACTGCAGGCAAGGGAATTGTTCAGCATTTCATTCTCTTGTATTTATAATTTATTTTCGTGGAAGAAGATGACCCAGGATGGACTTCATAAATTGACTAAAATAGTGGAAAAGCTATTTTATTTCTACTATTTTATTCTATTTATGACCGCCCCCTCCCCCGGACCATCTACTTCTTCTAAAATACGCCACGGTTAACTACTAGGTATTTAATATAATAATTTATTTTCATATTATTAATCTCGCCTCGTTGATGTTTTCATTTCTTTTGTGTGGTCCTAAGGAAACACCTCAGATTTTTATTTATTTCGAAGGTTTAGGTATAAATACAATTACCTTTTCATGAAGAGTAATTCGTAATTACTCCCAGATTTATTATTCACTGATTAATTATTCCCAGATAAAAAACAAAGAAAATATTTTCTATTTCGTAACTACATCAGTTGACCCCACAGCCCCTACTTACAGGAATTAGACCATTTTGCATGACGTGCCTGTTCTGCGGCTACAGTATATCTCAAGCGCCGGCTCTACCCTTCGACCAGGGTTGGACAGTATTTCAAATAAAATATTTTAAAATACAAAATAAATTATTTTTAAAATTTTTCATTTTCAGATTTTAAATATATCGTTTTTAACTTTATTTTCTATAGAAAATACAAAATACAATGAAATATAAAGAATGACACTCCCGGGTAGCTGAGTCCATTAATTCTTATACCAATAAGTCGCTGTCACATCACAGCCATTATCTTAAATACGTAATTTCATTTTCGTTTTTAGGCTAGACTGTTCATATACAAACATATACCATCTTGTGGGACTTGGTTATTTGGACTGAGGAGATCTCAAAACGCGTATTTTCTCTGAAAACTCAGATTCGAAAATTTTCGCGATCGCAATACTTTATTTTACTATATTTGCATATAGGTTAGCGAAAGTAAAAAATTAGAACTTCGAACAGTTCCATCTACCTGGCCGTCCCCAACTCTCTGTATGTTTAAAAAAAAATTTCTTTATGAGTTCTTACTAATTGTTTACTACAGAGATGGAAAGGAGGTATTCCGCTCTTTCTAGTGAGTTTACGGATTTAGAAAAAAAAAAATCCCGTTGTTACTTTTTGCAAACTTGAGATATAAAATAAAGAGTTTTAGGATGCTTTATTATAATTATAATTTTTGTTTTCGTTCCAAGCTTCTAAGATCTGTTGGTGGAAACGAACGAAATTTTGATTTATTTTTAATGCGAATCGTCGGTGGTTATATACTATGCATTCCTCTTGTAAGCGATGAATTGTTCTCTATCACTTCTGTTTAAATCTCTAAAATGTAACTTTATTTATAAATAACTTTTATATTGATAAATTATTAAGGCATAACAAACTATCTAATAGACTCACTTTCTCAATGCTTCGTCGGTGAAATCGGCTCCAAAATATTTTCCCCCAATGTAAGGCCAGTTATCATAGGGTACAAGGAGGTTGTCCGATGGATCCTTGAATGCCATGATTTCTGCTTCTTTGATTTCATCCGGTGAGATTGACTGTGTAAACCAACCACTTAGTATCAGTAATAATATAAAAGTCTTATTATTAAAAAAAATAACATATATACAGAAGAACCAAGAGCTAAAGAAATACCTCAAGGCTTAACTGTCTGAGGGGAGCCTAACCACATCTTTTATAAATAATATTAATAATGATTATTATTAGGCAAGTACATATTTAATCAGGACGTTAGCGATAAATGTCGACTTTACAAAGGAGCAATTGAGTCCTTTCACCATATAACAACAGGCTGCACAATATATAGGGAAAGAAAACTTGAGAGGCATTATGATTTGGCAAAAGTAATCCCCTAAAGCTTGACCACAAGCGGATCCAGGATTTAATTTTGGGGAGTGCTTCAGCCCGGAAGCTTTTTTTTTTTTTTTCTTATATATAACGACAATTACTTTGGAAAAACAGAAAGATACTACCTACCTTTATGAAATGGTGTTTAAGTGATTCTTTAAGTCCTATTAAATGTAATTAAACGAGCAATAATACTATAAGACATAATTTTTTAAATATTTTTTACCATAAAACATGGTTACATTTTACCACTTGGGGGGAGGGAGAGGGGAGTTCTTCAGCCCAAAAGCCCCCCTCGCGTAAATCCACCAGTGAGCTTGACCAAGTATTATAAATTTACTGAAGAATCAAAATCTTATTATCGTTACACCCCGGAATCTATCCTTTCTGATAAAGAAGCAACCATCAATTAGAATCAATCCATGATTAGGGAATTATTCCGTGCCAAACGATAAACCAGCATAGTCTGAAAATTTTAAAATATTTCCTAAACATAGCCGAACTCTTGACTCATTGAGTCCGAGAAGGTGAATATTTCCAGTCATGACTGAGAAACTGCGGAATTCTGAATAATAATAATAATTAAAAAAATTAAATCTTATAAATAAAAAACATCAACTGAAGAGAAGATTGTTTGGGGTGATCAGTCAAAAAAAAATAAAATAAAATAAAATAAATATGTATATTTATTTTTATTTTTGCCGACGTTTCGCTCAAAGTTCAGGCCTTCATCAGGGCTAGTCGAAGTATTCCGCATTACCTTTCGTTCGACTAGCCCTGATGAAGGCCTGAACTTTATACCGAAACGTAGGTAAATATAAAAATAAATATACTAATTTATTTTTACTTTATTTTTTTGACTGATCATCCCTACAATTCTTCTCTTCAATTATTCACTACAGTCAATCATCAGTCCACAATAATAAATATAAACATTTACCAAAAAAAAAAAAAAGTGCAGGAGTAGTATAAAACCAATTTGTATAACTGCTCTATACACAAATGTAACACTGCATATAATTCATTTATTTTATTAATTCATACCTGGCTATTCTGCAATAATTGAAAAGTTTATTCCAATTCTTACCATTGAAATCATTTATCAGTTGGGTGGAATTAATTATCACTAAATCTAGTTGAGACCTAAAGCTTTATACAGTTAATATCAATACGAGATATTGGCTATTTTGTGATTTTTCACCCTAATTCATTACATTTCATTTACTTAATTCATTAGGCTATTAATTCATTCACCCGTTAAATTATAGTGTAAATTCGAAATAGTCAGAAAAATCGTTTATACTCCAACTGTTCGATTTTTTAGTTGTATTAAATCGAATAAAGAATAAATATACAACTAAATATTTTATTTATTCTTAAAAAAATAAATTGTATCTGTGAGTACAATTTAAGTTGTATTTATGCTATGAAAAGGGTGTTCAATTATATAGAGGAGAATTTAAACAATACTTTGAGCAGTGAATAATTCTGTCTATATTTAATTATATTGTGTATTATATAATTATATGAATTATTTCATTATTTACCTTAAAAGAGGAGCTGGACGTGAAACCTTCGGTGAAACAAACCTCGCAATCTTTGTCAGAAGAATCTTCCGAAATAGAAGTTTCTGCCGAAGGATATTGGCGATGTTTTGGGCTGTGAAATAAGTTAAAGCAATTATAAGAGTTTAACATCGATCCATAAAGACGTTTTATTACGTTTATTCTTACACTTACAGTAATGATAATGGGAAGAACATTATCTATATCTGTAGGTAATTACATGTCTCTTATATAGTAATATAGGTAAAGATTATCAGGGAGCCTTAACTTTGAGTTGTTAAAATTTGTTAATGAATTATTTAATAAAAAAATTTACATGGTGTCTTTCACTTGTGTATAACTGATGTATCTTAATTATCTTATTACTTAAATTGTGCATTACATAAAAACCTATCTACTCTCCCTCACCCTGCATGTCATTCTATTTTTTTTTTTTTTTTTATAAGAGCCAGGTAACTTAGAAGTACCTATTTTATGTATATTACCTATATACTATATAGGATGTTTCAGGGTTAGGTGAGAAAACTGCATAAATGAACTAAGGACCTCAAAAGAAGAAAAAAATATCCTCTGAAGATATGTTCGCAAAAGCTTTGTTTAGGAGATATTCACGCTTAAAGATTTTCGTTGTTATGAATTAAATAAATGTTATATGAAATAAATAAAACCTATTTATTTGTTATAGTTATAACTACTTTATTAATTAAATGTAAACATTAACATACTTATTAAATGTAGTTCATTAAGTGAAGGTATGTCCGCTATGACATCTCTAGTGCCGTTCTGCCACTGCTGCTGTTGAAGGAAGATGCCGAGCCTATCTTAAAGGAAATAACTGTAAACAACATTTAACATGAATTTAATGTTTACGTTTAATTTAATAAAGTAGTTAGAACAAATAAATAAGTTTTATTTACTTAATATAACGTAACAAAATCATGACAATGAAAATTTTTAGATGTGAATATCTCCTAAACAATGTGTTTGCGGACATACCTTCAGAGAAAATTTTTTCTTCTTTTAAGGTATTTATTTCATATTTTCAGTTTGGCCACATAACTCTGAAACACCCTTTATACTAAAATACTATATAAATATACTACATTGAACCGGGCGCAAGTATAAAATTTTCTCTTACCTTTTACCTTATTATAAAATAATTAATTTAAGTAACTGAGATCGCCTAAGTAATTTTCTTAACACTAATGTTACATAACATTTTTAACCACCTAACTCAATATGGAAGGACCGTAGATATACTCAAAATGTAAAGATAGGAGAAAATCACAAGAAACTATTTGGACACGTCCGAATTTGCCTCTCCTTTATCTCAACTTTATAGTGTTATTTTATATGTAATCTAGTCGTCTAGAGATGAGCGATGTAAAATAATTCGAAATTAATAAATTAAATAATAGGTTGCTTATAACTATTATCTTTTATACACTACTAAATTCTTGCCTATCGTTATCTTAAGAAATGATGAAGTATTTATATATTAATCAACATTTAAATGATAATGTATTTTTATATTAATCCGGCACTTTATATTGTCAGGTTCAGCTTTTTCTTTTCTCAATAGAAACACGAAGCTTTTTAATGAAAAATTGAATATATTTTTCTTTGTTTTCTTTATTGTTTTCTTAAAGTTCTATTTTGTTATTCTCATGGGACTTGGTTCCAGAATAAAATTATTTTCTATCTATCTAGCTATCTAGTATTATTATTGAACTTACTCATCCTCTTCTTGAGGCCACTTGCAAATGATTTCTTTTCCATCGCTGATCCAAGAAAAGGCGACTAAGGATTCCCGAACGAAGCCACGAATCATGCCGATCATAGGTTTTTCTATATATTTAATTGATACAGTGTAGTAGAGGTTTTGAAGTATACACTGAAAAATAATGATGAAACAATTTATTTTTATTTTTTTAGCTTGGATTAAATGTTGTAAATTGATAATATACAATTTTAAGAAACCAGTATAAGATTATCTTTGATCAAATGTTCTCTGAATTTTTAGTTAATATGAAAAATTGGCAAATGCTAACTATCTTACCTCAAGATTTTCCTCAGAGTGTTGTCCAATTGAGTGTTAGTCCTGTTCTAGAGTTGTTATTGGAGACTCGACAGTCTGTAGGGTCTCGTTACTTGGACAAAGTTATTAAATTTTGTTTTTGCGAAATTTATTCCAGTGAACATTCCATTTCGTCAAAAAAGAATAATTTTCTGAAACTCGATGAAAAGCTACTCCTTTCAGTCAATTTTATTGCCGAAACCCTTCTTTTTATCTATAACATTGGCGAGGTATCGATTGAGCTTCGACTAAGAGAAGAAGTTAATGGGACATTTTCAGTTTAGAATAACGTTCTTGTTTTCATTTTCAATGGACTTCATTTTCTTTAAGTTCCATAAAAATATTCCTTTTTGACGGAACCTCCAAGATGAGTGAGAAGAACGGCTATACATGCTATCCTTAGCTTATTCTTTATAGTGAGCTCCAGTTTTATAAATTTAGTAATCGATTTTGTAGAATCAGTCTTCTTGGAACGTGGTGTATAGGTAAAAATCGTCAACGTATGTTGCTATTAATGAGTTCGTCGGCATAAGATGCCTGCATATATAATTTATAGTAAAGGAGCCATTATTGATCCTAGCGGAATTATTGCTAATAAAGTCGACAAGTCGAAATAAAAATTAAAGCCAACAATTTCCCAAACCTCAATAATTTATATTTAAATATTTTTGATCTAGGTATCTAACCTAACTATCTCAAGAAGTATTCTGTACTTTTGATTGATTTACCTTCGTTCTTTATTCATTCATTATAAAAATTATTATTATTTTTGAATTAGTGGACGCTATAGTGTGTTTAAAGTTCTGGGAGAATCGTTACATGATATAATAGGAAATGTTATAATAGAAGACCCTTTATAATAAACATGTTATTATAAAGAAAAATCTCATTTTTGAGAATGGCAGAAGTGAGATAGTTGGTCCGGTCATACCCAGGAGTCAAGAAAGAGGCACAATTGTGAGTATATTTTAGAATAATGTCCGTTTTACATAAAAAGGTTAAAAATAGTCTTAACTTGGAATAGTCTTAAAACTACAATACCCTTAAAAAAAATTACAAAAATTAATAATTAATGAACCTCTGCATATGGTAAAATGGTGACGGTGATCTCTGTCTCAGAGACCGGTGGGAGAGGACCTTGCTTCGGCCGGACAGAGATCTTGAAGTTGCTGAGGTCTTCGCCGAAGAAGCAGCCCCAGGTGAAGGAGGCCAACAGCTGCCTGTGGTTGACGATTTTGATCGGGAAGGACACCTGGCCCCCGACGAAGAGCGGTTCATGGATATCCAGAATGATTGGGTTCAAGGTTATATCCTGTTCTTGAACATCACTGAGGATGGTCGTGTAGGCTTGGATGTTGCAGAACCTCCATTCAAAGAGGTCTATGGTTATCTGTTCCTTCTAGAACAATAGGACATTCAATATAAGAAGGAGCCACAATAAAATTAAATGTTCAAATAGGTGTAATTAGGAATTCTGATATTCCTAATAGATTTCGATATTGGTCTTCCGTATCGATATAGTATAATATAATTTTTGTGTTGCTTAACAAATATATTGTCAGTTTATTGCAAAAATTCGTTACTTAACTTAATCATTAATTAGTCATTAATCAAAAATATACTTAGAGACTTTTTGTCACTTTCGATAATATGAGCTGAACTCCATTTTATAATACATATAGCGATATTTAAGATTTTTTGTTTGAGTGGTTTAAAAAGTATTAGAAGGTATATGTTAATAGGTTCATTTTATGTTTTTAAAAATTAATTGATTTATATTTAAAATATGACAAAAAAAGAAAATATCAAAATGTGATATTGGAATTTTCTTTCATTATTATCATATCGGATCCTTTGTTTCGATATCTAAAGGAAAATAACGATGAAACAATCGATGAAAATTCAAATTTTCATATTTACTGAAATTGGTTCGCGGAACCAAATGACTGGATATTTAAAAAAGATCGAAATAAATATTTTTTAATCATTTTTTTAGTGTTTACCTTTTTTCCTACGTAATTGTCTCATTGCTTTTTCCTATAGGTCGATTCAATAACATAATCACTCTTAGTTTGCTGATTATTCTTTATTAACGTACGTTTCGAGGGATCTCTGTTCCCATCTTCGACACATAGAATTGGATATATGCTCGTTATCAATAAGGTTAGTTAAAACTCAATTAATTAAAGATGTGTTGAGGAGGGTGTAAATGACCTATTTAAGGGTTAATTGTAAATAGCCTCTGTTTGGCGGGAATTGTAAATAGCCTTCCGCTTTGTCGGGAGACTAGGTATTTACACTCATGAATTTAATTTTCTTAAAACAAAACCCCCGCACTGGATATAGACTTTTTGAGGTTGTTTAACTGTCGTTGGGAATTAGGGAACCTAATGCTTTTGTAACATTGAGTGACAAGAAATAATAACAATATATGAATACATATGTATAAATATGAAATGTTGGGCTGAGTAAATACTCTTTGAATGAATTGACTCATCTGGTTTGTTATCCTTCAATTGTGAGGCACAATATAGGACTATTAAATAACTAAATAAAAGGACTATTCACTCCTGTCTAACAAAATAATTTATTTCCACAACTGTAATAAATTGACTCAATTGAAATGTTATAACTATAGAATTGATATTCTTAATCTTCAGTGTAGTAGACTTCTCTTCTCAGGTAACGTCGTTCCGCCTTCATGCCCTTCCTTGCCTTCTTTATTATCCGGCGTCCTTCTTCAGCTGCTGCTACCTGCTCGGTCCTTTTTCTATTTGTTACTTCTTTCTTCTTCTTCGATTGTTTACGGATATGAGACTTTTCAATGAACAATTTGTCCACTGCACAATTGAGTACAATTCATAGTGCAACCTCATATTCGTATATATTCCTTCTCATTCTCTCACACAATGTCACATAAAGGAGTAAATACTGGAGGATGCTAATACAAGGGAGGAGGAGCGTGAATTCCCCGAAACGTACATTAATAAAGAATAATCAATAAACTGACTGTAATTTCTTTATTTAATCGACTTATTGGCAAAAATTGGTGAGAAGATAATTTTAGTTAAGTTTTTTAAAAGCTATTTTCCTTCTAGAAACATCGAGGTACTAATAAAACAAAAAAATAAAAATGGCCGAGCAGTCAACAAATAAATTCATTCCAATATTTAAAAAAAAAGTTCTTCTAGGCTATGCGTTTGAATATTTGTGTGTCAGCTTGATATTATGAGATAACTTACTTTAGTCCTGGCCTTGATGATCACTTCCGATGGTTTATTCGGTATGAGTGAATTCGGACATTGGAGCACCCATTTCGAGGTCCTCAACCAAGTAAAGTATGGTTTCCCAGTTTGTTTGTTGTAGCGCATCGAGAAATGCCTCAAGTCCAAATCAACCTATGTAAGAAATCAGTATAACTAGCGTGACACTTAAAACTGAACTATTTCCTTGGCGACTAGGCTAGTAGGCAACTAACCTCGAGGTTAGTCTGGAAAGTGGCGTGGACTGTTCCAGTTTTCGGCTCAGCTTTCCTCAAGATTCCAAAATCTTTGATCTCGCTCATGCCTGAAGTGAGTGTGACAGCGGTCTCACATTCCACCCTCACATCGTACTTGCACAAACTCTGGATGAAAAAAGCGCTGAAAAATAGCCAAGTATTGGATTTAGAAATATCACAACCATTTTTTACTATCACTAACGTATATATCTATATCTACATTCTTACCTATTATAGGCGCAGACTTTCCATTTTGGATTGGGGAGGGAGGGCTTTCATTAAGTTCAGCTGTGCCTTATTGACTGATTATTAAAATGGTGGAATATTTTCCAATAGGTCAAGCTAATCAATAATTAATTAAATAGCTACATTAACAGTCTTGGTACAGTATGAAGCTATAACCATTGGCTTAGATAGACTGTCTTGATAATGTCACATTGTATATAAGAATAAACGAGTTTCCCTACAGTCGCTTATACGTCGAACTATAAGCGACTATAGGGAAACTATGTGATGAGCAACGATTGCTATGTGATATGGAACCATAGCTATGTGATGTGGAACGATAACTATGTGGTGTGGAACGATAGCTATGTGATGTGGAACGATAGCTATGTGATGTGGAACGATAGCTATGTGGTGTGGAACGATAGCTATGTGATGTGGAACGATAGCTATGTGATGTGGAACGATAGCTATGTGATGTGGAACGATAGCTATGTGGTGTGGAACGATAACTATGTGGTGTGGAACGATAGCTATGTGATGTGGAACGATAGCTATGTGATGTGGAACGATAGATATGTGATGTGGAACGATAGCAATGTAATGTTGAACGGTTGCTGTGTGATTTGCAACGATAGCTATGTGATGTGGGAGTTTTCATTGGGGTATATCAGAATTTTGATTATATAAAGAAAATGGCAATATTGCTTTTTGGGAGGAGGAAAAATTCTAGGTTTCAAGGGACTTTCTATTAATATCTTCTAAACTTTGTTGAAATAATAATTAGTTTAATATCGAACTTTAAAGTCTATCTTAAACTAGGTTTTAATGCGGAAATGATCACGAGGTTCAGGATTACCAACCTCAGAGTTGCCATGAATGTTCCGACTAACTCAGTCTGCAGCATGACATACATGTAGGTCGATGAATATGGTGCCAAGTCGACCACTGGCGGCGATAAGAGCAAGTTCTTGAGGTAGGGTATTTGCCAGGCGATGGTGATAGATATGTTCTCATAATTCGTGATGTATATCTTCGTGAAGTTCCACCTTAAAATGTTTAGAAGTTGACGTGAAAATATTTTGCGACTACTGTCGTATTAATTTAGTGTAGTATTATTTTTATCATTAAACTAAATTAGAATTTTGTGATGTGATGATAACAATCATCTAGTGGTCGTGAAGACCAATCGTGTTAAAGCGGAAAACTTTAACATTACCGAGTCTAACCGGTTCGAATTCGGCTTAGGCGGGCTAAAATTTATTTCGTTGCGGACCCATGGAATCAATGTCGACCTTCCCACTCAGGTTAGAATAAGTTTGGTTGTATTTCTAAAACGGGGAACCTCTTCTCACATGCCAGAACTTTATTGATAACAAATATATCGTGAAAAATATAAGAAATCTTTATCACTTTATGTGATACGTTAATAAGAAATATGTGGATCTAAGGGAACGTTTGGTCACATTATTTATTTATTTTTACAAATGACCCTCAATGTTTGTTAGCATTTCCATTCTAAGAAATCTTAAACAATTTTAAATAAATATGTGTACAATCTATTTATAGTTGATATACAAATTATCACATGAACTTTTTCTCTTTAGGAATTTATCCGCACCTACCATGGTATTGACAATCAGGAGATGTGTTGTGATAAAATAAGAATTGACATTATAGGCATGAGGAAGGATAGTACTTAGCAGCACCTCTTCCTGGTCATTATTTACTTATTTGATTTAGGTGAGGAGATCTCTCATCCAGCTCCTTTTTAGTATCCTGCTGATGGGCATGTCAGTCGTGGTCATGTCGTTTCTAAGTCTGTTTGTGTGTCCCTGTAGTTTGACATGAGAGTAGTTTGTGTTGGTCTATAGTTGGTCGTCGTGAGTCATTGTGTTATCTTTTGTTTTTGGCGTACCAGGAAGCTCCTGTTATAAGTCATAAAATTTTGGATTAAAATTACTGTGGTTTTGTAAGTGCGTCTTTTTTGCCGAACCGTAAATATGATAGGCGCATGTCCAGATGGGTTTAAGTAGGTAAGTGTATGTATTTAGGTTATATCGAACTTTCAATTTCGATTTAGAAAAAAGTGAGTACAGTATTTTCAGTCACTTGTTTAAAGTATGTCGTTTCATTTTGAGGTGTGGGCCCCAGGTCATCCTTTTGTCGAATATTAGTCCGAGGTAAAGTACTGTGTCCGAGGAATTTGATTCTTTCCTATATAAACTGGTGGGCACGTTTTTCGTCGAAGTGTAAATATTATATGTGACTTGTTATGTTGTTTTCCAAAGTGAGTACCAATTAAGGTTTCAAAGTCAGTAAGTGATTTTGTAAATTCATTGAGGCTAGTCTGGGGTTATGGTGTTTTATTAAAATTGTTGTATCATCAGCGTAGGTGACGGTCAATGTTTCGGAGCACAGGTATGTCATGCGTATATATAATGTAGAGTAAAGGAGCCAATATTGATCCTTGAGGTACTCCTGCTAACACTGGTCGAATTGAGAAAATTTCTAGATCTTGTCAGACAGAAAAAAAACTGTCGAAAAGGAAAGATTGGAGAATGAGATGATATTTATGAGTTAGTAGAGTTTTGAGTTTAAAGAGAAGTCTCTGGTGCCAGACTTTATCGAATGCCTTCACAACATCCAGAAACACACCGGTTGCGTATTGTTTTTGTTCTATTGCTCGAGCAATGTAGTCAGTGACTCTGTGTAATTGTTGTGTTCTTGAATGGAATGTACAAAAACCGAACTGATGGTCAGGAATTATGTTTAGCTCCGTCAGTATGTCAACCATTCTTTTGTATATTAACTTCTTCCTCCGGTACTAATTCATATTCTCTTTTACATTTCCTCTACATTAACAAAACGTGCCTTGGGTCATCTGGCTCTTTACAGACTTCACACTTTTCGCCTATTTTTAATTCCAGTTCGAGCAAGATAATTATCTATGCATCCGTGATTAGTCCGCAACTTATCAGCCTGTACTATACTTTGCAGCTTAAGTTGTAGATTCAGAGCAAACCATGGAACAAGGCTCACGGTTGGTCGTACCCTGGTAGTAGTGTCTCACTTTTTGGTTTTTAAGATTCCAAAAAGTTCAGCACTGAAAATGCTTGTGTGTTCGAACGAAACGAAATTGTGTGTTCTTTAGCTGGATTAAGTCTATTACTTTTTGGTTGTAGGATTTCTAGACATTTGTGTATATCTTGTTGTAGTCGGAATAATAAACATCTATTTTATTGGGAGCTAATTGTTTTAACATATTTAACGTCGTATGACGATTTGCACCTCAAGCTTGAGCTTGCTTTCAAATTGTAGCATTCTGATGGGCAACGGTTTATTTATGTCCAGGGGAGCTGTTGATATACACTGACAGGCAAAAAATTCCACCCACTTGATTTTTCCATGTTTTCATCTAAAAATATTTCTGTAAAGTTGCATTTGTATATAATACATGGTATTTGTAGATAATACTTAGTATTTATGGAATTTTATAATATTTTTTACCTTTAAAAATCAAAATGTGATTGGGTAAGAAAGATTAGAGAAAAAAAGTTGAAAAATGAACCGTTATTATTCTAAAAGAAATTAATTACATCATCGTTTAGTAGCGCGTTTTTTCTCCTCTTGCCTTCGCTACTTCTTGAAGACTTTCCACCCGTCGGGAAATATCCCTTTGCCGGAGGATAGCCCATTCCTCCCGAAGAGCCCTTTCAAGGTCCTGCAGTGTTTCACGCGCTCTTATTCGTCTTCCGAGGTTATCCCATAAATGCTCAATGGAGTTCAAATCTGGAGAACGTGCTGGCGAGGCTAAAACCTCAATATTGTTCTGTTGAAGGAACGTCTGCACTATGCGGGCGACATGTGGGCGTGCATTAGAATAGAACGATCGCCGAGTTCGTTGAGGATAGGCAACACATGAGGTTCCAAAATCTCATCTACATAGCGAATGGCCGTCAAAGACCCTCCACGAACAACAACCATTTCTGTGCGGCGCTCCATTGAAATCCCAGCCCACACCATTAAGGAACCACGTTGGAAAGGTTGGCTTTGGGGAAAATTACAGGCTGCATATCTTTCGTTTCTTCTTCTCCACACCATTTCACGCCCGTCTGGAAATCGAAGAGCGAATCTTGACTCATCTGTAAAAAATACAGCACTCCATTCGTCCATAGTCCAATGGCTGTGTTCTCGAGCAAAAGCCAACCGTGTTAATCTGTGAGTTCTGGTCAACTCTGGTCCTCTTACTGGACGAATAGCCATTAATCAATACTCATTTAATCTTCTCCTCTGTTCAGAAATTTGCACACCTTGAACTTCTTCGAGCTGATGAATCGCTTGAACAATGGTAAGGTGCCGGTTTCGTAAAATTCTCAAAGCCAAAAACCAGTCCTCCCGTGGTTCTGTTACCCTAGGCCGTCCAGAACCGGGCCTTCTATTGTAAGAACCAGTTTCCCGAAAACGCCTGACGGCATCTCGTAAAGTTTCATATGGAACTCCGATGGCATTAGCTGCACATCTAATGGAACGTTCATCATCAATAAGTGCCACACCATGCGCAACATCCTCAGCACTAAGAGGCATTTTTAAACTTAATATTGAAAAAATTAAAAGCCGGAGACTAAGAAATGTGCTGCAAGAAACTAATGATACTGAATAAACATTTTTATTCCATAGAAAGTAAACATTGGAATCTAGAATCATTTCATTGAATTAAGGATTAAGGGTTATTGTCCTCTATATTAACATTCCTGATTGAAAACAAACAAAAAGATTACCTATTTATTCATTAAAAACAATAGACCAATCCAAATAGACCATTGAAATATTTTTAGATGAAAACATGAAAAAATCAAGTGGGTGGAATTTTTTGCCTGTCAGTATATAAACTGTTTGTAACATAGATTGCATTTCAGTTATTAACTTGTTTATAACTGAAGAATATATGTTTCTCGAACATGTTGATTTTCTTAATGTTGTGCTATTTATCTGATATTATCTTTAGAATATATTTCTTCGCACGTTCTTGTTAAGGTTAGTGGCATCTCTCCTGCTTCAGCTAACAGTGCATTTGTTGGTGTGCTTTTGAAAGCCTCCAAGCAATTTCTGATTACTAAATTTTGGACAGTATTTAAGATGTTAATCATAGGCAATTCCGTTTCATTATAAATATAGCATTAGTATAAAACAGAACGAATAATAGATTTATATAATATCATGTTTAGAGGATAAGAACTCCAATAAACCCCGGCCAAAATTTCTAATATATTAACGTTCTTATAACCTTGGTTTACTATATTATTTAAATGTGTTTTAAGATTCATTTTCCTATCTAATATTAAACCCAGGAACTTTAATTTTTCTTGAGCAAGAAGTTGGTGGGAAATTGTTTATTGGGATATTAAAGTCAGTTATTTGGAATTTGATTTCTAAAGATTGCCATAACTACTGATAATTGAAACTAAATTCATATTTACACAGTGGGTATGTTGCGAAAATAAAGATAATTCGGCCAGATGCAGACGTTGGGTGGTTCGATTTCGACCCAGACTTCGATTTTCCCCAGGCATATTTTTACCATCTGAAATTATTATAATACTATTAGTTATAAATTAATGAGCAACATATATTTCCTTTATTATTATTATGAAATATACCAGGGCTTGAAACGGAAAAACTTATTTTTAAAAAGTTTCGGTATCAGAGCAATTTTTCTTGTCGATAGTTTTTCAGTTATTTTGGAACTAGTACTTTTTCCCTAGCAACTTTTAAAGTAAAAATTTTACAGAACTTATATTTAAAAAAAAACTTTTATTTAAAAGTTCTATTGATTTATAATTAAATATATATTTTTAGTTCAAGTTTAAATATATATATTTAATTATAAATCAACAAAAATTTTAAATAAAAGTGTTTTTTTTTTTAAGGAAATCAGAAGCTGTTCTACAGATGCCTAAGAAATATGAGGAAGGTATGATTTTAACAAATACCAATAAAATAATGAATAGATGGGCGGAATACTTTGAGAGGGTATTGAATGCCGATACACTTAATTTGTCAATGCCGGAACAAAATATCAATGAAGATGTCACTGAGAACAACGAGGGCGAGGAAGATTTCATAGGAGAAGAGGAAATAGCAGATATAATTAATTGACAGCCTGAAAATGGGCAAATCGCCAGGAATAGACGGTATAACCCCGAAAGGCTGAACTATATGGGAGCAAAAGGGCAGGAAATGTTTCAGCATCTACTGAATTTGGTATGGAAAAGGAAAAAAGTACCCAAGGACTGGGAAATTTCAGTCATAGTACCAATTCATAAAAAAGGAGACTACCGGGAATGCCGAAACCATAGAGGCATTTCACTACTTAGTGTACCATGCAAGATATACTCAAAGATTCTGGAGAAGAGACTAAGAGGATTCATTGAGGCAGACCTAGAAGAAGAACAATACGGCTTCAGATCACACAGAAGTACCCAAGACTTAATATTCGTAATGAGGCAGCTCTCGGAAAAGCTCGTGGAAAAGAATAAAGAGGTATGTACCTGCTTCGTGGACCTAACCCAAGCATTCGATAAGGTCAGGAAAACGGACATAGACAGAGCACTGAATGAGCATGAAGTCGAACCAGGCCTAGCGAGGGCCATTCTTAGCCTACATAAAAAGAAAATAAGCGTGGTCAGGACCAATGATCACACCTCTAGGGAGTTTCAGAGCACCCAAGGAATAAGGCAGGGCTGTAGTCTAAGCCCTTTATTGTTTATAATAGTGCTCAACATGGCACTGAAGAGAGCTAAGGAAAGAATGAGACCTTTTAGGTTGGGCCACAGAGAGCTACGACCAGTTCATCTCACCCTTCTGGCATATGCCGTCGATATTGTTGTATTTGGAAACAACGGAAAAAAGCTCCAATACAACCTCCGAATCCTGCAGGGAGAATTAGAATTGTTCTACCTGGAAATAACAGCCACAAGACAAAAATTATGAGTATAGGAAGAGGAGAAGAGAGGGGAGATCGAGTACTTCGATTGAATGGGGAGGAACTGGAGCACGTCAAAGATTTTAAGTATCTGGGAGCCCATCTAAATGAGAACGGTTAGATAGATGGTGAAATCAGAGAAAGAATAAAACTGGCCAGCAAATGCTTCCATTCACTAAAACAGGCTTCTTAGCAAAGAGAGAAGTGTCAAAAAATGTCAAGAAGACGGTGTATAGAAATACATTTGTCCCTCTAACTCCTTGGACTCTAACCTCAAAACATAAAAGCAATATCCAAGCATTGGAAATGCGATTTCTGAGTAGAATAGAGGGGAAAACTAGGAGGGATAAAATTATGAATACAACGATAAGAAGCAATTTGGGAATTGAGGAAAACAGGCTACGCTGGTTTGGCCATGTCAAAAGAATGTAGGAGGGAAGAATGGCCAAAACTATATATGAAGTAAAAGTGGAAGGAAGAATGCCGAGAGGAAGGCCCAGGAAGATTCAGTCAGGGAGGATTTCGATAGGAGAGGAATGAACTGGAATAGACTCAGTCAGCTGGTGCGGGAACGAGATAAATGGATCAGGCTCTATAAACAGGATCCTCTACACTGATCTAGCGGAAGAAGAGGAATTGATTAAGAAGAAGAAGATATATATATATATATATATATATTTAATTATATATATATATTTAATACACATTGACTACGGCTGTGTAGTGTACGGTGGCCTCTCATCGGAACTTGGAGTCAGACTGAAAAGAATAATGAATGGCTTAGTACGATTTGTCAATGGGACCCCGAGACGTTCTCATGTTTCCCACTACTACGCCGAGTCAGGGTGGCTCTTCCCCTCCTTCAGAAGACAGTACTTCCTAGGTACATTCCTTTACCAAATAATCTATAATCATCGTCCTTCCTACGCATTCAATCTCCTTCAATTCAAGTCATCTATCCACTCCCTCTCCACAAGATCTCGTCCTTCCGACCTTTATACCCCTTTCCACAAATCGGCCTCATTTCAACACTCCTTTATTGTCAGATCCACCACATTTTGGAATTCCATCCCACTTAAAATCCGCCATGCACCATCCTTATCCACATTTAAAACCCTCCTTTTCCAATTCCTCCTTACAATTCAATCAGACGCTGGGTAGCCTATATTGTATTATTATACTATTGTTGCATTGTATGTATGTATATGTGTATGTATGTATATGTATATATATATTAATATATGTATATTGTATATATACTATTGTACTATTATTGTATTCTCACTATTATTGTATTATTGGGTGTATATATTGTGTATGTACGATTACACTATTATTGTATTTCGATTATACTATTATGTTCTACGAACATACTACTATTACTATAACATCTTTATTATTATCTGTCGCTCATTTATAATTTCATAGCGTATTGTGTATAGCAACTATTTTGCAGTATTAGGACATTATTTCTCATATTATGGCTTCCGATATCTGTACAGTTATGTAAACACTTCTTTTATCCCTTATTTTTTAGTTGTTTTTTTTGTTTGTTTGTTTGTTTTTGTTTATTGTAATATACATTTTGGCCAGATGTAATGTTTAATTTTATGTACAATATTGTTATTCTCAAGGGACGTAGTCCCAGAATAAAGTTGATTCTTCTATCTATCTATCTATCTATCTATATATATATATATATACATTTATAATTAAAAAATGACTTATAATAGATACTCAAACAAACGACACATCACTGTCATGTGTAATTCATTTAAGACAAATTATAACTCTAATCTAAACCAAATTACTGTCTATTTTTATTTAACGAAATGTTTTTGAGAGACCGAATAAAAGTTAACCTTTTACTATAAACTTGCAACATTATTACAAAAAACATTAACATTTTTATTTAAAGAACTTTTTAAAAAGTAATTTCGTAGAAACTGTTAAAATGGAACTTCTTTCCTAAAAATACCAACACAAACTCATAAAATAGAGATTTTTAAAAAACTCCTGATGTACATGGTGTTTCAGGATTAAGTGGCCTGAAAAAAATTGTCTATGAAGGTATGTCCGCAAACACATTGTTTAGCAGATATTCACACCTAATGATTTCCATTGTTATGAATTATTTACGTTATATTAAGTAAATAAGACTTATTTATTTTTGTTCCGACTACTTTATTAATTAAACTTAAACATTACATTCATATTAAATGTTGTTCAAAGTGATTTCCTTGAGCATTAATTAAGACAGGCTCGTCATCTTTCTTCAACGGCAACAGTGGCAGAAGAACGGCACTGGATATGTGTTATTGTTTCACAAGATTCAATTATCCTTCTTCTTAAGGAATTAAGGTCATTGACCGGACTTGCATAGACTTTTTGTTTAATGTCACCCCAAACAAATTATCCAGTGGTGTCAGGTCTGGAGAGCGTGCAAGCCAAGCCACTGGTCCTGCACGGCCAATCCTTTGATTGGGATAATAAAATTAACATTTAGCAATTGTTGGGGACCTCTTCTGTAATGTGCAGGACAACGATTTAATTGAAGCCACAAGTCCTTTCTCAGTTGTAGTGGAATATGTTCAATTAAATCATAGTAATCTTTATTAAGAAATGTGCCTGCTTGAGTCGAGGCAGCAAGAAATGCACACCTATTAAAATATTGGACCTATTTAATATGAATGTTAATGTTTACATTTAATTATTAAAGTAGTTAGAACAAACAAATAGGTATTATTTATTTTATAAAACGTAAATAATTCATAACAACGAAAATCTTTAGGTGTGAATATCCCCTATGCAAGGCGTTTGCGGACATACCTTCAGAGGAAATATTTTTCCTGTTTTGAGGTCCTTAGTTCATTTTTGCAGTTTGGTCACTTAACCCTAAAACACCTGTTCTAATTTCAGAAACTACCATTCAAATTTGATTTTTTTTTTCGTCAAATGGCCCATTTATTCAGCTAAGCATTAACTTTTATAATACCGGGTTTCATATATAGAAACCCCTGCTTGAACATATAAGATATAGAAAACCTACTTTAGTACGTCCGTTTTGTTTAATTTTCACCTTTTTCATAAACAACAAATTTAAACGTAATTAGAAATAATCAGTTAAGCGGAGAAAAAAATGTGAATATGAATCGATTGAGAATAATATTTAGGAAAAAGTTATATAAATCCATCAGAATAAGAAATTGTATGTTTATAGGACTGATTTCTCAAATGAATTATTTTGCATACTTTCGTACCTTACAATCAAATGTACTCAATCAAATGAATCGATTTAGAATAATGTTTAGGAGAAAGGCAATAAATCCATAATAATTAGAAATTGCATCATTATAAGACTGAATTCTCAAATGAATTATTTTACATACTTTTATCCCACTACTATAAAAGCTACCCTTAAAGTTAATATAATATCATACCAACAAAGGAGTATTGACTGAACATAAATTATTCAAGAATGAAATTTATATTTTCATTAAATTTTTCTCGTTCGGTCTCACAGTTTAATCTTTTGATATGGCATTAATAATGCATCTGCAATGGGATAACCGTGTATTATTTGCTAACATAATATTTTACAATAAATATTGTTTTATCTAAATATCATAATTTTACTAAATACTAGCAATTTAAATTTGATAAGTACCAGCTCTGAGATGTCCTCTTTCTCCAAATCGCGGAGTCTTTTCAACATAGCTAATTTGGGAATGCACTCCAAGTAGATCCTAAAACGGCAAATAAAAAACTATAAAAGACTGCTCCAATCAAATTATTAAGAAAATATATTCATAATTGATCAATATGAAATTTCTACTATTAACTTATATTTGAAGTATAGAATTAAAGTTTCAAATTCCAAATCGCAATACAACATTGATTACTGACTAGAATTTTAAGGATGCTATTTCGAGATCTGAATTGGATGATGGGATGGCGGAGTCAAATATTGGAATTAGAATTAGGAATTAATGATACATTACATAGGGAGTGGGGTAGCTCGATGGGAGGGTACTGAGCTTCCAATGCTACAGACTCCAGGTTCGAATCCCGGCTCGTGCCAGAAAAATTATTTATTCTGTTTCATTGGCCGTTGGGCGACCCTGGGTAGGAGGACCCTCCTGGGGCACAACCAGCCTCTATAAAGTGGGTATCCTTAATTAAAATAATTAATTAAGGGAAAAAACGTGGCGGTTGAGCGTGGTATCGGTCAAACCACATTGTACAATCGTAGACCAAGAAACAGTGCTTTCCCTAAATAAACCAAAATTTCACCCTTTGCTGGTAAACAATGAATAGCAATGATGTGTCTAATCCCTAATGTCTCTCATTTAATAAATAATATTACTATAAATATAAACAAAGCATGAATTAATATCAAAACCAAAAAAATCTGGATAATTGTAGGTGTTGCAATACTTTTGACGGGGAGTGTATTAGAATGTACATATTGATGGATATATATTGTAATACTCACGAGAATACGGCTGCATACTTGCCAACAGGGAGATTATGAGAGTAGAAGGTGACTGTAAACATCATCTTGACTTGGGGGCACAGAGAGCCGGTGGCTGGTGTAATGGTGCAGTTGCTTGGCTGCATATAGTTGACGCCTGGTATATCTGCCCTGCTCACCGTCCAGCCAAATTTCGTCTCTACAACGCTGTTTATATATATGTTTATAATTATGTTAATATATATATATAGATATATATATATTAACATAATTATTCAATTTGAGAATTAGGTAACTTAATTATCATACAACTACAAAATGTTCAATAATCCTGTTGTTTATGCGACGTTTCGATCCCGTTTTTTTTATACTAACAATGGAATCCTCTTGAATGTTTTAAAATAGAGCCTCGATACCGCAAGCCAGGGACACACCGACAGCCTCAGCACTGTCCACTAGCACAGATATTAATTAGCATTGGCTCTATTTTAAAACATTTTGTAGTTTATCAAATAATAATTAAGTGACCTAATTCACAAATAGAATAATTATGTTAACCCATATAATAACTTCTATATATAAAATATGAATCCTAAAAAAATAGCTAACAGCAGATAACATATCAAAAATATATGAACTACTCCAAAAAGCCAAAACATTATTACATAAGCTAAAATAAATGATCTCAGGATCTAAATCTGTGTAAAATTCAAAATGGCAGATTTTTATAAAATCCTAATTTGTCATTTATGTTGTTTTTATATAATCTATGCCTTATACGAGCTGTTACTATTTAGTAACCAGATTTATGATGTAAAACATAATAATAATAAAAGGCTTAGCGAACCCGAAGGTACGATGCCGACACCATCAATCGCTTATCACACACCTCCCTTCACCGTTCGCCGTCCAGACCCAGTCCCTTCAGATCGGCTTTAATGCAATCTTCCCACCTTCGCTTCGGTCTACCCCTCGGACGCTTACCATTCGGCACAGCAAACATTAACCTTTTAGGAATTCTCTCGTTACTAAGCCCAACAACTTTACAAGCCCATTTGATTCGCCGCGATGAAATTACCACAATTATATTACTCGTATACAGCTCACGCAATTCGGCGTTGTGTAACCGTCTGAACTCTCCCGTAAACTCTTCCTTCTTCGATCCGAATATTCTACGCAATACTTTATTTTCAAAAACCTTAAGACGCTGCTCATCCCTTAATGTAAGCGGCCAAGTCTCGCATCCATAAATAACTGTAGGCAAGATAATTGTTTTTTAGATTATAATTTTTAAGTTCCGGGACAAGAGGCGCGAACTAAGTAGTTTTGTCACAGAAAAATAACAAGCATAACAGTCTAACCTTAATCTCTTCTTCAATTTCGTTTTTTCTGGTTATCGTAGAACCTAGATACCTAAATTTCTCTACCTGTTCAAACATATTACCATCTATATCGATATCACCAGTAGTATCGCCATTTTTGCAGCTAACCATATATTTTGTTTTATCCGCGTTTATTTCGAGTCCTAGTTCTTTACCGGCTTTCATTAACGCTGTCGTATTTAGTTTTATAGTTTCAACGTCTTCGCTTAACAGCATAGCCCAGCACGGATGTTGTCCCGCCCAGATCCAACCCTTTCTCGGTTCGCATTACCTCCCTAATGGCATGTTCTAATGCCAAATTGAACAGGACAGGCGAAAGAGAATCCCTCTGTTTTAAACCTGAACGAACCTCAAACTTTTCGGACAAATTATTACCGATTCTAACTTTATTGAGTGTCTCCGTCAAGCACATCCTGACTAGATTTACTAGTTTTTTTTGCAATCCCCTGCTCGATTAGAATATTATAGAGTTTCTGGTGGTTAAGAGAATCGTAAGCCTTTTTAAAATCTATATATAGTTGGTGAACAATACCGTTATACTCCAATTTTTTCTCTAATATTTGCCGTAAAGAAAATATTTGATCAATAGTCGAACGATTCCGTCTAAATCCATATTGGTAGTCTCCGATAATTTCCTCGGCGTATTCCGTGATTCGACAGGTTAAGATTAAAGTGAATATTTTATAACATACCGGAAGGAGTGAAATTCCTCGATAGTTCGCGTAAGCAGCAGTTAATGTTTCAGAGGTGGAAGGTCATGTCATGCATGTAGACAATGTAGAGTAAAGGTGCCAATTTAATATTGAAAAGCACAGCAAAGGCTACCCAAGAACTTGGTCTTGATTTGGTGAATATTTAGAAAATTTCTAAATAAGTAATTGTTTTTGAGTTCCTTTACATTTCTTTGAGTGTTTTTTCGAGATGTGTATGCTATTCCAGAAATTCGAAAAAGCTAAGCAAATAAATAAATTCATTGATTTAGATATAAGTAATTTTTTAACCAATAAAAGGATCAGGAACCAATAATGGCCCTACTTGGCAGACGGTTTTTAATTACACTTTTTTAAATATTTTAATGATTATTTCGAAACACTGTCGAGTGAAACAGAAAATTGAATAGAAATATTTATTCCCCAATTTTTACAGCTAAATAAAAAAATCTATATTGACTTCTGCAAATTAGTTTCTGAATTCTCCAATATTCATTGTATTGATTTTTTTCCTTTTGTAAGTTTTTAACTCGGCGTTACGTCAAAATACAATTTTTATTATAGCTCGCTATAAAGAGGATGAAAAGCTAAATATTTCAGTTTGCAGGTCCGATTTTTCGTACCTGAAATATATTTTAATCCAAATGCAAAAATGAGCCGACTTTACCCGAACGAACGTTACATAATCGAGTTAGTCTCATTCAATACCCACAAAATAAAGCGATAAACGCGTCTAAAGAAGTTTTCACTTCAAAAATAAGTGAAAGTAAAAATTAGTAAAATAATTTAACAAATATTTTTAATAAAATCTTCGACATTTCTGTGAAGGCTTATTAATATGATTTAAAATTTTTAAATGTCATCTAAGGATTTAAAAATTTTAAAAATAAAAAGGAGACACTCACCTTTTATTGGCAATATCGAACGTCTTCTGGGTACCACTGTAGGACAAGACCCTTCCTAAGTACAGGAAATAAGTAGCTGAATTATCTCCCTCAATTAAGATATTGTAATCTTTTTCCAAACCCTGTTGGAAGATATTGATTTATTAAAAAATGGGACTGAGAAAGATATCGCTGTGTTGTATTTTATAGTTTTAATTTCGTGTTTAAATATTAGTAAAGATTTGGAATTTTTATTCTCAGATTTAATACATCTTACAAGGTTGTCAATTCAGAATATACAAGGTATCCCTAATCCATATGATGTAGATATCATACAAATATATACAAAAAATAATTAGAAAATTAGAAAATTGTGAAAATATATATATATATATATATATATATATATATATATATATATATATAAAGATACTAAGCCAAAAGAGAATTCCTCAAAGAAAAATTACAAACTATTGAGGATAACTGGCGGGCTGGAAAAGTATGCGATTTCTTCGCAGATATCAGGAAAGAAAGGGTAGGATATAAAGCGAGAAATACAAAAATGCGAGGCAAAGGTGGCAAATTGACAGCATCAAAAGAAAAGATCCTAAGCATCCGGAAGGAACACTTCCAGCAGCTGCTTAATCAAGGGCATCCCACAAACGAAGAAGACATGGACCACACTGAGGACATCGACCCACTTGAGGTTGAAAACCAAATACTCAGGTTGTGGAAATATTGGCAAGCTTAAAAGAAGAAAGGCTCTCGGGATAGACAACCTACCATTAGAATTGTTCAAGAATGGGGAAGAAGACCTCGGAACCAAGAAGTTAGATCTAATCCAGAAGATATGGGAGAAGGAACGGATATCAGAAGCATGGAACACAGGGTTGATCTGTCCTATACTTAAGAAGGGCTCTATGTACGAATGTGGAAATTACAGAGGCATAGCACTTCTTCCGGTTGCCTATAAAATAATGACTAATATTGTACTAAATCGGATATATCCGTATAATAAAAATATAATAGGCGACCATCAAACAGGATTTAGGAGAGGAAGGAGTGTGCTTGATCAGATATTCATCCTAAAACAAGTACTCGAAAAACGATGGGAAGTAGGTCAGGACGTACACGCATTATTTGTCGACTTCAAAACAGGCTATGACTCCGTGGACAGAAACTGTCTCTGGAAGATCATAACTGAGCTGGGTGTTCCCGGGAAGTTAGTGAGTTTGACGAAGGCGTGTACAAATGATCCTAAATGCAGGGTACTAATACAAGAAGAAGTATCTGAAGCCTTTGAAGTTCGAACGGGATTGAGGCAGGGAGATGGACTCTCGCCGATGCTGTTCAACTTAGCACTAGAGAAAGTAATAAGAATAACATCACGCGAAGATGGTGGGTTGCACGTTGGAATGAAACATAAAATCCTAAAATGCAATTTAAAAAAAAACGATACAGTATGATAATGACCCTTTGAGGTGCAGAAGTGTCCAGAGGGGTTTACATGGTGCAAAATTTTGAGAAAAGCAGAGTTTTGCGGGGCATGAATTTTTAAAGGATGCACATGTTTAGGAGCTTATGGATTTTTCTGAGGTTTCAATTGAAGAGAACTTTCAAACAAAGCGAAACAATTAAACAACAATGTTAATAATTTTATTTCCATTTGCACCGTTTTAAAGAAGAAGAGAGTTATAAATTTTGTAGGTATGAAGGGAGAGGACGTGTACAATCATCCTCAGAGGTGGGTGGGCACCCTTGGTCAAAATCAATAAACCTTTTTATTTAGTTAATTGAACAACCTTCTCTTCACAACCACACAATCCATCATTATCTCCACATCACGCTATGTAGTTTTTTTTTTTTTTTTTTTTTGGGTCCTTCCCTTCCTCGCCGTTAAGGCTATACGGGATTTTCCCGGGCCAGGGAGTGTGGGCGGGGATTTAAAAGACTCCCCCGGCACCGGGACGCGAACTCGTGACTATTTTTATATCTTTGTATTCATATGTCAGGTTGCCAGGCAACGGCGGTGCAGTGCACACGCTTTAGCCCATTCGGCTACCCCGCCCACATCACGCTATGTAGTTGTGAGCTCTATTAATATTATGGTAGGAACATCATTAGGACTTACCTCTATGACGAATAGGTCCGGATCAAACATGACAGACTCCCCTATCACATCCAAACTCCTCATCGTGATGTTGTCGCAAAGAATGAAGAGCTGCGTTAAATGGCTCCCTTCCCATTGGGGTGAGAACACCACTCTCAACTTCCGCTTCCGCTTGTGGTTGAGGGAGAAATACATCGGCTGGATGTAGAACGGTTTCTGGATAAGAACGTTTTCCAACGTGGTATCCTAAAAATGAAGTTCGAAAAAATACTTTTCATTTAGGTGTCGATTTTCTTGTTTGCATTTTTGTTATTCTATTAATCGCAAGGAATATCCTCCATGAACAACGAGATAATATTAGATTTTCGAACTATTTACTTTGTTTTGAATTATTATTCTCTATAATAATAATCTGAGATCGAGCATGATACGTAGAAGTCGAAAACGTATTAAAAAAAAAAAAATGCCATCATATCCATGCAACGAAAAGGCGGTAACAATTACTTTTTTTAATGGGCGTCTGAACGCTTAAGGAAATGAGATATTAGATAAAGCTGGAAATTAAAACTCCCTGTTTCAAATAAATCTAAATATTCCATTATTGGACTTGATAAGAATAGCGAGGGGAGCATAATGAAAGATTATTAACAGTTACAAAAATGGAAATATGCCCCGAAAGTAACATCACGTAGTTTACCAAAAGAAAAGCCTAACTCAATGGTCTGCGATACTTAATTTCGTCCGTCCTACTTCTCCAGCATCTTAAAGCTTATCAGGCTTAAATCGTGGACCAACAAATAAATTTCTAGATGTAATGAGTCTAGCTGAGACCGATTGATGTCCGACTTGCCAAGGAGCTCGGAGGATGCAAGACACATTGCCTTCCGGTGTAAATGATTCCAGATAAAAACAAGAATAAGTTTATGCTCGCAGACTAAGTTAAACATAATGACGATAATTTTCTATAAAATTATTTTTTTTAAAATATTTTTTCCATTGATTTTTTCCATTAACGATATTACCTTTACATTTTTTTTTCTGTTGACATTACAGACCATGTAAATCTGGTGCCTCCTTAACAAGTCTGCTCCATCTCTGCCTGTCTTGGGCTATTTCTTTCCATTTGTCTGGACGCAGCCTATATCTATCTATCCATCTGTTTTTTGGCCTACCACGTGGTCTTGTCCTTTCTATTGAGGCATTCATTGTTACATAGAGGCTTCCAGATGGATTGCTACGAGCTAAATGTCCTAACAATCTTAACGTCTGTGCCTTCATGTCATGGGATATTGATTGACCAGTTTCTGTAAGCAGTCGTTTATTAGTCTTTCTTCTCTATGTGTCAGTACTCTGATCCCAGATCACTCCAGTTATTGTGCGGAGGATTTCCCTCGCAAATCTTTCAAAAAATTTTTCTAGAGTGCTTGTTAATGTCCAGGTCTCACAGCCATATATTACAACTGGCTTTATCATAGCACCGTACACCTTTAGTTTGATATTTCTTGAGATTTTTCGGGATTTCAATACCTTTCAGAGTGAGAAGAATGCTCTGTTTGCGCTATTTATACCCTGGTCTATTTCTGCCCGTTGGTCATTCATTGAGGTTATTGTGGAGCCGAGGTATTTAAATTTTCTTACTCTCGGAAATGATTTTCCTTCTACGCAGATCCTGTTATTGGGGTGAAATTTTGGACTTATTGTTATATATTTTCTTTGTATTCTTGATTACCTCCAAGACAGCTATATCATCTGCGTATCCAAGAATTTTAGGATTCATTCCGACGTGGACATCTCCATTTTCCTGTGATGTTGTTCTTCTTAAATTTTGTTGTGATTATCTTTATCTATCAAACAATAAATAAAGATAATGCTCAGCGATCAGGATAATTTCAAATGAAGTCCCTGCACAAACCAATGCCTCTAATTCTCATTTAAGATATATATAACAATTTGTTAACATAAAGAGTAAAATATAACCAAGAGACAGAAAATGAAGGCACAAAGCATTGATGCCTCTAAAATTCAGGTAAATTTACCCGTCAACGTTTTCCCAACTCAGGTATCATTAGAACAAAAAAGCTAAGGAACGATATTAAACAGCTGTTTAGAAATAAATAAAAACAAGATGAAGAACATGTAACTACCAACCAAAATATAGAAATATTGAAAAAAATATATATAAATAATAGGAAGTAAAGAAATAAAAGAACTTTGTTAGGTAACTACGTATTTTTCATCTGGTTTTTATTTTCCTGATCAGCTGTTTTTGATTATAATCATTCTCAGCTGTTACATCATCATTCTTTCAGTATTTTGGATATCAAGACATCATATGATGATATCTTCGATTTGTTTTCCTTTTCTGTCCTGATGATGCTTGAATCGGAGGATGTTAATTACAGGGCTAATACTCGATATTTAAATAACCTTTTGAAAATAAGTATAATAAATCTAGATAGTTTGCTTTTTGATTTTATGCTTATGCTTACTATGTGCATTTTTTTTTTGTGGCATATTTATTTATTATATTTATTAATGACATATTTTTAATCTGTCTTTTATTTATTTACTTTTTTGCTGATCAGCTGTTTGTTTACAATTTTCTTTCAGCAGTGTTGTCGTTCGTACGAGGATTCTCATATTTTTACGAAGTTTTAACATATTGTACGAAGTACGAGGATCGACCAACCTCGTACTTCCTCCATCATTTTTGCTCACATATGCAATAAATATTAATGTCTTTATTAATAAATTTTAGATTTGGTTTACAATTATGTTTACTGTGTTATTATTTACATTAGTATGTAATATTCAACTTTTGTTGCTTTATAAACAAATGTATTTACAAATACTTTTTAAATATTGTAGATAAATAAAAATATTTAAAACTTGGGGAGACCTAATGTCGGGCCAACCCCCATTTTACAAATTATACAACTGTTCATTTAATTGTACAACTCATTACTCAATTCGTATAACTTTAATTTACATTTATTCCGTAGTCCAGATTGTATTATTTTTCATCAACATAAAATAAACTGAACGATAAATACGCAGCTGGGACAAATATGTACGAGGTTCGAGGAAGCGTGAGGCAACATTGCTCTTCAACTGTTATCTCACCTTTTCGTCCAGTCTGCGATTGGATGTCATAGAACGAACCGATATTGGATTTCTTGTCTTTTCTGATGATGCCTGTATTGGCGAAATATTGGCGGATTATTAAATTCTTTATCTGACTCTGAAATTAACAATAGTTTAAATTTTCAACTTTTAAGTTTAATATTTATTTAACTGTTAAGTTATACTCAAAATATTATTTTGCGTTTACGATCCAAATTTTGCAGAGGAAATTTAAATAGTATCTTGGTAAGACAGGACGTTCATTGTCAAAAAAATAAAATAAATAAATATTAGTATTTATTTAGCCTGACGGGGGACCAATTCCCGTTTTACAAATTGTATAACTGTTCATTTTATTGTACTACTCGGTGCTCGAATTGTATAACTTTGAATTACATGTATTCTGTAGTTCAGATATTTCTTTTATCAACATAAAACAATTTTTTTATGAAAATAAAAAAAAACTTCCGGATATATTTTTAGTCTAAAATATCTATTTTGTATTAAGAGAGTTATGTAATTAAATGAAAAGCTATATACTTTGTAAAATAATTGCTGAGCTCCTGTGATCCCCTATTATCCTAATACTAAAATAAAATAAAATATGAAAGTCACTGAAAACATTTTTATGTAATAGAGAGAAAAGAGTGGACTTACCTTGATGGTATTAAAATACCAAGAGCTCTCGGACATGATGAAGAACCTTCCGGGGGATCCTGTGTTGTATATGGGAACGTGAACTATGTTTACTGTGCCGACGTAACAGCGGCCGCAGTATATTGTCGATTTGGGCGAAGAATCTTCGTACGTTGGAGAATTGTAATGAACTATACCTTTCCAGTTGAAACTTTATTATTGATTAGTCCAATAATTAAATTAAATAAAATAAAAATATATAAATCATGGCGTAACAAAAACTCACTGCGTAGTAAGGGCGGAGTCTGCGTAGCCTTGATGGGTACGGTTATACAGCTCCCACCTCCAGGCTGAACTATGAAGTTGTCGAACCGATTATCCTTGTCTGAGCAGTGGAAAGCTACGGTCAACTGAACGCTGAGCCCTGGTGCCAGCATCGTGTACTTCTTCGACATGCAGATCTCGAAGGCCGGGTCTTGAGGTCTTACAAATCTCAGAAGTGCGCTGTTAGCTCCGGAGTTTTTTAGTACTACTTTGACCTATTTCCGAAATAAAAATATTTATATCGATTTATTATATAGCTAGTTTAACAGAGCGATTAATTCTCATATTTTATTGGGTATTGAACAAATGCCAAAATAATCAGGGAATGAGATAGTGCTACGAATCATACAAGATGGAGCACAGACGGATCTACGGGGGAGGGGAGGAGGGTAACGGCTTTCCAGGACTGAAGTTACCCTAAAATGATAAAATAGAACCATGTCTTATGAAAAAAATATTTAAAAATTATCTCTAAAAGTATTATTGTTCGTGAAAATGCATTCAATAGGACTTCAAGAATCACTTAAACCCCATTTCATATAGACAGTTAGTTTCTTTTTTTTTCAAAAGTAATTATCGTTATATATAAATAAATATATACATATATATGTATTTAAACTTAACTATTGTAGTTCTAGCTTTGAAGAGGATCCCATCGTTGACTTATAAAAAGAAAATACCGGGATCGAAACGTCAATAAACATAGAAGAAATGAACATTCAATTGTTTATTAAATAATTAATAAATGACCTTATTCCCAATTAAATAGTTAAGTTTAAATTTAATACTCAAAGGTCGATTAAGGAAAAGTTGTAAACATATATATGTATATATACACACACACACACACACACACACACAATATGTATATATATGTATATATATATACATATAGAAAAAACACAATATTAGCAAAGATACAACCAATAAACATGTTTAATTAGAATATGAATGATGTTTTAAATTATTTTTGTATTCCGTGATTGATTAAAGTTACCCAGAAAAAGAGAATTAATTCTCCCATCTCACTAGCGGATTTTTAGGGAGCTTCACACCAAAAGCTTAAATATGTATATATATATATATATATATATATATATATATATATATATATATAGTTGGAACATTGAGAGAAGCAGCAGAGGGTCGGTCTCAGAAGGAAGGAAATACTTGAGGGGGGCAAGATACTTCATGGGCAATAGCCCCAAGAAAGAAGAAGAAGGGAATTTATTTAACTTTCAGTTGCCTTTAAAAAATCGAAGCAGGAACTTAGGCGTAAATTTATTTCTGCGATGAAATAAATTCCATTTTTTTCCATTTTCGAGGTGGGAAATATGAATCTCAACTTTATTAATCCTTTTAAAAAAATATATTGGAATCAACTATGTCGGTATATCGGTATGAGTATGTAGTATCACCATTATACTCATATTATAATTATATGCTAAATTTAAATGTGTGGTAATAGAGTTCTCCTAAAGAATGTGAAACATAAATAAGATTTTTAAAAATATATATATATGTATATACGTATAATATATACAATTGTATAGATTTATTGTAACATTTTCTCATTTGTTCGATATAAGCATATATTGTTGTAATATATTATCGGAGGCACTTTTTATGAAAATACTGATGATTTGAAGATTATGATCTTTATATTGGCATTATTTTTAAAAACTTTGTTTTCGTTAACCCAATGGAAAATCTGAGTATTGAAATATAGGTATGTATGTGTTCTTTTTATTCATTTATTTTTAGGTTATTTTATTCTTATTTATTGTATATGTATTATTTTTCTGTATAATTTATTTTATTTACTGTACATAGAGTGTGAATGTAATCTGCGAATACTATTATAAATGTCCTTGAGACAGATTGTAATATTTTTCAATAAATAAATTTAAAAAAAAATAAATAAATAAATAAATTGAAAGTGACCCTACAATCTCAAAATCGGTTAATATTTTCGTAAACTAGACGTAATTTTATAATTACAAAGAAAAAAAAATTAAATTTAGTTCTTGAGTTATTAATTATTCAACACATTTATTGTAATAGACAATAAATATATTATTTCGTTGTCCTGTTTCTGCTTGATTTGTTTTCTTATTTTCTTTTGGCCGTATTTGAAAAAGGAAAAATATTTAGTCATATTAATGATATTTTTAAAAACAGCCTAATGCAACTCCAACAATAATCTAAAACTAAGATTAATTATAAAGTATAGTTACAAAACTCAATAAACACAGTTGAAAATATTTTTATATTTCTTTCTACTGATCAGTTTGAGGATTTCATTAATGTAAAATCTTCATGGTGCACCACGGACCATTTTGAAAGAAAATACGGAAAATCTATCCAACACTTTTCGCAGTAACGAAAAATAGACTTTCCTTTTATATAATGTTGAGATATGATATGAATAATAATGTAACGAGTACAGCCAAATAACTTACCATGTAAGTGTTGCCAACTTCGAAGTTTTCAAAAACAACTTCTTCAGGTAATACTTGCATTGCAATTGGTTTGGATGCTTTAAGTGCTCCATATTTTGTAGTTCTCTTCGCTTCCGGGCTAGCGGCCATCTGGACAACAATGTTAAGCGAGGCAATGGTTAATTTTGTGTGTTTACAACATCAGTGATAAATCATGCTTGTGCCTTATTTTCTAAACTTTTCGAAATAGTTAATATAACCTTAAATCGGTGATTTTAGAAACCACGTTCAGTCCAAGTTTTTTTTTTCTAAATATACTTTTTTGTAGATTATGTTACCTTTTTTTTTTATTCATTGATATTTACAACTGTATTGTAAATAAAAATACAACTAGTAAATGTGCACACAGTAGTAATACAATCACATGAAAACGCTTGTTGAGAAACTACCCATTTGTAGCACTGTATATGTTACCTTAAAAATGTATCCATAACTTATTTTAAATTTCAAATACAAATACAGTCTAGTACTCCCTTATAATAACGCACAATAGCCATCGTTTAAATTCAGTGACTTGAATTGTAATCTAACCAGTTCGTTTGAAATCCGGTTAAACATTTACAATCAAATAATATATAAATATGACGATTGCATCGACTTTATACACAAAACAACATGTTTGCCAGCAGAATGTACAAAAATCTTCTGAAAAAAAAAAGAAGAATATTTGGTGGATTTAAATTTTAAAAAGTGTAAAAAACTTGAGTACTAGAATTCCGTGTTCTTTCTTTGTTATTGCCGTTTGGATAACAAATGAAAAATGTTTTAATTTTGAACTGAATAAAAATTTAAGATCAATGAAACTGCTGCACGCACTTCACTCTTTTTACCTTCTACTTGTTTTATTGAAGGAGAGGTATTCTGCAAGTATCTTACCTATTGTACTATTATAATACAAAGATAGGAAAGAGAGGTATAGATTTATTCCATACGTCCGCAACGGAATACATTTCAATTGCCCTCACGTTACCTCTTTCCATATAAGTCCCATCAACTCCCTAGTTTCCTCTCTTGTTTTTCCTCACTTCGACTATGGCTTATACGATGGACTCTCGAGAGATTTCAAAGCCAAATTTGAATTCCTAATGAATCGCTCAATACGTTTTGTTTTCGGAATCTCAAGAGATACGAATATAAAATGAAAACGCCCAGAATAAAATTATTTTTCATTTCATTTCGTTTTACCCAGATTACACCGAGTTGAAGCAGCTCTATCCATCCTATCGCCGTTAGTACTTCCTAAATATCTTTCTGTACCAGATCATTAGAACTCATCGACACTCCTATATTTTTCACAGATTACAAATAAAATGATCCATCCAATCCTGTCCCATTAGATCTCGTACTTCCGACCTCTATCCTTCCCCTCACCGTACTGCTGCGTTTGACAAATCCTTTGCAATTCAAGCCGCCTTCCTATGGAATTTCATTCCTCCTGATATTCGACACGCACAATCAGTTTTCTGTTATTTTATTTTTCTTTGTTTGTCTTATATACACGTACGATTTTCTTTTATTTTTCTCACTATTTCTTCTGTATGTTTACTTTTAATTAAGTATTACTGTCAATATTTTATTTATTTATTACCACACAGACATCTGTTCTGTGCTTATAATTTATTCTAAAGGGACAACAGTCCTAGAATAATAAAATATATTTTCATTTCATTTCACTAGAATAACCCATATCCGTCCGTATGTCAGAAATAGCGGGGTAATCGAAAAAAAAAAATTCTCTTAGAAAGTTCATTTAAAACTGCTGCGTCATTTAGAAACATATCGAAATTTTTGGCTGCCAAAAGTTCAATTTCGTTATTTACATTTTTGTACCCATATACAGAGTGTCCTAGTTATTATTGGCCAAACTCTGAGGAATTATTGTAGATCTAATTTCTAACAAAAAATGTTATGCATTGTCCGATTCCGAGGAGAAAATGAGTTTTTTATTTTCATTTATTTAATGAAATTTACAACTGTATAAACAATACAACTAGTAAAAATGCACTACACATTAGAAATCATGACATGAACAGACTTAAAGAGATACTGCCCAGTGGTAGCACTCCCTATTTAATTCTAGGTGAGAAGATCACGAGGGGTTCTTTTCAGACGCCAGGGGTTTATTAGGAATCGAGGAAGAAGCAAGGCTGGAAACAAGTGGATTCGGATGGGACTGGAGTTTATCATGAAAGGATAGGTATCTGGCTCGGGCTAAATCAGCGACGTATGGGACATTATGGTCTTATGAATGGTTTTATTTGTGACAAAATATTATTATTTTTTTTTTTGCTTCCTTCCCTTGCTCGCTGTTAAGGCTATACGGGATATCCCTGGGCCAGGGGGTGTGAGCGGGGATTTAATAGACTCCCCGGCACCGGGACGCGAACTCGTGTCTATTTTTATATCTTTGATTCATATATCAGGTTGCCGGGCAACGGCGGTGCAGTGCACACGCTTTCGGCCACCCCGCCCACGAAATATGGGGTATTAAGGATTTTACGAAGGATTGTAAGGATTGAATACGATAGGAATTCGATGGTTTGGTAGAGCCCCAAAGCTCAACTCCGTATGCCCATATAGGTCTTGTTATGGTTAAGTAGATGATTCTTTTTTAATTAATTGAAAGTTTAAAGCGTTTGTCTAGTAAGTGTGGGAGCAGTCGGAAACATCGAGCAGTTTCTTGTCGTTTCAGTCTAGTATGCGGATTCCAAGTGAGACGTTTATCCAAGTGAAGTCCTAGGTAGCGGATTTGTTCAACAGGAACAAATGGAATATCATTGAAAGATATTGTAGGACAAGAAGTTGTAGGTTTACGATGAAGGGTGAATGTAGGGATTTATTGGAATTTATTTTTATCCTCCAGTTATGACACCATTCTTCAAGGTTTGTGATATGTGATTGGAGGGTTTGGGATGCAATTAAAGGGTCATTATTAACAGATAGGATACAATTGTCTTCTGCATAGCTGCTGATGACCGTTTGGGGAAAATGAGTTAAGACCAATTTTGTATTTTTCTTAAGGTGGTTATGTTTTTATTACATAAGAAGGAATTGTTAAAGATCTATTCAAGAAAGTTGCTGTAACTGCAGCACTACGCGGCCGTATTATATCTCCTGAAAGTCCCTTTAATCATTGACATTAGTAAATTTATCACTGTTTTCTAAAAAAAAAAAAGTTGTCTACTTTACTATGATGCGCATACAATTTAATTATCTTGAACATTTTTTGAGCAATCTCTTCTTATTCAATAAAAACCTTGACCACATTAAAAATAACTAAAATATTGGTCTTAACTCTTTTTTTCGTTCGGAATCAGTCCATGCATCAAATGAACTCTTTTTTTTTTGGAAATTTTGTCTAGAAACACCCTCCGGAGTTTGGGCAGTAATAACTGAGAAACTCTTTGTACAAGATAAGCAAATGGCAACTTTTAAATTTTACAAAACCCATTTCGATTCTTCAGTTATCTGGGTTAATATTTTTGAAATCAGCTGTTCTGAAATAGCAGACAAAGTATATTTCACTTTATATTATATACACTTTCGTAATTCACATTCAAACCCTCCTCAGCTATTATAAAATTGCTGGATAAACAAAAAAAAATATGTTAATGTTTCTATTTTCTATTTTAAATAATTAATTACAAAAATTCTCTAAATAACTATCATAATAAATAAATAAAAAAAAATTGGTGTTTTTATGTCGAAGAATCGGTAACTTCGCCGTTGTCTTTTAATGTATATTTACCCCTACAGGCATACTTATCTTAGACGCACTATAACCAGAAAGGTTGGAGATTTTTGCTATTAATTCACAGGGTTTCTAGCCTACTGATTAAGATTAATTCCCTGATTATCAATCAATATATAATTTTATTTAAATAATAAAATATTTTTCTCTAATTATTGAAAAATACTTTTATTAATTTAATCCTGAAAAAAGGGGAACAGTAATGAAATACTTAGATAAATACACTTTTTTAAAATTAAATTTCCCAGAGAATCAACTTATTTGGGAGGATCGCTTTAAGATAGAATGAGCAACTAATGAAGATTTCACCTTCGGACTCTTCTTGAACGTGCCTTCTCTTAACGAGTAGAAGTGTTCACAGGGCTTATCCACGCACTTTTCGAAAGGTCCTCCTTCTCCTAAACAATTGTACGTTAAAATTAACATCGAAATCAGAAATATTAAATATAAATTTAACATAAGTATGCTAGGAGGAATATTTTTCTTGGCGCGTAACGAATTCAACGTACCGACATGAACTGCAAACTTCGACAAACAACATCAACATACTATGAAACGGACGATCCGTGCTGCTGAAATGGATTAACGAATCCTTATCTAATTCCTATGATTTCCTTGACATGTCGGCTAGTTTAAGAGTCAATCAATGCTTCTTCCTTCAGACTATTATTAACAGAAACCGGATTTTCATGTTGTTTGCACTTTTTATTCGCTTGCGTGTAAGAACTCCTGACCCGAACATCTATCCGTTTCAGAACCTGTAGAATAACATATTTAAATTTTATATTGCATTATATCGATGGCAGCTAAAACATTCCTACGAAATTCTCGTAATTTTAAGGTATTACTGGAAAAAAAAAATTCACAGCCACTGAAGCAACAGGTGAAATCATTAAATATGAAGGGGAAGTTTTTCCTTCACCAGCGCACTGCGCAGCAAAGTTTTTTTAGTGGAGATACGACGTTGGAAAGGAAGAAGGGCTCCGGGCGACCATTAATGGATATTGATGAGGTTCTGCAGGAAGCTGTTGAGTTAAGTTAGTCCACAAGTACTCGGAAACTTGCCAGAAAGTGTGGTGTGTCGAAAGATACTGTTAGTCGCCATCTAATCTCCATGGAGAAGGTGAAAAAGTGCAGTAGACTGGAACTGCACACTTCCCGTCGGAGAAAGGAAAACTTGATGGGCTCGAACTCTTACCTCATCCACCATTTAGTCCAAGACTTGCACCACCGGATTACTACTTATTTAGATCCATGGCCCATTTTCTTCAAGGGAAAAAAATTGATAATTTTGCGGAAGTTGAAAAGTTCTTTGACAGCCATCCCAAAGAATGGTATCAGCGTGGGATAGATCGAATTTGCTAGCAGATGTCTAATGACGGTAGGTAACGATGGACTATACTTTGAGTATTAATCGTAATTTATATCAAAGAAATAATAATACAAATATTTGATTGAAAAACGGTCATTTTTTTTTTATACACCCTATTATTTTGAATTTCTAGCTTACCTCTATCAAATTAATTCAGAATTACTATTTTATAGACGTAAAAAATCTTCAATTGTGATTATAAACTACAACCAGTTATTCATGAGCAATATAATAAACGAAGTGCTAAAATATTTACTTTCGTTTCGTAGAAAATCAATAAAAGGGCTGAAGGTGAGAAGATTGTACTCGCGGGCCAGTGCTGCAGGTACGTCCATTTCTTTAATTGGTGGCTTCGGAAGAGCTTGCAACAGCTTGTCCTTGTTCAGGAGGATCATGACGTGGCTTTCAATCAGCGTCCATTCTGCTTGCCTCAATTTGTTGACTGTTTGTAAATGTTCTTCTTCATTCTGAAATATGAGAGCAGAAATTAAAGAAGTAGATTTTAAGGATAAAGACAGGATTAGAAATTCAGAATATCAACTTTTATTAATTATTCATAGTATTATCTTATTACTAACTAGTAATGACCTAATATTTTTTTTCCGTTGGCGTTACAGACTTTGTAGCCTACTTCATCTATGCCTACATTGGGCTATTTCCTTCCAGTTATCTGCACCAGCATTATAACATCTCTGTTTATTCGATCTATCCGTCTGCTTCATTGCCTTCCACGTGATCGTTTGCCAAGTGTCGATGCGTTCATTGTCGTTTAGAGGTTTCCAGATGGATTGCATCGAGGCACAAGCCCCGCCCATTTTAACCTCCTTGCCTTCATATGAAGTGATATTGATTAATCAGTTTCTGTAAGAAGCTCTTTATTGGTCTTTCTCCTCCATATGTTGATAATTGTTCCCAATCCCAGATTGTTCCATATCGTGCTAAAAGATTTTTCTCGAAAATCAAATTCTTCTTTCTAAGGTGCTGGTTAAGGTCCCGGTCCCATAGCCATATATAAAAACTGGCTTTATCATAGGATTGCATACCCTCAATTTGAGATTTCATGATATTTTTCAGGATTTCAATACCTTTGAGAGAGTGAAAAAACGTAGTCTACCCTAGTAAGCGTTGTATACTCTCAGGAACGATTTCCCTTCTACGCAGATCCTATTATTGGTGGAATTTCATGCTTGTGTGATGTATGTGTTTTGTTTTGCCTTCATTTACTTGTAGGCCGATTTGCTTTGCTTCTCTTTGCTTCAGAATTTTAGCGACTTTCTGAATGTTCTCTTGATTACTTTCGGGAACATCTGCACCGTCTGCATATTCAAGGATTTTATGATTCATTCCGAAGTGCACCTCACCATTTTCGTGTGATGTTCTTATCACTTTCTGAAGCTCTAAATTGAGCAATATAGATGATAGTCCATCTCTCTACCTCACCGTGGGACGAGTATGGGAAAACTCGCGACATTTTATTTTTAATTGAGCTGTACAATAAAAACAGTGAAAAATGTATATTGTGCCAACTGAAAATATTCTCGGAAACTCCGCTAATATCCACAAGGTATCAATTAAACAGTTTATCTAGTTTTTGGAGTTTTAAAAAAGAAAAACAATTATTTAGACAGATTCAAATAGATCTCGCGAGTTGTCTCTTACTCGTCCCACTGTGTGCCATAAGCCAGTTCGAACTTTGAAGGCTTCAGATACTTTTCCTTGTATTAGGACTCGACATTTAGGGTCATTTATATGTTTCTAATTGACTTCTTACAAACTTATCGGGAACTCCCAGTTCAGTAATGGTTTTCCAAAAATAGTTCTTGTCCACACAATCATAGGCTGGACATAATAAGTATGAATAAATAAATTCAGCCTCTCGAAGTTATACAAATTATTAACAATCTCATTACAAGTTATCTACTCGATTGAAACAGTTCTAAATTTACTAAGAGCTGGGCCAATAGCTGATCAGAGTGTGCTACTCAAATAGAAATATTAATCATTATATATGGAAAATCTTTTGTAGAAAGGTTTCTTCCCGAAATTGAAGGATTTCATTGGGTTGTCTAAGAATAAGTATTAACTTGGAAGAAAATCGGTTACTAACATAGCCTAAAGAAAAAGGCAATGACTTGTCAGACATTACTTGTAACTTCGTAAAATTCTGACAAGTCATTTAAGTCACAAATAACCATGGAGTATAGAATGAACTAGAGTAGACCATGAAGGGAAGAGAAATGTTCTTCTTACATGATGAATATAGACATTTCGAACTTATTGATATTGACGTTACCAAACGATTTCAGGTGGATATCCTATCTCTATCCAAAAACAAGGTCTGGCAGATATGGGATTAAACTTATTCTCGATTATTATCGCAGTAAGTAATAAATACTGAAGACCACCTCTTGTTTGTGTCTTTTGTAGGTATCGAGAGCAAGAAGACCTCTAAGTTGGTTCCTCAAGATAGTGGTGTTATCCAAGCTATTGATGACTCCATCCCGAATGGCTCCAGGAAGCAGGGGTAACCTCACTAGCTGCTTCACATCAATTCCTGCTTTATATTTCCCTCGGTTGCTGTCCATATTTTGATAAAAAAACTCTTGACTCTATTTTAATAAATTATAAAAACGATAACAACAATCGTACATGTGTTCTGTGTTGAGATTAATAACAATACGTTTGGTATTATATTAACATTAATTATCTGCTAACCAATATGAGTAAATGCAAGAGTGATAGCGACCTTTCAACGAACATTGCTAATTTGAAAGAAAAAACTCAGTAATGAAAGATTTTCCTACTTTCGCGTTGGCATATTCATCTTGTTGATTATGATTATTCAAGAGTAGAAAATCTATATCATTTGGGTAATATAGATTTTCTTCCGAAGTAGCGACAAATAAATACCTAAACAGCCGGATGCTTACTGACCGACGTTGGTAAAAGAAGGAAGAATGTAAAATCTTGAAAAATCGGGTCGCCTTATCTTGTGGAAGAAGGGCCTATCGCATTATTCCCAACATTGAAACATGGATGGCTGGCAAATATGGGAATGATGGTTTTCTCATCGAACTAACTGAAGATGGTTGTTTCAAGGTCTGTCTAGCCCGTTTTAAGTTAGAGGATGACTTATATTGCCCTGATTGCACTTCCGTGAATAAATAAATAAAACACGAGTTTTTCTGTTGCACGAGTTTAAAAAGAAGTAACGAGTAGCAAGAGAAAAAAAATACATGACCCTTGGACTGAAGATAGTCCCTGAAAATCTTGTCGTTCTAATGATTGCTAACCAGATAAATTCGAATGTTGCGAATTTTGTAGCGTAAATAGGGTTAAATTTAATATGGATTACCAATAAATTTTGAATTGTGCAGAGAACAGTGAACTATCTGTGAATAATTTCTGAATACTGATGGTAACTCCTGGTAAACTGTTTGGGATTAATATCGAGCGAATGCGATTGACACTAAGCACGATGAATTCATTGTAAGAAGTCAGCTTGTCATAATGAACAGTACTGTTGCTACCATAACATTCTCCAGAGCAAGGGACAGAGTTCGATTGACGTGACACTGGCATCGGTGGAGCTACCAAACCGCATCAACAGTTGGAGCAACTATCTGAGACCCACCTATCTGGGACCTTTACTAATAAAGGGATACCCCTTTAATAACTGGAAGAGAGCGAATTGGAAAGCTTTCCATTGTCAATGCGGTAGCTGGAAACCACACTGATAACCTGGAATATGGTCCATGGCTGGATTTCCAGGATTACTTATACATCCGTAATGCAGCTGAGAAATTCTTTCAGCACCGGAAGGCGAGATCTCGGCCTGTACTACAGATTGAAAAGAGAGCTATAAACGGCTAGAAGGTCGTACCAGAGGTGTAACTGTGACACTTTGTGATGAAGCCATCCCAACGTCAGGTTGCGTTAACGAAAGTAGAAGTCTTGCGACGAGTTCATCGTTGAGAAGTCACCCAAGAATCCCGGAGTAAGTTGGTTCTACAGTAGGTAATTACCACATTGAAGTAAGATGCTTTTTAGGCACCCACTCTTAAAGAAACAGAGAAAATGTTTATTACAGATACCTACCACAAGAATGATCCTTTCCAGGAACGATGCGTCAACCTAGTTACAAGATAGTGGGGGAGGAAAAAGCTGAAGATGGCTGCTGCTAAAACGCAGGCCATACTCATGAGAGAAATAACTGATAAGGCCCGTCCTATTTCCTTACTGATCCAAATAGAGACAACTCGTCCAAGTGAGATGATAACTTATCTATTTGGACTACTTGACTGGCAGGGTCACACTCTTGCTGAATGGGCTCGCTCGAATCGGGATGCTCTCCGGGGCCTCAGACACTCTTCGACTATGACAATCTATAAAGGAGTAGTGTAGGGTATTTTGAAGTATGTGTCTCCCGCCTGGTATCATAATCTCTTACAAAACAGAAGAACGGTTCTGCTGCGGGTAACTAAGGCCTACAGAAGTGTATCACACGAGACAGTACAGATCCTGGCAGGAGTGGTGCATCTAGTAAAAGATACTATGGGAAGAATTTACAGGGGTCTGTTCTCTGTTCAGCCATATTGTTCATCGTTGAACTGTTGTTACACTAGCAATTCTCCACCACGGGTTACATAGACGATCTGGAGGTTGAAAGATTGTCGAAAAGTTCAACGGTGGGTCGACCTAGGAGGATGGTACAAGAGAAAGAAGTTGAGGATGGCAGCCGCCAAGACTCACTCCATTCTTTAAAGGAGTAAGACTGAGAGGGCCCATTCCATTACTCTCCGTATAAAAGGAGAAAGGATGTGCCCAAGTGAGGTTGTCACTTATATTGGCTTAAGAATCAGGATTAAGTTAAACGTTACATCTCATTTGTCTAATTGAGGAGTAGGATGGTTCACTTGGTGTTTCAGATATCCAGCCAGAATGACTATTTTCAAAGTAATGGTTTTGGGTATCCTGATATATACGTCCTCTGAAGGACTGAATTCACAGATGGGCAAAGCGGTCAATGCTCCAGAGAGAATATTTTTTCAGCTTAAATATAAAATTGACTTTTTGGATATTTTTATCTTGACTCATTCAATGAGACGATCTTACCTCAAATACTATTATAAAATGTTGACTTATTTAGGGGCCCCGTTAAACGCCGGAGGTGAAAGCTGTGACGAAATAAAACTCACCACTCCTAGGAAAAATCCTACTTCCGGCCCTGACCATCTGCATGGAGTCAGTATCTTTCGCATCTGTTTGGCGGCGATCTAGCGGAGATAGCTTAGCAGCAGGTCACTAGGGCGTACCGAATATGAGGTTGCTACTGGTCTTAGTCGGAAGTATTCTTATCGACTTTCACCTACGAGATCATTTTCGGCATAAGACAAAGAGGTCAGGTAGATCTAACTGCAGATCTCCGAGTGAGGATCCAGAGAAGATTCTAATATTTGGAAGAGAGAATTCATTAGAGAAAAAGAACCGGTGATGGGTGATGATGCCAGAACGGACTACTCTTAAGGCGGAATTCCACTGCGGCAACACTGAACGACATGTTGCTTGATACTTGTTTCCTAGTGTTGCCTATTACAGTAGTCCGACAATGCGGCACAAAATTCAATAAATGCCGCATGCGGAATTCGTAGCCCCGCATCGCATGCGGTTTGTCGTACACTTGTGTAGAATGTGACTGAAGCGAGGCAACTTCAGTTTGGTACATCATGTCGTTGCAAGCAATCGCGTCAGCTGCATATTCGGTAATCGCTTTGAATCATAAAATGAAAAGAAAAACACTTCGGTGAGAATAAGAAGAAATTCGGTATAATTTAACATTTTACGCTAGAAGAGTAGGGAAAATTCATTTTAGTCTGTCTGTGAGAAAAAATCGACATTATTTGATGAAAATTTTATAAGCATTTTTTGAATATTTGTAACATCTTTATTGAAAACATGAGAGTTTGCCAGTCAGATCTTACTTCTAGTAAAAATGGCGACTGATTTAATGAATATTGCGCCAGCAGCTTGAGGAGCGAAACGGGAAATTCATTGTAAAAAATGTGAGAAACGTTTTTATTTTTTTAACTTGTATATATGTTGGTTGAGACATGTAGATTTTTTCTCATGGGATCTCGGACTATTTGGGTTGCTAGCAAGTATATTTCGCGTCATTACTAGTGTCATCACTATGATAAACACTCAGCAATTGACAATATTGATTAATGGACATCGACGTCCAATAAAAATTCAGTAGCTCATAAGCAAACCATTTCCTGTTTTTGCTTGGAGATGAGCTATTCTTGCTCAAGTTTTTTCAAGCTTGGGATGAATTACTGAAAAATTCTTCATTATTTTTTACCTCTATGGCGATTTTATTATTCCATAATTCCGAAGAATTATGCTAGTCATCAATAAAAGAGGTAATTTCTTGGTTCTCCACAAGGTGCACAGACCAGAGGGCTGTTGGATAAAGGGAGACACTGTTCAACATGTCCAATCTTTTGAAGAGATGAGGCATTCCACAGGCAACAACCTTGGACTAGCATGCAGCAAGGAGATATATTTTTTTGTCCTTTGTGTTTTTTCTATGGATACTGTGTGTAGCATGGTGGATGCTGCATGCTACATGTTGCCTCAGTGGAATTCTGCCTTATTTATCCAACACATCAAAATAAATATAATCCTCCACATTTTTTATTTAAAGAGTCAGCTATTATAAGATTAACAAATTCCTAAAAGATGCTTACTTTTGAGTAATGACTCAACATGTTCAATAAAAATTAATACAGACATTATCAATTGCTTTCTTAACTTTAAGTTTAGGATCTAGCGGCTAATAAATTTTTATTTAAAATGAAATGGTTTCCTTTTGTAGTAATTTCTTATTTTTAAAAAGCCTTACTAGTATGGATTAGATTAGTTGAAAGAGTTACATCCATTATTATGTAATGACAACTTGAGTAAATCAAAACCAATCACAAATTAAAATTTAGTTTTGATTAAATGTAGATAATACTGTATAGTTGTTGGTTGATTTCTCACTGAAATAAAATTATATTCTACAACATATTCCATAGGTATTATCTGAGTTTTGAAAAACTTCATATTTTTAATTAGATACCAACATAGTGATACTGCAAACCCAAGATTTAGAGATAAGGCAATAATTTTACACAAAACATTTTATTATAATAATGAAAAAACAAACTTCATAATATAATTTATTAACAAATATAATATATATTTTTTTATATATTATTTTCATCACTAACAGTTTCATAAATTTATAAACAATATTTTTCTACTGATCGTATGGCAAATTAAAAAATAATTAAAGGCACGTAAACCTTTACTGGCAAATACATGGTGATTCAATGATGAAATCAAATGACGGAACAAATCAAAGAGAAAGAAACAAAAAATACATAATAATAATTCAGTCCAATAAAATATAAATAAATGGCCTCTTACGTTTTTCTCATAATTTTTTTTTACAAATAAAATTTTCTACAATATATTTTACAATTTTTTTTACAAAGGAAGATGAGAATACCAAATATTAAAAAAATAAAATATATACAAAAATTAATTTCAGTTTCTATCATTCAATTAAATGTTGGGGTAGTTATTTTATCATATGTAATTTATGTTATAAATTCATTTTTTGTCTGTAAATACGTATATCACAAATGTCAACTTAATATACAATACATTTATAAAATTGGAAGTTTTAGCTATATAAAAATTCAAATCTCCTATTTCTTATAAGTAGCCACATGAAGGTAGGCAGAAAAAAAATTATCTATTACGAAAATAATTCACGAATATTTATATAAAACACTAATACTGCAACAAAATATTAACAAAAATGAACTCAGTGACATGGCATCCAATATAATACATTTCTGGCTTACCTTCAACATAGCAAACGAATATGAATATTCTTTTCTCTTTGGAAGTTATAATGTCTTAAAGCTATTGGTCATATTTCAGGGTGTTATACAAGTTATTATTTTTATTTTATTATCGAATAACTTGATTAATAAATAAAAAAGGAATTTCATCTCGCAAACGCAACTGAGTCCGAAATTCTTATCAATTCATAAGAATTTATAAATTCTGTGTGCAACTGCACAACCTCACTGTTTCTTTGAAGCCTTCTGCATACAAATACTGAACACTCCGGAGGCAAGATATGTGTGCACTAAATTTAAAATTATGTGAAAAATATTTTATATATTGTAGATACAATATTTTTTAAATCTAAATATCAAAACATATGTGTCAATATATACAAATACAAACAATAATACTACTTTCCGATCCCGACTAGGGCTTCATCCATCAGCTCATCATCAGTAATTCCTGGAGAGGAATGGGGAGAAATATGGGGTCTATCTGTCGGAGCAGGCGATTTCAGAATATGCACAGACACAGAAGGTGAAGCTGGATAAGTAGGAGGAGATCGCCGAAGCAATTTGTTTTCTTTAGGAGTAGAGAAGTCTATTAACATTTCAGCGGCTTCCTCAGAGGTACAGGAGGGTTGTCGTATCTTCTTTTTTTCTTCCAGGTCACAAGTAGAGAAGGAAAGACCACTCATCGGCAAGTCCATTTTTAAAGTGCTGAAAACATCTTCATAGGATTCCTTTTCTTCCTTGTCTGCTGAAGAAGACATCGGTATAATAGAAATATTAGGAGATTCAGATTCCAACTTAACCGGTCCTAATTTAGGACTAGAACTTCCAAGAGAAATGGTAGTAGATGAACCTAATTTTGATTTCGAGTCTACTAAAGAGACCCGAATCTCTTCTGAGTTTTTTGAGCAAGATACAAGTTTACTAGCCAGATCAATAACCTTCAAATCAGACCTATCACTTTTATCCTTTTTTTCGTCACCCTGTCCACAGTTCGAAGATCGTGCAGAGAGTTTAGGAATTTGAAATTTTGTATCTAACTGCTTGACCATACCTTCTCCAAGTAATTGCTTGTAATTGTCATCTTCTCGCAGTGCTGATGGACTAAGTTTTCTTCCTTCTTTGCCTGAAAAGCTCGACAACTTGGGGTTTCTCGGCTTGTCACGAATCCTATTAGGGTCAGACATTTTAGGAGACCCTGAAGGCTTGCTAACTTTCTGTATATTCAACGATGACGATTTGCTACTGGATTTACTCGAGCTAGAACTAGAACTTGACCTTGGGATTGGAGAGCTAGATTTTTGACTAATATGAGATTTCTTTACAGCCGGGCCACTATTCACCCCAGGCTTAAGACCAGTATGTGTTTTTGGACTGCCACTTCCAGATGGTGATGATGATGAAGAGGATGAAGATGACGAAGACGATTTTATTTTAGATGATTCTTTACTTTTCGTTTTGTTAATCGTCAATTTCATTCCATCTGAACTTGGTTTCACCATATATTCGCCAGGTTTGTTCTCTCCTGGCTTGCTGGTGCTCTTACCTTCAATTTTGCTTGAAGTTTGCCTGTCTTTGTCTTTTTTCTCCTTGCCATTCCCTTCATCGATGTGTTGAGCTGACTTCAACTTATCTATAACTGCAGATAGAGATCCTTTTCTGTTTTTTGGTTGTCCTGACGAGGAGGGCTTACCCCCATCTCCCGAACTGGGAGGTGTGGAGCCTCCACTTTGCAGCGACTGAGGCCCCTCGATCGCGGAAATATCTAACTGTTTGAGCTTCACACTGGGAGATTTCATTTTGGGACTAGAATGTCCAGAGCTAGAACTAAAAATTTTTCTGTCTTTATCTCTACTGTCTTTGCTCTTGGTTTTTGAATCAGACTTACTAGGGGAGCTGACAGCAGACTTTAGCGCAGACATACTTGGTTTGCCAGAAGAAGACTGGTGTTTTGGTGACGAGGTACTATGCTTAGGACTGGAGGTAAGGCTATTTTTCGGACTGCTTGTAGAATAATGAGGCGAATGCTTGGGGCTTGGAGTGGGCTGCTTTACAGGCTTGCTACTGGAGCTTGGGCTATTCTTTCCTACAAGAGGACTAACATGGGTGGGAGAGCTCGTGTACTTCCTCATGCTACTGGCAGGTGATGAAGGTCGAGGAGAAGAAGATTCAGCAGGTTTAATACTGACAGAAACAGGTTTAGATAATGGGTCTGACTTTGCAGGAACTTTTTCTGGTGGACCCATTGGACTATCCTCTTTCTTCCTTTTTCTTTTTTTTTCTATTTTCACTTTGTCATCGCGACTTTTACTACTCTTCCTTTCTTTCAGTTTGTCTTCTGGTACAGATTTAGAAGAAATGGGGGTAATAGTAATCAAACTGGGGACAGAGGTAGTTGGAGTAGAAGAAATTGGAATGATTTCTATACCTGGCCTTCTTTCTAAACCCATACCAGAGAGTACAGAGTTTAAATTCTGATTCATTTGAGAAGAAGAAATAGGAGTTATGGAGACTGATGGAGGAACTAAATTTTTGTTTCCTAAATCGAACAGAATATCACTAGCAGTTTTCTTTTCTTCTCTGTTTTTCTTAGGTTTTTTATTAACAGTACTTTTAAATATTTCTTCAACATCTAGTTCAGAAACATTCATTGTTTCTTCAATTTCTAAGTCATCTCGAGACTTATCATTCATCGAACTGTCGAGATCATTAATTTCTAAACTAGGTGTTGGATCACAGATAGAATTGGGAGTTCCTAAAGGGGAAGACTCGTTACTAGAACTGTCACCAATGTCATCATGGCTTGGTTTCGGACTCCTCCAGGATTCCCCTGATTTTCGTTTTTTCCTTTTCACTTTATCATCGAGGAGACCTAAGGATTGTCCTAATTCTTGAAACTGTAAAGTGTCAATGGAAGTAGAGAATTGGTCAAACCCTGGATCAGCTTGATCATTGGTGAAACTACTGTGGCGACTGACGAGACCACCAAGCCCAGGCTCCAGTTTTATCTTCAAATCAGGATCATAATCAGATGTTGGGTGGTTCTGATTTCCTCCACCTCCGCCGCCACTATCTCCTATTCCTCCTCCGTTGAATATACTGGTCATCCTCTGTCCTTGAGCATTCCAAAGTTTGATCAAAGACCTCATTGTTACAGGTATCGACATAGACCTGAAACATAAGCTGAATTAATCAAAAGATAGTGATTATTAATTGAATGATTAATATATTTTACTTATTAATGCAGCGAAATTATAAATTCTTATATTTGTTTACATTAAGAAAAAAAAGTTAGTTTAAAAAACAAAACAAAATCAGAGTAAAAAAAATTATATATTGATGGATAACTGATTAGGGGCAAGAATAGAATAACCTGAGAATAATCAACTAAATAGTACAACTTGCATTTAAATCATCAAAAATTTAGCAAAATTATAAAATATGAATTTGATTAATTAGTAAAAAAATAGAGAAAATTTGTCGTTTGAATCACAGAATAAGTTGAACTTTCGTTAACAGATGATGAAAAACTTCGAAAAAAAATTGATGTAAATTTAAAGAAGTAAAATCAAACAACTTTCAGCCCCTTTAAAAGGGTTAAGAAATTTTGAGAAACTATGTCACTTTATAGACCTGCAGTATTCATGGAACTGAAAAGTTAACAGTTACGAGTTAAGTTAGATATAGCAGCGATTCAGGAAATAGGTTGGACCGGTTTAAAAAAGCAAAGTGGGAGGAATTTTGATATCTTCTACAGTGGAAACTAAGACAAACATGAGTATCAAATTGAATGGGGAAAGTAAAGTAGTTGATTTCGAAACAATAAACAAAAAGGTTATATAAATTAGGGATTAATATTAATCTGATAAATATTCATGTCCCAACAGAAGAAAAAGAAGAGGATGGAAAAGATCTTTTTTATAAAGATTTAGAATGCATTATAGCTGCTTGCTTTTCTTTTAATATGAAAATAGTTTGAGAGGATTTTAGGTTGGTTAAGAGTATTTGCTCCTGCAGCTGCAATTGGCAAGTATAGCATACATATGAAGACAAATAATAATGGAAAACGAATGCTTGGTTTTGCTGCATCAAGACCATTAGTATTGATGAGTATCGAGAGATACAGAAAAGCTATTCTATTCTAAATGGCAAAAAAAATTTTCCTGAAAATTACAAGGAACAATGATTAAATACCTTTGAAAGACTTTAGTAGCATACTCCGAATTGGCTAAAGAATTTTCGCCAGATGATGTGTAAACCTTGCAGGTGAGGTTGTTGATGTCACTCAGATCCACTTCCACGGTGGCCATGCTCTCCTCCAGAGGATGTTCTAAGGTGATTGAGACATGCTGCCAATCCAGTGGCATCACTTCCAACATTATCATCTTCTCCAAATCTAAAAACAATAACGTAATGAACACTGAGGAATTTTTTTAATTATATTATCAACCTTCAGACAACAGGGGAGGTAGGTCAGATTTGACCCATAAATAAGAATAATACAGCTGTGACACACACTATAAGCCCTAAACATCAAAAGGAGCTTAGGTATTATTGTTTAACGTACATCACATCTTTCCAATGAAATTTTCCTACTAAATGTAATATCTATTGGCGTTTATTATCATCAAGTAACATTTTAGAAAATTAGAGTAGTGAATTATTTGATGATTTTCCCCTTTGTGAAATCCTAACACAATCCACTTACAATTAGTGTGACAACTTTTGACCTATCTATAGCAAGCAATGAAAATCTCGTAATTGCATTTTAGTAAACTTTACAATGGAAAATAACGGTTTAATAACCAATAGTCCTACAATCCATTATCATTTATAGGTTAGATATTGAGATGTATTTCCAAATCTCTCTAGACATATATTATCTTTCGGATGACAGAATGACTAACTCCAATTTCAACATTCTTTATTAATTTTAGGGATGTTTCTAGTGGCAAAATTTATACCTTTATTCACAGTTTTATATTTCAACACTGCAATCACCTACTCTGAAATCAACTTACTCACTGTTATAGACATAACTTTTTTAACTAGAAATATCACTAAAATGACATTACTCAAAAAATATTGAAATATGAGTTCCTCATGCTGCCAGCTCAAAGGCTCAGAGACTGAAGTTATGTGATTTATAAAAGTAGATTTTTATTGCCTACCGTCGATATAATAAATAGACTTTTTGTAATTTTAATGGTCTTAATGATTTGTTATCTGTACTGTAAGCTTCAGCTCTGTTTAAGATGCACTTCAAAAATTTTATACTAGTCCAACATTGCCAGAAAATAACTTCTATTCAAAGTAGAGCGGTAAATGAAAGTTGTGTGTTGAGTGCACCAGATTTTATTTCAACTGATGGGTAAAATTAGACTTCTTTTGTTTAGAATATTTGTCTTTAATTATTTGATTTTTAAAATACAATAATTTTGATGAGCTGTCTAAGGTTCTTGTAATAGTCCAAAACATAAACATAAATTTAATAAAATCTTGACAATTCATAACTTTCCTTCTTTAGGGCTTAGCAGTTTCAGCGCATTTCCTCATTTTTTCTCTCTACTTTAATATAATGACTTAAATTTCTTATTTAAATACATGTCCAAATTTTGTACTATGTTTTGACACATCAAAAAAGGCATTTTTATTTAAATTTCATAACTTTAACCAAGTTGAAAATAAATTCTGAAAAGAGATTTTCGTTTTAAAGAAAAATAACTTTAAAATGAAACAGAAATATTTTTCATGAATAAATGCATCTTTTTATCATCCAAATAAAATGATCATGTCATAAACACCAAAATGTAACAAGTTAAAGAATCCCCATCATGTTCGTAGAAAAGAGATATTTAAGGCAAATATTGTAATAAGTTATTTCTTTCTTAATGTACATATGAAACATTATTGTCTTTATTTTCTTAAAAAATTTAAATTTAACTAACCACAAAAAGAGTTGGATCAGATATGACCAACCTTGTTAACTATGTCCAAGAATTTTGCCTCGTTGAATGAGGATTGATATAATGGTGCCGACAGCACTCATGCTCAAAGATAAGGTCTGTGACATTATTTTATGGATAATATTTGTTAGGGATTGATACCGAACAAACAGCATTCAACACAATTGTGTAATTTATTTTTATTTCTTGGGAACATAATTGTATGTCATCAGGAAGACAAGAAAGAAATCAATAAAAAAAAACTAAGGTGTGTGCTTTAAACCAAACGATAGAAGTGAAAACATCAACAAGCCAAAGTTAATAATATGAAATATAAATTGTACACAATAGCTGATTATAAAGAGGATGAAAAGCTAACCATTTCTCTCGCTTACAGTATGCAGGTCTGATTTTTATTTTTTAAATATTTTAATCCATATCTTTCATAAAACACGTAATCATTTGGTTTTCACAATATTTTTTCCTTATCACCTCTCTAACACGGCGTCGCGTTAAGATACAATTTTAAATAACATTCCATTATAGAGAGGATAAAATGCTGAACTATTTCCTCGCATTCAGTATGCAGGTACGATTTTTAAAAACATTTTAATTAGTCAACTCAAATTGACTTTATCGGAGCGTTACACATTGGAGATCTGATGGCTCAATATAATTCACTCTCCACAAAAAAAGTTAACACTTCAAAAAGTATTACAGAAACAATAGAATACTAGAGAATCATTTTTTGATATGCCTAAAGATATATTTCTTTTTATAATTTAGAAAAATGTGTTGAGCGAATCACCCAACTTTCTTTTACTTGCTGCTATACTTTGAATAGAAATTATTTTCTGATAGTAATGGAGTATGACGTGGTTTTTGAAGAACATTTTTAACGGAGCTAAATCTTAAACCTTACAGCTAACCTGTAACAACTCATTCAGCTCAGTAAGGCCATTACAATAACACAAACCCTATCTATTATATCAATGATAGGCAATAAAAACTTCTTAACTCCATCAGTTTTTGGAAACCACATAACCCCAATCCCTGAGCTATATATGCCTAGAGAGATTTGAACGTACATCTGTATATTTAACCTATAAATGATTATGGATTCTACTACTATTAGTTATTAAACTCTTATTTTCCCAAAGTTAGGTTTTATAAAATGGAGTTATCAAGATTTTCATTGTCTACCATAGATAAGCCAAAAATTGTTACACTTATTGTAAATGAATACTGTGATTTCTAAGAGGGCAATGCATCATATTATTCACTAATTTAATTTTCTAAAAAGTTATATGATTATTTTTCTGAATAAACTATGTCATTGTTTTTAATAGTTTTTTAAACAATGACCATGCTTTGATTTAGTTGATTTTATATACTTTTTTTCAAGATTAAAAATAATTTTAAAAGTTATATAATTTCATTTCATTTACTTGGAAACATGTAGTTTCCGTTACATAATATAAATTTTCAAAAATTAATAGTTATACTTAATGCATCACTTCCCATTACCTTCTATGACTTTGTCATGTGTTAGATATTGTTCAGTCCAAAATAATTAGCTTTCCAAGGATATTTTATACTTACAGCATCTTACTATTATTTTCAGAAATTCATTTTCAACATAAAAAAAAAAAAATTTACCCTTTTTCCTCATTTAGTCAATTCTTTCATAGTTTATAATTTAAAATAAACCAGATTAAAAGTACTTTAGAGGAAGAAATTTTGAAGATTTGGCGTTTAAGCTCTGTTAAGCGTCATCTATGAGAATAAGACCTAAATGATATTAAAGAACATTTAATTGTACATTGACACTCAGAGTTTAATGAAAATCGTTGAGCCATTTGCGAGAAAATTCTAAAAATGTATAAAATTAATGATATAAGTGGTATTTCCAGTAAGCTGAATAAAACTGAAAAGTTCCTGTAACATCTGAGGCACATACCTTAGCATGCAATTCCAGTTTTGTGTGACTTTTAGCCTTTGAGATAGGGTGTTCATATACATACACACACACAATTTTATGGGATTAGTTATTAGGACTCAGGATACCTCAAAACGTGTATTTACATTGAAAACTCAGATTCAAAAATTTTCATATTCGCGATACTTTTCCTCACTATAAATTATATATGTACGGAAGTGAAAGTAAAAATTATAAAGTATAAAATAAAAAACTGTTGCTTACCACGTGGAGTGGTAGGTCGGACGCATGAGGAAACCACTGTGTTGAAGAGTGCCTGTTGGCGAAGATAAGCTAAAACCTGTGGCACATGAGATGGATGTGTGAATGGAATTGAACTGACAAGCACACCATCAAGGCCCCTCGCTTCAGTCATCAGGTAGCAATGATGCTGGTCACCAACATTCTGAAAAACAAGTTAACTTTTATATACAATACAATTATTAATATAATATATAACATCAATATTTTAAAATCTACGCTATATATATTACGGTAACAGAGATCCATTTTCCAGCTCTCATTTTGATGAATGAGGTATCAAATAACAGGAAATTTAATGGAGAAGTGACAAATTTCATTTTCAATCCTTAAATCTCTACAACTTTAATAAAAATCATCGACATAATTAGAATATTTCAAACTTAGATGGTTTCAAAAGTCGATGAATTGAGACGGAATAAATAGTTTTTGAAGATTTTGATAAGAAATCGAGATCGGGTACACTTCTGTGTATTAGAGCCCAAAAATGCCTTATTTTTAAGATACAATAAATCATAATTCTTGCCAAAAGCTTATTAGATGTCATGGATATCATGGACTACTTTTTTCTTTTATATTTGCTTTTATATTTTGATAGGCTATACGAGATTTTCTTGGGCCCAAGGGTGAGGGTGAGGAATTTAAAATCCCCTCCAGCACCAGGACGCAAACTCGTACTTTTTTTTTAATCTCATAACTTCGATTATCTGGTTGGCGGGCAACTCGTAGTGCTGTGCACACACGTTAGCCCATTCGGTCACCCCGCCCTCCCCATACCATGGAATACTTATATCATTGTCATAATATTACTATTTATGATTGTCTTCGATGAACTTAAAATCAATTGAAAAAAAGTAAAAAGAGGAGATGATCTCTTGGGCACTTTTGATTATAATATAGGAAAGAACTTTTTAATACTTTTATTAATAAATAGTCTTCTAAATTCTTAGTAAGTGAAAGAACTACAAACCTAGGCACTTTGGCAACAAATATGCCTTGAGCAATACAATACAATAATGTACAAGTATACTGTCAGGGATAGCTGTATATTTTTGCCTAACTATTCAAACGAAACGATATTTTCCAGTGGGACAATAATCAATTAATCATGACTAATGAAAACAATCCCATAATCAATCGCTTATTAAATAAATTGTTACTTTAATGGTTAAAGTAAAGTATGAAGATTCAGAGAACTAAATAAGACTAGATAATTTAAAATTAATTATTGTATGTACAAATTAACATGTTTTGCTGATGTCGCTTAAGTCTAATACATTAGAGAAAATATAGCTATATAATGTCAGTGCTATTACTGGAGTATAAAAATCTTACTTTAAATAGAAATAGCCCACACTTAATGCTTTTCGTTTAGTTAGTACTATATCAAAGGGTACGATAAAATTCAATATACAACACTTACCACAAAGAGTCCTTTGTTATCTAAAGAGTCAGCCTTTCCAGAAGAGGCTACCTGAGCTACTAGGCTGAGGAGGGGGTGAGGTGATGACACATCGGCACAATCCACGCCCGTCGCTGCGGTGATGCCAGAGACTAATGCCAAGCAGACTGGCATTGGTTTCTTTAACTGCAGCACAAAGCTACCAGCAACCGTAATGCTATTTGATGCTGATAGCCCACCATACACTGGCCAGCTAAAATAAAATTTGATTTAATTATTATAAAAGATTAGAATATTTGAAATTCTATCAAAGGTCATTGCATGTAAAAAAAAAATAAAATAAAATAATAATAATAATTGGGCATAAAAAGGATAAATAAAAAAAAACACTTTTATTAATTTGTCAAGAAATGTATATACATACTTTAAAGCTATTCAATATTTACCAATTACTAATAATCTCAAGTAAAGTATTAAGTAAGTTTGTTTTGAAACATTTGACCCATACAATAAACTTATCTATCTGTTTGCAGTTTGCGACAATGAAAGATGGAGTTTTCTTTTGAAATTCTATTGGGTTGGCAAGTCCTTTCGGTTTTTCTGTTTATTTTTATGTCACTATAATACATTCTTACGTGATGTATTAATCTCTAATGTGGATTGTTTATCCTGTTTGTAATATGTCTATCTGTTTACTCTTATTGAAAATAGCTTAGTATTGTGTTTGATATTGCACTGTGAATATGTAAGAAAATATCATTCATTATTGGCATATATTGTTGTATTATTTTAAAAAAGGTAAGCGTGCTACAGAAGCTCATAGGCAAATTTTCAGTGTTTAAGGGGATGATGCCTTAACCAAAAGCACCTGTCAAAACTGGTTTGCCAAATTTCATTCAGGAAATTTTGACATCAATGATGCTCAACGGTCTGGTCGCCCACATGAAATTGAAACGAGCAATGTTAAGGCCATTGTTGATGAAAATCCCACCCAATCAGAGCGATAGATTACTATGGCTCTAAATGTGGTGCACACAAGGGTAGAAAACTATTTGCACAAACCCGGCTGTTTCCAGGATTAATGTTTGAGTCCCTAACATGATTTTTTTTTTCTTAGAAAATCACAAAAAATGTTATAACTTCAATACGACTTTAGCTTTCTACAAGAAATTTAGCAGGAGTTTGGGACCACATAAACTACAAAAAATGACATAAACAGAAACTTCTTTAACAAACTACAAATGGAGATAAAAAATAAAAACCTCTAAGGAGTTTTTGTTTATTTATTCCTTATGTAGGCATTAAATCACAAAACCATTCATACGGCTTTAAAGAGCAATAATTCATCTTTCCAACGGATATAGTAACATCAAATTTGGAGAACTTCCAGAAGAGTTATGAACGATCGAAAGGGTTTTGAGGACCACCAAGACAATGCTAGGCCCTTCACCTCATTGGTCACTCGCAATAAATTATTGAGCCATGGATGGGACCTTTTGCCCCACCCTCCACCAGACCTAGCTCCAAGTGACTACCACTTATTCCGTTCTCTGCAGAATTTCATGAATGGAAAGAAATTCCAAAAGGAATAGGACATCAAAAACCACTTGGATCAGTTTTTAAACAATAAACTCCAGATATTCTATGAATATGGCATTATACAGTTAGTGGAAAGATGGGAAAAAATCATATTAAATAATGATCAATATATTGTAGATTAAAATAAATTTTATGTCTATAATACATTAAGTTTTATTTTATCCTGAAAAACCGAAAGGACTTATTTGCCAACCCAATAGTAATATCAAAACACTAGAGCAAAAATAATTGCAGCCATTGAAACAATGAAATTATTTCAACTGAAAATGAAAGCGTCCTTTACCATCGTAAAGTGTGCATTGGTTTGAAAAATTAAGCAAAGGAAAAGAGTTAGTCCAAGGAACAGAAAGGTTCTGGATGACGATCAGTGGATATTTTTGGAACTATGAAGAAGTTATCTAATCTTAATTTTGAAGCTAACACGATGGACATTTAAATGAACTCTGAATGCCAACAATTACATAGAATTTATAACAGCGCTACCCAATTTTGGTAAATTGTAAAGGAGTTCTATTCCAACGGAATAGTGTTTGGCCAGACTCAAGGAAACATAAACAATGTTCATTGGATCAAACTTCAGCCCCATAAAACAACAACCAAGACCTAAATGCATGTTTTCCTATCAACGTTTTGGAATAATTTTATGGACCCCACTGAATCCTCAGAACCAACCATATTAGGTATTTTTTTTGTTTTGTTGTTTTATTTAGGACAGATGCAGTCGTTTAATTTTGTACTACTTTGTTATTCTAAAAGGACTTCGTCCCAGAATAAAGTTATTTTCTATTTCTATTTCTGTTTTCCTAGGAACCGTATTTGGTTACATTTTCCTTTCATTATTCGTAAGTTTGTAAAAATATATATAATACAGTACTTATCTAAGACCCTTTGACCAAAACCAAATAGAATCCTCCTGGAGTAGTGGTAATTTAATTACAGCACAAAAGCTTTCCATTGTTCTAGTCTGTGCGGTGCTCCAATAACTTCCCAGATTGACATTAAGCTAGTTTGCTAATAGGAAAACATACCTTAACTCTATCAGATTATCACTTTTTTTTTCCAAGCCTACTTTCTTTATGAGTAAAAATTTAATAATTATGCAGTTAATTGTTTCTTAAAAACAGTACACTTTTTATACATCCCCATAAAATGAAATTATAATTATAGTTAACTACCATTAGAGTAAACCACCTATTTTGTAATGTAAGTTTAGCTTTATTTGCATACTTTAATTTAAAAAACAATAAAATATTACAGGCAAACCATACTTGTTTCCATCAGGGGTCCTGGTGATTGTAACTATTGGTGAAGTTTGTAGCTTGTGGGCAGATGAACTCTCCATACACACAGATACAGAATGACCAACACTATTCAGTACTTCGGCAGTTACTGGTTTACTAGTTCTTGTGACAGGATCAAGTAAGTCATATGGAGAGACAAAATAGGTGAGCTTCATTGGGTGACCTATAATAACAAAACGTTTATATAAGTTTTACAATACTGAATAGAACAATTAGAAAATAAAAAATAGACGTGTGATTCACTCGACGTGAAAAAAAAAAAAATCTTTACCAATAATTGCTCTATTTTAAAACAGCAAAATAAATATTTTTTTCATAAACTTCATACTTCACTTCCACAGCCATATTCAATACCACATATTATTAGGACAATAAATAATATTGGACCCCAAAATAAAGGATAATTGAAATGAAAGTTGTTTGCAAGACAAAACTGTTTAATAAAAAATTAAACAGCAACTGCATGAAATTGAAGATCTTATGTAATGAAAAAAAGAAAAAAACTATTTTCCAGGATATTAAGAAAATGAATAAAAGATGCATAAAGAAATAATGAAAAAAAATATACAAAGTTGAAGTTCAAGAAAAGGACTAATCATTCAAATAACGGAAAATTATATTTACTAATATTGTAATAAATTAAACAAATATTCATACTATTAAAAGTACTTACCACCACGTCTCTTTTCGAGTAAACCAACAGGAGAATTATGAACAATTGAAACGAGATCCTTAATGTAATGCAAGGAAGCGAGAGTAGTAAGGTCAGCTTCAACAGATGTCAGGGCGGAGAAAGCTTTACACTTCACCTTTTTTTCAGCATTTAATTGGTAGATAGATGCAAGTCCTTCAAGTTGGGCAGTGAAGTCAGCAAAGTTCCTCTCAGAAAGACAAGTCACCAACTCCTCACAGCTCTGTTACATTTTATAATATTAGAATTAGTTTATAAACAATACCATATCAATTTAAAATAATAACAACAAAGACCAGATATAGTTTTTAGTCACACATACAATTAATAAGCCTTATCAATTCCAGTTTTGCAACATAGTATAGACACTATTTATCATATTACTATAGCAAACAATCACAATCACATTAGTTAAGATTATTGTAACCATCCAAAATGACTATAATGTTTCATATATTGCTGATTTGGTCCAAACCACCACCAAGGCGTCTGGAAAAACAGATGCCATTGGGGCCTTCAAATGTAGAATTTTGATTAGATTGCTCAGCTACAAATCTCTACATGCCATTATACTATTCCGTTCACATTTACTAGTAGTATTTTTATCTTAATGAGTGATAAATTTCATGAATAAAATAATATTGTAGATAATTTAAATATTTAGTCAATAGCATATGTGAAATTCTGGGAGATATAATAGGTTTTGAATTAGTCAAAAGAGAAAAAAACAAAAAAGTTTCTATGGCAATATATGCAAAATACTTTTTGAAAAGATATAGGTTCAATGAGTCCAATACTTTATAATTTTTCTGATATAGGTATAGTTTCTTTATTTTATTTTTTCTTAGAAAATTTGATAAACATTCATGTGATAATATACTATTTTATCCTTTGATTTATGTAATAAATAATTTTTTTTTCAATATAACTTTCTAATACTTTCTTTAAGGGATGCAATGCACTAGCGGATCCAGAATTTAATTTTGGGGGGGGGGCTTCAGCCAGAAACCTGTTTTTTCATAAAAATAACGATAATTACTTTGGAAAAACAGAAAGAAACTAACTACCTATATGAAATGGTGTTTAACTTAAGTACTTTTAAATGTAATTACACGAACAATAATACTTTAAGAGGTAATTTTTTAATTTTTTTTCCCCATGAAACATGGTTATATTTTTCCATTTGGGGGGGGGCTTCAGCCCTGAAAGCCCTCCCCCCCCCCCCCGTAGATCCGCCCGTGATGCAATGTAAATAAAAACTTGAAGGGTGGTAATGGGAATAGTTAATTGAGGCCAGTTTCATCAAAATCTTTTTTGCATTAAAGCCTAAAGAGAAACAATAACACAAAATCATTATGTTAAATTACAAATGCCATTATGTTCACACAGACAGTATATACTCGGAAAATTAGAGCATCATTAAGTAACATTTCATAAAATTAAATAATTAAGCAAGTAATTTCATGAAATTTCTCAGTCAAATGAAGCACTGGATACTTATATAACGATTTCAGACCTAAAATAGGCTGATACACTTAATGAGTTCTTACATTAATAAATATGATAGACTTTCACAAATATGTATAACAAAATTAAGAATTTTGAAAAATGTAATAGGTGATATTTTGCAGTAAATTGACGACGCACACTCAATTTCCAGTAAGTGTTGATTAATATTTTGAAAACAAAAAAATTATACAAGTCTGATGGCATAACTAAAGAAAGTAATCATATTTGCTTTCTCTAGGTTTCATGCACTAATTTCAATTAGTAATGTTCAAAACTTCTTACATTCCTTTGATCATTCATTAACTTCAAAATCAGGCTAAGAAAGAAAACATTGCTCATAATTACCTGTTCACCCCGTCCTTCATGATGAATCTTAACATCTTTAACCCCACCATTTGGTTCAAGAGCTATTTCTAAATAAAACATATCAGATGATATGAACAAGTCTGGTCCTGTTGGTCCTGGGCGTACTAACTTCAACCTAAGAAAATTAGTTGAATAAAATAAAACTTAATAATTGAGAAAAACATATCACATTGGAACAATATATTAATGTAATAGTAATATAATGATGATGCAAGCTCTTAAGACTATATAACATTTTTGAACACAAATAACTTGTATCAATCCTAACCATGCATCAAATTAAACAAGTCTTATTAAGCACTAAGAACTAGAAAAAAAAATTTAACAAAATCAAATATAAATACCCCAATTGGCGTGATACACTTTCGAGTCTTTCAATCATTGCCTGATGGGTTGTTACTTTTATATTTTGCTGCAATGTGTCTAAACATTTCTGAAGATGACCCCTTTCCAAACTATCTATCGGAAATCTCTTTTCCTAAAACAACCAAACACAACAATATAAAATATAGAAACTCCAATATATAGATAAAAACATGTATAGAACATGTAAAAATACTTACAAGTAATGCCATCCTTAAATCTTTGGCAGATTGTTGAAATGATCGGTACTGGTTTGACTTGGACCGTAATTTTTCCATTAGCATTTCCAGCTGCCATTCTTTTGATTTGTCTTTACTGCCTCGAGGGCCTAAAATACAAAATAAAAATTTATGACTAAATTTGAATGGTGTTCTAAAAAGATTACTATACTAACAAATGTATATTTAGTTATTTACTATTTAATAGCTGTCTTACAATCCCACGTGTTTTAATATAATAAGAAAAAGCAGATTTACTTACAGTTACTAGGAGGATTCACCATGTTTATTCTTTATAAAATGAAATCATGTATTCCCACCACCGAAAACTTTAGCTGAGACGTAGACAGAGCTATATAGTATAGCCATATCTACAATCACAAAATAAAATTAAATAAAAATAAATTCGGAGCAGGTATAACAAAGTGATGGCAACGTCCTCTCCCTGTTTACATATCTGATGACTGCCATGTTCAGGTACACGGCCTTCTCAATAGTTGTTTACCGCTGGGGGAATATGTTCATGAACCAAAATATGAATAATAAATAAAAAAAGGCTGCAAATAATAATCAGAAGACAATTTAGCGATCAACAATAAATAAAGATTATAATAAAAATCCGATAATATATTCCAAGACATTATTAATTCCCATCCTAAATCGGTGTGGAGATCATCGAAACCTTTAATACAATTTCTTCTATTTTTATTAATCTCGCATACTAGGGTGATATTTGCTTATTATTATATTTATCTATATATATATATATATATATATATATATATATATATATATATATATATATATATATATATTATATATATATATATATATATATATATATATAAATGAATGTATGTCTGTCTGTTTGTCCTTTGTGCATTACTAAACTATTCATCCGATCGCCATGTAACTTTGAACGGAAGTTGTTCCGTACACTCCTGGGAAGGTTTCTGGCATAATACTTCTGTCTTACTATAATTTTATATATGTAAATAAAATAAAAATGTAAATGTTTTTCTGTTCAAAGCCGCAAAAAAAATTGTCGCTATAAACTGTAGTGCCATAACGGCTTTACCGATTTTAACGAAACTTGGCTAAAGTCTTCCCCTTGAAACCCTTTTAATTTATGTGTATAACATACTTTCCCAAAAACAAGCTGAAAAATGTTACGACGAATTCAATATTTTATTTGACGACAACTAAAAAAGTACAGAATTTTCGACTGATAATACCCACATTTATTTGAAAGATTTCTGAATTGCAGACAAAATAAAAAAAAATCATCGAAATCGGAAGGTTCGTTGCAGAGTTACATAGTTTTAAACATTTACTGCTTTCTCTTCAGAAAAGGCCATTTTGCTTCCTCACTACCGAAGGTAGGCAAGCATTTTTTTTATTTTTATTATTGATTAATCGAAAATTTTATAATTACTACAGTTATTGGAATTATCATTTGAAGAAGTTATATGATTCTCCTTATGTAGGTCAATACTATTTTATACATTCTTTATATTAATTTTTTATTTTAGTTTTTTAACTTCAACTCAGACTGTTTATGAATAACGGCGTATTCACTCGGATGATTATGGATGTTCAATTTGAATCATGAGAAAAAAAATCATTAGAATTATTTTAAATTGAAGCCATTTTACAGACAAATTTGTTTCCCAACTTTTTAAAAATGACAGATGTCCTTTGCTATTAATCTACTCATATATGCTTTCAATTTTCTTTCTTTTTCATTTTGCCAGGCTAAGCCACAGCAGCGCGTGGCCGGGTAAAGCTAGTATATTATAAAATTTCACTACATAACATATCCAATAAAAAGAACAAACTATTCTATCTTATACAATTACCTAATTGTACATTATTCAATTTTTTTTTCATGAAAATTACTTTTTCAATGTCAATAAAGTATTCTGTCAGTTTGATAAACTGCATCATGTTTTACAAAATACGGTTCTACACAAATAAGTTTCCTTTAAGGCAGAGGTCTCAGAATTTTTGGCTCTCCGTCTTGTGACTTCCACTAAGTTCCTTGGGCCACACCGAGATCTTCATTTAAGTCCCGTTGGCTATGCTTTGTGATGAAAAAAAAGTTAGTTCTATTAATGAAACTTCAGTTCTGAAATGAGCTTTCTAAGAGAAACAGCGCATACAATTTATGATGTAGTTGAGTTTGAATAATTTATTAAATTTCATATTTTTTAAAATTTTACCATGCAGTCAAAGAAACTTTCGAGGGCCTGATTGGAGTTGCTTCCGGGCTGGATCCCGCCCTCGTGGCGTAGTTTGGAAACCTCTGCTTTAAGGGGTAGTTAAAGAAATTTACACCTGAACCAGTTATATGAAATATTGATGGGTCAATTTCAATTCAATGTAAATTGAAATAAACTCGCTCTATCTCTGCCTGCGTTGGGATGTTCCTTTCCAGTTATCTACACGCAGCTCTATTGCATCTTTCTTGATTCTATCTATCCGTTGACCTTCCACGTGATCTTTTGCCTTCTATTGAGACATTCATTGTTACGTATAGGCTTCCAGATGGATACGAGCTACGTGCCCCGCCCATCTTAACGTCTGTGCCTTCATATCACGGGATATTGATTTACCAGTTTCGGTTATCAGTTCATTCTTGGTCTTTCTTCTCCATGTATTAGTACTCTGATCCAGGATCGTTCCGGTTATCATGCAGAGGATTTTCCTCCCGAATCTTTCAATCCTGTTTTCTGGGGTCCTGGACTCAAAGTCATACATTAGAACTAGCTATACAACATTGTACTCCCTTAATTTGGCATTTATTGAGATTTTTCGGGATTTTAATACCTTTGAAAGGGGGGAGAAGGCTCTGTTTACTCTATTTCTGTCCATTGGTCATTCATTGTGGTTATTGTGGAGCCGAGGTATTTGAATTTTTCTACTCTCGGGAATGATTTTCCTTCTACGCTAGTTGCGCTAGATTTAATAGTTGAAGAATGAGCTTTTGCTATAATATTTCCGAAAAAATGTGTTTGTGCCCCTACGGAGGGGTCTAAAAGGACTCCTTATGCATTGAATAACTTATATATATATATATGATCATGTTTATGAAGAACAAATGTTAGTAAAATAATAAGGGTATAGGTATCCAAGGAATATTCTTTTGTAATATTTTCCTACATGGTCTGGGTCTATAGGACTGGAGTAGTTACAATTTTTCCAACACCCTAAAATTGACATATTATTATTAAAAATATATTGGTTGGCTCAGACAGAACATATTAAAACATTATGAATTCTCTCCCCTTAATCTTAAAACTATGAAGTTTTTAATACCACTTATAACATATCCTAAAATATCTTTTAGTATAGAATGACGTCGATATATCTTTAAATTTTAATTATGTCGCTACTTTGTGTAGGTATTTGGAAATTTGGATTTGCTATTATAACATAATGCTATTAGAGCATTATCAATAATATATATTAAAATAATATATTTAGAAAATTTACTTATTAGTGTTAATGAATAAACAAACAGAACAAGATGGAATTGTATAAATTGCAAATTTACTTATTTTTAACTTGTCATAAGCTAACTTATGGTTGGTAGTTGATCCGAATGATATTATGATCTCTATGCTTGAATGTTCTTTGTTAGTCCTGTCAGGTTGCCGGTTAAGGTTTGTTTTCATTTCTAGAGTTGGGTTTTTCTAGAAGAAAATTTAAAACATTTTTAGCTGGTTAATAATTCCTGTATTTAATTCACTAATAAAAATGCTGCCTAGTATGCCGTCATTATTTTCTTCTTCCCGGGATTCCGTTGTAAGTTATTTCATAGTTTGTGAACTAATGAATCATGTCAATTATTTGGAGAATATTTTTATTCTATTTAATCAACTGAAGTGAAAGATTAAATTCAATTTGTACCGATACCTTTTTCATATTTCTCCATTTATTCTTGTTTTAGAGAATACCAAACTACCATAACTAAGGGAATTTCGAAAAACGAATTGCTGATATAAGGATCCTATAATAGGTTAACAGTACACTTTACTGGCTATGTTTGAAATGCAATGGGTTTATAATTATTAGTATGCAAAAATATTTATTGTGTACTTATTTCTATTATAAACTTCTTAAAAAAAAAGAAAAAAAGATATCAGGTCTTATCATATACCAGTAACACATATCTACACAATAATACTGTCTATTACGTTCCAAATCACAACCGTTTGAGGTTAAATAATCCCATCCAAAATTATCGGATGTTTTATCAAATATCTTCCAGGATATATATTTCTTTTGTATTGTATATTCTTTTAGATTTTATTTATTACTTTGTTAATATCTTCGAAATCAACATGTAATTTTAACTACAACATTTTTACTTATAAAGTAGTAATCTATATTATTCTATTCTTATAATAACTTAAAAACATGCGTAGTGATTGTTGGATTTTAACTGGAAGGAATACAATAATCAAAGACTCAATATTTATTACTTGTTTATTTCTTAAATTGCTTTCTTTAATTTTTAATATAAATTTCAGATACCTTCTGAAGCAAATATACCCATATCTGTTGATCATCAAGTGAGGTATTTTTTTAGTGTTTCTGCCATAGTCATTTTCTCTGCCTTTCCCATTTATTCTTATTTATTTGGTATTCTAAATTTAAATCTTATTTAGTGTAAAGGAGAAGAAACCATTTGTCAGCATTCCGGTTACAAATGAACTTCAAGATTTTTCGTTTGAATCGATCCCTCAAGATGAAAAGGTGACCTTAATTTATTCATCAACTACTTGGCTTAACTTATATAATATAACTTATATTTTATAATAATAAACTTATATAAATTTAGATATAACTTAACAACAGTAACTTATTAAATCTGTGATTTCATTCATCTTTATATTATCTTGTACCTTAGTAATATTTGAACGGTTGCAGCCAAATGGCTTAAGTACAATTGAGGTCATGAGGAACGGATTTGCTTGTGTTCCAATTATTTGATCAGTATCTTAGTATTTGGAATATTTGTTCCCAACAATTTTCGTTGCTCAGTTTCTGTTTTTTTTTTCACAGTAATTTTATTCCAGTAATTATTAAAGTTTGAGCTGTAGAGCTATGTTACTAACATCGTATTTTTCACTAATTTTTTTGGGGGGAAATTTATGAAAATGAATTTCATAGTTTTATAAATCCTTATCAGAGAATATTGCTTAGAATTTTAAAAATAATAAACAACTATAGTTCTCTCTCAAGTTTTGTGTTTAAATATTTGATAAATTCATTTCTTGATTTTATCGAAATACTGGCAGTTGAAAAAAAAAAATATTAAGACTCCCAAAAGACAGTTTACTGTCACCAATTTAACTCACATACAGATTTTCAATCCTCTAACTCATTTTGGAAGGGATGTAAAGGTTCAGTTTTATAAATTGGGAAAAACAAAAAACTGCTAAGAAATGATAAATTTTTCTTAAATTTTATGGTTTTATTCTGCCTAGAAATAAAACCTCATATACTGAATTTCAGCTCATTTGATTCAAATGAAGCTACTGGTGCCGAAATGTAGAGGAAATGTTTTGCGTTCCTAAGACATCTCCGAAACCCCTACAATCATATTTAAGGGGTTCTAAAATGGATATAAAATGTCCTTCCACCCCTCTTTGATATCCTTTGGTACCATGAAAAATGTTAAAAAAACAAACAAAAAATAAAGTAAAAATATGACAGTGATATTATGAGTAACTGCTTGGTTAGTTTAATTTATATGACAGAATTGAAATACAATTATTTTTTGATAAAACTGACTATTTTATTTATCGTTGGCAGGAGTGTGATGATGAGCTCGTTCTCATGGCCGAAAATGCTTCAATTGGTGAAAAGAGGAAGAATCAATCTCATTCAACCCCAACAAGGAAGAAAAAGAAAATTGAAGCCGTAGAACCTGTGTTAGAGGATAGAGTCAACAATGATGAGCAAGCTAATCGTAAGTTATGAAGACGTGTTCATCAAATAAAATGTGAAATTTAATTTTTTTAGTCATTTAATGATATTTAAAATATAATGATTATATTGTATAATCACATAGACTAACTTGACTGTATAATATTATTTATTAATAATTATTTATATGTAGGCATTGCTTCAGCTTTCAACTTGAAAGTTTTCCTTAAGTTTATAACCAGTTAAAGCCAACTTTATTTATAGGTGCTTTTTTTTTTTTTTTTTCATTTTAAGTGATTTAGTTTCTTGTAATTTATCGATTGTCGCTCCTATAATTTTTACAGTAAACAATTAAAGCAGAAATTGGCCACCTTCAAATACCAATCCTTCAACTCCTACCTTACTTCCCTCTCTGTTCATGACAATTCCCTATGGAAGATCACCAACAAAATCCTAAAATCCCATCATATTTCCCGTCCCCTCCATCGAAGCGATGGCTCCTTGGCAGCCTCTGATGAATATAAACCTGAGGAATTCTCCAGACACCTCTCCAGAACATTTACCTCTCATCCGGAATCCAACCTCACCCATACTACAACAGTAGAAGAATTCCTTACATCACCCATTCCACTTTCCTTGCCCCCTAAAGCAGTTAATCCTTCTGAGGTCAAACATCACTTACAAAAAATTCCTCTCCGTAAATCTCCTGGGTACGACCTCCTTACCTATCAAATCCTTCGACAACTTCCTCCTAAAGCTGTTATATTTCTCACCTACTTATATAATGCCATCCTAAAAACCACCCACTTTCCTCTTTTGTGGAAACATTCCACTATTATCCTGTTTCCGAAACCAGGCAAATCTCCCAACACCTCAACGTCCTACAGACCAATTAGCCAACTTCCGATTCTCTCAAAAATCTTTGAAAAGATCCTCCTGAAACGAATCCTACCCTTTATAGAATCCCAAAATTTTCCTTCACATCAGTTCGGATTCCGTTCACAACACTCCACAGTCCAACAAGGACTCCGAGTGGTCGATCATATTTCCGCAGCATTGAAAAGCAAGCAATATTGCTCGGGCTCATTTCTGGACATAGCTCAAGCTTTCAACCGGGTATGGGCTTCTTTCCAAGCTGAAAACCTATCTTTCTCAGTCCTTATACCTTGTCCTCCGTTCCTACCTCTCAGATCGTACCTTCTGAGTTTGCTGCGGTAGTGAATTATCGAATTGCTATCCAATTGAGGCAGGTATTCCTCAAGGTAGCGTATTGGGTCCCGTCCTTTACATCCTCTTTACCGCCGATATCCCTGTCCATCCCGATACCTTCCTGGCAACTTTTGCTGATGACACCGCCATTCTATCATCCGACTCAGATCCTGATATAGCATCCTTAAACCTTCAAAGACACCTCTTCCTGATTGAGCACTGGTGTAATAAATGGTGAATTAAAGTAAACGAATCCAAATGCCAACACATCACCTTCACGCTCCGACGCAGTTCCTGTCTACCAGTACACTTTAATTCCATTCAGCTTCCTTTCTCAGACACAGTCCGGTACCTTGGCTTTCTCTTAGACAGACGACTAACGTGGAACCCTCATACTAGACTTAAAAGGCAGGAACTAAACCGACGATACGGACAACTATACCGGCTACTAAACAGAAAATCAAAACTTTCCATTGAAAACAAGTTACTGATCTACAAGACAATACTGAAACCTATGACCTATGAAACCTATGAAACTTACGGACTTGAACTGTGGGGAACAGCAAAATTTACTAACATCAAACACATCCAATCATTCCAATCCAAAGTCCTTCGAACAATAGTCAATGCTCCTTTCTATGTAACTAACAAAACCCTACACCATGACCTTAATATCACATTTGTCCTAGACCTTATCCCAGCAAAATTCTCCAAATTCCACCAGAACCTTACACATCATCCAAATCCCTTTGCACAATCTCTATCCAGCACCACCCATCCATATAATCCTCCAAGGAGGTTAAAACGGCAGTGGCCCCGCGATCTTTTATAGTTTGTAAATATTGGAGTTCTGGCAATGGCCAGATCCTCCACTCACGACATGAGTGTATGTGGCTAAAGCACTCTTGCTCAATCTCCACTGGGCTTAGCCCTAGTGACGCGGTTGAGAGAGGAGTGCAGGGAACTCCTGGAGTCATACTTTTCCCTCCACAGTTGGAGGGACAAGTCCGGTTTGGAGTTCTCTCGCCAAATTGTAAATATTGTATATAGGTGTGCATGTGTTCTTTTTATTTATTTATTTTTAGGTTATTTTATTCTTATTTATTGTATATATATTATTTTTCTGTATAATTTATTTTATTTACTGTACATAGAGTGTGAATGTGATCTGTGTACACTATTATAAATGTCCTTGAGACAGATTGTAATATTTTTCAATAAATTAAGCTGATAAAATTTAAAAAAAAAAGTTTCATGTAATATTATGTTTTATTTTTAGATTTTGCTACATCCTATTTTATGAAGGCCAAAGCAGAACTTGATGAGCCTACTTTCTTAAAATTCATCGCTTTATTAAGTGAGGTCACTGTAAGTATTTTTGTATTGTAAAAATTACTAGTTTTGTTCTATTTTTGATATTTTATACATATCAATATAATTCTGTAAACTATTCTCGCCATATTTGCTATTACAATGGGCCCCACCTGATTCTCTCTTATTTTATTTTATTTTTTATTATCATGTGTAGATTGAGCAATGCTGTATGATTTAGCAACTGAACATAGTTAAGCAGCCGTGCGATATTACCATAGTTCTCTCTGCGATCTGTTAGTTACAATCTAGTTTAGCTTATTATTATGAAAAGTTGTGGTGAAATTGTAAATGCACTCTCATTAGTAATGATTTTTTTTTTATAATATAAAAACGTTTAACAACAATTTAACATTTATTTTGAAAAAAACAGGAAATTATTAATGATGAGATAAGAAAAATAAAAGTAACCGATTAAAACATGAGCAAACAGGCTCAAGATGTTTGAGATAAAATAAAATGAATAAAGCTTCATGATTTAATTTTCTTGAAAAAATGTTGTACTAAAAAAATGAAATACTCTTAAAAATATATATTTATATATCATTTGCATTAATGAAATATTAACAATCTTTTTTTTTTTTAGGAAAGCAATACGAACATTATTTCTCTGTATAATGAAATGATGAATCTTTTGTCAAATCATCCTGACCTAGCTGAAAAATTCATTGGTTTTCTTCATCCTCATCAAGCCCTAGAAGTTCAGAAACTTACAGACTATATCCAGTTCGAATCTACTTGGAATTTCTTCAGAAAAATCGATGTGCATAAATGTTTCTTTTGCTTCTTTATCGATCAATTTGCTTTTTATAATTTGAATTGAAAATATTAATATTCCAAAGCTGATTTATAAAGATTTTGTTTTATAAAATGAAAGAGAAGGAAGAAATGTTCTGAGTTGGCGATCAAAAAGGAACTTCAAATTATGCAAACAAATTTATTGAAACATTTTCAGTTTATTGAAAAGTTTAATTATTGAATGATATCAATAAATAATGTATACTATTTGAAGTTCGTTTCTGACCACCACCACTGATCATCACTACTCTCATTATATCCGCAGACAACTAATAAATAATCCAATACAATATCAAAGACTAATATCTATACTTTTCAAAGCTAAAAATTCAACAATTGTCCTTACTCAGAATTTTCCACAGCTTCAATCATAAGCAACTTTCATTCTTTAATTATAATTAATTGCCGTATATTTTTCTCTTTATTTGTCTCTCTTTAAAGGAAATGGTATTCTTAATGAAAAACACAATTTTTAATATTTGATGCTATGGTTGTATGGTAATATTCATCATTGTAATGACTCATGCTTACCCAACAGGCCTTCCACTTGAATAAGGTGTACCATCTTCTGGAGCAGCATATCTCAAATCCATCAGTCACGAGTGAAACTGTCAAAAATAGTCTCTTTTCTACATTTAAAGGCCATCCAAATATTTCAGAAGGGCTTCTTTATTTGCTTCCTGGTGAAAAGCCTCCTGCAAGGTAATTGATTGATGTAATATCATTAAGCATTTCTCTTTATTTGAAATCAGGAATTTTTTCCTGATCTTAGGAAAGGCATTAAATATTTAGTTTTTTTTTTTTTTTTAATTTTGAATTTAGCTTTGTAATTTTGGTTTTGAAAAACAGAAAGATGTTTCAGCTGCAAAGAAGACTTTGAGGACATTTCTGATCTTGGGGTGGAGGATAGCAGTACGTGGGAGAAGCTGAGTATTCCGGAGCAGTCCCATAATGGATGCACTCCTGATCTCTGCGATTGTCGTTGCCATTTGTGCATACCGAAGAAGTTTTGTACTTACTGCAATATAAAGGTTCGTTTCTGGTTTTAATATCCTGTAATCTAGTAATAATGTCTTATTAAGCATTCAGAACTGAAGTATATCTAGACCGAAAATTTAAAAAAAAAATTTTTACATTACTTGTTAGTAGTGTACATTTTCTGAACCAAACTCTGCTATTGTTATTTTCTAAAATATTAAATAATAATTAATCCTTACGTTAGATTAGTGAATATTGCACAAAAACTTGCAGAGGCCTCAGGTTCCTCACCTGTGGTATAGGATATATATATATATATATTTTTTTTTTTTTATATTTGTAGAAGGATATATTTATCTTTAAAATTAAAGATAAATTTTCCATTTTTAATAAAATATAACTATATAACATATTTTATAATTATTATAACTATATAACTATTTTATAATAGTTATAACTATATAACTAAATAACATATTATATATAACTATATATATTTATATATATATTTAATAAGTTTTTTTATAAAATATTAGGCCAAACGTCACCAAATGTACACAATTTTTACATCCTGTATTATTTATTCGACGTTTCGGCTTCAGAAGCCATTTTCAAGATCCTGCAAACTAATTTTAATTCAATTGTTATAGTTCAAAATACATCCTTATTAGACACATATGAATTTAACAACTATCAGTTATATAAATAGTTCAAATTGTATTTTATCAAAATATTTTTAAAAAATATTTTGTTTTTAAATTATGGTAGGTAGATGATAAAAAATTTTTTTTAAAATATTTTTATAAAATACTATTTGGACTATTTATATAACTGATAGTTGTTAAATTAATATGTGTCTAATAAGGATGTATTTTGAACTATAATAACTGAATTAAAATTAGTTTGCAGGATCTTGAAAATGGTTCCGGTACAGGATGTAATAATACAGGATGTAAAAACTGTGTACATTTGGTGACCTTAGGCCTAATATTTTATAAAAATCTTATGAGAAAATGGCACCAAACCTGAATGAAATGACTAGAAAGTTATATATTTAATATTCTCTGTAAAAATATGTCATTTTTTCTTTTAATATTCCCTCTACTTCAGTTTTAGGGCATTGTGGTCATTATCAATTAGTTATTAAAAGGGCGTCATTCATACTTGATGACTAATACTTTTTTTCATAATTATCTTTTAAATTTTTTTGTTGAAAATGTTGAAATTTAGTTTTAAAAAAAAAATAATAATTTTTTAGTTCTCAAATGGACAGATTTACGTTCAAACGGGGAAAGGTTTGAGGTTCGCAAAGGTAACCTTTCGTGGATGTCAGCAAGAAGAGGTACTTTATCAACTCAATCCGACCATTTATAGCAAACCTGTTGAGAGAAAAAAAACTAAATCTGTTTCTCATCAAGCAAAAGGTAGGAAATGATATTGTTCCTTTTATTTATTATAAAAATTTATTGATTATTTTATAATTTGCTGTACTAAGTTCTATTTCATGTGGAATTATGTAATTTTCCAAGTAACTCGATTATCTTTAAAATTATTTCAATTTTGATTTATATAATATTGTTTAACAGTTGTTTATTTTAAAGTCGTTTCGTAGTCTGTCAGATGTAACTTGTGATTTCTCTTTAAAGAAAGAGTTTTTAAGTTTTTTATTATTGTTTTATAAGTATGTCAGAAGCTACCAAATTTCAATGTATTCGAGATCTCCATTTTAATTTTTTTTGTTAAATTCTTGAATCTTGGCTAGAAAAAATCTTTCTCTGTATTGAATACAATTTCTATGTGATTAATGAAAGATTTTTTGTTTAAAAAACCTTTAAAAAATTGAATATGTATGTACTATTTTAAATTAGTACTAATCAACCATTCTGTTGCACATTATGTAATTACAATCATTATTAATGCTTCTTAATGTGTTGAATTACATCCATGGAGACTTTAATTCATTTTTCTAATGTTTCACTTTCAATTTATTTAATATTTCTCAAAATTATATATTAGATATTTAATGATGGATCTAATTAGTGACTAGTGGCTTATGCATGGGATGTCTGCAGTTGCATGGTTTTAATTTTATTTTGGACCCTCGTTCGAGTAGTATATGACTGAATGTTAATAAGGCCAATTAGATAAATAAATTATCAAATTTATTATGCCAAATTGTTATTTACAATTATTTTAAAGAATATATATTGTTGGTATATTGCAAAAGTTCACTCAGTACATTTTTGTTACAGATAAACTTTTAAGTATGATTTTGTAAATTTCAACCTTATTTATGAAAAAATTTAGTGCATCAAAATGTCAAACCCTTCTAGATATTAAAAATAGTAGCAATGTATACACAAGATTTTGATTACACAGAATGGAAATTCGATCAAAGTATTTAGTGATTTAATTTTAGGAAATGTTATTAATGACTTTTTTTTTTTTATATATTTGTTTATTTAGAAATATTACATTCTGTCACATCAAGGACATTTATAATAGTGTTCAGAAAAAGCACACTCACACTCTATTTACAATAAAAAAAAATAAATAATATAGAAACTTAATAATAGTAAATACAATAAAATAAAATAAAAATAAATACAATAAAATAAAATAAATGTATATAAACAAAAGAACTAACCTAATCATACACACTTGGGCTTGAGTGGAGGATCTGGCCATTGCCAAAACTCCAATAGATGCTTATTTACAAAAGGTCTCTGGGCCACTGCCGCTTCGACCTTCGAGGAGGATTGTAAGGATGGGTGGTGCTGGATAGAGATTGTGCAAGGGGATTTGGATGATAGGTAAGGTTTTGGTGAAATTTGGAGAATTTTTCTGGAATAAGGTCTAGGACAAATGGGATATTAAGGTCATGGTGTAGGATTTTGTTATTTACATAGAACGGAGCATCAACTATTGTTCGAAGGACTTTAGATTGAAAGGATTGAATACGTTTGATGTTAGAAGCTTTTGCTGTCCCCCACAGTTCAAGTCCGTATGTCCATATAGGTTTCAGTATTGTCTTGTAGATAAGTAATTTGTTTTCAATAGAAATTTTGGATTTTCTGTTTAGTAGTCTGTATAGCTGGCCGTATCGTCGGTTGAGTTCTTGTCTTTTAAGTCTAGTATGTGGGTTCCACGTTAGTCTTCGGTCTAAATGAAAGCCAAGATACCGGACTGTGTCTGAGTAAGGAAGCTGGATGGAATTAAAGTGTACTGGTGGACAGGAACTGCGTCGGAGTATAAAGGTAATATGTTGGCATTTAGATTCATTAACTTTAATGCGCCAGTTATTACACCAGTGCTCAATCAAGGTGAGGTGGTTTTGGAGGTTTAAGGATGCTATGTTGGGATCAGAGTTGGATGATAAGATTGCGGTGTCGTCAGCGAATGTTGCAAGAAAAGTATCGGGATGAACAGGGATAATGACTTTTTGCAATAAATTTTTGATATGTTGAAAGGGTTGTGATAATTAAATTTTAGAATTTATTGATATTTGATAATTTTTAAATTTATTTATTTTCATTTCAAAACAAAGTGATTTTAAGAAATTTGGTGAACAAGAACAGCATATATAAGTCAAAGATTTCCATAGTAAATAAATCTTTTTGTATACTTATTTTCTCATGATTCATTGGCCTTGAGAAGGCCAAACCTCAAATAGGATGTTAACCACGGTTAAAATATTTTGTTAATATAAATAAAGTTGTTAATTATTTATTGATGTTTCAGAAATCAGCCATGTCAGTGAACCACTACCAAAAAGTGAGGTACAGGTTGAGACTACTAAGAATGGTGGTAAATGCAAAGGAATCGATATAATTGAATTGACGAAAGAAGCTGTACCTGCTGAAATTGAAGAAAATGACTGTGAAGTTGCCATAGAACTTGTCTTGCCACTTGTTCATAATGAGGAAATAATTTGCATAAATGAAGAAGGCGTCTTAGAAGAAATCACTGATGGCCAAATGTGTATCGTTCTTGACAATGCTCTTGAAACAAATGAATGCATTCCTACATCTAATGAAAATAAGGTAAACTTTCTTTTTTATATTTTGTAGTTTGACTTTTATGATGATGAAATCTGGGTAACAAGTCCAGGATATTTCATTTTATGTTATATTCAAATAATACAGTTTATTTTTTATTAATATGTATATTTATAATCGTATTTATATTATTAATTTTTTTTGTAATGTTTTAGGAAGATGTTATTGAAACTACATTGAAAGTGGATGATATTGAAATTGAAAAAGGTATAGATAAAGAGGTCAAAAATGATAAAAATGAACATGAAGAAATTGTAGTAGAAGTTTATGAGATTGATAACAAAATAGAAGAAACAGTGGATGTTATTGAGGTTAAAGGTAATGAAAACGAAATTCAATCGAAGGAAAAAGAAATCAAAATAGAAGAAGAAAAGTTGGAAAACAAGCCCAGATTATGGACCAGGGAAGAGGACAAGCTAATTCTTCAGGCATTTCAGAAGCAACTTAGCACCGAACAGACGTTCTCAAGAATAAGTGATCTCATGCCAAACCGTACGGTCGAGGATGTAAGTTTGAAAATCTAGTTATGTAATAAAAATTTTTTATTGCTTAATAGTACAAAATTCATAGCAAGGAGTTGATGTAAATCAACATTTTAAACTTCTTTATAGAAATACAACCTTCATTGATAAAAAACACAAAAAAATGTATATTTACATTTTCAGCACTAAATAATAAAATAAGAAAAAACTTTTCGCATTTTAAAACTTCCTAGGGTCCCTCTTCAGTTATTCTTCCTCAGTCTAAGTGCAAGTTTCTTAATTTAAGATAGCAACAAGAATACAAATACAGTTTATTGATATTTGTTATAATTTCTATTCTTCAAGTATATTATAGAAATTTAGATGGAAAAGTAAAACCATTGGGATATGTATTTTTTGTTTTTATTTATTAAATTGTACATATTCATTTGGAAATTAGATTAGATTAAAAGCATTTCCTTTCAAAGTGGGGAAAATTAGCTAGGTTTTCCATTGTTCCTTTATATGAAAACAATATAATAAAATTTCCTATTTTTGTTTTCCATTGAAGTACAGCAGAGCTTATTAAAAAAACAACTAAACCTTTGGTATGTAGTGGCAGCTTGATAGCTTTGAATTTCTATTTACTTATTATATACCTTTTAGCTTATTATTTAGGAAGATCCATAGTTTCTTGTCATATGCCGATAACATCACATTATCCAGTCCTAAGTAAGAAAGGTCCAAGTTCTTCATGGAACTCGCTGTCATGTCCAGAATCAATTCATTTGTTAAAATGACCAAAGGCAAAACCTTTCCACTTTATCAAGTCTATACAAATGTTTGAGTTGCTCTCCAAGATCCTAATATTTGCGATTTTTTTCTGCAACTACCTTGTAAAGATTATCATCCTATGGTATACGTATTTCGACAATATTATTATCTTGTTTATTCTCGCATTTGCATATTCGAAACTGAAGGTGGGAGACAAGTCCAACCCCACCTAGATATTTTTTCTCAAATATTTAGAAATTGTTGAACTATTCTGGCTATATATAAGAGAACTGCTTGCTGAGAACTAATGCTCCTTTAGAACATTAAGGAGCCATCGTTGACTTTGGAATCAGATCATTTGTCAATATTATAATTGCCATTACCACTGTGCTTTCCAAATGAATGAATGAAGATAATTTTATTATTCTGGGACTGTTGTCCCTTTAGGACAAGTTACAAATACAGAATACATATTAATATTTTTTATGTAAATGCTGCAATTCTTTTATTTCAATCACTAATTCCTGATATTTTTTGAGTTTCTCACCCACAGTTGTGCTTGTATTATTATTATTATATTACGCTTGGCTTTCTTTGTGGTTTTTATTATTATTTTATTCACAAAAGGTTTTTTGTTTACTTGAGAGGGGGAGAATCAACTCCAACCTCCTCAGGTATGTTCAATTTTAATTTCTATTGAATGTTGAGAAAGCTTCTTACAATTCTGGCAGTATTCAACAGCTCTGCTTTCTGAGCTTCATTTATTACATGAGTTGGAAGGCCCAGCCTGTCAGTAGCTTCCACAGTAGACACCGGTATCAGGCCATTGCTGGAGATCACAATGCCCCTAACGGTTACTATATTAAGTTTATACAAACTTTTTAACTCAGCTGCTTGACCTTGATATTTCCGAATTTTTTCGGCACAGACTGAGTTAATGTTTCCCTCATTTGGAACAGCAATATCTATAATTTCAGCCACCTTAATATTGCCGTCAATTAACACAATATCAGGTCTGTTTATTATTATTATTCTTTTTATTATATACCTTTTTTATTTTCACTTTTTAAATTTTTATATAAGTTTTCTTACAGCCTTGTAGTTATATACCTTTTAGTAAAAAAAAAATATTAGCTGATGACAAGTTAACACTAGCTACGTAATAACTATTAGTAACTTCTTGCCAAAACTGGTATGTTGCCTCTAATTGACTCTTTGCCTTATCATAACTTTTAAGCTTTATTTGCAGTTTGTTTTGTTTTTATTTCATTATTAATGAACTTAGGTAGGTAGGGTAAGAGTTTTAGGGCAATAATTTGCAGGATTATTACACCTATATAAACTTAGAGAAGTTTTAAATTCATGTGGGAAGTTTAACAGTTTCTGTAATCACTATAAACAAATTTTCACTCACATTTTTGATTTAGACATCATTAATATTTTGATTTTCCAATAGCAATTGATTGAAATTTTGTCCACTTTTTTTTGCTGGCATTTATTATTCCTTGAAATATATGTGATTATGTAAACAATAGAAATGGCGAGGAAGCTATACTGATCCTTCTCGACAGATGCTTTTTATTTAAAATTATAAATTTAGTTATTAGAGTTAAGTTTCCACATCTGGATTATTTACAAAATCTTAACTATATTTTATAATTAATTGATATCATAATGTGGAATTTATGATTAATTATTTCTCTTATTTATAATTAAAATTTTACCTTAGTTTTTTGTTTTATTAAATAAGCGTATGTTTTTTACAGATCCAGGGGAGGTTTCAAGTCCTAATGAATCTTCTTGAGCAGATGACTAGTGGCTCCAATTATCCTTCGTAGTTGTATAGCTAGCTGCGTTAAATATTACCTTTAACTGGACTGGATACAGTTCATTACAGATACCTATCGCATTTGATATGGAAATCTGAATGTTTATCGCTCAAAATGAGCATATCTGTTGTAAAGTATGGTGTGAAAAATTGGTATATATACCTTAATAACTTAACTGTTTAGGTATTTTTGAAATTCTATTGTGTAGAAATCTATAGAACTTTTTAAATTATTAATTACGATGATGATGCTTAATAATACGACTAAATTAAGATGTATGTGCTTAAAAAGTATTGGTGACATTTTCATTAAAATTTTTGATATCTCTCTCAGATTACTTCAGAATTATTTTCTTTTGATTTTTCAGGTATGGTTAAAATTGTCTGACATATTTATGGTGCTAGTTCTAAGAGAATGTGTAGGTGATGAGGTTTTTTAGATGAGTCAGTGTCTTGAAAATGTTACCATCCACTCATCGAATATTTATATTTTATTTAATTACTTAAGTTATTAAAAACTTATTTTTCTATGAAGTTGTTAACTATTTGCGGTCGTATGCTGACCTTGGACCAGCATAAACAAGTTATCATTTCATTTGCGAGTTTCTATCCATCGCCAGTCCTACTGGTTCTTTGAGGAGCTGGGACCGGCAGACATATTTAATGTTAGAAGTCCAATGCCGGCTTATCACTGGCATCAATTTTCTGTCCCTCTAGTCCCTTGCCAAATCCTCCAATGCATATTTTGAATAGACAGCGCTATTCTAGACGATCATCTGATCGTTTTGGTACCAAATAGTACCCTCAACACCCGATAGATGCTCTGTAAATATTCTGTGAACTACAGAACTCCAAGACTGCTTAGTTTGTTGTTATTTCTTGAACCTTGAAACTTTTTGGTGTCAGTTTTAATATTTTTGTCATAAGTTTTGATAATTTTCGGAGTTTTAAATATTTATAAGTGTATTTTGTAATGGATGACGAAGAAATTTGTGAGAATTAGACATTTTTTGTTTATTTAGTTATTGTTATTTTTATTTAATTTTAATTTATTGTTGGAGAATTTTACGAGGAAGAACAGCGTCACAAAAGTAAAAAAGAAAACTTTGAAGACGAACATTTTGATGATGAAGAAAGTGATGCAAGTGATACTCTTTTTGATTCTGAAACCGAATCGTCTGATGAAACAGATGAACCAGATAACTAGTTGGTTTTTAATCAAACAAATAATAATAATTTAGCTGACCAAAAGTTTCAAATTGTTCAATTGATGAATTTAATTATATTACTTAACAAAACTGTATAAATTACTTTTTGATTTGAATAAAAATTGACTCTTGAGAATAAATAAGCAGTTGTATCATTTTTATGACCTCTAAAACAAAATGTGAAATTCAATAGATAACTATACGGACCACCAGGGCGTGATGTAAACAAAAGGACTTGGATTAATGACAGGGGTTGTTTATGCCGGTACTGGACCGGCATAGGACCGTGTGGACATTCATGAAATTAAGAATGAGACCGCAAAGGGTTAAGACGATATATGATATATTGAGAAATTTAACATAGCTTTCTTAGTTTGAGGTGGTTTTTCTTTGTTTTCTGTACTTCAGTAAATTCAAAAGGTAGTTTAGGTAATTTTACTTTTTTGTGAAATGACTTTATTGGTGAATAACTGAAGGATTTGGTGTCCCAAGAGCTTAGCGAATAGACCCTTATAGTTCACTGAGTCTGTCGGAGAGCAGATGAATGCCACTGATTCTCACTCTTATCTTTCTTTACATGAGTAAGAACTTGATATAAAATAAAAACAAAACCTTCTTTCTTTTTTAATATTTTGGTGAGGTAGTAGATATTGAAAAGTATTATCAATTTAAGTCAGAAAACCATTGAAGTCCTTACTATACATACCATGTTGGTTTCAAAAGTGAAGATATTTTTCTGGCTCATTTACTAAAAAAATATGCTATGTAATTAATTTGGAAAAAAAAAAAAAAAATGCCACCATGTAACAGGCCTATTGAATTGGGGGGGAGGGTCTCCAGTTCAGCCTCCCTTACCCGACCCGAACTACCTCTTTTTTCAACAACAGCTCTTTCAGGTCTGTTAGTTGTTAACTTAAAATTTCCTTAAACATTGCTTTTCAATACTAGTGTAAATAAATTATAGCAACTTCTTCTTTTCACATTTATGAGGTATATAATAAGGAGTTTTTACAGGATCAAATTTGAATAAACACATTAAAAACATAAGGCTTATGTTGAATCTATGAAAGGCCACTTATAACTACTAAGTTAGATTGTACTCTTAGGAAATGTGTCTTAGGTGAATCTATAGTTCCTAAAAAAGATTTATTCAAGGAGTTCCTCGTACAGCTCATTCCTTTTTATGCTACCGTAGTCCATTCAAAAGTCAGTGAACAGGTGGTGTGCGTGGATTTTATGCTCTCTGGACATCTCCAGAATAATTCTGATGGAGAATATGTGGACTATGGTTTACTTTCCTCTCATAAAACCTGTCTGGTACTTTGCTATATTCTTCTTAGAAAAAGGAAAAACAAGATTATTGACAAGACAAGATTTATTATAATACAGGAAATGTGTTTAATCTGAACGATTTATGTGTACCCTAAAGGGAATGTTTCTTATTATTTTACTTAAACAAATGACTTTTAGATTTATGTATTAAATAGTTATTTTTATTGCAGTATTACATATGATTATTTAAAAATCTAATTTATTTTTTATGTTTCTACTTGTAAAATATTAATTTTTTTTATATAAATATAAAAAATATCTGATATTGTGTTAAACATGAAATTTTTGTGATGTTAATGTCAATAGAATTATTATATTTATTTTGTAATGCTTTTTTATTTTTTTCCTCCTGAAAACATCACATTTGCATTCCTAAACTGGCAAGGTCTGTCAAACATTACACCCGGAAATATTGACTGAGCTGTAAATTTTAAACCAAGGTTTTTTTTTTGTAATATGGGATCTTCAATGGAAAAAAAGATAAAACAATTTTTTATTCATTATTTGCATTCTTACCAAATTTAGGTTTGATATTGCATTACTAATACAGCGCTACTGTTAGTGCAAAAATCGTATGTAACAATTTCACATGTTTATTCTATTTGTGCTTAAGGTAACATTTTGTAGTCTGCAACTGCAATTAGTATTAAAAAAAAAAAAATAAAATAACCTGTACCGCTACAACCATGAAGGGTCTTGGGTTCAGTACTATTTAAGGAAAGTACTGTTTTAAGGCCAGTACGGTTGTTCAGGGAGGCCAGGATCACGCTCAACCGCCAGGTTTTCCCCTTAATCAATTATTTAATTAAGACTATTAATTATTTAATTAATGCTACAACCCAGGAAGTGTCTTGGGTTCAGTAGTATTTAGAGAAAGTACTGTTTCAAGGCCAACGGCTGTTCAGGGAGGGGATTGGGCTGGCGATCACGCTCAACCGCCAGGTTTTAGCCCTTAATCAATTATTTAATTAAGACTATTAATTATTTAATTAATGCTACAACCCATGAAGTGTCTTGGGTTCAGTAGTATTTAGAGAAAGTACTGTTTCAAGGCCAACGGCTGTTCAGGGAGGGGAATGGGCTGGCGATCACGCTCAACCGCCAGGTTTTAGCCCGTAGTCAATTATTTAATTAAGGGTACCCACTTTACAGAGGTTGGGTGTGCCCCAGGAGGGTGTCCCTATCCCAGGGTCGCCCCACGTCCAATGAAATGGAATAAATAAATTTTCTGCCATGATCCGGGGTTCGAACCTGAAACCTGCAGCATTGGAAGCTCAGTACTTTCCCACTGAGATACCCTACCCCCTAAGTAGTCTGCTACAATGGAAAATATAAGTGGGAAATAAAATGTGAAATCATACTAATAAATCATAAAGAAATAATCAGTTTTTATGCTCTTCTATAAAACAACTCAATTTTTACATACAACCTTTTTCACTAATAGTAGCGATATTTTAAACCAGTTAGTTTTGTTCATTTTGATTATAAACCTTGATTTTTTTATTTCCCTCCAGAATTGTTCCATATATTGTAGGTAGTGGGGTAGCTCAGTTGTAGGGTACTAAGCTTCCAATGCTAAAGGTCCCAGGTTCGAATTACGGCTCATGGCAGAAAATTTATTTATTCCGTTTCATTGGCCGTGGGGCGATCCTGGGGTATGGACACCCAGCCTCTATAAAGTGGGTACCCTTAATTAAATAATTAATTAGGGGGGAAAACCTGCTGGTTGAGCGTGATCTCAGTCAAACCACCTCCTTGCACAACCGTTGACCTAGAAACAGTGCTTTCCCTAAATAGTACTATTATACCCAAGATGCTTCATGGGTCGTAGTGGTACAAGGTTAAGGTTGTCCTGTATCACTCAATATTAAATGTTAACTGTTGCTATTCTATTTTACTCATATGACTATAAGTTGACACTATCATTTTGTATTTTCACTAATAATTGCTAAAACTTACAAATATTTACAAATGGTCAATATTGTGTTATGAAGGTTTAATTTGTTGCAATTCACGAACTGACCAGTTGGATGAAAGTTAAAAATATTTTCAACCTTGTTGAGTGAGTTTTGTAAATATGCTTAATAATGTTTAATCTTAATTTTGGTTTTTCATTGTTACATTGTTATTAAAATTGCATTGGTATGTTGTTGGAAATTGTATTAAAGTTCTTGTTATCAAAAAACTATCTTATTACCACAACAAGGCAAGAAAACTGTATGTTCCCTGAACATCTCTCGAACAGCTAGATTAATTTTATTGTTTTTTTTATTGGATTTTAAACCTTAACACAAAAACGGTTCACTGAATTGAAGACCATTTCAACCAATATCCAATAACTTAATTTTATACAAATTTTAGTAATGATTTGAATGAAACATGCCTAACATCTTCTTGAAGTTCTTTAAATTTATATAAAATACTATCTTCAAAAGAAGTGAGAAAACAAATAAATTAGTTATAATAATTTACTGAAATCTGACTTTGTTAGAGAGAAACACAAAGATGTATTTTGAACTTTGTTCATGTATTCTCTTTAGAACGATGATCTTTGTTTTGTAATTGGTAAATGGTTGACTGTTGTGAATAATGGAGGGAAGAATAGTTGGTGTGATCAGTCAAATAAGAAGGCAAAAATAAATGATACTATTTATTTTGACATTAGCCGACGCACCTTGTTATCTGGTTATCTTGTTATCTCATACCTTGTTATCTGGTTCTTTTCTTAGCCCTGATGATTTATCTTGTTATCTCATACCTTGTTATCTGGTTCTTTTCTTAGCCCTGATGATGGCCTGAACTTCAGGTCGAAACGTCGGCTAATGTCAAAATAAATATTATCATTTATTTTTGCCTTCTTTGACTGATCACCCCAACTATTCTCTCCGATCTTTGTTTTGTTTTTTGCTAACTCAAAAACTAAATTTACTTGAAACATTCCAGATGGTTATTTGAAGAATAATTTATTTATTTACCAAGAGAAGAAAAAAGAAGATAATCGGACTAGTATCAGCAAATAATTTTTTTAGGTTAGTAACTAATTGAGGAAGTATGCACATGTATATACCAGAGAGCAACATTTTGAAGAAATATTAAATACAATTAAAACATGTATTATTTATTTTATTATCGTTAACATGCTTTTAATACATCAATTTGTTCATTTAAATTATTATTCTTATAACTTTTAAAATATAAATAATTAACAATCAATTAATAAAAATGTTTATATTCATAAACAATATAATATAATCTTATTGTTTG